CATTCTGAGAATGAACTCTAAGATGAGGGGTGGGATGGTTTAGATTTGTGATGTTCCCCTACCTAGTATCCACAATGGCTGTGTATACATTCGCAGTTGTAGATCGCAGTTCATAGATCCTTGGCTTAGGTCGTGCACTTGGAATGACACGCGCAGTTTACACAACACTAGTAAGTGTTCTAAGAATGAACTTTATTATTAGGGGCATAGGACGATCTTGATTTTCAAGTGTTGTGTTAGCGATGGTTTATAGTGAGGAGATGTTGTGCTTGGCGTGATGTTGATGCGGATCTGATCTGCGTATTGCTAGTAAATCTAGTAAAGAATTTGGGTAAGAAGATCACAGAAAAACATCTGCTTCTTAGGTCTTTCTCAGACTTGGCATCATTAAGAGGGTCTTGTTTTAAACTTGGCGTGATGATGATGTACATCTTCGTTCCGACCAGCAACCCTAGCAGTGTATTTTGATAATATGTTAACACCTCCGTGAAAGTGTATATGTATTTTTTGTTGATCTGCAGACTTGGCAGTATGAATCTAAGCTGTTTGTGCTTGGCACGACCATTATGTGCTGTTTTGCGCACTATAATGCTTTTAGTCGCATATTAGCTCCCGTTATGCAGCTCATCCACTTTGGCTGGTATGAAGATCTTCAACTTTAGACGTGAAGGCATCTGTGGAATTAGCGTGAGCGAGGAGGTACATAACAAATCTTCCTCCCCCAAATTCCTCTTTCTCTCTTCGCCGGTTTATCAACTGTTTTCAATCACATTGTTTTCAGCTCTCATAAACTTATCGCTCACGTCTTTCAGACCACAACTTCTCAACTTTATCAACTTCTCAACATTATCGACAAGTGATCTTACTTAGGCTCAAACCCTTTGTCAAGTTTAAAATCGCTCTAACGCCATTCCGATTCGACAACTTCCTCACCATGCCTTTCAATCTCAGAAAGTTCTTCCGAAGCTGCTTCGGCACCGCAGAAGAAACTTACGAGCCAGTTCGAGTCCTCCCACATCCAGTTCACGGGTACGTCGGTGAGACTCTTACTCCTCGCGAGAAGGACACTCTCGCCTTTATCAACTCTCATCGTCCCAACTCACGATTGGAGCGCGACGAGTCGATCCGCACTCCTCACATGCCTCGTCTTCGTCCACATGGAACAGTCATCCACCGACCCCTCGAGGCGGACCATACCATGCGACGATTCATCTTGAACAAATACGCTTTCCAAGATTAGACAGGCCATGTTCCTTTTCCTCCTGAACGTCGACCCCTCTGCGGTTGAGCACCCGACTCTCCAGAGTGAGTCCGAACAGATCCTTCCTCTCCTTCTCAAGTTTCTCCTTCCCAAAGAAACTTCCTCCTTGATTCCGAAGCGACGGCCTTGTGTCCTAGCCCAAAGTCTCTTGTTCCAATCCCTCCATTCTCACGTTTCTCCGCTCAAGAAACCTCACCTGGATTCCAAAGCGACGGCCTTGTGTCCTAGCCCAAAGTCTTTAGATCCGCCTCCTTTCCTCTCATCTTCTTCTCCCTCTCGGTTTCTCCGCAAAAAGGAACCTCCTGGCGAGACTCCCCGCAAGGGTTGAGGCTCAAAGGGGTCCGACTCGATTCCGATTGCGACGGCGATTGTCAGAGCATGAGGTCTCCGGGGAATGGAGAGCTTTGACTGAACACCTGTCCGGGGTGCCCTCTACGAACCTGGAATTGAGTTTCAAATGTCTCGAGTGAGATTTCTGGGACAATAATATTTCAGAGCTGAGATTCAGTCCTGGTCAAAAATTACTTTGCAGTGCGAAGTTCTTTTTGAACAGTATCCTATTCATTTTCATCTTCTTTACCACTCTTCATCCTGCCTCCCCTTTCAGCTGACTATCCTCTTGATCATACTTCAATTTCTCCTTGCTTTTTTGGTTTTCTTTTCATCTCAAGGTCTTACCACTTCTTCATCGCGACTTCCCTTTCTGTTCGCTTTCCTCTTGATCATTAGTTCTTTTCTCCTCGCCTTTCTCTTCATCTTGCCTTCGTTTTTGTGGTTGCTTTATTCTCCTCTTCTATTTCCCAAATCTGTTTCGCCTTTCGATTCCATCACTTTTTGATTCGAGTTCCTGCTGGTCGCACTTTCATGTTCCGGTCGGTGTTCACAATACCGGCCGAGTCCTTTTTCATGGTCTCCCGTCTCGATCTTGAACTCTTTGAAAGCAGCTTCTTTCTGAATTTTGCCCATTTCTTGTTGGTTCTCTTGTTCTACCTCCACCCACCTCCTCTTCCTTCTTCGTACTGCGCCTTTGTCCCCATCATTATTTAACCTTCAGCTTCACGATAAATATTTTGATCGTGTAGCCTCTGCAACTCTGTCTCCCCGAATTCCCTTTTGTAGATAATATAATTTTATCGTCGTCGTCAATGATCAACATTTTCACCTCGTTTCCCGTATGTCACATATTCCTTAGCTCGCCTTTCTCTGTCTACACATTCCTGACTGGCTGTACTTATATATGCCATGACTTCGCTCATGATCAGAAGTTTAACTTCGCATCATATCAATATAATAGCATATGAGAAACGCACCGTACTGCATCTGCATTCTTCTCATTCGTACATGATTACTGCTCTATGCATAAACATTCTCTCACTCGTGACCACTCATTCACAGTCTATACGCAAACCTGTAAACGCGACCTCTATCTAGATCTAATTCTGTGTTGCCATCAAGATTATCGAACAGCATTGTGGCTTGCGACCACCAACCAACCATTTCTACCCCCTCAGCTACAGTTCTGATCTTATAGATGAACCTCAAAACGCAAAGTGACTCCATCGGTGAATAAAATCTCTGATCCGATTTGATCAATTCTCAGGAGAAGTCATCCGCTTCAGGCTCTTCGAACCATTTCTTTTTCTCCTCTTCCTTTTTGGCGGACGAATCTTCTCCCAAAAATTTATCTAACCAACTTCTACTCCCACTACGTCTCTCTGCTGTCACCTTGTCCCAATGAACCGATGAAAGCTTCGTTTCGACTCTCTGCAGATCATTTATCCTTGATTTGATTAAATCGATATCCTCTGGCATAGACCGAAACCGCGTTTGCTCTTCATCCGTCAATTTCCAGTAATTCTCATATCGAAGCTCCCGACATTCCTCCATTTCCCTCCTCAAATCCGTCAGGCATTTGATATGCTCATCTAGGCGGTTTCTGTAGCCGTCGTAATCTTTCTTCTCGACCTCCTCGTATTTCTCGCGATCATCTTCCCGGCGAATAAATTTGGCCATGCCTTCGATGAGGTCCTCCAGCGTGTCTTTCATTTCGAGAACTTCACCCCTGATTTCGTCCTTCGTTTTCTCGTACACTTTTAATTTGACATTATCGACGGCGTTATGGAAAGTTTTGAAGACATTAATGTAGAGGTCATCGAGGTAGCAGTAAGGGTTTATCATGTTTGGTAGAGTTGTGTCGATCGTATGTTTAAGAAGGTGTTGGCAGGTTTTGAGGTTTAAGAAGTATGGAGCAATCGCTCAGGTGAATTTGCTTGATATCTAGCTAGTCCTAACCAACCAATTACAATATACTGACTCATAACCTAGTGTCGCTCACATTCCTTCAGCAGTGAATGTCTAAGTAATCCTCATGAGAAATCGTCTACCGCGGGCTCTTCGAACCATTCCTTTTTCTTCTCTTCCCTTTTCTTCCCCTCTTCACTTCTATCAAATGAATTGTATCTGAGGCATTCATCTTCCAATGTGATTCTTGCAGGATACCTCTCATCCATCCAAGTCTTAGAGCGGGTCTGACTAAGTTTGGTGACCACTTTGTTCAAAATCGTCATATTCGGTTCGATTATAACAACATCCACTTCCAAAGGTCGAACTGCATCCTTCGTTTCCTTTGTCCAACATCCCAGCCAGGACTTCTCCTCATCTTTGAGTTCAACCAAAAGCATATTCATTCTCGACCTCAGATCTCTAAATTTGGAAATGTGATCATTTAAACTCTTTCTGTAGTCGACGTAATCTTTCTTGACAATTTCTTAATATTTCGATGCGGGATCATTTGGATGAAGAAATTGATCCATGCCGGCAACCAATTCCATCAATTCTTTCTTCAGTTCTGAAACTTCGCCTTTGATCCTTTTGTTCTCCCCATTACAAAAGAGTCCTTTGGCGTTATCGATGACATTATCCATGACATTATCGCGGACTAGAGAGGTTTTCGCGAGAAGATCTTCAAACATTTTGTGAGGTAGAGGTTTATGTGATCCGTAGATTTTGTGAAACGTGGTATTAGGTGATAGCTTTTGATGTTGTAAGAAGGATGGAGTACTCGTCAACATGGAGTTGCTTTGATCTGACGAACATGAGTCCCAACCAACGACTTCCGGTCTGTTGACTCACAATCTTGTACTTCCCACATTCCTCCTTCAGTAACTTTACATTGAGTGTTAAATCAAGACCTTCTCGAACATTAGAAAGTTATAAGAACTATATTACCTCAATTCCAAACCTAAAAATTCATCGTACCCCCTTCCTTCGGAACAACACATGCTCAACTTCATCTTCGTTGCTGTGACATAACACAGTAATCGCTTGTTTTACTTACATAGATAGGCAAGGAAAACAGAAAAACAATCACGTTCGTTTTCTTGTGCGCGCTGGAAGGCACCATTCAAATTTCTTTGTTCCGCGTCTCAGAGTCAAAGACCCAGTCGATTTCACACATTGCCCAACTCTTTTGGGTGTTGCTCCTTGATTTCGGTATCCTCAAAGGAGGGCTTCCTACTGAAAGATGAAATGTTGATTTAGTACCGTGCGGTCAAGCGTTACGTTGTGAGAGAGAGTATTAAAGGGTGGTTTTGGATAAGATTAATGATAGGGGTATATTCATGATTGTCACCCCAAACTAGGTATATTATATACTCTAAGTCACTCATTTCGATGAACCCCGCCACTGTATTCATGTAAATTCCTCCACCATCTCAGCTCCTTATAGCCGACCGTCAAGTCTTCCGGTACAACATTTGGGGGAGTTCGCTAAGTGGTTCACTCAACAAAGAACCCCAAAACTTTATCTTTCGATACACTTCTTCATCCTCAGGACGTATCCTTGGAAAGTTTCTTATAATTAATATACCCAGTTTCTCACGGATGGAATATGACCTTTTGCAAAGAGAGCCATATTTTGTCTTTCCAAGCATGCCTTCTGATCGAAATATTGTATAAGCTTCTTCGAGGAGGGCTTTTGCTTCGTAGACTGGCGAAGCGACATTCTTGTACTCATTCCCCCACTCCGGAATCCTGGTAAAATCGAACTCTTTCCACGTATCGTTTTCGGTAGCTTGCGTCTGCCGATTCGGTGTAGACGCCTTTTGACCCATAATGACTGAATCTGCTGAAGACGAGGGAGAGGTAGGTATTGTTTAGGCTGGAATGTATGGAGAAAAACCAAGTTTCTTTATTTTATGTTTGTCTTCTTTTCGAAGCAAGTGTCTGTTCGTTGAAGGAGACAGGAAGATTGGATTGACACCACACTATTTATATACTCTCCATGTGAGGGATATGAATCGATGAAGGGCTCTTCTAGCTAAGAATGCAGAACATATGATGAATATCATTCCAAAAGATTTGAGAGCTTGTGAGTAATACTTTACTTAATATCACTCAGTTTCCAACACTGTTCGCGGTTATTCTCTTTGTTAGATTTAATCAAGTGTTCTACTCCGAACAAAGAAACATCCCTCGAGTACTCACTGTCAGAGTCTACCTTTCTATTAAACTATATTACGCAATTCTTGAATGAGAGTAATGTTTTTATTTATTGTTATAATCCCGCACTTGCTACACCGCAGCTCAACCCAATCATCCTACACAACCGACCATTTGTGATTCCCCAAAATCTCTCAACACTCCCATTGATGACACACCTCAATCATCATCCAGTAATTCGCTCTCGTTACACACTGCTCCACGTACAACTTTGATGTAGCCAATAATATCGTCCCGAGCTTTCACGAGCTCCGTCTTTTCTAAATTATTCAACTCCGTCATGGTTCGCGTCAATCTTCCGTCAAGCTTTTGACGTTCTGGTCCGTAGTTCTTTTTGTCGAAGGCACGAGCCTCTTCGATGATAGCTTTTGCATCGGTGAAATGTTTGTCGACTTCTTCGATTCCACACGATGGGATCTTTGCCAGATCCAAGCCTCTAGGTTTGCGCATGGTGATCTTGATGACTTGTTTCAGTAGTGTCGATTTAGAAAATAGTTGAGAGATAATGATCGAATATGTCGCGAGACGAGAGAGGGTTATTGAAGTGGGGCTTGCGGAGCAACAACGAAGTTCTATCTTGACAACGATTGTCTCTTTTGTGAAGGAAGTGCAGGTTGAGACAATCCTATTTATAAGCTTTCGACCCGAGGAGTTTGAGTCACTGAATGGTACTGGCGCAAGCTATGGGCTCGAAACTTATGATAAATGTTATTCGCAAATTTCTTAAGGGTTGAATGTCATGTCGATGACTTGTTACCTACCGAACACTATTCATAGTTGTCTTTGGATATGATTGGGGAAGGAATCAAAAATGGTGAGCACCTTCATGAATTTGCCGATTCATGATTGGCATGTAGGGACAGTGTAAGAAGAGAACAAAGACCAAAATTCCCAACCCTTTAGTGTCGCCATTGCTATGCCTCACGGACCCCCCCTTACGGCAAAATCACGAGACGACGCTCACAACGCTGTGGTTACTCATTCGATTTGAGTAATGTCATCTTCTTGTCTCGTTGGAAAAGGCTATATATGACTCTGAGGGAAGGAGTGTTGAAAGTCGTTATCAGCAGTCATTAGACTTGGAAAATGTCCCGCCAGTCTCGTAGCGCCCTGGTGGCATGGTGATATATTTGGGTTGAGCCGGAAGTAGTTGCAATTAGTGGAATCTATAATGCATTTAGAACTCTCAAAAGTTCTCATATTATGAGTCGCGTTGACATTTTTATACTTCGAGTTGACCACCAAACGTGACAGATTATTGGACTTCAGAACGGAAAGCATTACTTGTCGTAAGCATTTAACTAAGCAAAGAAAACTCTCTTACATATACCTAGAAATGTGGCACGAAAGGATAGTCGCTTTTCGTTTCCAACGGATGTCAAATTGACTCTTGTACCGATTATCCGGCAACATTTCGCGGTGGACAGAATAAGTGGCAGTCAAATGCAATACTTCTCCGATTAGGTTGAGGAAGTATGCTATGTTTCGTCGATAGTTTCAGTAAATAAAACTTTTGAGGCACCATGTTCAATTTGTTCATAGAGAAGAAGACTTAATTACTTACCCTTCTGAAAATTACGATGTCGTAACGGAACAAGAGGAACTAGTATCACTGATTTTGATCTTGGGAGGATTTCTTGGCGGTATTAAAATTCATTTCGTGCGGGCACAAATTCATTATCTCACTATGTCAATTATACACTTTAATAATATCGTCAGAATCTTCCTGTTCGTTATTGATTTCTCTTTCCCCCAGCACTCTTCCCACGTTGCAAACCATGGATGACTTTCTCATATGGCTTCTTTTAGAAGAACTAATCATCCCATTCTGCATGAGCCCACATTGCAGCATTTGCCATCGAATAAATTTCCTCGCATAAAGCATCGATCCATGCAAGTGCATTTTCGCAATCATTCTCCGGCTCGTAGTATGTATTTCGCTCTTCGATTAGTCTCCAATCCTTCAATCTGGGAGTCAGTGATACCAAGCTTGATTCGATTGTATCGAAATGGTCTCGTTCCAGGTTGTAATCGATGTACTCGTATGCCTCATGCATAACTGGACGAACCGCTTCTTTCAGGAACTGTTTGAATTCCTTGGATGTGGCTTTTTGTGTTAGTTGCTTCATTATAAACCAGGCTTCAGCTCTTATTTCAGGACGGTACATGTTGTGTTTGGTATGAGACCAGTTCGAGAAGTAGGTTGAGGGATGTCGTGGAACAACACTAGCGCCGAGAGTTGTTGAACTATGGACTTCCCGGGTTCTGGGCCAATATATCGATCGCTCAAAAAAGAGAAGTTGCTGGATGAAGAAAGTGCGAGATGGGGCTCGTAACAAGCCTATTTATAATCCAACAATGAACTGTTCCTAAACAATCACATGCTTTGTGAACAGGCGATCACTGTAAACAATGGAATGCGATATGAAGAGCCAATCACTGAGGGCAGCTAGTGACTTCTAATCACGAACTATCTCTACACTCAACCCATTTATTATCTGTACTAATTCACATCTAATGGTTGCATGCCTTGGGCCCTAGATGTAAGGGCTCACGTTACTAGGGACTTCAAGCCCATTCCCTGACTCTGACTGCAACGACGCTCGCACATCACTTCAAGTCTACCACCAACATGTTCACAGTTCGTGAAGTGCTTGAATTTGGGCTTTTTCTCAGATTTTCACATTTAAATTTAAGTAGGCATTATTTGTTGTCTAATATCCTCAGTTGAATCTTCTGGAAGCTCGCTGGAATATATCCTCTTAATTCTGATTTCCTCGGTAGATGAGAAGACACTTTACCTGTTAAGACCGTCACATATCTATCACCATTCCAGTGCAATCCAAAAATCCACCCAATTCGCTCCGTTTAGTTTGCAGTTATCCAAAAATCCCCAACACCTCACAAAAGTCTGAATGGTTTCCACCAACAATGAACTCATCCAATATAGCCATATGTACAGCTTTGTTAGTCAACTTCCTAACCGTCCATTATCTCGTTCAACTCTTGATATCTCTTTCCCAAGTCGCGAATTAGTGTATCTATTTCCTTGTACTTCATGAACATCAAATTTGCCAAAGATTCGAATTCCTCCCCTTCATCTTCACTTAACGGTGCTTTTCCCCGGTTGAGAATGTAATGGATGGAACTTTTAGGATTTTTCTTATCCAACTCGAAGCGGGTGAGTGTAAGTTGAGCTATGATCGTCGAGAGCTTTCTAGTTCACACTCTCCAGCTAGAATCTCGTACCCCCTCTCTAGTTTTGTTTGAACCTCATTATCCAAGAAAGCCTGCGTACTGTTCAGTTGGCTCTGTTCGGTTGAAGCAACTGGTAGGTCATTATTTTTGTTGTCGTTCATTTTGTTGTCGTTCATCTTGATTGAAGGATTTACGATTTATGCTTTATCGTAAATATGGCTTTTGGTTCAACATATGGGTTTTATTGGTTTCAGAATATTGTTATCTTGGAAAATCAGAAACCACTGGAGTCGGTGATATCTATACTAAACCAGACCGCATCCCTTGAATCATATGTAAGAGAAATAATCATCTAAAACGTCTGATATTAGTAATGAAATATCTTTGTGTCATATTCTGCAAGATACACATCGAACCGCCCTCGAGGGGACAGTCAAGTTCATTGACCAAGATATCATGCCGATCTATGCGCCATTACGACTATCGTCATCAAAGTCCTTTTCATTTCAGTCATTGAGAGTGTCAAGAATAAAATTATGAATCCTATTGGAAAGAAGTTAAAGCATATGATATTTCCAGCGACATGCATGATTTTCTTTTCGAATAGCATAATGCAATACTTTTTTCAGGAAAGAACACTTGTCAACATCGCTGCGTGGAGCAAAGTCTCGTTTACACATGTCACATCAGTCACAGATATACTATGATCACGCCGAAATAAGGACACGAAATTTCAGTACTCGACAGGAGCACCAGTGCATTACAAATCTGACGGAACATCTCTTTCGACAAGCACTCCACTCTTCCCAAAACGCCGTGAGGCCTCAATTCAGCTAAGTAATATCTAATATTTCGTCAGAGGACAGTCAATTCTACCAACATATCACTACCGTAACATTCGCGACTTAGAGTCATTCGAGACCAAATCTTGAATCCCTCGATAGAAGTCCCGAATTGCTGTGTCAACAAAATAAATTACATAATGCAAAATATGCGGCCGTAAATGATACTTATTAAAGGCTAACCATGGGAGTCGAATGTATTTTTGGGAAGGTATAATTCCCTAGTTGTGAGGTAATATAGAACTTCAATATACTATATGAACAATGAATATTAATGTGATTTCCACAGCGAGTCTATTCTGTGTTTACCTTAAATACCAATGTTCACGAAAAGCGTAAGCAACATGCGGTTACTGCGCCCTGACATCGATGTATAAACTAAGTAGTAGCAACCAATAATAATGGTCCAACCGTGAGCATATATCATAATCTTACAGCTACAAAGGCGCAACAATTCCTGAAAAGAAAATGACCCTCCGTCCACCACTGCTAGGCTGATAGTTCTCCTGTGACTATACAACCTCATTTGACCCAGTTATCAACTAACATAGTACCCCATCCAGCCACAGGTAATACATTTCATTCATTAGAAGTTTTTTCTTGACCTCCATTGTCATTTTTGGCGGTCAACTTCTCCCATATATTAGAGAGGTTTTCAAGACATTTATTCACATCTGGAAGTTCGTCATCGAACACGATCTTAAGCTGTCTTTCGGACAAGTTGGTTTCACGACGTACATCCTCCCCCCTATCACGCTTTTCAAGGAGAATCTCCATCTCCTGCTTCAAATTTCGCAAAAGACCTATCGTATTTGGAATGTCCGCTTTGAAACTGTCGAAGGCTTCTCGTGTACCTGCGGCATCGTGGTTTCGTGGGGTCCAGCAAGCAAACAGTTTCTCTGCCTCTGGCAAAAGTCTTTCGGCGGCAATTGTACAGATACTAGCTTTATCGAGGACAGTCCTGTCTTTGTATGCAACTCGAGGCGTATTTTGGCTCATTTTGGGATAGCTTCGTTGGATTATGCTGATTTATTCTGTTGTTCGATTTTTCGGGAGGTCTTTGGAATTTACTGATGTTGTGTTGTTGAAAGAAAAAAGAGGAAACTGCTAAAACAATATTTATAGTGCCTTCACCTCGCATGTGTATGATTCTACTAGAAGAAAAGTCTCTGACACATGTATGACCTATGAGTTTTCACTCAACTCGAATACAAGTTTGTTCACTAATGCTTTCACTTCTACCTCTCAGGACAACTACCTTTGATTAGAACAGGATTGAACAGCCGGTGAGAGCCAAACTGTGTGAGTGCCATCCCTTGTAATCGTGTCTGAAAGCGATTCATAGCTTCGGATTCCCGAAAACTCGAATCACCGACATAGCAAACTTCGAGTGGTACGTTGTTGCAGCTTTTTATGGGACGTATGGCATTTTTCGACTCACCTTCAGATGTCTGGTGTTATGAATTTGTAGGTATACATTAAATTGTTCGGTACTATGAATTAAAAGACTAAGATCATGTGTAAGTCAATTGTGTTTGCTAACACACTGTTGGAGATTTCGAGACACGTCGTTGATACGTCTGATGTCAGTTCCAGTCACACATAACGATAGCGGTCATGATACGGCTTGTCATTCTTAGCCATCCCATGAAATTTCTTTTGATTGTACTAATCATTTTGGATTTTTGGTGAATTGCTTATCATGACTTGCTTCGACCCATGAGTCCACTCTTGCTTTCCCGTCCAGTTGTGAGTTTTAGTTCTTTTATTAGGTGTTGCCGAGAAAAGTAAGAGATAAAATGACTCCGTTGCGGCAAGAAAATTTGACATACGACCGCACATACCATCTATTTTATTCAGTACCAAAGACCATCTTCACAATGGATCCACAAAATCTTTAAAAAGAGACTATTCACACATTCCAGTAAAACCCCTTGATATTCTGCTTGGAAAGCTTTGTTATTTATACTCTAGCTGTGCCAATTTCGCCGAGCTTAGCTAGATCATCTAGAAGTCGAGTATTCTTTTACTCTAAAGCTTTCGTTTCTTTTAAGCCAATTTTTGGCCATAATCCCCCCCCCCGGCAGACTAATCTTTATTACCATCCATCGTACAAGTCATGCGAGGTTTCCTTCGATTTATGGGTACAAGGGCGGTGATCAAAGCAGGAACCTTATTGTGACTGTATACTCGTAGACTCTTGGTATATCTCTTCTACTATATCAAAGGTGTGTTTATTGTTATCGAAGCCGGGAAACGTCTCTAGTAATCTGGATAATCCAACATCCGATGAGTTCAGCACTAAATAAGTAATAAGACCGTTCGGGTAAATCTTCTTTTCGCCTTATTCTCTAGTTTACATACCCAGTCCTGCAGAAAACCAACGTTTTGACCTTTCCAACGCCACCCAAATGCCAATCAACAAAATAAATCCTTACCAAAGCTCCCATATAATGCGAGCCAGGTACTATCTTAATACTCGGTCCCTTCACACACTACCCCTGTCCCAATGCATGCCTTTCATGCATAACTATTTCAAGAATTTTCCATTCGCTCCAACGACGTTTTCATACCCATTCTGATTTTTTGAAGCTCGTACAGATCGCGCGAAGCGGCTAGTCGGCCACAAACAACAGTAATTTTCTCATCAACCTTTCCACCCATTTCAAGAAAAGCCTGAACCTGGCCTTCGGAAAGATTAGTCAAAAGACTAACACCTTCCCCTTATCGCGCCTTTTAGAAACGTCATTTATTTTTTCTTTTGTACTTTTCAGCATAGCATGTGCATGTTCTAGTTCCGCTTGAAGCATCTCATATGCAATATCTTTCATCCAATCGTTCTCGGCGGTCCAGTCCTCAAAAAGTTTGCCTGACTTGTCTACGACTTTGGTAGCTGAAGCGAGTTGATAATTGATCACGTCGGTTATGTCGAGACAAGCGCTGGGCGAGTTTGGTCTTTGTGGACTTTGGCTTGTGTTGTTGCTCATTTTGAGATTTTTTCTGGGTGCTATTGATAATTTGAGTTGATATAGTGGTTGAGGAATTTCGAAGACTATCGGCAAATCAACAGCTGTATGTTGTAGAAAGAGAGAACAACAATTTGATAAGGAGATATTTATAGGTCTCTTGAAAAGCCTATGTTTATGAGTAATGTACATAATGTTAGATGCATGTGTCCTTGTTATGTCTTTACTTGAGTAGCTCTGTTTTTGACTAATGATTTACATATGGTAACTCTCAAGAATTGATAGTTCATAGGGGACATGTGTTTTGAAGCATTAGTGTTTCGTTTTTTGAGCGTCATGATCCTTTGAGGACGTCGCCGTTACGAACCACCTTCAAATATTAGTCAAAGGCCCACGGTCAAGCAAAGCAGGGAAGTATCAAAAATACTTTGCTTTCTGACTGTGACGAATCAGCTTTTCATGGGATGAATGTCACTTCTCGACTCACCCTCAGATGTCTCGCAATGTGAATATGTAGGTAAGCCTCAGTTTGCTCAGGTTAGTTGATGATATGTAAGGCAGTTACATGTATAAGCCGTATCCTCATTGCTCAGATAAACCTGGATTCAGGAGCGACATTGTTGACATATTTGGTTTTAATACCGATCGTAATTAACGTGGGTATTGACTGTATGGCCTTTTGAGCCAAGTCATCCCATAAAATTCCTTTTTATCTTGCTAGTTGAGTTGAAGTTTAGACTGACTCTCCCAAGAGATTGCTTGCAGTCTAATGAGTCACTTGCTGCTTTCCAATTTAGTTGTGAAATGCAGATTGTAGCAGACATAGGGGGGAAAGGTGATAACCTAAGCCCACTTTTACAAGAATAATTGACACAACGCTGTGTATGCCTTCCGTTTTATTTTAACATACTCAGTACATGACACTAACTTCAAAACAGATTCACAAACTTGTCAAAATTGAACTACCTAAATCTTCAGTGTAAACTGAACCTTGGATCAGTCAGAAGACAACCATCATGTTCAGTGCAGGTTAGAGTCGGCCTTCGGGGAAGAATAAAATTACAAATGAGCAATTCATGAGTGAGTCGTAGAAGGTGGGTCAGCTGATGCAGAGTTATTGGATTCTCTCGAGTCTTGTTGCCTACGGTCGCAGTCCTCTCTTTTGGTCTACTTCGGTACCTGTGACCATAGCCGTCAAAATGTCAAGAGAGTTGGACGGAAGAGTGCGAAAAATGGTAATACGAGATTCAACAGACACCGTTTGTCAAAAAGATCGTTTCTAACTAGAATGATGAATGTGGGAACTAGAATGATGAATGTGGGAATTCAAGAGTTTATCTTGAACAGTGGCTTGGACCTGACAACTACCCATGGTAAAGAGTGATTCTTGATTTTAATACAACACTATTTCTCCCCTTTTCGGATAGTCCGCAAAACAGATATTATAGTGTTATGAAACCTCCAGAACTTAACCATCCCCAGACCATTGTTTGACACTCGAAAAACCTCTCGATATATACATAATCAATGAAACAGCCTCAGAATATTCTCGACTAGAGACCCTATTTCTACAGGCTGTTCAACTCAACTGTCTTCCGTTCCAATTTGCCACACATTGTTTCTACTTCGCCAGCCAAAGAAACAAGCTCATCGATCTCTGCACCTGTCATTGCCTTATTGTTGCTTTTGTCTTTTGCGCTCTCGTCATATTCGATCTCCATGAGATACAATTTTGCTTGAACCATATTTATCTTAATTTGTCTCGCAGGCTCTTTTGTTTTAGGGTCTCCTTTTGATGACATTCTCAGCCTTCCCTATTTATTCTGCAGCAGCACTCAGAATCTTCTTGGCTCTCTGGAGAACGTTTAGCTTGAACGATGGTGGCCAGTCGAGCTCGCTTGGAGCATCCGAGGTGCTCTGTTGTATTTGCATGTCTGTCGAGTTTTCCATATTGAAGTTACTGCGTCGGAAGAGCACGTTGGTTGGATATGTATGTCTGGGGCTTGTATGTTTCTCGCCTAGGTTGGTTCTGTTTGCTTTGCTTTATGGGATTCTTGTGAGATGCGAGGCTTGTGTGATACTCCGCTTAAAAGCTGGTTTGAAGCAAGAAAGAAGTTCCCGGTATTTATACTCAAGAGTTTCTCTGTTGAAGTTACAATCATAACTTCACATTTGGCAACCACTCACCAACAAGACCTTCTCAGGCATGTAATGAATCATTAGCTTAGCTAAATACTCACTCAACAAGTTTATGAATAAAGAAGCCGGAGTTGGGTATTCATCTTTAAAACCTAAGCTATGAATCGGCTGTGCCAAACTCTCTTTCCTGTTCCCTTCTCTTCCAAGGTTCAAAAGCACATTAATTAGTCCAGAAATCAAAGGTTGACGAATCTCTTATAGTTTACCAGACTATTTTTCAACACGAGATTCAGCTCTAGCACCTGGTATTTCAGCATGTCAAAATACATCGCAAAATTAAACCCACCCCGACGATCCACGACAAGAACCAACGTCGTCAACCCTCACACGCTAGACAACTACCATCGCCAACACAAACAAGTACCGGAACCAAATGAAACTCCGTCAGATACCAAGACGCGTCTGCTTGCCAACCTCAAAATAGTGGCAGAAGAATCCCGAGACCTCAGAAAGAAACTTGTGGGTTCTAACCATAGACACGATATCCAGTCGGATTTGGAGACGGCTATGTTGGAATTGTTGCAGTTTACATTCAGGTTTGGAAGCGATGTAGAGGTGATGAAGGAAATTTGGAAGGCGTCTGCGGAGGCTGTGGCGTTGTGGAATGGGTTGATCCGCGTGTCCCTCCGGCACCTGATGAGAGACCTAGGCTGATTGTACATGTTGATTTGGAGGAACAGGGAAAGAAGATGTAATAGATTAAACAAATGAACGGGGAATGAAGGCGAATAAGCGTTGAAGATGAGAGGTGATGGGTAGGCTACAAAAGATTTGCGACATCATGATTCGTTAGTCTATGGGAGTCCAACACACGATACAAGTGGATGAAATGAAACCAATATTGCAAACATAATTCTAGTCTCAACCGCGAATGAAGAGATGTCGTCGGAGATACATCCCTGGGTACTTTCACCGCTTCCCCTTTAATTTGCAAACCACGGCAGAACACCCCACAAATGACGACTGGACCCACCTCATATACTTTATCCATATCAACTCCAAACCTCGACAAGATTCTCAAAGTTCAGCAAAAACTATAGCGGAAAGAGAATTATGAGTATGTCTAAACGTGTAGGTCATCCCAACTCTTCTTTAAATATCTTCATGAGGCTGACATGATGTAGGTTGCATTCCGAGTTCATGGTGAAGTCCAAGGTACGTTTGCCTCCCAAGTGATCAAATTACAAAATTAACATTGAAATAGGAGTCTCATTTCGGTAAATCTCATGCTCCTCTGGCTAAGAACGGAAGACGATTGATACAAGACCAGATACTTCACCAAAGAAAAAGCGACTTCATATTCCCTGACTGGCTGGGTGAAAAATGCTGCGAATGGAAAGGTACGTTTTGGTGATTGCTCAAATTCCATCACGTATATTCGCTCATCCTCAAATTGTTTTATGCAATGATGCTCACACACATCCTCTCATAGGTAGAAGGCGAAGTCCAAGGCTCTGAAGAGGATGTCCAAAAGTTGTTGAAGGATATCGACAAAGGACCTACACATGCTCATGTGGTGAGAGTCGATAAATCGGATTTGGACCCGGTGGATGGGGAGAGCAAGTTTGAAGTTAGACAGTGATGATAGAATGGGAAGCGAGTTGGGTTGATTTGGAGTGGCGATTATGGAGATTGAAATGAAGATGAATGATTATCAAATGCAGAGGATTGCTTGCAGTCACCTCATCGTGGGCGTACCAATGATTGACAAACATCATTCCAGACATATCAAGACACAGTACATCTGTGAAGGGGCTAGAGTTTCTCACGTTGTACTGGCCTCAGACAAGAAGAATATACCGAAACTAGAATACACACCATTTCAACACACTTGCAGGTAAGCTTGCTCCATCCAAGCACCTAAGACCCCCTTCCTCTCAGCCGCTAATAAAACACCCCATCGAGAAAATGTCGATAAATCTCAGAATTAGCAGTAGCCATCCGCCTCGAACCATCGTCCACTGATCCGGAAGTTAGAAAAGAAACATTATCAAATGCAAGCCATTCTAAACGTTGAAATACGGCAAGATAGCTATTCGCTATGTCTTCCAATCTGTCATGGGCGACACGATTGGGGTTTACACCAGGATCAAGTGGGGTTTCATCCTTGCTTCTGGTTAGTATCTAGGCATCTCATCCCATCAGACAAAAACTGAGTGCTTACGTCGTTGAAATACAGGTCACCATTTAAAAGTCTGAAAACTGGCATGCGGTGCTCGTCGTGACTGAAGCCGATTCTCTTGAGTTTAGCGAGGTTTCCGAGACTGTTTAGAATCACATCGTGGTCGAGAGACCAGTTGGTAGAACATGTGCCAAGATGGATTTCCTCCAACGTGGATATCTGACTGATCATCTCGAGATTCGCAGCTGGTAGATGCCACCCATCCCAGAAGATCTGTAGCGAGGTGAGAGATTGGAAGGCATGTATTAACAAAGGGAGGACATCATGCTCTAATGCATGCTCAGGTTTGCTTCCACCACGTCCTTCTACCGCCAATCCTAGGCGCGATATCTGCGTGTTGGCTTTTAAGAATGCAAGAGGTACGCTGGTTTTCTTAGCCGCTGAGCGCGCCCAACTAAATGTGTGCAAGTTTCGTTTGTGACCTAATTCTTGAAGACACTGGTCGGAAAGATCGTCTGCCGCGTAGGCTCGTATGTCTAAGATACGGAGCTGTGGAGCCAATAGACACTTCCATGTTTGAACATCCGAGAACGCTGCTTTGAGAGACAAGTTGCGAAGATTCTCGAAGACTGGTGCCGGGGAGTCGTCGTCGACAAGGGAGTATTGCACATTTTGTACGTGACTTTTGTTATAGTAAACCTCTAGATCCCAGAACAGAGTCTCAAGACTCTTGGAAGACCCACGTATCAAGTCTCTGACTCTGATCTGATCTGCTTTGTCCTCATTATCGAAAGTACAATTCTGAATGAAGAGGCATTGAAGCTGTTGACTTGGCGTGCTAGGACTTTGTCTGGCATGTGATAGTTGCTTAGAGGTACGTAAGTTGCAAAGCACAATATTCCGAAGGTTTGACGACGATGTCACGGTGTCAATGAAGTAGTCGTCGGCTATTGGGATATCGTGACTGTTACGCCATTCGACTGTCTCTAAATGAGGTAATCTCGAAGGTCCTCGGATTAACGATAGTATGTTGAGAGTAAATTCCTCAAACCCAATTCGATCGTTTTCATTCCCTAATGCTCTTGATGGATCATCCTCTGACAGGATCTCTCTCTGATGTTGGTCCCAGGTCCTTTAAGAAGCCCAATGCTTTGACAAGTCAAAGAGTATCCTTCGAATGACTGTACTGAGATGCCATCGAGGACACTCGTTATTCAGGAATCCTTTCGACTCGCGCATAAGTTGAGCCAGGATTTCACAAGATTCCTCACTATAATTCATGGTAACGCTAGCAAACTGACGGGATCGAACAAGTTGACGACAGGCACTGTTGACCAGAGCGAGAGATGCCAGGTCTTTTTTGTCGATGTCCTGAACGATTTGTGATAGAATTTCGCTGGGTAGTCGAAAAATTAAGGTATCAGGGTCTACCGGCCAGCCCTCCAGGACCTTTGAGACCGACAGTGGTAGAGGCGGATATAGAATTTTACCCGGGTCACGGATCCATAGAGGATAACCAAGGTAATCTACGTCGACCATGATGTGAGTTGATAAGGTTACCTGATCGAGTGCTGAAGGAGGCGATTGCAATGGATGCATGCAAGTGGAAATAGACGTACTAAAATCTCTGTTTGTCTGTCTTGACATTTGTGGCTGAGCGGCTGAAATAAGGAAGCAAGGGCGGTCTGCAGTGTGTTACTCAACAATTATGGAAACCTCAATATTGAGTTCCGAGTGGCTTTTGAGACACTAGATGTCAAGTAGGTAAAGAGAACTGTAAAATAAACTATGAATCGTCATTAATCCGAACAATTATCCTCGAGAAATTGATAAAAAGCTTAGAACAGTTCGCGGGAACGAATCTCGAATGACATAACGCGTAAACCTCGCAACGAATTCCAAGACAGTCTCATTTACCGAAAATCATAGAAATAATGCTCGATGTGGTGTTGGGTGGATATTAGGCATCCATTGTGTCCGCCGCGGGAAGCATCCAACATCTAATCTAATGTGCGTGCGGGTCTGAATCCATATTGATGTTGTGTAGATGAAATGAGAAAATGAGCGTGGATTGTTTGAATGAAACAAGTCGTAGGAGCTCAAAATCTTGTCTCGAAAATGAATTGTACTTTACCACTACCAACACAACTGACAAGCATACATTCATCCCATCCAACACACTAAAATTCCAAGAAACCTACTATACTTCAACCCCCAAGTAAAAGAAACAAAAATCAAAGACCGTGATCTAACACCGCTCTCTCCACCCAATCAAAGCATCCAAGCCGTAACTGAAATCATGTGGTCCTGGAGGATCACGAAGCACAAACTTTTTGCTTTCGGGCACGCTTCGATCACACTCATAATAGCACTGTCCCAGGTACATCCATTGCAAGACTGGCAATGCCTCTAGATACTCGTCGGCGTAACTTTTCATGCGCTGTCTGTGGATGTCCCACCATAGTGACTGATGATTAGCCACCTCTTGCCGTGTTATGCTCGAATCCCAAACAAGGGGCTCCGGATTTTGGTTTACCATTTTATCATCGTAGTAGGAGTAGGGGCTCACAAAGTGACGATATGGGTTCGACGCAGGGTCATAGTCTTCGGATAGACGTGGGTATATATCCCGATGGAATGCGATCGCTTTGAGATATCGTAGTGGTCGTAGGGAAAACAATATTTCAGGGTGGCAGATGAACCAGTACTGTGCGCGTCTGTCGACACCGAGGCTGAGTTTTTCGAGCTGCTTGAGTTGGCTGATGTATTGGAGATGATCGAGAGGCATAGTCCATCCATCGCACCAAATACGGAGTGAGGTTAGGTTGCGAAAGGACTGCGCTAGTAATGGAAGGACGTCGAGGCCTAGTACGTCGTTGACATTCGCAACCATTGATTTCTCTGCTACCAGACTCAACCTGGTGATCTGATCATTGGATTTCAAGAAATCGACTGGTATGCCGGGTCGTGGGGCTTGATTGCCCGTGTACAAATAATCCTTTTTACTAGACCATTCGAAGCTTCTCAACTTCTCCATACGTCCAGCCTTTTCAAGGCTCTTAGCCCATATATCGTCATTCAGAAAGACGTGAACGCCGAGATCGCGGAGTCCTGGCGAATCTAAGAGACATTCCCATGTCCCATCATCCTCGAAGGCTACTTTCAGAAACAGTCTACGAAGCTGCTCGAAGTTTGGCCTCGGCTCCTTTTCGACAAGAGAGCATCTTGCATGCTCTGTGCCATAAGTGTTCCGTGCAGATATACTCATATCCCAGTAAAATGTTTCAAGTTTGGGAGATGCAGCGTCGATGAGTTGTTTGACTATTGGTTCAAGATAGTTGCTAGCAAGATTGTGAGGTTTCGGCTCATCCTTTCCTCTTACCCGTCTCTTGTAGGTAAAAGAACAATTAGAAATGTAGAGGTTTTGCAGTTGAAGCTTGATTTTAGACGGCCTGAGCCTTTTCTCGGTAGGCAGTAACTCACGCCTGATGATATAGTGTAAATAGCTCAGGCCAATTGTCCGGAGGGTTGGTGATAACATCAAATGAGATATGGTCTTGATTGGATTAGCTTGATAAATTCCGAGGGGAAAAAAGCTACGTAGGTTAGGTAGATTGGTGGGGTCGCGTAGTAGGGACTGAAACTCCCTTTCAAGCTCTTCTCTTACCTCTGGGAACCCTTCGACACGGTCTTGAATCAATATTGATCCTGAGTCAGAGCGCCAGCCCTGCTGATTCTTTGGACAAAGCCAGAGCCAATTCATATTTTCGTCTACCCTGAACTTAATGTGTCGAACGCATGGGCCTATAGACGGATAAGGCTGGTGGTCTTTTCGCAGCTTGGCCTCTTGGCTCATCAAAGATGTTAACTTGTATCTCGCTCTATTACACTTTGGATAGACGCCGCAGAACAGGCGAGATCGAGCAACCTGACAACAGTCCTTACTGGAAAGAGCGAATTTCCTAAGGTCGGCAAACGTGTCGATGTCGCCAATGATCTGGGTCAATACCTCCTGTGGCAGTTTAAGAAGTCGCGCGTTCGAAGTAAGGGTTCGACCATCCATCACTTCATCTGGGTATGACGGGCGAGGATGCGGTGGTAAACATGGCAGACCAGACCCATCGGTATGTTCAAGCAATTTCATGTCAATACCGGAGTAAGAGTCCATTTTGCAAACGTGCAGCGAAATTTAGCTATTGAATGCACAAATATCAGTAACCAATTACGGAGGAAAAGCAGTTTCAACTAACCCAGTACCGAAGACAGCTGCGTGAAACTAAGAACCAGAACTTGAGCAAGAGAGGAAGCAGCTTTATACTTCGGCTTCTTGCCACGTCTCAGACATATCTTTTCTACCGACGAAGTTCCATATCGCGGGGGTATTATACCTGGATTGCGCTTGCTCAATGGTATGGTCGTCTCATTCATCTTGAATATTGCCCTTTATTATCGTAACTTTCTTGTGTTTGTGTCGTCCAAACACAAACCCCTAATGAGGCAAGTGAAAGCGTGAAAGCAGTTTACCATGTGGACAAAGGCACGATGTAGCACTTGTAGCAGCACATCCGACGCGTATTTCCCTAAGTCGTGCGTATAGTGCAACAATGAACAAAGCGCATTGAACCTCAAAGGGGGCTAAGAGGAAAATTATCAATTACCGAAATCCTCCTTGATCCACCTGTTAACAGACTACCAACCCGTATGTGCAGTTTCAATCCAAACAAATAGTCTATCAAACGCCATATTATCCATCTATATACTCCGAAAGCCCGAAACCATTATATCCTCTTCACATCACTAGTCTCTCAAATCATCAAGAACCCAGCAACCACCAACGCAGCCATGACCGCACCACCCGAACCAGTCAACCTAGAAGCCGCGCCCTTGGGGACATTGCCCGTAGCAGCCTGTCCCAAGTACCAAGATCCAATATCTGTCAATCGTCCCTTATTATCTAACATCGCCGCGTTAGGACCGACATTCGAGACGTCTGAGCGGAAAGAACCGAAATACGAGTATCGCTCGACAGAATCGAGACGGTCAAAGTAGTCAGCGGACATATTAAAGAATTCTTGGGTGGGCTCGAGGTCGGCGTTGGACATTGCGTATTCAGTGATCCACATGGTTTTATTTGGGTATCTAGGAAGTGTTAGATCATGCGATTGGAGCCAGGTAAGGGCACTTACGCTGCAGATATCTGGCCCATATGACTTGCGAGACCTCCGAAATCACCGTACCAATGTGTAGGGAAGAAATCGGCAGTACAGTTGGTTCCGGCATCCTGACAAGCACTGAAGAAATTCACCAACCACTCCAGACCTCGCTGACTCCCAGTAACAGCCGGTGCGCCCGCTTTGATGCCCAATTTCCTCAACGGCTCAATTTGCGAGATCCAACTCGCAGCCGCAGAATCTGGACTCATTCCACTTCCTCCAGTCGAAGATTCTCCATCCGGTTCATTGAATCCCATGACATGTGTGATGTTTCGTCCGCCAGAAATCAGGTTCCTGACGGTATCGGCGAAATTGGTGGTTGCTGCAGACCAGAGCATGGGGACGAATTCGAATTCTTCTTGCGTTCGGTTCGAGTAGGTTGCGGATGGCGTGGGCTCGTAGTTGTAATACCATGACAGGTCTGAACCGGCCTCGACCCAGATCTGGTTATCGGCGACATGACCCTTTTTTGAGGGAACGAAGACGAGGCCTCGTTTGGAGGAGTCGCGGTAGGTTAAATCTTGTGCTGTTGCAAGAGACGCAAGTAGTAAGGCTGAGGTTGAGAGACGCATTTTCGCTTGATTGTTTTGAGATAAGGGAGTGTCTTGATAGAAGTGTTGTTGAACTCGTTCGTAAGATTTCGATCCGAATTTTCGAACCTCGTATTATCGAATTGACTCTTCCCTTGATGAGCCGTGTATCTTCCAACCAAGTAATATTCGTAGTGCAGCGACCTCGTAAAGATAGAATTTTCGGGGATTAAAAACAAGTATAAAACAAGGCAACGAACGAAACACAATGATCAGCGCGATCAAGATACAACCAACGAATGTGAAGAACCCAGAAAACCACTTTGAACGAATATCAAAGAGGGAGAAAAGAGAGAGAGAGAAAGTCAAAAGAGTAAGCTCCTAGCTGAGAAAAGCCATACTTACCAAGCGCGTCCTGCACTACCTTCGATGGTTTCGGTCCTGTAGCGGCTGTCTCCATCTTTGCTTGGAAGAGAAAGATTCCGTTTGGCACCGTCGACTCGGAATATTGATGTGGGTGCTCGAAGGGGTTTAGTGTCGAAGGGAGTGCGGCATGGCAGGGGCTCTGAACGGCTGAGGCGCTGCGCTCGGATGGCGATGTCTAAGATTTGGGATCCTCAACAATCTCTGGGAGTTGGGATCTACGATAGGGATAAGAAAGTGCTGACTTGTGATGTCATTTTGATTTTGATAAACGCAGTTTTAACATTGTTATCCTGTGGTTTTGGATTCGATTTTCTAGCACTTAAATCGTTTGTTCTCACTTTATTGACTCGTAGATAAGAAAATGCACAGTATCGGAAAGGGGTGAGCGTCGCAAAAGCGGCTTTTTCGGACGTTGCCTTTGGGCTTGGGCTAATACTCGGCAAGCCTTGGGCCAGTCCAAATATGGATCAACTCTATGCAGGTCATTAAATTGATGTGGATACTATCGATTTTGAAGCCTTGGGATTCTTGTTTTGATGTCGCCTTTGTGTAACTGTGATAAGGAAACCCAGGTTGAGACTGTTCACGCAGTTCAAGTCGAGAGCAAGTCGATAGCATTTTGTTCCATAATCAATGCATTTTGTATGCTAACGCCGTTGCCACAGCAGTAATATTCAAACCTCAATCTTTACAATTGCTCGTTAACAAACAAGCCAGCCATACCCTGTCCTGTACCAATACACATACTCGTCAACAAGACCTTCTTCTTCTGCCTCCTACATTCGCTAAGACCAGTAACGATCTGCCTAGTACCAGTAGCACCAAGAGGATGTCCCAAGGCGATAGCACCACCACGGATGTTCATCTTTTCGTGTGGAATCTTGAGAGTGTCTTTGCAGTATACGGCCATAGAGGCAAATGCCTCGTTCAGCTCGACAACATCAATGTCGTCGAGGGTCAAGTTGAATTTGGTAAGTAATTTAGGAATGGCGATAGATGGTCCAATGCCCATAATTCTTGGGGCAAGACCGGCGACTGTAGAACCGACGTATTTCGCTAATATTGGCTGGCCAAGCTCAATGGCCTTTGATCGTCGCATAAGAAGAACAGCGGCAGCTATAGGAGGATTAGTAAATGAAAGTGTAGAGGGAAAAGCATACTTACCACCATCAGTGACTTGCGATGAGTTTCCACCAGTAGACTTGTCGCCATAGTCTGGGAAGGCAGGTCGAATCTTGCTGAGAGACTCAAAAGTAGTACCGTATCTTGGACCCTCATCCTTTGTCAAAACAACGTCCTTGACCTCTCCAGTCTTGGGATCCTTGACTTGGGTAGAGATTGGCACAATCTCATCGTCAAACCAGCCCGCCTTCTGTGCCCGTTCCGCACGCTGGTAACTCTCAGCGGCATATCTATCTTGCATCTCTCGGCTAATGTGATAGTCATGTCCAACGTTTTCGGATGTTTGTCCCATAGGCTGCATACAGTCTGCCGCCTCTTGGTTCTTGAGAATTTCCGGATGGAATGGTCGTTCCAGACGATCACCACCAACAGACATCATCTCAGCTCCCATGGCAACACCAATATCAATACTGCCTGACGCAATCTGGTTTGCGATATCTTGTGTGGCCTTGAGCCCGGAGGAGCAGAATCGGTTTACGGTAGAGGCGGCTGTGGTATTTGGGAACCCGGCAGCGAGTGCTGCGGCACGAACAAGATATGCAGCTTTTCCTTCGCTGACCTGTGGCAAGGTGTTAAATTTATACCCAAAAAAGCGTTCGCAAACACATACATTTCCACAGCAGATATCTTCCACCATCTGAGGATCAATCCTTGACTTTTCAATGACCTTGGTCAATAGCGAGTAGACAAGGAAATCAAGCTGTGTATCCTTAAATCCTCCCTTAAACCCCTTGGCCAGCGGCGTTCGGATCGCGAGTGTAATAACGACATCATCTGCGTTCTTCGAAGTGCTATTCGACTACTATTAGCATGTGCTGAGAGAATATGTGAGGGGGTGTTTACATTGAAGACAACCCCGATGAACCTGGTGTCAGGTGCTTCAATATTGAGCTGAGTCTTTCCGTCATTGTGAATGTGTAGTAAATCTGCTAAATTTGAGAAGAAAAGTAGAGATTTCTGGTTTGCTTGATGGTAGTTGGGTTGTTGCTTCTTTTGAAGTGCTCGTGGCGGAGGAAATCCAATGTAGCTTACAGTTGCCGAGGCATCTGGACATGCCGGGTTTGCAGGGGAAAGAGGCCGAGCCGAGGTCACGTGTATTCGACCCCACGATTTCCCCTTCTTTTGCTAACCAACACCAACTTCCCTCGGACGGGAGACATCACAAACAAACTTCAATATCAATATCTTGTCCCTTGAGTACTTCCATAACATTCCGTTTGCGGGTCACCACAGATGCTCTTAAACTGGATGTGTAATGAGCACTGGCTATGGCCATGCCGCTTTGCTTCCCTTCTGCGACTCGTTTCTTATGCTTAGCAAGTTCTTCTAGAAATCGGAACTTTTACTACTGGTTTGAGTGTTAGATCCCTCTAGCTATAAGAACCTCGAAGTCACGAGTGGACAAACTAAGGAAAGAGCTCTCCACAAAATTTCCTCCTTTTATTCGCCTCTCATCCACATCACATCTCCTAGTGCTATCATTTCCAATCCAATGTATAACTCCGGCGTTCTTTTGCGAAGACCTGCGAGTTTTTATTCCTGAGAGACGCATAAAACTTCGTTTCTGGGTCAATCTCCTCGAAGAGAGTTACACTTCAAGGTGTCGCTTTAGTTCCCTTCACAGCGCTATATACCCGTTTGTTACTCTAGCCCTATTCTGCCTATTTTGCCGGCTCTTCTTAAACCCGACTCGTGGAGGTTGTTGTCAGATTTTAAAATATCAAATGATGATCTACCGCTAGGCCAGGTACTCTAATTATGTAGCCAATGGCCGCCTCTCGTCGGGCACTCATCTGCCCCGCTTAAGGAGTCGCACAAAGCAGTAAGCCGATTGCACCTATCAGGATCCATGCGATCTGACATAATTGTGATTTTCTAGTACAGATACGAGCTTCTTATGGTCAAATCTACCTTGTTTGTCTAACGGGTATGACGGCGATGTAATAAGAGCTAGTGCTTGTACCAGGAGGTGAAAGAGTATAAGTAGTTGCTGATGGCCGAGACTCAAGAATCTACATTGCAGCTTGTCTCTCAATCCAGTCTCATCCAAATCTCCTCGTCGACTTTCCAAAGATCAAATAATTACACCTCAAACTTGTAACCTTCGATTTCAGTACCTATCAGTAAAATGCGCTTCTCCAACTTCCTCGCTCTGGCCTCGGCGTTGCCTTTCACACTTGCATGCTACCGAGTTCATGGCCAAATTGCGCAACACACAAACACAGCAACTCAAAGTACGACATACCTCCCAAGTATCTTTCTCGAATTAGGTACCGAGAGAGTATGTGACGGTCACAGCGGTTTCGGTTCTGGCGAGGAGTCAAATCCATTCCAACCCGACTTTATTCCTGGCGGGGTCCCCACAAACTCTTCTTTCAGTGGACCATGGTCCGGCGCGAACTGCACTAAGCCCTACACGAATGTCGAGGTCAATGGGATTAATGGCCAAGTATTGGTCAGGGACTACGAGACGGCTTTCTGGATTCAACCGGAGCAGCTGAATTGGCAACAACCAGCGTCACATCAAGGATTGGCTGGAATTCCAAACACTTTTGCAAGTTATTGGACTTTTGACTCTGGGGATGTTCACTGCTAGAGGAAGTTGATGGAATGTTTGGTGATGGATTCGGGACTCGTCACTCCGGGGCTTTCTGTGGCTGTTGTCTTTACATTCGTTAGGACGAGACGCTGAGGGCAAGTCTTTCCAAAAATTAATGCTTCACAAGCTTTTTTTCAAACATACTACATAATGATATAATGTTACAAACATGAGCACAATTTGGACTTGGTCGGATCTTTTTTGAGCTCTCCCAGAGTTCTTCTTTTTTCCCGGTTAATTGCTTTCTTACTTGTGGTACAAAAAATAAATAGACACTGTCGTCTCGGTAGCTGGATACCAACACCCGCGCTAAGGAGAATGAAAAATACCACTACTATTCTATACGACGAACTAGAATTCAGCAACAACCTTCGCAACACCAGGAGTCAACCATCGCACTCTATCTCCAAATTCTCTCTCCTTTACGATTGCCGCTAAATCCTCCCCACCCTCCGTAAAATGCTCCCAACTTTCAAAATGCACCGGCACCATCACATCCGCCCCAATCTTCTCTACCAAATCAATCGCCGACCTCCCATCCATACTCATCTGCACGGGCCCAGACGGCATAGGCACAACAGCCTTCCCCAAATGCACTTGAGCAACTTGGATATGCCATTTCTTCCCAATCTCAACTAGTTCGTCGAGATACACAGTATCGCCCGAAATCCAAATCGCATTCGGAAGGCCCGAAGAATTGACGCCGAATGATTCTGTTTCGAGCACGAAACCTGTGACTTCCCCGCCGGGGATGTGTTGACAGGGTGTTCCTGTCATTTTGAATGTCGTGCCTCCGATAACTGCTTCGATTGTCTCCCAGGGTTTCAAAGCTACGACACCAGGTCTAGGAGCTAGATTCTTAGCTCCGTCACTGGTGGTGAAGACTCTACGGCCATCGAGCAGTTTGCGACCTTCTGGGTCGAGATTATCTGCGTGATCTTCGTGGCTTAGAAGGATGGCGTCAATGGGTGGTAGATCTTGAAGTTGTAATGCTGGGCCTTCTAAGGAGATGAGATGAGGTGGAGGAGGTATCTGGCCTCCCATTTGCGATGTTATGGCTTCGGGCATCTTTTGGAAGACATGTGAGCCGTCGTAGGTTGATGCGGGGCAGAATACTGGGTCTGTGAGGAAATTTATGCCGTTTATGTTGAGGATTGTTGTTGCGGCTGTGATGTGGGTGATGGTGATGGTGTTTTTGTTATTTGGAGATGCCATCTTGTGTGTGAGCGAGAAAGTCTATATTGTAAGGTAATGTATGAGCTACAGTTAGTATCTGATTAAAAGACGGTTGGGTGTATTGCTGATTTGCGACGGTGCTTCAAATATGTAGACTGCTCGATGCTTTCAACAAGTACACCAGACCACAGGAGCATAAATACTTCTTATGTCTTCAAACTCGATCCACACATTGTTCTCCAAGCTAAGTCAGTTGAAAAATGTTTCCGATAATGTTTCCGATAATGTTTCCGCTTACCTTCCCGCTTAGAATTCGAGATTGATTAAGATCCATGTCGAACTAGAATAGTGCGGTACCACAGCGGGATACCTTTTGGCATGATGCCACTAGTAGTACTAGGGGTCTAGAAATTGATTATCTCATCGCCGCTAAGATTGGTTATAAAGATCCACGGACGCATCTTTGATGCCGGAGAAACGTCCACTCTCAACTTCAAATTCGTAATCAGATATCTGGATATCCGACGGCTTACAAACATGTCTCTCACTCCTTCAACTCTGTATTACGCGTCTGCAATTATCAATCTTGCGACCATTCCGAAACACTTCCTCGTCGGTCAGAATCATGTTTCCAAGTCCATTGCAGCTATCCCTCCTACTCCGGATCTAGCACGAGGCAAATCCGTTGCAATGACTACCTGGCACCATTCTATGGGAATGTTGTTCGTCATTGGTAAGTCGATTATGCACTTCGCCATGTTTCATTCTGACTCGGATGTAGCGACGCTGAACTATAAATGGGCAAAGTCTGGTGGGCCTAGGAATATGGAAGATAAATTGGTTCTTTGGGGGATTACGGTGACTGGAACGGTTATTGGTTATACCTACTACAAAGTCAAGTTGTTTGCTGGATTGGGATGCCTCTGGGTTGCACCGTGGTTGAGTTCTATTGCTTTGCTGTGGTCATCTTGAAAATAAGTGTTGGTGAATAACAGTTGGTGGAGCGGCGGGCAATATTAGGTACCAGTACTCTGAGATAGCCACTTAGTAATTCGACTTCGGAATACAGCAACTGTAAATTTACATTGTAAAGTCCACGGTGTTGAAACATCCGAGGTTGGTGATGTTGCTAAGCGAAGGGATGGATCAGCATCATAGCCTAGCCGCATTTGGTGTCAAAATCCGCCAAGGCTCCCACCCCGCCGTCTGCAAGCACGTTGGCATGACGACGCCACTACAATTCCCAATAGGTACCTTTAGGCCCGCCACACCAGATACCCATATTTCTCCCGGCTATCCTATCTACCTTCATGATTCTTACCATGTCCTCGACTGACATTTACGATTTTGCGGTACTCCACGGCAAAATAACTTGAGGAGAAACGGGCTGCCTACTAGGTCGATCTGCTTACCTTCGACCCGTATGATTATGTGACTGGGAAGCAACAGGGGACGTGGTCTTACAAACCGAAATATCTCGGCCAACAGCGTCGGGTGTCATGGGTGGAAGTACGGATATACAAAGGAAGAAGTTATGAAGGTAAAACGGAAAACAGTCTGCAATGAATGCCGGACTAGGAAGTTAGGGGTATGTTCCTAGCATCGATTCCTTGGCGGGAATTATTCCCTATTTAGTACTCAGTCTGTCATTTCTATATCTAAAAATTGCTTAGTGTGATGGGAAAGAGCCTGCTTGCACGCAGTGTTCGCTTCGTGGGCGAGAATGTCCTGGATATCAGAATGATATCACGTTTATCCCGTACAAGCAACAATCCTTGGAGACCTCATATTCTGCAAAAGCCAGCCAAGGTACAGGAAGGTTGGTGGCATCAACCCTTGCCTGTGAACCTAAACTGCATCAGTTTTCGGTACCGACTCACAAAACACCCCCCCAACGATTGATAAACCTCGACGAATCTATTTCTTTAATTACAAAGCATTATGTTCCAGAGAAAGAACTCTCGCTCATGTCACCTGGCATTGATACCTCTCAGTCACGAATCTGCGGCTGTTGGGTCGAAGTACTTCCTACAATCGTCTCAAATGGAGAGAGTAAAGATAACGTTGTTCCATTGGCCATTAAGGCTCTATATCAATCCATCATCAAAAAAGATCGAATGGGCGAGTTGGACCCGGATTATACTGAATCTTATGCTGCTGCCCTCGCTCGCTTGAGAAAGGCACTTCCTGATTCGCATACTTCGCAGTATGTAGGGTTTGCTGCTGCAAGCATGTGCTTGACTTTATCAGAGGTATTTGTTCTTGCTAACTATGTCACTCTTGAAGCTGTGATAGCTGACTGGGGTTTTTGCAGGTTCTGTTCCCCACAACTACAGATGGCTGGCGGAGACATATCCAAGGAATCAGTGATCTGATGCAACTTATTGGTCCCGATGTACACAGATCTGGGGCCGCTTATAAACTCTTCGTTGGCTTCAGACCCCTACTTGTAAGGCTGAATTGATGATTTGAAATGGCGAATACTTATTTGAGTGCAATTATCAGGTCACCGAAGCTTTCATCGCTCGGAAAGCTACGTTTGTTGCCTCTCAAGAATGGATCAGTATTCCGTTTCAATTCAACACCGCCTCGCCAATGCAGACTCTTTTGAGCTATGCTACTATTATCCCCTCGCTACTCGAAAAGGCAGACTTTGATACGGCGTCGCCTACTACTGACGATATATGCGCCGAATTCGAGCAGGTGTTGTGTACTCTTCTTCAGTGGGAAAATACCCAGGTAGAAGTCGAATTCGGGAACCCTTACTGGGCGAAGGCAGCCACAAGCACTACCATTAGTAGTCACGGTAGCTCACCTTCCACGTTATTATGGTTTCCAAACATCCTTTTTGCAAACGCATTCACGCACCTGTGGACATTTCAGATAATATGTCTCTCCGAAATTGCCAGATTGAGAGCGGGAAGGACGGACACCTTGCTGTCGACGAAGAGCTCTCTTCCTAGCGAAATCATGAATGAGGATTATGTCTTTAAGTTATCAACCAAGATATGTCAGAGCATGGAATATCAGTTGCAAGATGAGATGAAACTATACGGACCAGCTTCGGTACTGTTCCCACTTCGCATTGCACGCGCAACGTTCGATTCAGACCCAGCTCGTCACCAGAAAGAAATCTCGTGGTGCGACGAGTTTGTAGATCAACTCAGGAGCAAAGGAATACACTTAGCTCCGTGAATCCAAACCTACGGCTTTTTATATCGACATCGCAGAAGTTCTTAATTCTCTAAATACAAAATCCGAGGAGTAATTAAGCAATGCTTGTTATGATATCTCTTTGGGCAGGATCCGTTTCACATCCGCCATTATGATGTCTCAAAAGGTTCATATGACTTGAGTATGTGGCATCTCCCATCCACTCACACCGTATGAGATTGGTGGTGTTTATCTCTCAGGAGCGTTCACTTCGATATTTTACCACAGTCCTCAGATTGCGGTAGACTGTTTTGCTACACTATAAACCCACGAAAGGCATCAGAGTTCAGTCCGGCCTAGCTTTTTTGGATTGTCCTGTTCTGAACAACTACACTCAACCTCATTTGAATTATAATCTGAAGTAGAATCGTCTTACCGTAATTTACCGAGAAATATCTTTCCGTTGGTGATAACACCACAATGCTTACCAAGTTGAAATCCTCTGCACAGGATCAGTTCTATCATCTGTCACTCGAAGGTCTACGCACGGCGACTATTTGAAATCATCCTTTGGGTACATCCAGCTTTTCACGCTATACCGCTATCGGTAAAATTGCCCGCCAAGGCTCAAAGTACCCGGCATTTTAAAAGTTATGGCAAGAGTGGATCAAAGCCCCCCGCAACGCAAGACGTAAGGGTGCGGGGAACTTGAGCTCTTGTGTTCCTCGCCTTGAAATAAACAGACCGAGGTATGCTATTGGTTAATCCATGATTTGGAACCATTCTTTATGGCAACCATATTCCACTCTTGGCCACATTCGTCCACGCTTTGTACTGCTCTCCTAGGTATATATATATCGCTCCAACTATTCAAAGAAACAGAAATTGACTACATTCTTCAGACATCATATCAATTTAATCATCAATCTTCTTTTAATTTCTCCAAACGATCTCAATCATGTCAGCCTTCTCATTCCGCAATGACGTCCTCGGCGCTCCCCGCTCCTCAGCATCCACGAGCGATTCCGTCCTAGTAATCATCGACGCACAGAACGAATACGCGAACGGTAAACTCGCCGTCAAGAACGTAGAGCAATCGCGAAAAGTCATTGGCTCATTACTAAACAAGTACCGAAAAGCAAACGGTAAAGTCGTTCACGTGCTTCACCAGGTTCCTGACGGAGCACCTGTGTTCACTCCTGGAAGCGATCTTGCTAAGGAGTTTGATGAGTTGAAACCGAAGGATGGAGAGCCTGTAAGCTTAATTGTGTATAGAATGATGAGTGCCGACTGAAGTGAATTAGACTATTCAGAAGCAGGTTCCTGGTGCTTTCACAGGAACGGATCTTCATAAGACTTTGGAGGGTTATGGGTTGAAGAAACTTGTGCTGACGGGTTACATGGTAAGAAACTGCCTACAAGTCTGATATTCTGGCTAAGTAACAATCCAGGCACATGTGTGTGTTTCGACGACTGCACGTGAGGGTATGCAAAGTGGTTATGATGTAGTGATTCCGGAGGATGCTGTTGGAGACCGAGCTATTCCAGGGGTTTCTGCTGATGAGGTTGTTAAGGTGAGTTGGATGCGACTTTATTTTGTTTTCTGGGACTGACCGTTATTAGGTTGCGCTAGCAGAACTTGGGGATGCTTTCGCTACTATTATTAAGAGCAGCGAAATCTCATAGAGGTTGATAGAACATAGATCTAGACTTTGAAAAATAGGATAGAGGCTGACATACTTTCCAAAACTTCAAGATGGCATCGGATTTGTCTCATCCACGCTACAACCCAAACATAATTATGTAGCCCTTCGTCTTCTAGCACAAAAATCGTTCCTTTTGCCGGTGTTAATGCCGCTTGATACCACTGAAAACAAAAGAATGTGAAGAATAGGATGTTCGTCTACATGAACAAACATATCTCGCAGGGGAAAAGAAGGGAATAGCCGACAACCAAACATTTTACACAGTTTTGTCCTGTACACGCAATTATAGGGTACCAGACAAACATAAGCCATATTTGTGAGTCGCTTTTCGAGAGGGGAAATACATGTCGATACTACGAGTCGTAATCACTGAAGAATTAAAGACCTAAAAAGGTATCATACATCGACTAGTAGATTGCATTTCTGCTAATAACTACCTTTCCGCGTCGGCCATGTAAAGGGATCGAGTCAATCATCACGTCGATCATAGTTATTCCTTCGAAATTGCTTTTGAGATTGTAGAGGACTTGACAGATTCCCGCTGTAACGAATACTTCATGATAATAGGGTTGCGTAGTTGACGTAAGTACTGTAATTCACAACGAACAAATGTACACCTCTTTGGGCAGGGGTCACAAGGTATATGCGAGCCTACGTTATGTGGACAATTTTTCTGACTCGAGCTTTGTTGGATGACCTCTCTGAATCAGGATTCTGAAGAGTACCACAGGTTCAAGGCAAAGGGGTTTGAGTTTTGACGCCGAAATTTCATTTACTGCCGATTACGAAATGTCGGAAGGATGAATATGCGATGTTGTTTAGAACAGATAATGAAAGATGGATATAGTTATTGAGATAAAGACTAAGGTCTATAGGGTATTGTGCAATTAATGCTAACAACTGTTCTTGTCATCTTCTTCTACTTGTATATCATTGAGGAAAGTTCATCAATTCTTGCTTGTTATAATTTTGTTTGGCCAGTTTAGCAATTCCAGACTTGTTCTAGAGTAATAAGTATGTTTATCATGATTGACACTTAAGAATAATTGCTGCTGTCATTTCATGAATTGCAGCCGATTCTTGCATATTCGAAAGCTCGAACTATTCTCGGTCTGTTTACCGAATTAGCCTCAGCGCCTTGCTGCTATTCTGGTTCTCTATAGTACCGTAGCTAAACACGCTGTAGCGAATATATTGTTATTTTTTTCTTAACGTAGAGGGAGTGTATTTGTGATAACGCTTTCAATCCCTGCTTTTATGATGTTAATTCTCTTCTATCTGCGTATTGCCGTAAAGAGTTAATTAATTAGATACAACATGCACAGATGTGCTATTTTCGGGGGTGCAATTGAAGTATTTCTTGCCGAAGATTTCTTTGGTGAACTAATTCCCACGTTGGATTTCTCTTTGTCCAATCTTCTGTTTATTCCTGCTTCGAGATGTTTTTACAACTTGAAGTGTAAAGAATAGATTAAGAATTACCCTTACTAGCTCTACCGTAGACTCTAATAATTTAATAACTAATTATCGTTTTTTTAGATAAATAAACAGGGCCTAGGAGAATCGATTAAATCAGTAAGACTGTCTAGGTAAAGACGCATAAGGTTCTAATCTAAGTGAAATAGGTACCAAAAAAAACGTCAAAATTCTTCGTACTCTACCATAAACTTATACCTTGGTTCAAGCCCACTATTGCGATATGACAAGATCATAACGTAGCGTGATAACTCCAGCAAACGCCCTGAATTCGATGCAAAAAGACATGCAATTCTTAAAGTCGCTTGGTTAAATACGAATTGCATTCCGAGTACTGTAGCATCATGATAGAACTGGGTTTAGATAGGAATGGGTTTAGGGCTGACTGTCTCCTCTGGTCGAGGTAGATGGTACTAAATTATGTAGGTGTGGCATGTACAGAGACGTCACAAGTGCATGCTTTGCAGCGCGGAGGAGGGTCGCTTGAGTGTTGGTCTTTCTATTTCGGTTGTCGTGTCCTGTTCCCCTGAGAGCTGAGGTTGGAGGTGAAAGCGGCGAGGGGGGGAATGCCTGTGAGTGAGAAATCGATGGAGCCTAGTGGGAGTACGTGGAGAGATAAATGATTGCCTGTTACAATTATTCAAAATGAAATGACATATTTAAAAGTTCTTTTCCTCTTTAATTTCACATCCGACTAATCATATTATTAAAGTTTTCTCGCTCATCATCATTATTCCCTCGAATCATCAACCGTTTGCTGCAAACAAAATCCCGCCGCTTTGATTCAGACGCCAAAGGATGAGTCAGCCCCTAACGATTCCTCCCCGTCACCACTTCGGCTCCTCTTGGCGTGCGCCGTTCGCAGACCTGACCTCACAATTCCGTTGGAGCTTGCTTGGTTCCAGACCGAAGCCAGCTATTGTACCTTAAGAAGATAGTTTTTTCCTATTGTCCACCTGAACCTCTTTCCGAACTTGCAGACATAACTTTTCAAGGAAGCTGTGCTCCTTTTCCTTCATTTGCAAATACTTCGACTTCTAGATAATAATTCACCGTGCTGTCGCGTGCTTGGAGCTGGTCGCCCGACCGCAGAGTTCCACCCAGAAAAAGTGAAGCTTCCTCCGACTCTCCCTCAATCAAGTACCTCCAAACTCCGCCTTGTCATCACCTCACTCCGCCGCACCACCCGGCCGGAAAGAGACCCAACTTCTTCTGACTGGCACCTTCTTGGTGTCGAAACTTCCTCCCATCGAAAATCCATTCTTGGTCGTCAACATGGCGCCCAGAAAAGCATCTAAAGAGTTCCCCTTATTGGAAGCAAATGGCTTGATGACCTCGGAAATCACAGGTGACGGTAAGCACACGCGACCCCTCCAACTCTCGCCTCGTACACAACGCGGCACATCGAAAGCTTCAGTGGCTAATGTAACATTGTTCTGCTATAGGTAATTGTCTTTTCAACGCATTGTCCGATCAAATGCACGGTCATGAAGGCGAGAATCTTGCCATCCGCGCCAAAGTTATTGAAGAGATGCGTGCAAACCCAGACAACTACAAGTCATTCATACCAGTCGATCCACGAGGACCTGGACGACGTAATCCGAAACGAAAGAATAAAGGGAGTGCATCGGAATCCCTACAAGAGACACCTACGGATGCACAGATCGAGGCGGCATGGCAGGACCATCTTCGTCGAATGTCCCAATCAGGCTGCTATGGGGATAATACTGAGCTCGTAGCCTTCACCAAAGCCTACGACGTGAATGTGGTGGTCTTCACATATCAATCGCTCATTTACCAGGTGAAGGCTGCGGAGGATGGGGTGAAGAGACCTATATTATACATTGCTCTTCATGTAAGCAGCCGTCAGGCTCAGTGTTGGTCTTGACTAATCTTCGTAGGAATTCGAGCACTATTCTACCGTACGAAAGATCGGAGGCCCATCGACCGGACCTCCCGAGATCACAATCGGTGACCCTGAAGCTCCCGCAGACATGAACGCCGGTATGGAGGGTAATACCATTCACAATTGGCAAGTTGATGTTGTTCAAAATTCTCTTCCAACGCCTGTAGAGGAATCTGTCATACGTCAATCGATCAAACAACATAAAGGAAACATTGACAATGCTGTTACCGAGCTTCTCGACTCGCAATATTACAGCAGCGCTCCTGGAACACCAGGTAATCTCTCGGAGTCTGGCAACTCGAGCTTTTTTGAGCGGGAACAGGAAAGCGAGGACGAGTATTCATCCTGCCGAAATAAACGAAGGAATTTCGATGGGGCTAGAGACGCGAAAAAACGGGTTCTTGGTCAACAGAACAAAGAGTTTGTATATGTACCTCTACCATCAGTCGAGGTGACTGCACCTGATGCATACGATTCGCGTCACCCTTCACCTGAGATTCCAGCAATCCAGCAGCTCAGAAATAGTAGCGACGTTGCCTCTATTGCCACCTCGGACGATGATAGCTATTCTGAATATACAGCTTCCACTCATAGCCGAGCACAATCGGTAGCACCAGGCACAACTCCTCCAAGGCCACGTATCATTCTTCACACAGCAAGCCAAAAGGCGAAGCTTGCGAGACAACGCCAGCAATCAGATAGCCAAGAACCTACCTCATCGGAACCATCGGAACCATCGGAACCCGTGACACTGGCAACAGCTTTAAGGGAGATGAAGAATATGTCGGCGCGAGAGCGTAAGGTCTACAAAAAAACGCTCCAGAAAAAGCAGGCTAGAGTGCGGAAGCAAGAAAAGATGCAATCCGATAGCAAACTTACCACAACTTCCGCCAACATCAAGCGTGCCTCTCCACCGGTGGACAAAGTTCTCAGCTTGGGCAAGCTTTCGATGATTCAAATTTAGATCCCCATTTTCGAATCACAACCCCGACACATATCACACACAACATCACCAACATCACACACACTTTGTATAATAAGAACAACTGTATATATGTCGCTGCATCGCATATGAGGCGTGGAGTTTTTGAGGAAATGGGAATCAATCATGGTCAACGTCGTTTTGGTCACCGAAGAGCTCGAGTGCCAAGGATATCCGCGGCGTTTGATTTGGCGTTTGTTCTGCATGTTCTTTCTTTTTTGATTAGATGGTTTTCATTGCATTTTTAGACGCATGGAACGGGTTTTCATTTCTTGGGCGGACACGAGATGGGATGGATGCATTGGGGTGCGACTTGTCGGGCAAGTACGCGGGATTCTTCATTCATGGTTCTTTTGGGGGGTGGCGATGTATTTTAATTTATTCGTCTGAATTGATTTTGGGACGGGTAGTGGAATGCAGGGAATTGAACCTTGGATTTTGTTTACCTGTGCTGGCTCTATGTCGAGTGATTGGTGAGGTGTGCCTACGGTGTCTAATGTGATCACAACGCTCTTGCAGTATATCGAAAAGAGATGGCAGGGCTGACCTTACTCTCCTAATGGCTTCAATCAAATCTCCATCTTGGTATCGCCGCAACCAAGTGCTCTTGTCTTAATTCCCTTATCAGGCAGACGGCAGCAGGATTTCCTTCATCCTTCATTCCAGTTCTCTAGGCATGTAAAGCGAACCCCCTTTTCGAACTCGCTTCAGATGGAGGCTCAAACCGACAGCTTTCGGTCGTGATGGGAATGGAGTTTACACGACAATCCATGCATGCGACGGGATTAAGCATAATCATCTCTAGCCTCGGAATTTCATGAATCGTGGTTCTACGTTTTTGATGGGAGAGATAGGTGTGCTGATGATTAGACTCCTAATGGGGAGGGGGTGTAAGGATTTAGGGGGGGGGAGAAGGGGGGGGTTGGCACGATGGATGAATTCTTTATGCTGGATGGAAAAGTTGGTGGATATGTATGGGAGGAAAGGGGGTTGTTTGTCGGCTTGATGATTAGGGTGATTGGTAAAGGTGTTGAAAACATTTAGATCTTTGAAATATGATGGTACTTAACTGGAGTAACACACCCCTGTACTGAAAACGAACGCCGTTCTATCCGACCTCCCAAGCCCCTTCCAGACCACTTAAGTCTTCTTTCTCACCAGCCGCCACAAACTGTGCTCCATAGTTATTTCAACAAATTTCCCCATGCCACGAGTAATGGGTATTTCGGTAGTGTGGTGCCGGCGCGGCGTGGGTTTTTAGTGTGCGCGTTAGGGGATTAAAGTTTAATTTTTTTTTAATGGGGAGAGTTGACGTCAGTTTAGTGTATTTTCTGGGGGGGACTCTAATATGTATAAGGGGAGGGGAGGGAGGTAGATGGGTTTTTTGGATTAGACCTTTTTCTTTTTGGGATTTTGTTTGGTTTGAATTGATAAGTGGGAAGAGATATTATTGTGTGTTGGATTTGATATTGAGGTCGGATTGGATTGGATTGAGACTGGATTTTTGGATAGTATTTTGGGGGATTGGGATTGAAGGGGATATTCTTGCGGTTTGGGATATATTATAAGGGATTAAAGAGAGATTGGAAAAGGATTGAGTGGACTTGCAAAGGGAACACTAATGGGGAAAAGAGAAAGACCCCTCGAACAAAACATGTCCCCATCACCCTCCTCCTCCCGAACAGAAACCATCCACGATTCGAACTCCTCCTCCTCCACCAACAACCGTACCTCCAACTCTCCAAACGATGGACAACACGAAAACAGACCCTCCACCCCGAAATCCCTCCTCCTCACCCACGCCTCCCACATAACATGGAACTACTTCCCCCTCACCATGTCCACCCTCTCCCTCAGCGTCCTCCTCTCCAACCAACCCTTCACCTTCCCCTCTCTCCTCACCCTCGGCACCATCCTCTTCGTAACTGGTCTCGTCCTCTTCGTCCTCCTCACCTTCGCCATCCTCATCCGTTTCTACACGCATCCAGGCGCATTCGCGAATTCCCTGCACCATCCCACGGAATCCTTCTTTGTCGGGTCCTGGTGGGTGAGCGTCGCGCTGCTGTTGAATTGTATACAGAGCTACGGCGTGCCCTCCAGCGGGCCGTGGCTGGTAACGGCAATGGAGGTGTTATTCTGGGTGTTCATAGGCGCCGCCATCCTCGTCGCCGTCTTCCAATACCACGTCATCTACGAGCGGGAATCGCTGTCCATTCAAGACGCGCTGCCGGCATGGATCCTCCCCGCGTACCCCTTCCTCGTAACAGGAAATCTGGCGGGCGCCATCGTCGCGAGCCAGGCCCAGGAAGCCGGGTTGCGGATTTGGATTGCCGGGTTGACGGTGCAAGGGTTGGGGTGGATGTTGGCGATTTGGATGTACTCGGTTTATCTGGCGAGGTTGATTAGTGGGACGTTGCCGGAGGAGGGGGGGAGGCCGGGGATGTATGTTGCTGTTGGACCGGCTGGTGAGTTCTCCTAATTTCCTTTATCCAATCTCTGAAAACGATATAGAGATACTGAATACTAACGACATATAAAGCATACACCTCAGCAGCCCTCGCCTCCCTCGGAAGCACCTCCAAAAACCTCCTCCCCAACTCGCACTTCGCGCAATCCCTCTCCTCAACCCTCGCCCTCCCCCCCACCACCATCGCAGCCATAACCGCGACCCTCGGCCTCCTAGCAGCCATCTTCACCTTCCTCATCGCCTTCTTCTTCTTCCTACTCTCAACCCTATCCATCCTGCGCGGCGTCCGCAAGATGAGCTTCACGCTCAACTGGTGGGCGTTCATCTTCCCGAACGCCGGCATGACGATTGCGCTACTGGCTATCGCGGAGCAGCTGGGAAGTAAGGGGATGCAGGGGGTAGGTGCCGGCGCGACGGTTGTGTTGGTGGGGATGTGGTTTTTTGTTGCGGGGAGTCATATCCTGGCGGTGGTGAGAGGGGGGACCGCGGGGTTGGTGCCGTGGGTTGGGGGGGTTAATGGGGAGGGGAGGGGGAGGGGGAAGGCGAGGAAGAGGGGGAGGAGGGGAGAGAGGGAGGTGGATGATTAGGGGAGATGTGTAGGTGGGTGGATTCGGTGTGAAGATCTCTAAGAGATTTGTATTAGCGAGGTGTTTGTAACGGGATAGAGCAGAGATATACCTACGGATACAGAAAACTCGAAAGCGTGACTTACTAGATCAAAAATATCAGAACACAGAGACTACGAGCGTATTTCTTAGTACATTCAAAAACAGGCGGGTTTGATGCTGATATCGAAGCCGGGTAACTATTAGGATCTATCTACATTAGCCAGGTATATAAAGCTAGATAGCTCATCATATTAAAAGGCGACAATCATAAATACACCATGAAAAACACGCACATACCAACACATCTTACACGAGAAGTCTAGAGCTCCATAGCTTATCTACTGGTAAACCCTTTTATGGCGAGAGGGCTTGTTTCGAGTTGCCAGGCATCTATTGCGAGATTCGTATTAGCGGGGGTGTTTAAGATATGGGGTGAGGGGATAGATATACTTCCCACTCACTCACTAGGTCGAGTCGAGAAGCTCAAGATCAAGACGCACGCTTTAGTCGGACTTAAATGTCGCACAACCCTTCCAACAGCGCAGAAGCACGAACGAGTGACCCAAACCACATAGAACGCCTAAGCTCCGCCATAATGAAGGAGAAGAAAGGATGTATGTTGAAAGAGCTGACACATGTTAGGGATAGCCAAAGACTTCTGTCGACAAAAGAAAAGATTGGCGAAAATGACCCTTTTCCACACGGCAGAAACATCCATAATTAGGCAAGTGATAATGGTTCTGAAAATTGCAGAGCTTCTCGTTTAGACAGAAAAAAGAAATCTTCTTAGGGGTTGATAACACCAGTCGAGAAATGAGAGGGTGGAGGTTTAGGTATGTCGCCGATTCCCGCAGACGCAAGGTTTCGAATCAAGGGAAGCATCTTGGGCAAGTGGGATGAAGAGTGTTGTGAGTAAGTTTTTATACCTTCCCTGAAAAGAAGAATGTGAAAATAAAAAGTCAAACAAAGGACTGCAGAAATAAGGACATGAAGTCAATGAAATATCCATTTAATGAAATAGTAAGGACAAAGCAGTCCTAGGCAGCTTCTTAACCCCGACCCAAATCCAGGTATCTCCCCAAATGAAAAAAGTCAGAAAAACCACCGCATCTCATAACTTACAGATTTTCCCACCCCATCCCATTAAGAAATCCATCAAACAGAAATACCGCCAGATTACCACCCGCTTTCTCGACTTCCCCAAACACCAAATCAGGCATCTACAACCCATCCCTCCTCTTCCGATCCGGCACAAACTGACCCTCCAGACTCTCCCCAGGCCCACTAGTATAACTAGGCGGCGCCTGTCTCCCATACCCGACCACATCCGGACTATCCCTTCCCCCGGACATGCTCAACTGATCATTCGCCAACCTCGACTGCGCCGATTCCTTTTGTTTCCAATTCTCAGGGCCCGGCGACCCGGTTCTCGAGACTTGAGGTGAGATTTGTCCGCCATCACCACCACCAACAATGAGATCACCACCGCCGCGGACTTTACCAACGACCATGCCTTTGGCGACGGATTTGACGATGGCTTTGCGGGAGACACCTGTGGCGTCGATATAGACGAGTCCGACGTTTTTGAAGCCCCCGCCGACGCTCTTGGAGACTTCGCCGGCTTCGGCGCCGTATCGGTGGCCGACTACTGTGGTTGCGGCGGTGGATGTAGAATTGAGAAGGTTGCGGCCTGCTTGATCGATACCGTCTGCGATGGTGGAGAACGCCATGAGACTTTTGTTCAGAAGTCCTGGTTTGTATGCCTCAACCGCTTGACCATCCGGACCGATACCCTTATGAGCCTTTCCGTTGCCTCTCTTCGAAAGAGTTGCACCTAGGTTCTGTGCATATTTTCCAACTTGTCCGACAGTTTTGGCGGATAATCCAGCTGCACCTTCGGTGAAAGTGTGGACTTTACGAATACGTGCGTGAGCGGAGGGTGTAAAGGTCATGGGTTTGGCGTTTGGTTTTGTCTTTTGGGTGAATGAGTCTGCTCCTGATTGCATGGTCTTGGAGACATAGCCTGCGGTCGTAACAACGAGACGAGATGCCATGGCTGCTTTGGAGACGAGTGTAGAGTTTTTGTAGGCTGGGTGCATGGCCATTTCTAGGTATTCTTGAGATGCTGGTGCAACACCAATATTTTGGGAACCATCTTGTGGAAGGGTGATTTCTACTGGATCTAGAAATGTGAGTAGACTGGTTCGTATAAAATAGGTCAAGCATACCTTTTGATCCTGGTCTCATTTTACTATCCTCGACAACATGGAAACCTTCACCAAGTTCCCCCAAAACACTTCCATTTTCCTCATCAACCAAAACAATTTGACCACCACCAGCGACCGATTGAGAGCTTCCAGGAACATAAGCCTCTCCAGGTTTGAAATTTCCAGGATCATATGCCGGAATGGCTGTATCTCTATTTCTCTCCTTCTCCTTCTCCCCTTTCGATTTGGATGCCCTGGAGTTTCGCGGTGGAGCCGAACGTTCCAAGAATGCAGTACATTGCGCTAGGATCGTTTCAAATGTATCGACATCTTCCTGCGAACCTCCATTTGCAATTCCTGGAAACTCTATCCTTGTGAAGGCTCCGCTGTCTGGACCTAGATCCCATCGTGGTATAAGGTAGCTGCTTGGTGGTTGATGATATATTTGTGTAGTCGCAGGTAGTGGTAAATCTAGAGCTGGAGGAAGATGGAGGTGAAGGTAAAAGTCTTCTTCGGGGCTTGACGACGAAGGATCTGCGGAAGAAAGGCCGGAAAATGGCGAGGATGTTGGCACCATCAAAAGGGATAAGGTTTGGGAGCCCGCTGGAGTGAGTGATTCCTCTTTGCCATTTTCAATATGGTAAGCGTTTATGCCGTTGATTGCGTAGAGCAATTTGGGATCCTACAGAAGTTAGACTGAATATGTTCATGGCGGATGCGATTGAATTCTTACATTATGACCTGAAGACATGGCGCCTTGGCTGCAAATTTGTGTCTGCTTGGAGATGCGGTTGGTGGGGGCGGGGTGTTTGTTCGATTGTGAGCAACAGGGAAACAACACAATTACGATGAGGGATATCGTGAGCGGAGGTGAATATGTAAAAGAGAAAGATTAAGAAGAAGACAAGGAGACGCGACAACTTAACTGGAGCAAGAATAGCATCATCTAACGTATGGGGGGCGGCTATCAAGATCTCATGTGCGTTTCAAACTGTTGGTTGACAGACGACCAATGGCAGTGACGTAGATGCGATGCTGCAACTCTGCTTCACCTCACACCTGCACTCGCCAACCACAGCGTTTGCCCAGGTGATCTGTGGCTAGTGATTGTGGCGGTGCAAAAGCCATTTGAGGTCGCGCAAACTCAATTTCCAAGCTAATCCCATGAGTTAGTTGTAAGATGATTCCATTTGGGAAACTCGAACCACGATTGTGGCAACTCATCATGCAACCGTCCTTTATCGGAACAAGCTTGAAAGGAAGATAAATCCAACGATCGCCGTCAGCGCTGATATTAAGCTTAATCGGAAGAGCGATGGTGATCAGATGAAGATGTAATAATAGCAGCTTACCTCCGCTATCAGGTGTTCGCGGCCTTATTAATAGCCAGCGAGGAAAGACTTGTCGAACACGACATCTAAGACTCCTCAAATAGACGCAGGCGCATGGAGCGGGTAAGAGACGATTATTTATCTGGGATAATTGCCGCACTTCTTATCCCTTGGGTCGGTGATGAGAGATGTCCGAAAATACACATTGGCTTCGGATTCGCTCCGATGTTTCTTTTGGCTATGCATTCGGGACGTTGGCGGCGTCATTTGTATTGCCCTGCATTTCATTTTTGAGGGAGATGCTGTGGGAATGAAGAAGACCTAGAAGTAACTGTCTGCCTCAAGACAAGTAGAGGCACTGAGGCACTCTACATCGGGCATCCCCCTCATGTGTGATGCAGACCTGGCTGATCCATTTCCCGTTCTTTGATTCTCGGTCAGGCGGTGTGATATATTCGTTTTGGAGGTTTACACATCTCCACTGTTGCACGTCAGTCAGGGCGTCAATAATCAGAACCACATATCGTGGGGATAACGGGTGTGCTACGTTGGGTTGCCTTTGCTGACATGATGAAAGTACAACACGATTCAACCTCTTGCCTTTGCTGAGTCTGCTCAAATTTACAACTCGCGTTGTTCATTGTGAAGCATGAGACCACGGCTGGCAAATACCCGAAGCCATAGTATGGCGAACTTATTACAAAGCAGAGTACGGTCGTAGATGACTTTTGTTTTCCCACGAGTGACTTTCTCCGCTTCCCCTCATCAGGTGGAAGACGTGCATTGGTGTCGGAACATATGTACCTTTTCATTGGGAGATGTATACGGGCAAGCGATCCGTGGTGGTGTTTTCGGTTTCTCGGTGGTCTGTCCGACAACCCCTATCGTCTGGACAAGCGAGCGACTCCGACCCTTCCTCCAGACCAGATACAAATGTGTTCCGGCCAGTCTGACCCGATTCGTATTTCTACGGTATCTCTGTATGGGTACTGCCTCCAGATCTGGCTTGAGTCATGTGGAGTGTCGCTTACCCGACCACGAATCGAGTTGGAAGAGTCTATAGCTAACATTCTGAAGTGGTCACGTACCACTTCTAATAGTTCCTGAGTGCTTCGGACAACCGCAACATAGCATGTCCCAGCCTGGTTAGCTAGTGACAGAGGTCCAGAAGGTCCATTCTGCGGTACAGTAATACCTCCCCATACCTCCTTGCGTATCATCTTTCATTTCTCCCACCCTCCAAGCATCGATATTTCTGCAGGTTGTCCGATGATAATGCAGGGGCTAGTGGCCGACGCAGGCAAGACAAGGCGCAGTAGCCGCTGGCCATTGTTGGCCAGGGTGGTACATGGGAGTCAATATTGAGCACAACAGTTGATGGGTTCAAAGCTGTTGCTACTGGAGAGACTTGGAACAGTACTCCGAAAGACTAGCATCCTTCCACTACTGTCGGCGGCTCCTTTCGGTACCTGATCGGTACATGTGTTGCGTACAAAGGCACTGGTGAGAGACGGACAGAACGATTGAACACGCGGCGGCAATAGTAGCATGCGGAGGAAAGACGGGAGATGTCGCCTCATCCGTTGTTCCCGTGCTGATGGAAGAAGTTGAGCGAGCATGTCCCTCGATTGTCGGCAGTCTCGCCAATTTTCGCCTGGCAGCATCGAGGAGAAAAGGAGAGAGAACGCAACCTGAAAGAGACAAAGGCCTGTTCAGTTTCCAACCTTCGGGCCGCGGATGCACACCCTCACCAATAGAAGGGGGGTCCATTGAAAGGATGTCCCGCTGGTCGTTGTTCTGTTTTGGGGGTGACTAGTGTCAGAATTGGGGTTGGTTTGCAGGCTTGCCGCAGCAGCTTTGCCAGCTTTTTGGAGAGAAGAGAGCAATGTTGCCCGGGGGTACGAAGACGAGACTGGAAAGCGGCGGTGCTGAGTGGGATGTACTCGAGTAACTTGTGGGGAAGACGGTCTTTGGCGCGGGTATTGTTGGTTTTGACGAGGAGATGGTCTGGGTGAGGATGGAGGGGGGAGGGGGGAGGGGGAGGTAGTAGTTGTCGAAGGATAGAGATAATATTGCAGGGGGCTGTTAAATACAAACAACCAAGAAGAAAAGGATAACACCCGCTCTCAGATATCGCAAATGTTCAAATCACCGTTCTTGTACCTCCCAAGACCAAGAAGGAGACCTTCATCCAAGCCTCTCCGAACGAAGTGAACTTAACCTTATTGTTTCCCGTCTCCATGCTCGGCTACGGCAAGTCATCGCCGCTTTCTTCACCACACCGTCTTCAGGCCCGTGCTCTCGCAATCCAGGCCACCAGACGGCCCTTGTCTTTGGTCCGCCTCCACCTGGACTGGAAGCAGCACCAGCATCCAGCAGCGCATCCAGCCAGCAGCCATTGCCATACGAGCAAAGCAACCACGTCCAGCCATCAATCAGCCCTCCCCTCAGTCGCGACTTTCACTCTTGTACTCCCAACTTATTTTCTGTGATCAGACACTCTCCATCTCGGCCACCAACACTTCCCACCACAAGAACAAAGCAGACGAACATCACCACACCTCCTCCTCTCCCTCCCCTCCTCCGTCTCTCCTCGACACCATCCTGCATTCGAAACCCCCGCCTTCAGACCGTATTTCTTTGCGGTAGCCACAGCCTCATCTACTGTATACTCGTGGGAAGCAAGCCGGCTACGTGCAGCGGCAGTGGGACAGACAGCAATTCCCACATCTCCCAGCCAGACTCCTGCAGCTCGCCAGATCCTGAACATTTGTCGATGGGCGACACCGTCTTTGACGCCTCGAAAAGATCTTCATTCCATCACCTTCCAATTGCCCATCCGTCCTCAATTTCCGGGTCTCAAAAGGACCCTAACCGCCACCATTCCCTCTCCGCATTCTCTCGCTGCGATTCTTTCGCCCTCCGCACCAAGTGAAGATACCACCAATTCGACGTCGCGAGCCTCGACACCGAAGCGCACCCACGCCGAAGCCTTCTCCGCCGAATTGGCCTATCTACATCCCACATCGCCCACGCAACACCGAGCCAGTATTGCCTCGGTGAGCGCGCCGAGCCCAGGCTCTAGGGCGCCAGATGATGGGAGCGCGGGTAGCACAAGGAGTTTGGAGGAGAAGAAACCACAGAAAATGGTGAGATCGAGCATTGCATGTGTGAAATGTAGGAGGAGTAAAGTCAAATGTGAGTTAAAAAAAGATGTTGAGTTTTTGGATAGACTTGGATGGCATGGTCGAGCAACTGCGGCGCATTGACGAGGTTGTGACAAACCCAAGAGCGACCGCGTTGGGCAGGAATAATCGTTCTTCGCGAATGCTTGGAAAAGAAGTCCAAATGATTGCCGCACCTAGTCAAGATTGGATGTAGACGGCGCAAAGTGCAAGCTTTATATGTTAAGTCACGACAGTCATGTTTTGTGTGGGACATTGGGCGGCGGCATTTTGTTCTCGAAAAACGGACCACAGATCAAATAGCAGCTACAGTTTCGAGCTCTGGAACGATCCGCCTAGAAAATGACTGACTTGTCTGTTAGGTGTCAACACTGGAGTAAACTCGGTTTGTAAATCGTGCGCGCAGAACAACAGAGAATGCACTTATCCAGTAGCTGGCTCCATGCCGACGCCGAAACGGAATGAAGCCTCAGCTGGAATCAAAATAGAGAAAGGCGAGGAAGGAGAGAGCAAAAAACGTATACGCAAGCAAGCCGAGGACAGTGTGAGGCGTAATAGCACGAGAATAGTGGATGGTCCACTGGACTCACCTGTGCTCAACAAGAAGGTTTGGGATGAGCTTTACGCGATATTCAAGCTTCACTTCTCCACTGAGATGCCATTTCTTCACCCACCCTCATTTCGCATCCGATTCAAGCAGGTCGCCTATCCTCGGGATCCTTCAATTCCGTCATCTGAGATTCAAGAAGGAAAACTACTCCTCTTGGGCGTTTTGGCACTCACGGCCCGATATCACCCAGAGCTTGAAGCCCTTCATGGAGGTCCACTCAATGCGAGTGAGTACTACGCAGAAGCCTTACAGGCTGCTTTGGCCGGACCGATTAGTAAAATCTTTACGGTTCAATCTCTTGAGGTGATACAGGCAGCGCTCATGCTCTCTTTGTATGAGTGGGGTCAGACCAGAGGACTGACCGCCTGGATGTATGTTGGTAATGCCATCAGACTAGCACAGTCAATGGGTCTGCCCTACGAGGATGATACTGGGCCACAATCGAACTCATACCCAAAAAATGATACACACAAAAACGGCACTGAGAGTGAGATGATTACAGATAAAGAAGTCCGACGTCGCACATGGTGGAGTTGTTTTGTTATGGATCGTATGCTTGCGGCTGGCAAGTGTAGGCCGACCATGATAGATGTTGACAAGTTGCGAATCCAGCTACCATGCTCAGATGATCGATTTCTGTTCAAGAAAGCAACACGGACGGATGTCTTAAAAGCGAATTTCAAGCGGGAAGGCACCGAGCCCATCAACAATGAAGGGGTCCTAGGATGGTACATTCGATTAGTTGAGATCTTCGGAAGATTTTCCGTGTGGAGTTATTCTGGGGGAAGAAGGACAGAAACTCAACCACCATGGCATCCTTCTACCACCTTTTATCAGATACGCACGGATTTGGAAGAGTTTCATCATGCACTACCGCCAAGTCTGACGTTTACGCCCGAAAATCTGTCTGCGCATATCGAGGGACCTGGCGCCACCGCTTACGCCTCGCTACATACGCTGTACCTATTGTGCTTGATCATGCTTCATAGAGAGTACTTTCCCTTTATCCCGCTGGCCTGCAAAGGACCAAATGGGCCATTAGACGAGCCGACCTTCTCACCATCCAGATTTCCGCCACCCCCAAATTTCTGGAAGGACAGCGCAGAGACGGTTTTCAAAGCTGCTAGAGACATTATTGAGATTGTGACAACTCTCAGAGACGACGACGCTCTTCCTCAATCAGCACAGATAGGATTTGCTATTTTTCAAGCAGCTTTCGTTTGCCTGTATTCGTCCTATTTTGAGCAGATGGATACTGGCCGTTATGTACACCCAGGAACGAAACATCGCAATAAACGCTGGACTGATACCGCAGCTGAACTTGTTAGAGACATGGTACCACGGCTATCAATGATGAAGAGATACCAAGAGACACTGCAGAAGACGGGAGAGTTCTTCGCGAACGCCAGCAGTCAATACCACAATCACATCGCGGGAGGTGAGAAGCCTGCGAGTTATTCTGGCGGCGGGGCAGATCAATACAAGTCTCGTGAAAGGGATCTTAAAGAGTATGGAGGCCTCTCCGATCCAGCAGATAGGAGATCCAGAGCGAGTACCGACGATGCGACAGCCAGTAGCAACGGAGATGCAATGGTGGGTGTTGAGACGCCAAGATCAATGGGTTGGCAGACTGTAAATATGCCAGACGCAGACGATCGTTTAAAGTACGAAGTTTCTCTAGGATATGGTGCACAGTCAAACAATTACCCTGTTCAAGCTCATCAAGCACATCTGGTAAACAACGGCCATCCGGCCCCTTTGCTCAACTCACCATACGGCAACGGTGCAACTCCTCATTACTCGCATACTCAACCACCACATCACGCGACCTCTTACCCCACGTCCGTCGCTCACCATACTTCGCAACCTGGTATGGCGCCTCCTCCCCAGCAAAGCGGCATATGGCCCATTGAGAAACAATTGGACTGGACTAAGCATCATCATCAGATTAACTTTTCCAGTGCATTTGACAATTTTGGTCAAGCCACGATGATGGTTGAGGATGATTGGCAAGGCTTGCAGCCTACCAATTATATCCAGGCTATCCATAATGTGAACGGGTGGGCTCCTGATCGTGTTCCGTCGCCCTCACATTCTACGAAACGGAACGAAGCAGGTTACGTGCAAACTTGATTGGAACTGTTAGGTTCTAATCACGGTCATTATAAGGTCTTTGGGGTTGGTTATTTGATTCGTATACCAGTTGGAGGTCTGAATACGGGAAGGCTATAGCGAAGCATGCATTTTTTTGTAGGAGGTACTTTTGGGTTTGTTGGTTATGGGCCGCCTCGAGCACAAGAGGTTGAGAGGCTTGGTTGATGGATGTGGCAGGTATACCCAGCTAGTTTGATATTTACATACAAGAAGATGATGTTTTCTGTGCCATATATGTCTACCAAGCTACACTTGAAATTGTTGGACGTACACCAGACATGATTGATTTCTTGAATCATGTGACTCAGATTTCTATCGCGTCAATCCCCGCTAAAGGTCGCGTCGTATCAATCGCATGTTTCTTTCCCCCTCCATATCTCCCTACCAAGTTCTCAATCCCGTCCAACAGAAAGTCGCATCAACGAACGAAATGAATTAAATGTGCCGCTTGGAATTACTGGGCTCCTTTATATTACTATTGAAAAAAGGGAAAGGGAAGAGAAAAAGAAGGCAAGGAAAGGAGTATCAGACGAGGGGTGGGTTGCTTGCGCCTGCAACTGCGGGAAGTGACACGGTCTTGACCGAGGAGCGGTGTGTTAGAGTCGTACGGGTGGAATCGAACAGGTTAAAGAAGTGTGAGAGGTGAGGGGTGTGAGGGAGGGAAAGTCGGTGTCATACTTCGCGAATTGCCTCTTTGGTTTAGTGGAAAGGTTGAGGGAACGTTTGTACCTTGCTAGGCCCAAGCGATTCCACAGATGATACAGAAGATATCAGCGACCGAATCATGATCCACGAAATCCTCCTCTCCCTCTCAGGTCACCCTTCGCCGCTCCTCACTTCCTCACACGACGATCCAACTTCCATCCTCTCGTCACCCGAAAAAGCCCTCCTCAAAGACCTTGCCCACCTCAGCAATCTACATTACTCTCTCCGCAGAGACACCCAGATAATCGTCGACAAACACCCCAGCGTGACCTGTCAAGCCGTCGCTACATCCATCCGCGCCGACATCTTGGGCGCCTTCCAGCGCAAAATCCTCGAGGTCGAAGAAGGTGTGCTGAAAAGGGATGCGAAATGGGTTGGTGGAGCAGATGGGAAGGGGATTGGTATTGTGCCGTTGACGAGTGTGGTTGGTGAGTTTAGACCTTGGGTCAGGAGGCTGGAGTGGTTGCAGAAAAGTATTAGGTTTATGAAGGGGAAGACGGGAGCGCAGACGATTGATTACTTGGTTGGGGAGTGTAGGACTGGGTATGTGGATGTTGAAGAGGTGGCGTTGGGGTTGGTGAGAACAGCGGAGATGGCGTGGCTGAGGTTGTGTTCGGGGTGGGTTTTGTATGGGAAGTTGCCTGGATTTGGGAGGGAAGACTTCTTTGTGCAGAGGGTCGGAGGGAGTGTTGAGGTATGTGTATTTGGCGATATTGCTGGATTATACTGATGGTTGTAGGAGTATGAGTTGAAGAGGGAATTACTACCAGCATTTGTGTCGAATGCGACAGCTGGGTCGTTGCTCTTCATTGGGAGATCGCTGAATCATATTCGAGTCAAGAGCGTCTCGAGGGGGATATCACCAGAACTCGATTTGGTCACGAAACATTTGAAAGAGCTTTCAACAGTTCAGTTTCCAATCAACAGCGCCAATTTCTCAAGGGTCATTGCATCAATTCGTCTCTCATTAAGTCAAACTACACTTCAGAAGCTTCTACCGACAAGCAAAGTTATTGAAGTTTTGTCACTACTACGCGATTTCTTCCTCCTCGGTCGTGGAGAATTTGCAAATGCTTTGATTAATGAAGCGGACGAGAAGATCCGCTCTAGATGGAGGAGAGCGGATAACATTGGTTATGAGAAGCGAGACGGATTGAGTAATATCGTTGTAAAAGAAGGCGAGGTCTCAGCAGTTCTCTCTAGAACTTGGGCAGCCATGGGCTCTCTACAGGGAAGACATGAGGAGCATGACGAAGATGAGCTGTTGGAACTTGCTCGAGATTTGGTTCAGCTGAATATCATCAAACCAACACCTTCGAAACCCACCAACAGAATCGCGGACACACCATTTGCAACCCTCCTCCTTTCCGTTCCAGTTACACTTACTATGCACATCCCCTCTCCCCTCGATCTATTCCTTACATCCTCAGACCTAACCACTTACTCCGCAATAAACGCTTACCTCCTCTCCATTCACCGCGCCCACCTCCGTCTCACCGACCTCTGGAAAATCACCACCCTCCGCCGCGACCACCCCGCGCCTCCAGGCCCACCATACGGGAGTTCCAAATCCGGAAAGGCCAAAACCAGGGTCCTACGAGAAAGAGCCAGAGAAAGGGGACTAGTAATGCGAAATGTGTGGGCGACGAGCAGTGCAGCTACTTTCTTTCTGGGAGAGACAGAAGCCTGGTTACAGGGTGTGGTCGGGGAGAGCTGGACGGGCTTTGGGGGATGGGTTGGTGGGGAGGTTTCTGAGGCCGTAGAGGAGGGGGATAGTGATGATGATATTTGGATTTCGGCTGGGAAAGTCGCGGCGTCACATCCTCATGATCCGCAGACGCTCACGCATGCACATACCCGCTATCTCTCCTCGCTCGCCCATGATCTCCTCCTTACTACCCCGTCCTTTACGAATGCGCTGTATACCTTACTGCAACAGGTCGATCGACTCGTGGGACTCGTGTACAGACTGCAGAGTCTCTGGCTGGCGATGGATTTAGAAAGTGACGAGGGCGTTGTAGATGCATATCTGGATCTAGGCAGGGAGGAGGGGGATGTTAAGGCGGAGCTAAGGGTGGTTTGTGGGGTCGTGAGGGAGGGTGTTAGGGGTGTGGTTGCGGTTTTGGGGAGGGATGTTGGGGGGGACGCTGGGTGGAGTGAGGATGGTGATGAGGTGGATGAGGGAGAGGATGGGGATGGGAAGGCGTATATACCTGTTAAGGTTGGTCGGGTTGATCGGCTGTTGATGAAGCTTGATTTTGGGGGGTGGTTTGATGATGGCGTTGGTGGTGGGGAGAGGGATGATGGGTTTTGAATGTTGCGATGAGTGAAGGATAGCTAGTCAGGGTTTGTTTGGGGCCGAGCATGGATTTTGGGAGTTTGGTTAGAGGAGATGTGTTATTATACCCAATCACGCAGTACAAGTTGCATTTCTTTCAAGATCTAAAGTTTTGCTCGACTGGTGGAAAATCCAGCAAAATACGAAAGTTTTTCGCGGGGATAATTGAGAGGCATATTGATAAGACCGTAAGACTCTTTATCCTGTCTGTGGCTGTATTCCGTAATATTCTTAACAACGGGGCCCAAATTTCTCGGAAAGCTACACTTGCATGCGAAGAGCAGTTCTGATTCTCACATGATAGATCCTGTGGGGTTTTTACGAAGTAAATTATTCGAACGCACGCTTGCTTGCCATTGTTCGCCGAAATCAACTGAGGCTGATATAGTCTTGGGCAGTGTACTTTTACTTTTACTACTCGTTTCTAGATATTCGAATCGGGTATACTCGTTTTTTTTTACACTACCCGGAGACTATTCGTTCCAATACGGGTCGAAATAACCTTATATCTGCTAGATCAGTTTAGTGAAATAAGGAGGCTGGCGATTTGCTTCCCGCGAAGCAGTGATTTCGATTTTTGAAAATGGCAGTTTGTTTCTTTCACCACACGATTTCTCGCTGAGATTCAAAGGTTTCCTTTTTCAACATATATTCCTTTCTGCAGACTTTGCTTTTTGCGATAACAACTGCTTTGCCTATCGTTATGCACAGAGGAACTCCCGTCATCTGAGACCAGTGCATCGCATCGCATCGCCAGCCGGAAATTGAGATCGTCGCGGGGAGCTGTCATTGTGCATGAGGGTCTGGGCCTTTGAGTAAAAGAGTTTGAGCTCGTTTAGATGGTGGGGGGTTGGTTGGTGTATAATTGTTTGGGTTGGTTTAGGAGGATGAGGGAGATTTGGGTGGGGGATGAGAGATTGGAGTATGTTGTGCTATGATGCATGTGATTGCGCGTGTGGATTTAACGTGTCGAGTGCTAATTCGAATCCCAAAAAATGCTTGGGTGAGATGTTAATACGCAGGTGTATGTTTATCTGACTGTGGGGGTGGTAGTATTAAAAAGGTACTTCCAAGCGACAGACCGCCCGACCGGAGGTTTTTTACGGGCTCAAGCGAGGAAACGGGTGCCGGGGAGTCTGGGCGTTGGGCGATCATGGATGGAGGGATGGAAATGGAATGGCTGGGACAGGGAGGAATTGGGTTGTGGGGATGAGTTTTGTATAGCATGGTTGATATTAGAATGGTTGTTGGAGCTTGTGTGGGTGATGGAGTCGTAGGTTTGATGGGAATTGGAAGAGGGGAGTTTGTGCTGGTAGGGGATGAGGATGTTTGCATGAGGGTATTTCCGATGTGTTTTTCAGGGTTTTTTGAGGGTTTTGAGGGATGTAGGATAGGTTGCATACTCCTACTCCTAATCCAAATCTAAAGAGTGATTGATTAGTTAAATGGATAAAAGCTTGATATATGAAGAGTCCAGCTTAATTGCATAGAGGATTCTCGAAGCGAGAGTCAAAATAGAACTTTATGGTTACTATTCACTGGCTTACCTCGCACAATCCTTCATTACCTCCCAGGCATAATTCATTGCTGTCCTTTCAATCCTGCAGTGAAGTGATGACTGACTGGCAATGCAGCGTGGTAATGAGGTGGACTCTGCAGCATGTGGTGTCCAGAAGATTTCCTCTTTGGGACCGACGGAACAGCATTCTCAAGATCTTTTCCATACCGATACCCATTTTCACAGCCAATTCATCCCTTGCAAGTCCCACGACAGCCAAAAACCGCGTGTGTGGTACATCCATAAAAGGTACCGTGTTCGTGTCTGGAGTGTGTCGGTTTCCTGTCTGTCAGTCTGTCCTTGGCCCGTTGGTCGCTTGGCTTTTGCGCCCCCAGAAACCGAGCAAAAGCAAGCCCCCCGATAACCTGGACCTGCGCTGCAACTGCCTTCTTCTCTCCGAATCAACCACCACCAACCACCCTCGTCATCATCTCTCCTCGACTTCTGACCTCTGACCTCTCCTCCCCGTGCGCAAGTCGACCAAGAGAATTCAATCATTCACCCCTTTCAAACACGTCTCAGACAATTCTCTCCCTTCGCTACCCATTGCAGAGACAGTTCGTATCTTATAGAACATCAATATTTACCCACCACCACCACACACCCCCTTACAGTACCACTGACTTTGCCACTCCACGAGCACCGACCCGAACCCAAAGTCATGCGAGCGCAAACGAAGCCCACTTCCCTACAACCGCATTCACAGTCATTAATTACCACAAGGACCACCCAGTAATCCGAGGACGACCATTCCAAACCCCTCCGACCTTCTCTTTGGTGCAACGTGAATGGCGACCCGCAACGAACGCGCACAATAGGAAGGAAGGGAGATTGGAGCACAATTATATCCTGCCGATTTGCGATATTTGTTGCACCGTGTCATATTGGGACGAAATAATCGACGAGAAAGATGGGCCTTTGGCCGTTTGGGAGGAAGAAGAGCCAGAAGGTATCGCATGGTGGGCCTGATATTTCACGATCCGAAAGGGTCTCTATGCAGAATGCAGGAACGGCGCCGGTGGTCAGGGGGCAGAACGATGTCGAGATCGCTGGCGGTCCTGAGCGACGGAGGAGTCGCAGAGACAAGAAACGAAGATCGTCCCGGGAGTCGAAGAAATTGAAGAGGAATCCCGAGAGACAGCGAACGTACAGCTTTTCGCCCGGGAGAAACGACGACATCCAGATTACTCGGGACGTCAATAGGCCACCGGTACCTGAAGTGCCTGCGCATTTGAAAACAAAGACGGGTAGATCGAATACCGAGAGACAGGTGGGAGTGCCGGCTGGTCAGAAACCAACACGAGCGAGTACACAACCTCCAGAATCCTCGTATGAGTGGCACAGGATGCCGACATTACACAAGAGAAGTGCTCAGGAGTTGGCACGGCGGAAGTCGAGTAAGAAGAGAAAGGAGGATCATCAAAGGGAGGAGGAGATCAAGGCCATGGCTGCTTATATGCCAACAAGACCGGCGGTAGAGCACAATTCGTCGGGACGGTTGGTGAAGAGGGATAGTAAAAGAGTACGCTCTGGGTTGAACAAGAATTTGCAGAATCCGTCATCGGATATATCTCTGCCTACGGTAGACTCGCTGCGAACCTCGCTATCTGGAGCGTCAGATCGACAAACATCCTATGTGTTGTCAGCCTTTGATATGCTGGCACCGCGGCCGACGATCAAGTATGCTGAGAATCCTCGATACGCTCCAGGTGCGACCGGATTTGGATCAGATAGTATGGATTCAAGAAGGAGGAGGGTATCAGACCGCATGGCCTTAGACCAAGAGGTCTTAAAGGCGAATAGGAGGATCGATGAGCTAGCAGATGATCTCAGCGCAGGCGAACTACGAGAATTAATGGAACGCGATCAGAAGAGAAGAGACAAGAAGAAGATAGCGGAACGGATAAAGATGGAGAGGAGGATTGCCAAGAAGCAGGAAAAGCAGACGGCAGCAGAAGAAGTTGCTGTGCGAAATGGAACCCCTCCACCGGTCAACATGCACCGAGGTGTTTTGGGCCGAGATATGGTCGGATTGGGTATTGGTACTTCAGCAGTTGTCGCATCCAGCAAAAGAAAGTCTTCTTCGGAGTCAGATAATGGGAGAGCAAACCGACCAGCGCAGTTGCGACAGGATTCGGATCTGGAGAGACCGGTGGCTACCTTTCAAAGAACTGATAGTTTGGCGACAGAGAATTTGACCCCTGGAATCGAAAGAGAGGATCCAGTGGTTGACGTTGCAAAGGTTGGAACTGTTGCTAAAGCGCAAGTCTCTCCAACCTTACCGCCAAAGCAACATCGTCGCGGGCAATCCAGTATTTCCCAGATGATGGACCTCAACAAGTCGGAACCCAAGACAGTAGCCGAGCCTCGGCCTGTTCCTTCAGTACCTGTACTTGCGCCATTGAAAAAGGAGCCTTCACGTAGGAGTTCAGAGACCAGTAGTTTCCGAGGACGTGCTCCTCAGTCATGGACGTCTTTTTTCAGAAGATCTAGGACAAACAAGAGCAATAAGCGCGATTCTGCACCACCGTCATTCTCTAATACTTCTCGAGACTCGATGCAGAACACATCATTCTCACAAAATGCATATACTCAAAGGCCTAATCCTAACATGCCAAAACGGACTATGTCCAAGTTCAGAGAGGATTTACCTGAATTACCGTTATCACCACCGGACTCTAGGGTACAGTCTCCTGAAGCAGACGTCCTTCCACCGATTCGCGATCATCCTGATAAGAAGTCATTAAAGACATCGACGGACGATTTGCGGGTACGATATGATACACCAAATAGTGGTTATCGATCATTGGATGCGGTTAGGACGCAAAATGAAACTCCTACTACTGGCCCTCGGGTAGAAGCTCCATCTCCAGAGCCTGCAGCCATTCTTTCGCAGTCACTAGCTTCTATTGATTCTGAGGGTTCATGGCTATCTGGTGGCAAGAGCAGTTCGAAACGAGGATCTTCGCAACTGGCAAATCATCCACAAGTCCCGCTACATGATAGCGCAAACAATTTGCAGAGACGATATGAGGAGTACTCTGAATCAGCCGAGGAACTTGGACTGGCTGAAGACGAATATTTCAGCCGTCTTACACCTGGTCCTGAAGAGCAGTACAAGATTCATAGAGCTTCCACTGGCAATCCAATGCCCTCTAGTGACGAAGAGGATGGGGGCAGCCTTGCCAGTCCGGTGCCTTCAAAAACAAAATGGGGAGCGGTTGCTAGAACACCTACTGTAGTTCATCGCGAACCAAGGGCGAAATCTAGAGAAGGACTGCTGAATGATTTCGAAGATGATTCCTCTTCAAGAACAACATCAATGACAGCTTCCATGTCAGCTGGACCAGATTCTCCAATCTCGCCTAAGCGAAAGAGCTTTGGACTGAAAAAAGATATCATAGATGAGAATGAATCGCCAGCTGTGCACAGAGCGACCAGTGTCGAGTATAGATCCGCCGGTGGACATACTCGACATATCAGTGCTGGAAGTGCTAGATTGTTGGACTTGAGCAAGGATGAGAGGAAGATTAGTTCTGGTTAGAAGGGGTAATGGATGGATGGGCATTTTCACGAATGAGACGACGCGACACGACAAAGACAAGCACGACAATCGTTTACATTTTTCCTTTACTGTTAGTCGAATACGACACACCACGCTCCTTTAATTTTCGGGCTTCGACCTACCATTATCAATATGTCAATTACGACACCACGCTCTTTAAAACATTTCGGGCTTCGACCCACTGTCAACACTATCACTTCAACCATTTTTACAACAACCGCTTCGTCTTCGTCAACGCACGTCTGCATCTCGATCATCGCCCACCACCACGCCTCTTCACACACAACAACTCATCCTCAAACCCCTGAAACACACACGAACGTTTCCTTCCTCGGCCGTAATCAATTTTCCTTAGGTCCGCTACAACAACATTTTTTGATTCCCCCAAACACATAGATTTTTTTGCTTTTCTTTTGGCGCGAGCGAGCGAACCTCTTTTTTTGGTACTTGTAATTCGGGAGGATGGGTGGGGAATTGGGGGAATATAAAAATGGTTGAGTCTTTTTTGGGGGTGAATGGGGGGTTTGTACACTTGATTGGGATGGATTTTTATTGTTATGGTGTTGGGATGTGGATTTGGTGATGGTTTGGCTTATTGGGAGGAGGTTTTTTTATGGGGTGGTTGAGGGGGGGGGAGAAGGGAAGGGGGAAAGGGGAAGAAGAAAGGAGGTAGATTAGGTAGTTTTTAGCAGAGGAATGAATAGGGGTGTAATTCTTATTTGGATGGGTCTGAGAGATGTGAATATGTCGTATGAATCTTGCACTCTTTCCACAAACGATAATTAGAAAATTGAATAATCAGCAGTTATCCTCTACACCTACGTCAACTCGTGTGAAATTCGACCGTAGATATTCTTTATATCCGTCAACTCGGGACTTGTCAATGGACACTATAAAATCAACGCTACCAAAATTTGCTATCAAGAAATCATCGTTCTCTGTAATGTCACCGGATGGTCCGCCAATTCTATGCGAATGCGGAGTAGGTCTCACGGCGCATGGGATCTGAGTCGAGGGGAGAGTGGTGAGTTTTTGGGTTGCTTGGAGAGGGAGGAACGGGATGGGATTTTAGTATTTAAAATCGATCAATCCAGCAGAATAATATCGAGTATTATTGCCAATTCCATAATTCCGTCACCGAAAACGTAACTTATCACACATGGGATGTTGGGATGGATTCATCGAATGTAAATATTTGATCGTGAGAATCTGAAATCTAGTATATTGCTGGTTGCTAAGGGAACATGAATGTTTTTGGGGAACGAAAACGACGGCTTTGGGGAGGTGTGTTTGCTGTAGCGTATTGGTCTGGACCGCGGGGTCGTTATATGTGCTGGTATGTTTTGTGTGTGGATTGAAGGGAATGGGATATATATTTGTATACTAGTAACGGCGTAGATAGAATGGGCTGATTGAAATACAGACTTTAGGTCCTTGGGCGTTGATTGTTAGTACAATGTACGACCGAATCCTCACGTGTGGAATGCTGTAGTCCGGAAATGCTTCAGCTTGGATAGTCATGCTGCTGCACTGCATGAGGTGTGTGTTGCTAAGCGTGACTGGTCTAGACCGATTGGAGGATATCTAATCAGTGAACATCTCCTCGATTCTATCGTTTCGCGTCGCCTTTTTCCGAGGAACCTGAAATCTTTTATTCTTCACCGTCAAATTCTGAAATCTTTTGAAGGGAGGATATTCAAGGATCGTAATAGTGAGTTGCCTAGCTCTTTTTTTGCGATTTGTGCTTGTATTTGGGAGGAGTGAGTGAGGGAGGCGATAAAGATAAGTGAGGGGCAGATTGGATTGGGAGATGGAATAGGGAAGGATGATTACGAAGGTATTCGAATCCATTGGATATCTTCCTAATCATTCATTACTCTCCCCTTCTCACCTAGATTCTCAAATCTCAAATCCCGCTATCAAATACCTATAGCAAGGGCTATTTGATTCCACATCCTCCCTTTCCCCTTCACCAATCCCGAACTTCAACCTCGATTACTCAGCAACCGATGACACCATCGTCCGCCTCTTCACCTTTAGAAATCAACCTCCCTTCATAGCCTCGTCGTCCACACTTATAACAACACCAAGCCACCCTTCAATTGAATGTCCTTCGCAACCAGATCTCTAACGCATACTCTCAGAGCGATAAATCGAACGCAAAGACAACCAACGAAGACAGTAAATTTCACGAGGGCATTTAGTCAAAGTACTGCAAAGATGGGTGTTCACAATTTGAGCTCGTGAGTACACCTTTATTCTTTCCTGTCAAATGGTATTTTTGTCGCAATGGCGCGAGGTCTGGGTTGATAGGATGGGCGGTGGGATTGATGGATAGAGTTCAGGGGATGGGGCATCCGAGGAGACAGACTGGAGAGATTGATAGGATAAATGCTAATTCAATACACAGTGGCGAGGCCTTCAAATCCGCAATCACAGAAAACAAAGTCGTCGTTCTCGATTGTTTCGCAACCTGGTGTGGTCCTTGCAAGGTTATCGCGCCTACAGTTGTCAAGTAAGTTTCCCTCTTCCCCATTATCACCCTCACCTCTACCCTCACCTTTACACGATCCTAACATCCCGCAGATTCTCAGACGAATTCCCCTCCATCCACTTCGTCAAGATCGACGTCGACGAGGTCCCAGACGTAGCCCAAGAACTCGGCATCCGCGCCATGCCTACCTTCCTTATCTTCAAGGACGGCGAGAAGGTGCAGGAGGTTGTGGGCGCGAATCCTCAGGCGTTGAAGGCGGCTATTGATAAGGTTGCTAGTGCTTAGATGGGTGAAATTGTGGGGGAGAAGTGATATCAGGGGTGATATAAAGCGTGATATTGATGGGAGGGACGGGGGTTTCTGCGGGTTACGATGGATGACCTGGTAGATAGTGGTGGAAATAAGAATAAATCTTTGATAACCGGGCTGTTTTGCGTTTATTGCGATGGAAAATGCTCTGCAATATGCCGCCAAGTGGCTGTTTCATCTCAGATCGTGGGTTTCTCTGTTTTGCTCATTATCGCGCTTTCTGTACGGCTTTCACTGATCTGATCGGACTCGAAACTCGCCATCTATTCTATCTCCCCCGAACTTCTTACAAAGCGAACGCGCTTGTCACACATATCGCACTAACACAATCATACCTACGGGTCTTTCTCTCCGTAGGGTCTATTCTCAAATTCTTCCCCAAGCCAAAAAGCTGCAGAAGGATTTTACTAGGTTCCTTCTTACCTACCTATATGTCAAAGAGTTACCTCTATGTCAAAGAGTTACCTATATGTCAAAGAGTAGGCAACTCAATTTGCAATCTACATCTGGCTGCTTTATGTACAGTATCTATTCTCTCCACGGTTAGATGTCTATTAGTTATCCGTGGATTGTCTTGACTGCAAGTTGCGTATAAATATGAAATAGCCGTATCTTCGATAATCAACAATATTTCTTATTTGTTCTTCTTAGGTGTTTGATTGATACTCGTTCGGGCAAGTCGTCTGTCTGCTTATTTTAAGGGGTTTGGGAAGGTCACTTTGGTATCTTGTCTTGCAATTGCGCTTCTCGCCCTGTCGGTTTTCTGTAACGCGCAAAAATTGCCTCTTGAATGCTTGCATTTCACTGTGGTTCTGGTCTTGTCCATTGCAGTAGAGTTGCTTGGATGAGGCGATTTGGTTTTCTGGTGCTCCCATCTGTAGACAGCACTTCATGACTCCACGGCTCGTTCCTAAATTTACAGCCGGACACCCCGACGGCGATTGAAAGTTGGTGGTACATGCTCACAACCCTACTACTAGTCTCATACATTTTGCTTCTTCTGATCAGTCATACCTTGAATCCTACGGTGTGGAGCTCCAAACAAGTGTAGATGACGTCTGTGGAAGGCAATTGTGAAGAGCTTTTTTTTTTCGGCGGCACAAGTAATAATGTAGAATGCTTGCTGTTGGTACAAATTCAATGGAGTTTTGGTGTTATGAAGCGGGTTTGCAAACCATCAATCGAGTATAGCAATTAGATGTTGTAGAACAGTCATTTCACCAACCTTGTTTCCTGGCTCCGAGATGATTTCTGGACGTTTCGGTCTAAGAGAACCCACTTGTGATTCACGTCTTGATTTTCTGAGTGTATGAAACTGTGGAGACTTAAAGGGAGGGCTTTACGTATTTATCAGATGGCGGTTTGTAGCGTTCAGTACAGCCGCATGAAACGTGTAGTTTGAGGGTTTTCGGCTTTGTGATGGAGAGGATGGGGAAATGATTCTGGTTTGGTTTGGTGTTCTGAAACCATGAAGTATAAAACAGAAACATCCTGAGAAACTTGAAGAAGTTATCACATATAAGTCATAGACTTCTCTCATAATAATCTTTTCTACATCCAGAATTTGAAATCAAAACACTCCACCATTCCCAGCCTTCCAAATCCAAACCCACCCACCCCTCAAACCACCCTACCATCTCAACACATCCAGCACACCCACGCAGAAATGCCCCTCTCCCCCACCCCCCTCAAACTCACCCTCAGAGGTGGAGCTCCTCCTTCGGCTACTACTACATCATCTGAAGACGACTCTTCGAACTCGAGTACATATACAAACGGGACGTACACAAATGGAGATACGTCGAAGAAAGATGATGATGAGTCGGCGATTGAATCTGGGGATGAGAAGAAAGCGGACGAGAAGAGGGAGGATGCTAGGAGGAGGAGGGAGGAGAGATACAGTGGTTCGTGAGTGGGAAATATCTTATTTTGTTAATTGGGAGGATAAGGAGTGAGGGACTATGATTTGAGATTAGGAGGGGTTGGGTTGATGTGGTGAGCTTGATGGAGTTTCGAATGGGTGGAGAAATGATGAGGGTTTAGAAATGAGGGCATGAAGACTGCAGAGGCTAATTTTATGTGTTATTCCCGCTTTGGGAAAGAGTGACGGATGTAAGGATTCAAACACTGTTACGTGCTGGCTCTTGAATCTTAGGCTAAAGAAACTCGACGTGGAAGCTAGACAATTTGGAGTTGAGGCTTATATTTTAAATATATAAAATTGGAAGGTATTCTTGATGATCTAAAGATGCGTGATGTCAAACCCGATGTGGAATATCTATGTGTGGATTGAGTACATTTATTTTCTCAAGTGATCATTTGATGCACCGGAAGCGAGAGTTTCTTGAAACCTTTCTCATAATTCCGGTGTGTGCTGAGTGAAGTGAGAGATGCCAGTAATGTCTAATTTATAAACTTGCTTTCGAACTCTAGGGTGTTGAGATTCTCTCAAGATCCAGGTGTAAGGTTTCAGGTGTTTGTGAATTCTACTCATATTCCGACTAGATTTGAATTAGCGGAAGTGTTGACATCCCTCTAATAACCACAGAAGCAGCTCTAAGCCTTCAATATTTAGACATAACAAGTTTACGGGTAGACTTCTCCTTAGGATGATAATTTTGAAAGCTAGACTTTTTTTTGGGAAAAAATCAATGGAATAGTTGGGCTAAAGGCTTGAGAGTAGGAATTTGACTTGATGTGTAAAACAGTCTTGAACCGACATTATTTCGAGTTAGATATATATACTCGGTGAGTCGCCACTCAACACTTCCCCGGATAAGAGAGTCTCATTTGACATAAAACAAACCCGGGTAAACCAACATTGTTGGTTGGCATAAGCTGGAAGTGAGCCAACCAAATGCCTTCCCTCCTGGATTTCTTCGTTTTCTGAAAATATACAAGGAGGAGCTTCAAGTACTTTCGAAATTGCGAGTGAGACGTACAATTGCAAAGTAGCAACTGATTACAACTGTGAAAATGACTTTCGAGCCAGATACATCCACAGCAACACGCGTCACTAACGAAATCCAATCGCTCCTAGCCAAGAATGATGCTGCATCATTGAAACAAGCAGCGCTCTTGAGTAGGGTGTTGCCTTTGCTTTTAGAGGCGCCTGAAGATACGGCGGTGCAATTGTCGTTTATGGTTTGTTGATTGATTCAAGCAAATAAACATTTACTAATATCTACCAGCCACTTCAAGTACTATGCGCTAGACTTGCAATTGATCTCAGATTGTTTAAGATTATTGCGGAGCATGGCGAAGGTATTACATCAGAAAAACTCGCTTCGAAATCTGGAGGCGAGGAACTACTTATCAGTATGTCGAAAGCTGTGTGATATGCCCAAACATTAACCATCTTATCAGTTCGAATCCTCCGTGTTCTTTCCCTCGTAGGTTTCGTGACGGAAGTCTCTGAGCGAAAATGGTCAACCACACCCGTAACCTTTGCCATGACCAAACCCGCCATCGAAGGTAGCCACAAACATCTCTGGGATATGACCTTCAACACAGCGGCCAAAATCCCAGAATACATGCAGAAAAACGGCTACAAATCACCAACTAGTTTCAATGACGGTCCTCTGCAATACGCGCTCCAAACTGATCTCGCTTGTTTCGAGTATTGTAGCTCCAAGCCTAGTATGTTAGACGATTTTAACAATATGATGACTGGAATCCGACACTCGCGGCCGAGCTGGGTCCAGTGGTTTCCCGTGAAGGAACAAATTTTGAACGGGTATCGTGAGGGAACGACGCTTTTGGTCGATGTTGGCGGCGGATGGGGACATGATGTCGTTGCATTTCAAGAGAAATACGCTCTAACAGTACCCCTTGCCCTCCAAGATCTCCCCCTCGTAACCTCACAAGTCCCCTACCTACCCACAAACATCGAAGTCATGAGCTACGACTTCCTAGCAGAAATTCAACCAGTGAAAGGTACGTCTATCCCTTAAATCCATCACATCCCACTAACTCCCCAGGCGCCCGTGCCTACTTCTTCCACTTCATCTTCCACGACTGGCCAGACGAGAAATGTCTGCGTATCTTCCGCCACACAGCCGCTTCCATGACACGCGGATACTCGAAGATCCTGCTCAATGAGTATGTGTTGAAGGATGCCGGGTGCGGGATGGCGCCGGCGATGATGGATATTAATATGCTTACGCTGTGTGCGGGGATGGAGAGGACGGAGAAGCAGTGGCGAGAGTTGGTGGGGAGGGCTGGGTTGGTGATTTCGAGGATTTGGAGACCGGAGGGGGATACCGAGGCGGTTATTGAGATTGAAGTTGGTGGGGAGGGGGTGTAGTGTGGATGGAGAGTTCTGGGGGAGGGGAGTAGAGAGGTTGAAATGAGTGATATTGTTTTGATGCTTATTGCTGGAAGGAGTCCACAAGTTCGCTTGAGGTGCAAAGCGTGATATAACTTAAGTATTCTGGAGTTTTTTTGACTCTCAAACTTTTAGAGAGCACTACTACCCATTCTGATTGACCGTTTTCCATTTTTCACCCTGTTCGCTTAAGTGGGTGACTCTTCCCCTATCTATGGAAGCATAACTAGTTGTTTTGCTTGATACTTCTTCTGATGTACGAACGTTATAGTCTCCAACAACATAAGAGTCGTTCGAAGGGAAATGCACTTCGAACTTAAAGCTGACCGTTCAGCCGCAATTCTATCGACATTAGCAATTCATTCACCTACCAAAATCACAACATTCATAAATTTGAACCTGAAGACTTTTCGATAATTTAGGGCGGTTTCCATTAGGAAACTGATGCCCGATTGGTCAACCGAGTAAGCTCCTATACCAAACCTCGAAAAGAGTCGGTAGGTTTCAAAATTTATAGTGAATTGAATTATATAGAACTTTACGCCTCGCCATTTTCACAAAGCTCTACCTCCGTTCTTTAAAGACCTGCCAACTCCCTTTACTTTTCATCACTACCCTATCAACACTATTACGACCGAACAGCACATGGAAGAATGAATTCTTACTCCTCTAAACTTTTATTACAGCCTCAATCCCCAATCAGAAACCACTTGCAATGACGTGAGGTCCCCTTAAGACAGAGCCTTCCTGAAAACAGAGAGTCGTAAAATATCTTCGCATTTGCAGAAGGAGTTTCGGTGACAAACTCGATTTCGGTAGCAAGGAGCTTCGGTAACTTACCAAACCTGGACGGGTCAAAATGTAAAAAGATAGCATTTGTGTAACAAATAGTCTACTAGGTTCTAAAGAGTTCCTGTCTTCAATAACAAAGATCTAGCAATGTACTAACGAATATATATAATTAGGCTTTTTGCACTACAGCAATAAAGAATTTGGATTTTATAGTTATCGAGTTTGTTTTATAGCGGGTCTTACTTAAGGATATAAATAGTTTTAAAAAGAATTATGAATTTCGTCGGTGGGAATGTGAAATGATGTCTTCTTTCTATTTTCTGTAATCAATTGTTCTAATATATTGGTTTGAGTTTTGACATTCTAAGTGCAATTTGGACTTTTTACTCCTAAATGCTGAAATGCTTATCTTAGAATGTATTTCTGTAAAATACAGTACTGTACGAGCGGGGAAAAGAGTGGGAAAATTGAGTAGTTGTCGCATAGAAGTCAACAATGCAGTATTAGCTTCACTCTACTGCGGAAGAAAATCTACAAAGAACGTCAGCTTTGTCTTTTGAGATAAGACAATCTGAAAAGAGAGCTATTAGAACCTACAAGGGGGGTTTGAGGTGTCAGTTTCTAAAATATTATCCAGGATCAACCTTCCAGCTGTATTGAAAGTTTTGTATTATGAATTGTGATTTAGTGATAACTTACAAATCGGTAGTGAAATGTACATCTTTTCAACTTTTCCAAGTTTTCCAAAATGGAAATTAGGGAGTAATTAAAGCTTCTAAATTTAAAGCACATTTTGTTTAGGTCTAGGGAAGGGAAGAAGTGTTCGTCGTAAGATCTTACTTTATCCAAGTCTGTATATTTTGGCGAAATGTTGGCCTCTCGCTAACGACCATGTATCTTTGTTCTATTATATACCTAGATGCACTAAGAAACCTAGACAAAATATAAAACTTATGTATACCTGTAATAAATTTCAATCGATCTAGTAGGTTGTGTTTAGGTAGATATTAAAATGAATATTACAGCGTCAGCAAAGGATTTCCCGGACAGAGGATCCCCGGGAGTAACCCTCATTCTTTGTCTATTCACTCGTACATTACCCTTCGAACACGAGGCCCCTTCGAGCCTAACTCTGAATTGATAAAATCTTCACATGGACGCTTATAAGAAAGACATACAGAAAATCAAAATCAAAATCACATACCTTCTTCCACGAAGAACAATGGTTTGGGATCGAAGAGTTTGGTCAAATAACCTTACTCCGAAAATGTGTGTAAAAGCCGCCAGCGCGCGATCCATGGCTCGAAAAGTCCACTTAGTTCTGAAAAAATACTAACAGCTGTGTAGCGTCCATTCAAGCGGCCAATTTCGGTGACAATCTCATCTTTGGAAACTTGTACATGTAATTATTGAAAAAGAATTTAAGTATCAAAAACGTTTCCGAAAACAAGACCCTTCGGTTCTATATAATCTCGACCCGCCTAGAGTGCTAAGATGTTCATGACTCAAAGTTACTGCAGCGAATTACTGGGGTGTAGGAGTCTTCTTCTGCGGTTATCAATAAGGCTATATTATTGGCTATTAAAGTAGTACATTTACTATAATAAGTAGTTTATTTTCCCCACCCTATTTGAGAAGAGAACAGTACCTCGGTTTAATTCACAGTATTATCCAAGTTGCTTTCAATAATAACAAGTATTTCGGCAGCAGATTACTTAAAGAAATTACATAAAAATAAACAGACAAAGGTATATAAGTACAAGTAGTATAACTAAAGAGCGCATCTTTTGGAATTTCAACACTATCTGAATTTGGGAACCCTAATAAATAAAAGCACCACAGACTACCCAATATGTTAGGGCTACTAAACTCTCCTTTTACGATACTACCTTGATGCCATATCTTATGGCTTTAAAGATAAGTTTTTTGAATATTAGAGTGCGAATCAATTACTAAGAATATTTGGAGATATTAGGAAGTCATAGTAGCACTACTTATAAAACGACATTCTACATAGACATTGCACTTAACGAGTTGTCAGTTGATTTCGAAGTACATTTTAATCTACAGATTTTGCTCATTTACATCGGTAGATTTCAGGGTAGAAAAATTAATTTTCAATACTTTCCAATTATAGATGTATATCAATTTTAGTATAAAACACGTCAATACGCTGTAAATCAACAATCTAGTTAAACAGCACTGCGGTCCATAGTCGACTTATTGGTGACATTGTCTTTGTGTGAAAAAGGTTCGAAAACACAACTTTATATAAAGAAGTATTATATATTTTTCAGTATCATTATCGGAATTATCCCTCCATTAGTTGTAAATTTGCAATCTCAAATTCTGGCATAAAAGAGAATCGGCGACAAGTCAAAAATCGGTGGTGACACTTGTTCTCCTCGGAATCCCAAGAGTAGAATTATAGAGATTGTTTCTTAGCAAGAGAGATGTCGCTAGGTTGGATCGTGTAAAGCAGAAATGTCGCTTGTCCTAATAGGATCTCAAGATTGACTATAGAGCTACACTCACTCTTCTATAGAAATGTGTTTATTTGCCATTTGAATTAATTATGTTTTTAGTACTTTCCAACTTCCTATCTTTTACACTTGAGTACACTGACAAATTTGAAATTTAAGAGAAGTGTAATCTATTAAGGCCGAGTAAGGTAGTAGTATACTGTTCGAATATATATTATGTAGATGTCTACGTATAAAGTATTTTGGAATTTAGAGTGTTTTTGACTAGAGAACACGAAGAAACAATTAAAAACTCCTCGCAATTTCTTGTTACAAAGTAGAGACTATTGAACATCCATTTTAATTTCCAGACATCTGGCGATATTTTTATACTAGTAACATCTTCCAAGCGGCTGCAATAGAAGCGGTAATTTCCACTATACAATACTCTCTAAAGACAAAACTTACATCTCATTTTAGCCCTATCAAAAGAAGCGAGGCAGAGAGCGAACTCTGTACATCCTATCTGTCTAAGTGCCCAAAGTTTCATAGGTGGCTAGAGTCCTCAAAGTTCAACTTGAAATCGACAAAAAAAAACAAGAAACCTCTTCAATAACTGTACGTGTACAGTCTATCATAAAGATGGACGATTGGCAGCCTATCTGCTATATGTAACTAACATTCTTGGCTCGGAGAAACTGTGATAGAGTTGAGAAGACGAAAGTAGGTAGTAGTAAGAAAACCACCACTCAGGAGAGATCTCTAGAAACTCGTCCTTCTTTGAAAGCTATGATTTTCGATGCTATGAGACACAGAAGTTATCTTACAATCCAAGCTTACAGGATTCGGTGATAATTCTATTTTCGGTAGTAAGATGACTCTTTGAACAGTGAGTCTAATCTCCCACTTTCCTCCATAATCTACAGTGTTGTCCCTATACAAAAATCTAACTTCTAACTTCTGGTGCTTGTTCGCAATTGTTTTTTTGTCCCTTCCGTTTTGAACTACCAAAAGGTGGGGGGTCTTCCATATGTAACTGAAACTGTTAAGAGAAGGAAGGGATATGGGACTCCAATCTTGTAAGTCGTGGTCCACTGGAGAACTTTCCGTCTAGATTTTGTGATTAGCTCCAATTGACCTTCACTGAAAATAGTTGGAACTTTCAGTTAATGTTATTTTTTTTATAAAGGATTTTCAGTTTTTGACGACATGCTTTCTTGCTTATTACCCATATTTTTTTCACTTCATGATATCTTCGACATGGCTCTTTCATTTACCGATATATCACGACATGACGTAGGTCGGTTTCGATTCGAAAGACCCAAGAAACAGATATATATACATTTAGCCTCACATATCAGACTTATAAAAGGTTAAAACGAGTTTCTGGAACATAATAAACCATGTATTGGCCAAGCCTGCATTCGAAAACAGACCTTACTTTAGGCATTCGTCTAATACAAAATTGATTTACATAGGATTGATATTCAGCCAGACTTTTCTTTTTTTTTTTACTTCGTTCAAGATGAACAACTATGATAATTTCCAGAATTTGGAGAAAGTCTTGTCACCACTGCAGCAGTATATACAGATCAAACTGAGACAGCAAACAACTAGCAAGGTTGTGTATATATTCCAAGGTTTTATATCAGAACCAACCATGCAACGAACCCTGAGGCTCACGGTATGGGAATCGTCTGTTTAGGAGAGGATGTTATCGAGAGGAACACGTCAGTCAACAAGTTTCAAGGTGTAAAGTAAGAAAATTAGTGTAGCCTGTATTTTTTACACTTGTGGGACAATCTTTAGTCTGGAGCTGCTATTTTCGGTAGCAAATTTGAATTCGGCAATGAAAACAAAACTCATTACGTTAACATGTCTTTAGCAAAATCATGAAAGGGAGATTATCACCACGTAATCCATTTCCACGAAAGTGTCGATTCTCGTATTCCCATCCGCACACCCTATGAGGATGTTATGATACCCTGCCTTGTTGAGTGACTTCTCCTTCAGGTTCAATTGATCCACCAAGGCCCTCGAGATGAGGTTGATCTTTCCACCAGTGAGCAAAAAGAAAGCTGGACCTTTGATTGAAATATATAATCTCAAAATCGATTTCTCAAGATTAAAGCGAGTTGATAGAAAGTAATTTCGACAGATTGTCTAGACCCCCCGCCAGTTGCTGTATATAGAATAGCATCACCTTAACCTTCTCTTTATAACAAGAAGTAATCACCGAGCGGTGACAAGAACTTCGGGCGAGTACGTTTTGGAAACATGATTTTAGATCAAAAACTTACGCCCGCACTTGTGGAACGTGTACCCAGATGGCAGTGTTTTCTTCATGTGTCCAGTTAAAATGCTGTATAGCTGGCAAATTGAAGTTAAATGCCTAGTTCTCTTCCCCCCTTCAAGTAGCCCCGTCAAGAAAGTGATTTACGAATCCTCTCACCTCCTGCTTTTGTTCTAAGTCAGAAGACGCTGTCCGTCCTAGGCAGCAGTAAATACGTCTCTGTCTTAGTACTGTCAGAGGAACTCTCTGCGTTGGTGAAAGACCGTCACCCGTCGCCGCGTGTCGTGCCAGGCACCCGGTTCAAAATTCATCAACGAGTGAGAAAAGTTTCATCAGGAACTAGAATGGGCAAGGCTACAGCAGAATAGCTGTACGAATTATGCGCAGGCGAATTCGTCAACGCCAGTCACCATTCTCGCACCCTATTTTCCATAGGTATGCGAGAACCTTGGAAATTCATGCCACGATGATGTCGTTCCCATCCCTCCCAAACCAGCCTAGCGCACCGACCCCTGACTACCAGCATCGCGCCTCGACGTCTTGCGCAACGGCTTTTCGAAACCATCACAGCTCCCCAAAACCATCAACACATCCGAAAAACATCGCGAGACCTATTCCAAGCTCTACCACGATCTCAACTATACAACCAAAAACCTCGCATATTCCCCTTCCGTCGCAATGGACTTCTCAGATGCCTTGTAAGTGATCAACCAGCTGGACAGCACATGCGGAAGCTACTGGGCGCAATTGATGCCATTGTGTTACGTGGATGCTTTGGAGTATATGCTAACCATTTCTAACGTATAGTCGGCTTGTTAACCTTGGTGTTGGGGGTTTGATGACATTTGGTGGTGTTTGGCATATCATTTCGCCCTCATTCATGTTGTATGTTTTTGCGACTTCCAGTTTAGGAGCTTGAGACTAATAGTTGTGAAGCGGTCATTTGATTGTTGGTATCTACGGTATATTATTTGGACTTGGTAAGACCCCATTTAGTTCGCGTGCGAGATGCCTCTGCTAACATGATTGAAAATAGCTGTCCTCCTCCTCGGTCAGTCCTCGAAAGCCAAAACCTGGCATCCGCGCCCCTTAGACTAACGAACGTTGCGCAGAATTCCAAATCCCTCCACAGCTATCAAGATATGCGTCTTTCCTGTTCTCCTTCCTTGGTCGTGGAATCTGTAAGAGCGCCCTTCTAAGAAGTCTGAGACGATGGCTAATTTCCTGTAGTCTACATTTTCTGCGGATCTATTCTCATCGGTGACGGTACAATCAACAACATTATCGGTGGAGCAATCGCTCTTGTAGGAGTTGCATACGCTGTCCTCGAATTCATTCCCTCCATCGAGCCTCCACAAAACATGAGGGAAGCTGACGGTGGATGGGGCGCCGAGCAAGTTTAAACCGCCAAAGCCAAACTATTTATCACCAGCAAGAGCCGAACTTCTTTCTTCCCCGGAAACGAAACCTGAGCTGGCCCAACCTCTCCCTCTACCCTAAAAATCTGGCGCGAAACTATTGTTCTTTCGGGACGATGATAGATAATGGATCTGGGGATGAGGGGAAACCAAGGCGCGAGGACACCTTAATGACACGATTAGATGGATTATATCAGGCATTTCTCCGTTTCACGCATGTACAGTACACCAAGCAGTCGTTAGTCGCAAATTCGAAGCAAAGATGTAACAAACTTTTGTTTCCTTGGGTTGTGAAAGCTCATGATTGATGAAATCCAAGAGGATTGTATTGAAATATGTAACACAGCCTTTCCAAGAATTGTGAAACATAATCGAATGCAATCGAGAGACAGCTCATTATTGCCTTTACATCCACGAGCCTAGCTAGTCTTGATTCCCTCTAATCATCTACGCCATCCCGCTTTATATCGATGCAAATGATTAGTAAGGGGCACTACCTATTAAACGAATGCAGCAGAGAGAAGAATATCAAAAAGCACGTAGACTTGGAGACCAGGTACATCAAAATACAATATATATACCCCACCCCTTTAAACCCACCAAAAATATACAATCCCGCTCCCCTGGTATCAACACACCCCCCTCATAAATGCGCCCTCGCCCCTAAAGCAACCTTCCTCTGTCTCCTCCTGCTCCCCCCCTCACGCTCCTCGCCCACCTCCTGCCCACCCTCCACAAACAACCTCTGCCCCAGCATATCCGTTAACCGCAACACCCTACTACTCACCGTCGCGCCATCCCTCCGATTCTTCCCCTCTCGTCTACTCAGCGCAATTTTTTCCGTGAAATCCCACAATCTACCCTCGGGCACAATACCAATGACCGGATCACGCTTGGGCATCCATTCCGGCGCGAGCTGTGCGAGCGGGAGAGGTTTGGCGTTTGAGGTGGTGACGCGGGATTTTGAGACGAGGAGGAGCGATTCTTCTTCGAAGCGCGTCCAGGCGTTTTTTAGGGTCTCCTTGTTGACGGCTTCAAAGTAGGAGAGGTCGCCTTGGTGGTAGAGTGTTTTTCCGAGCTAGAGAAACACAAAATTAGTTAAGTTGGGGAAAAGAAGGGGGAGAGGGACATACGAGTTGCGAAGCGTCCTGGCATTTCTTTGCGTCGAGCCAACCATCACCTGTGTAGTTTAGTGGTGGAGTGAAACCCATGAGTGATACGGCGCCGAGCCAGAAAGACTCGATGAACGGCCAGATTAGGAAACAGTAGAAATCAAAGTTCTCGCGGCCGGCGGCGCGTTCTTCGTTGCTGAGGTCTATGGCTGTGATGTTACCGTTTTCGTCGCGGTGGAGGTCGACGATCTTGTCTTTTTCGAAGGCGTGGAGCGTATTATCTAGATTCGTAGCTAAACCTTCTGTAGGGTAGATAAATTCCCCGCGGAAGAGCTGAGAGAGGAAGAGGACTTGGTCGCGGAGCTCGGTGTAGGTGATACGTTGATTTGCAGGGCCGCCGCCGCGTTTGACCTTGGAGTACATGGCGGCGCTGACGAGGGCTTCGGTTATGAAGAGGTGGATGGTCATGTTTCGGTAGAAGGAGAGTTGAAATCTATCGACTGCGAAGAATGTTGGTTCGGGAAGGCCTTCGACTGTTCCGACGAGATCTTTGCCTAGGACTTCGAGTCCTCGTTCGATTACTACGGATGTTGGGGCGTTTCCGAAATGTGCTACTCGTCCGCCTTTGGATTTCACTCGTGCGCAGAGCCATTCGACTCGCCGGATCAGTTCTGCTTTTCCTACACCTCTACCCCGTAGAGTTAGGAGAACTGTGCCTATGAGAGCTGTGGGCATGACTACTGATACTGCGTTGATGTCTGAGAGGACTTTGTAACCCATGGTTCGTAGTAGCTTTTGTCTTGTAGCGACGTCATTGATACTCTTCATATCAAGTTCTTTGGGAATGCCAGTCGTCCTAGATTGCTGTTCCTGGATGAATCCCCTCAAACTCCAAGGTTCATGAAACCTGACATCGACTCTTCCTAGCTTCAAAGAAAGCACTGACGACGCGGACAGGAAGTCTGCTAAATTCTCCTTCTTCTTAGGCATTCCGAGTAACTCCGTAACATAACCTTCCGTCTCAATGACTTTGTCATACTGCGTGCTGACAGGACATATTATCGCATCTTCGACTCGTCCAGATAAAATACTGTCCAGAATAAAACTTAGAATCCCGAATTTGGGCGGTAATAGTTTCCCCGTTCTCGAACGTCCACCCTCGATAAAACATTCAAAGTTAAAGCCACCTTGTAGCAACGTATCTATGTACGATTGTACCAGCGTCGTATAAAGCACATCGTTACCGAAACTTCTTCGAATCCACATGGCACCTAACAAATCAGTATAGCCCTTCAAGAAATGAAACTTGAACATACCAGCATGTTGCAAAAAGCTCCCCACAACCGGGAAATTCAGATTATCCCCCGCCACAACCGTAGGCAAAGCCAATCCCAAGCGATAACAAATAATTTGCAGCGAAACGTAATCAACATGTGACCGATGGCACGGCAAGAAGATAATGCTCTGCTTCTTCCTCTCCGCTTCCTCAGCCACACTTCGTATCCTCAGAACCTCTTCGCTGGAAACATGAATACCTATCTCTATTAGCTTCCCCTTAACACTCTCAATCCAAAAACAGAGATACATACCCTGATGATAAGCCCTCGTAAGCAACTGCGTACACATATAATACGCCCCCCTAATGAACGGCCGACTCTCCATCTTACAAATCATATCCCCCGTCATCTTCTCCGCCAACTCCTGCAAATTATGTTCCAGCACCCCCTTCCTCGTATTCCGCTTCCCTTCATACCCCGGATCATTCTTATTTAGCAGCCCCTCCTTCTCCTCAATCTCAATCCGCTTCAACGCTAGCTCCGTGATACGCTTTTGGAGGATGGGGGTGGAGAGCACGGCTGCGGTCATGTTCTCGGAGAATCCGGGGTAGAAGATGGGTTGGCCGATGAAGTGGTCGTAGGCTCGCCAGCCGGTGCCAGATACGTGCAGAGAGACTTCGCGGAGGAATCTGAGGGGTTAGCTTGAGCAACGCTGTGGTATGGGGGATGTACTCTAAGGGATGACTTCTGAATCTCGCCATGTTTGCGACGAGATTCCTTTCTTTATCTCCATCGCCAGGTCGTTCGGGTGGTACCACATAGCCACTTGGATGAAGCGTAACTTGATCTCCTAGGATATCCAGATCTGGCGCTGCGTCTCTATTTCTCTGGTCATCCATCTTTACTATCCCCTTCAGTATACCACTTCTTCAAGCCAGTGAGAAAAGAAAGTAAGGAAGCGCAAATTGATGGCCGCAGTCATAAAATCATGGTCAACCAAGAAATTCAATCCATGGTGTTGTCACCTCATCTCGACCCGCACACCTCGGCACCCCAGACTTTCGGTTTACAAGGGTCCATCACCCCATGTCTAGCGCGAGCTTAAATTTCAGCACCCATTTCGCATGTGAGTCGCGAATACCTTCCCCCACCAAACCTCAAACTTAACATCACCACAATGTCCACCACCAAACAACCCATCGCCCATACCCTTCTCGCCCGCGCCCATTCCCCCTCAACAGCGCAAACCCTCTACACGACAAAACTCCAGTCGCGTCCCCTCTACCTCAAACCCTCCTCTCCTCCCCCGCAGACCGCGCAACAGGCTCGTCGTCTTGCGCGCACCTCCAAGTCCAAGTCGAAACGAAAGCCCAAACCGCTCACCTCCCGCGAAAAACATGCTCTCCAAAAAGCTCACCCCATAAATCCGACGTACGCGCTCTACCTCCCTCTGCACAAGATGTGGCAGGCGTACATGCGTGAAGTTCTCGACGTCCCGAGGAGTCTACCGATCAGCAGTGCGACGGCGGCGAAATTGTGCTCAGCGGATTATCATGGGGCGATGTTGGAGGTGGTACGGAGTAAGTGTGTGGGGAGGGTTGGGCTGAAGGGGATTGTGGTGCGGGAGGGGAGGGGAGTGTGGGATTTGGTTACGGAGAAGGATAGGTTGGTGAGGGTACCGAAGGAGGGGGGAGTTGTGAGATTTGTTGTGCCGATTGAGGAGGGGGAGGAAGTAAAGGCAGGGGAGAAGGGGGAGGGGGGAAAGAGTGAGGAAGAGGAAAGAATAGAGGAGGGAAAAGAAGAAAAGAAGAAGGATCTGGTATTCGAACTCCACGGCGATCAATTCATCTACCGCGCCGCCGATCGGGCGAACAAGAAGTTCAAACCTCGTTTCCTACCAGATCTCTGAATTTTCGACATCTTCAAGCTCAAAAACATCATTACTATGAACTCATACCCACCAATAGTCAGCTCTATGGCCAAAAGCAAAATTCATGGCCTATGACTGCTAGCTACACCAGCCTAATTAGCAGGGTCTACGCTCCTACCGAGCCGAGAAGACCCAAAACTAGGAAAATTGAAAACACAACTTCGAAGTTTCGGATCGCGGCTGCTTTATCTCTTTAGTGGAGGAAGAGAGAGACGAATACCATAGCGAGGCGACGACTAGAAGGATGAGTCTTGAATTGATATATGAAGATATTCAAATCACTACTTTATAGCAGAGTAACGAAGGTCGTTTGCTTTTGCTGCGACATTAGCTAGGATCGAAAATAGGATTACAACCTATAGAACCCAGTCATAAGACACATAAACAACAAGGTAAAATAATACACATAAAGTCGTCCATACACCTTCACTCCTCTCACCTAACATCTCCCACCTGTCGCTTCCCACTGACTTCAGTAATCTTTTTCAGAGTCTCTCTATCTGTCATGCACATTACTTTAACTCATATGAATTTCACTTCACTTCTCTTCGCACCGTCATGGCGCCCAACCTCACTTGGAAACATCATACCACTTAAACTTTCATCTCATCTCTGACACAAAGTGTCAACATTCAAAACCCAAAACCAAATCAGTACAGTTCAGTTCAATTCAGCGCCTTGAGGCATTCAAATCACTTTGATTCTTTCTACCACTCATCTCATCTCAACTTATTTCAACTCCTCCCCCTGCTTTCGTCCATTCCTCCTCACATCCACACTCCCACATCCCCTTCATCTCCTTCCCCTCTTCCCCTTACCACACACATGCAAACTAAAATTACAAACCCCCTATTCGCCCCTTTAGCCAGTCCATCCAGCCATGCAAATGCACAGAAAAACACATTCCAAGTGCAACCCTAAACACCAACGCTTGCCACAAAAATGCTCAAACAACAAGAAAATTTCAAATTCGCCAAAAAAAAAAACAAGTGTTCATCAAACAGTGTGAAAACGAAATTGAAAACAAGAGAAATATAAAAAGAAAGCAGAAACCTGTTACAGCAAAAAAGTCCCAGTCCCTTCCCTGTATCTCAGTTCCAGCCAGACCCTAACCTCCCCAATTTCTAACCCTAATTTCGTGAGAATTCATAAACTTTCCCCTCGTCTTTTCTTTCCGGTCCACGCTGATGCAAATCCTTAAAAATCAAATCGGGTTTAGGAAATTAAAAAACAGTTTTCAACCCTTCTCTTGGTGATGTACAATATACCCCCATATTTGTGAAAGCAGAGAACTAAAGAAAACATATGGGCAAATCCCTTGCAGCTTGGCACAGAGCAAAACAATTATAGGGGTATTGTGAAACAGAAGGACGACTAGAACATCAAGAGTCGAAATGACCTCAGATGTAATTATGCGTGAAATGGTTTTGCTGATGTTGATTAGGTGGTTGGTAGTATTGTTGATAAGGGTGATTCGGGAGCGAGAAGTCAGCGGTCTTGAGAAGAGGATTCGGGATACCACTCGGAACTTGAGGTCGTGCGGGTGGTGGAGGTGCTGGTGGTAGATTGACGGGAGGTGCCTGTGTTGTGGGAGGGAAGAATTGAGCCAAGGAATTCTGTGTCGCGGCCATCTGCTGTTGAACCTGTTCATCAGTCTGCCACTTCCATTTTGCTTTCAATTCCTTATTGATGAATCCGACCTTCCATCCAGTTTCAGTTCGAATCTTTTCAAAGATTTCAAGCACCTCCTCTTGTTCTCGACGGATCACGAGACATTCAGCAGCAATGGCTAAAGACCGCAATGCCACACTCGCGACACCCCTATCTTTGACGTGTGCAACAATGCCACATATTTGATGAGCATGATGCATTTGCATTGTACGCATCTCATCCATTTCTTGAGGATACAATGGATGAATTTGTGCCAGGAGACACATTGCCGTGTGGTAGAACAGACGACCGACAATTGTAGCACGTTTGATAAGCCTAATTCCGATTAGCATGTTTTCCAACGTTTGTGTCATGATTTCGCTCACCAGACTTCGGGGAAGGCGGATTTGGAGCTGTTCTGTGCTGGTTGCAGGTAAGCCATTGGTTGCATGGTCCTCGGAATATTGTCGTTCCAGCTGTCGCAGAGGTTCTTGTAGGTTTGCCAATCCGCCAACCTGGTCTGAACTCGGTTGTGTTCATCATGTGCTGATGGTTCTTGAAAGCGTGGTATTGAAGCTCGAAAATTGGCGATCTTTCCCACAATGTACAGCATGCGATGTACCCACACTTCCTCCTTCCCGAATTCTGTTTCACGTTGGAAATCCATGTCAACACCCCACTGATCTGGCTCCCATGCCAATTTCCAATTAAAGTGAAGACAGCTCAACAGTTCCATACCGACGTTCAACCAAAAGCATGCTTGACCGATTCCTGTACTCCTAGCATTCCAGCCACACTCTTTGATTAGCGCCCGAGCTCCTGCAATATGATTCATTCGTTGCATAGCACGTTCGGACATTATTTCGTAAACATTCAAGATAACTGCTGTCGTCGCACATACAACAGTATCCCGGTCAGGATTCTGCAAAGAGCGAAGCAACTGAGTTGTGGCTGTATCGTAATAGTAAAGTGCTTTATCTTCGTGATACATGGGATTGACAAGAGTTAGATGTCGAGCTCCGCAGGCGAGAAAAGCGTTAAGCAACATTGGTTCGCTCAGGGCGTGGAATGGAAGCAATCTCGAAAAATGCTTCGTCTGGTCCATACTGTCCATCCACAGCCCTACCTCTTCCACAAACACTTGCATGAACAAAACTTCCTCTTGCGAGTCTAGAAAACCTCGAGGCTCGTTGGAGGCGGGAGTCAGAGTTTGTTCGGAACCATTGGAGTATGAAAGCGAAGGGGGAGCCATAAGAGACACATTGCTTCCCCCATGTGAGTGTTGAACGCTATTGTGTCTCGAACTCGATTGCTCATATTTGACTGACAGGTTACCATCCGAGTATGAGGTTGCATGGTGTTGTATTGGAGGGAGTGCATTATGGTTGTGGTTATTTTGTTGTGTCGGCGGAGGGGGAGCATCGACTCTCATGGGGCGTGTTGCATTATCGAGGGGCTGGTCGCGGGGAGGGGTGATAATTTGTTGGTCGAGATGCGCATATCTCTTCAACCCTCCCTTATATTCTGACGCAATTTCTCGCGACTCGTCTTGAAAATTTACTGTGCTGAAGTTAGCACACCGCACCTCACCTCGATCGAGCTACATACCTTTCCAATCTGCGGTAGGTGGAATAATTGGTGGTGACTTCACCTGGGTATCTATAAAATTCAATCGCACTCCCCTCTTGCATTGTCGACTCGATTTCTGGCAATTCAGGCAGTTCGGCAGGCCCTCGTCGCACTTCAAATGCCTCTCTCTGCACGTCAAACATCCTGTCCTGACTCTCTTTGGTTTATTGACCACTGCGACTGCCGGAACCTCGGTCGCATCATCGTTTCCCGCATCCGGCGTCGGCATCGAATTGGAAGTATTTCTTGCTCTCACTCCTCCCTTCACCGGCCTCACTTGCCCACCGACCCTCGCCTTCTTGGAGGGACGGGGCTTGGTGTCCTGTAAAAAATTCGGGGGATGCGGCGATGCGAATTGCGGTTCTCCCACCAGAGTCAGGTCGGATGCAGTGGATGCAGAATACAAAGGTGAGGGTTGGTATGGATATTCGAGGTCGAAACCAGCCGCGAGGTAACCTTGGCTATCGTATGCCGCCACGATGAAGGAAGGTTCTGCGATTGCTCGCAGTAGTCGCGTCAGAGATTCGGTAAGTCTCCAGGAACATTGGCGTCCAGCTTTCCCTGTCTCGGCAGTAACCTTCGTGGCGGATGCGAATTACTCGACCATGGGGTCTTGGACAAAATTGGCTTGTATGATGCACTCGGAATCAATGCTTGCGGTTTCCTGGTGGAGAGTTTCCGGGTGAGTGAGTGCTCGAATTCGTAAACTCCGGGGGACGCTGCTGCCAATCCGGTTCGACTATTATCTTTGAGTTTGTAAAAATGAACGAGCTGCGGAGAGTTGAGTTTCCGAGATCTGGTTCGCGGGCGAGATTCTGGCGACTGAAACCTGCTTCGAGCCACGGCCAGACCTTGACGATGGGGAATCGATGGTGGCTGCCGAGGAAGTTGCAGTGGAGTGCTCCGTCTGTGAATGCGTGATGGGACGTGATGCGCCGTTGATGCGTGCTGGGAGCGAAAAGGAAGGTGAATTGTCTGAATGAAAGTGCCTGGTCGGGGAGATGCAATTGTCCGTCTGGGTGCAAAGTGTATGGTTGGATATCTCCCGCACTGTGACCGTGAGTTTGACAATCGGATGAGAAGTGATGGTTGATCCCTGGTCGCATCGACTGGAATCTCAGATCTTTTTTTGGTCGGCTTGGATTGCCTGCTGCTTGCCTTGCTGATGCTGCCGGGACGACGCAGGGCGGCAGAGAGCGGACGAGGGCCTGCTTTTAGTGGAGACTACGCGAAGGAGATGGCCTGTGTGCAGCGCGGAGGGGAACAATGGGGGACGACAGAGGGAATTTGAGGGATGCTCCTCGAAGGGCAGAAGGGCACACTCGGGGGAGGAAGGGCAAGATTTCCGTGCAGAAATGGTGCCGTGCAACAGGACACAGATGCGACTGAGTCTCCGGGTAGCGGGTTGAGGAGGAGGAGTGGTACGAGTAGCGAGTAATAAACTAGTGACGATTGTCGAATAGTGAGTGAGAATAAGAAATGGAAACAGTATCAGAATCGCCTTTCCGGATCTCACAGAATGAAACAAAGGACAAGAAGATTGAGTACAGTCATATGTGATATCGTTGCCGAAAGATGGAGGAGCGGGGGTTTTGACAAAAATATTATTCTGATGGCCACCGTCTCCTGTAAGTATCGTATCTTTTCTGTTGGACTCTCCTATTATTGACATCTTTAGCATTTTACCCTCGTTGTCGGCGGGAGCAAGTCGGCCAGGGTCTTATTCTGGGTCGACACACATAAGCAGCATCAGGGGCATCGTCGCCATGTACAGGGCTCGATCTCCAAACAAGGCTTGAGTGAGCCCACAGAGGAAGGAAACCAAGATATCTCTCCTGCCCGCTGGTGTCTCGATCCTTGCCCCGATGTCAGAGGCGCACTTCCCCTTGAAGCCCTTCCCAGTGGCCGCCAACCGACGCAGCCGTACTTCTACCCATACAGTGGCAGACACACCACCAGCCCACACAACCTGTCTGCACATCGCTTCCCGCTCTCGATAGTGTTGGTCTGCATTCTGACTGCCTCGTGCGGTGTAAGCTCCTATTGGTAGCGCGCGAGGATATGTAGGAGAGAGACTTTGGTTCAGATCTAGCTGCTGCAAGGATTTATATTAAGATGGTATCGAGGTACAACCCACGTCTATCAGCTCTCCAAACAAATCCACACCTACCTAGGAACGCAATAATAGTGTGTAGTCAATCACGTCCCAGAAGAGCCACAGCGGTCCGTTTGCTCGTTGTCCCACGTCACAGAGATGCCATATCCATCGTGCTGCAGCTGTCGCTACAAAGTCCTCGTACCGCATCGAATCCAGGGTGGTACAGAGAGAAAGCCACTTGACTTCTAGAAGTTGAGCAAGAAATGAGAAGCAAAGGAAACAATAACAACGCAATAATCAAAATTCATAGGTCAAGGGTACCGAAGATCTATCCTCGATACGAAATTGAATACATCTTTTCTGAGGGGACACAGCCACGGAAGCTCAAAACTAGGTCCAGGCGTGCAGCGCGTGAGGAGAATACTTCGGATGAGATGTTTCCCGCGAGAACCAAGTCGGAATTCTGTAACACAAGAACGGAGAAGAGCACGAACCCGCCTGCCCGAGAGTACAATAACGTGTGTAGTGGTCCTGCTTGGACGTAATAAGTGGCGAGATCTTGACGGTGGGAAGACGTTTGTCGTTCTGTTCCCCTGAGGTACCTGAGTACTTCGCTCCAAATGAAGCTGATGATGGATCCGTCTCCAACTTTGGATCTGCCTGTTCGAGATGTCCTGCAGCACGGGTGCGTCACGGCGCCGGCAATTGAGCAGAACACCCACCAGGTTGGAGCCCCGGACCACATCGTCGCCCAAAGTCGCACTTAATTCATCTGATATTGGCTGGGATGGAGTGTTGTCAGTATGGAGAAATTCCGTGAGGATCAACTGGATCAACCAGGTTGGGAGACCGACCACCTGGTGGCCTTAGAATTAAATATAGGTACTACCACGTGACGTGCGGGGCCATACTCGCAGAATGAAATCGCTTCATTGGAGACGACCTCATGCCTAAACAGCTTGATCTCATATTTAGCATTTTTCTTCTATCATCAGGCGCTTAGAACGACATGATAGAGGTCTATTCATATAACTCTGTATTTTCAGCTTCTTCTTTTCAAACGCTACCGCACGCCTCCGGAAAATGTTTGCTTCGCCATGCTGGTCGCATGTTTGAGGTTTTGAAGCGCCTGCTTGTGACACCTTTCTCCCTGCCCCGATCAAGCTCGTCAAAGACGCGCCTCAAAAACATACTTCCATCCCAGCTGCAAGACCCAAAAATCCATCTGTTGTGCATCCAACCCAATCGAAGTTGACAAGTCGTCTACTCCATCCAACAGCCTTTAGACTTTAAGCTTCAGTAATCCGGTAGACAACGGACCCAAGGAAGCGGGAGATCAACACCATCCCCGAAAATCCTGATGATGGCTTTACAGCAGACCCAGCCTCAACCCCAACCTTCATACATCCTTCGCGGTCATGCATCGCAGATACATTCGACTTCCTTCATTCGACAAAACACCAGACTCATCACAGGCGATGCGGAAGGATGGATTGTGATTTGGAGTATCGCCATTAAAAGACCCGTCGCTGTGTGGAGAGCGCACGAGGGTTCTATTCTTGGAACAGGTGCGTGGGGTACCAACAAAATTATCACGTATGTTTCTAGCCTCAGTTCCCGTCATTGCCAAACTCGCCATCTATATTTGTTATCTGACCATTCCCCTTTCGCTCAACTCACATATACTTTATTTCAATATCCTCCAGTTAGAAACACTTCTGGCAATGTCTCGTCGCCAGAGTTTCATGGTCGCGCGCTTAATCTTACATATTTGCTGATCAATGAGGCAGGCATGGAAAAGACAACAAATTAATAGTATGGCAATTATCGGAGGAAGATGAGCAAGCAATGAGTATAGTTCTTCCGGTTGATACTCCACCAGAGCCGCGAAAACAGCCATGGCTTCTTCACGTGCTTGATGTAAACACTATGAATTTCTGTTCATTTGCTCAAGGTTCAGCGGACTCGTCGACGTCTTCAAGCGATGGCGCCGGAGAAGAGCTGCTGATAGCAGTCCCCAATACAATAAGCTCTGAATCAGTGAGTTTGACTTTTCATGGATTGTCTCGATTTATACTGAAGACTACCAAGGTCGACATTTTCCATCTTCCATCGTCAAAACGATTACACACGGTATCACATCGAGCTGCATTCAAAGGAGGCATGGTTATGGCGATTTCAATTTTTCATCATCCAAAATCCCAAAATCTTACCGTCATAGCAGGTTATGAAAGTGGTCATACGGCGATATCGGAATTATCTTCCACCAACTGGAAAACGCTCTACGCAGCTCGGTCACATACCCAGCCTGTTTTGTCCCTTCAAGTGGATCCATCTAGAGAGTTTTGCGTTTCATCTTCTGCGGATGCTATCATTGCTAAGCACCCAGTGCCTTCGGTGCCAGAAGACACTGTCATGGCCGTCATAAGTAAGCCACTTAAAACCGTCCAGACCAAGCACTCTGGACAGCAAGATTTGAAGATCAGAAGCGATGGCAAGATCTTTGCGACTGCTGGATGGGACTCTAAAGTTAGAGTCTATTCTGCTAAAAGCATGAAAGAGTTAGCAGTCTTAAAATGGCACAATGAAGGCTGTTTTGCTGTGGCGTTTGCTGTCGTATCCAGCGCTACCGAGTTGCACTTCCACACTAATGAATCCCCTACTGGAACTGCCCTTACAAAAACCGTTGCGGCCATGACCGTGAAAGAAGAGAGACTTTGGAAAGCGAAGACTGCTCACTGGATCGCAGTCGGGAGTAAGGATGGCAAAGTAAGTCTCTGGGATATATATTAAAATGACCCTCTCGGTCGATTACTCTTGGGTTTCTTTTTATCTATTCATGATGCAGAAGCTATCGACCAATACGGCATTGGCCAGATATTGTTTGCAATGCCGATTGCGAAACAGATAAGCTTCACTAAAGCATTTTTGACCGTTGGCTATTCATCTACGCAGCTGAGGCATTGTCTTCAAAAAGCTGGTTAAATCTTCGCCACAGAGTGCTTAATGTCATATGTCATCTCTAGCCCCGTATTGATGAGTTGTGCCATCCTAGCTTTCTGGTCCGGTAAGTTCAGGCATTCAGACCCCCAAATGGTTACACTGACTGACCCCTAAAAGACAAACTTCGAAAGACAGCAAATTTCGAGCTTCTGCGCTATGTGAGCTATTTCCCGAAAACATTTGATTTTGTGTAACTATCGCAGAAGTACGCATGGCAAAGAACGTGGCCCATTGGTGGGCTTATTTATGAAGATAGTCAGCCGCACACCGCATCCTTCCTCACACACAAACACATGACTACCCAACGGCCACCACTGCACAAGCACGGCAAATAGCTCTCGAAGCAAGCATCTACAGTTACAAGATGTCAGATCGTATCCTAGGCATCTCCGACACTTCTAAATCCGTGGAAGCATCCAAACTTCATGCCTTGTGTCAAACCTGTCGCAAGGCTTTTACCAGCACCGTGAGCAGTCCATTGCTGCTGCCGCTTTCCCCCAGTCACGACGCTGAATTTGATTTCATGCTTCATAGCTCATTTTTTTCGTTGAAGGTGTCTGTCGACGAGTTTTGCCACTTCTGCACTATCGTCTGGGAATACCTTTTTTTGAACTCCGATCTATTTCCGCTCTCCCCTACTTTGCTGGAAGAGCTCTTGAAGGCAGATGATAGTCCGGTATATCTTATACTCACGGCAAACCGATGGCCTCGCGGACAAGACGGCCGATCATATATGGTCTCTTGTCCTCGCATCTTAGAATGGGGTTTCACCGACAATCCCTCCTTTTTCGAACACCTTGTTATTGCCCCCAACAATCATGACATCCTTGACCCTTACTCTCGACCACATCCTGCTCAAGCATATATCAATACTTCTTCGGTGGAACACAGTCTTTTGGTAAAATACTGGTCCGAAACATGTATTTCCCAGCATCAAGTATGCCAGAAGACTCAACACTTTGTCCCTACGAGACTGATTCTCATATCTGACGATGGCACTCACGTTCGCCTTTGTATCACTAAAAACGACCACAACTGTAGTGTCTACGTAACACTGAGCCATTGCTGGGGTTCTGCGAAAGACGTACCGAAACTCACGTTGTCAACTCTCACTTCTTTCACTCAGTCAATGCGAGTCCAGACTCTTCCGAGGACTTTTCAAGATGCAATTGCTATTACCAGAAATTTGGGTGTCAAATATATCTGGATAGATACATTGTGTATTATCCAGGATTTCGAAGCTGATTGGATACATGAAGCTGGTCTGATGGACTCTTTGTACGAAAATTCTTTTTGTACCGTAGCTGCTGCTTCGGGACACAATCCACATGACGGCATATTCATTTCTCGAGACCCTTTACGCTACTTCCCATGTTGTATTCCTCACCAGAACGAAAAATGGTACGCTCTACCATCGATGGAGACCGGAAGTCAATCTGTAAGGGAGACACATCTCAATTCGCGGGCATGGGTCTATCAGGAGGTCATGTTATCGCCTCGAGTCATCTATTATACGACTCAAGGGGTTTTCTGGTCATGTCGGCAGGGCGAAGCAACAGAGGGAGACTACCGAGGCAGGAAGCATACGTCAGATGGCGACGGCACACCACTTTTCCATGGATCTATAGCTAAGGATGTTCGCCATACCCTGGTGGGTTCAAAGCGTACCACTAGTCATTCTCGCATTGCACCATTCTCTGGCTCATCTAGTCTTCAAGTCCTTTTCCAGGACTCTAGAGAATTAATTGCCAATACACAGTTTTCATCCATCAAACCGGGGCTGTTACAAGAGTCACCGGTCACAGCGCCAAAATCATGCAGTTACCAATGGTTAAGTATTGTTGTGGAGTACAGCCGACGTAATTTGACTAGATCGAGTGATAAACTAGTCGCTTTGTCCGCTATTGCAAACAGGCTTGCTAAATCTTGGAAATACGCATATCTTGCGGGTCTGTGGAAAGAAAGTCTATACTATGATCTACATTGGAGGTGCGTGAACGGGCCACTGGGAAATGGCTCCCTAGATCGACCATCTGTTTACCGCGCACCCAGTTGGTCCTAGGCGTCTGTCGATGGACCAGTCTCTTTTGACGCTGACCTTTTGAGTGAAACGACTACAAATCTGGCAGAAATTATATCTGTCTCCGTCCAAACTCGCCCCGAGGACATCTACCAAACGGGTCAAGTCTCGGACGGTACTCTCGTTATACAGGGAAAGCTCATCAACGGCCTTACCGTCTGCAATGAAGCAATAGTGGGTCTTTTACGCTTCACCACCGATTACTCCGCGCATTATAAATCCAGCTTCTTCTTAGATACGCATAGTGTTTATCCCAAAGTGCCTGCTCGAGCTTGCTTCTTACCACTAACTCTATTCCAAGACACAGATCGGCCCGGGCATACTTGGCTAGATGGATTAGTAGTCGTGGAACGAGAAACTCCGCATGAGGGAATCTTTGATCGGATTGGGCTTTTCAAGATTGTCAGTTATGGTGATAAGGAAAGATTAATAAGGGATTTTGCATGCGATATCGAAGAAAGAGAGGTTGTGTTGAAGTAATCGACCGACCGCCACATGTCCAAGTAATGATAATTGCGATGTTTACTGTTCCTGGAGACATGCTCTTAACTTTCATTGTAAGACCCACTCTCTTTTTCTCTTTGCTTACAAAACCCTAAAACTGCAACAAGTTTCCTGCATGTTTCTTTATACCGTTCATGTGCTTTGAACTCACATGCATGACATAGATCACCGTTTGAGCAGTTCCTGTCGGTCTGCGTTTGCACGTTACACAACATCATCGCAAGATGTTATTTATGAACAACTTCTTCACTCTCGTTGCAGTTTCTCTTGCAACACTCTTCAAAAGCTTTTCCAAATGGCCCTGAAACCCCCAATCAAAATGCCGGTAGGAGGAGCTACGCGTGGTGGAAAGATTAAAAACACTCGTAAAAAGGGACCGCCACCCGCAACCAAAAAGTCGGCAGCAGGAGCCGCGGGCGGTAGTAAAACTACAACAAAAGCATTGTACGTATCAGCATTCCTCTTGCCGTCATCTTACTGATTACTCGAAACAGAACCAAAGATCCTGAAGCCTCTCTACCCCATGACGAACAAAGGCACCAGCAACGCAAAACCCAGTTTTATGAAAGGGGTGCCGACACCAGAATGGAACACTCTGCTCAAAAAACAGGAAACGGTCTTACGAGGCCCCAGAGCAAAGGAAGTGACGATCTCGAAGCTGGATTTCGTGTACATCAATCTCTTGGTGGGAGATGACGTGCAGGGAGTTGACGAACCCAGTACGAATGTGCAAAGTCTGGTGCTGGTCAAGGAGATTAGGGAGTATGATGGCGAGGATGATCTACTGTGGATTTATTGGTGTGAGTGGAGGGAGGAGAAGTGGTGGTTGAGTGCCAATCAGGAAATTCATAAGGCGGATACTGTTGCGGAGGTGCTGGGGGATAAGAGTGTGGTGGAGACGGAGAGGGTTATTGGGTATAAGAAGAGTGTTGAGATTGTGAGAACGGAGGGGTGGTTGAAGGATCTTTTGGACAGGGCGTTGGCGGCGGGGACTTAGGATGGTTGAGGAGAAGGTTGGTGGTTGTGTTGTGTTCCGGTGTAAGGGGAGGCTAGATAGCGGGGTTTAGAGATATGGTTGTATTGCATGACTATATGATAGTTTTGAGCTTTGATTTACCCACCACTATCTGAGTGGACCTGAAATGAGCTTGCAGTTGACAAGACGAGTTAGAAAACCGACTGACTAAACTATGAGCGTTATAGTTAATTTCTTTAATTTCTTTAATTTCTTCAGCTTACTAATAGAGATTTGAAATCTTCTTATTGATTAAGAATAATAAACGAAACGACCGTTGTTTTGTCAAACTAGTCGACTAAACATCGCTCCCCGGGCGACAGCGGGTCGTTCCTGGCGGGTCGGGAATTTTGGCGCTCCCCGCATCCGCAGCATCCCTGCACAAGCTTCACTTCATCCCAAGGCGCAACAACATCGTCACATCACATCTACATCCCTCTTCGTCAGCTTATTCTTCCAACAAAACACACATAGGATACATTATCTCATCACCAATGTCGCAAAACCTGTGACCGATCCAGCAGCTAAAATGGATACAATATTCGACCTCGCGTCCCACGACCGCTGCAGCAAAGTAAACGAACCAGGCTACTATGTAAACTTGTCATTATCAATGTACTTCCCCCCATCCCCTCTCCCTCTCCCCTCAACTCTACGGGCTCTAACACACCTACTACAGCTTCATCCTCCTCGGTATCCTAATATCCTACCTCCCGCAACACTACCGCATCATCGCGCGCGGCACCTCCGAAGGCATATCCCCCTACTTCATCCTCCTAGGCACGACCTCCGGAACATGCGCGTTTGCGAATATTCTCGTGTCGCCGGTGTCGCGCGCCGACGTGGAGTGTTGTAAGGTGCTCGGCACGTTTGATTGTGTGGCTGGGCTGTTGGGGATTGTGCAGGTGGGGATGCAGTGGTTTTGTTTTAGTGTGATGTGAGTATTTCTATACTACGTATATGGTATGGTGTGGTATAGATCGCTGATAGAGATAGATTGTTATTATTCCTAATCTTCTTCCCGAGAACGCCGCGGGCTGAGGATAATCACGCGGGCGATAAATATACGTGGCGGACGGCGCTGACGGTTGCGTTTGTGTGTTTGTTACATGGGTTGGCTGTTATTATCGTCAGTACGGCTTTAGCGGTCTCAAAGCCTGGGTTTCTGGAAACTTGGGGGAATATTCTGGGAATCACGGCGACGGTTTTGGCGGCTATACAATACCTTCCGCAAATCTGGATGACCTGGCATCTCGGCCACGTCGGCAGTCTTAGCATTCCCATGATGCTCATTCAAACCCCCGGTTCTTTCGTCTGGGCCGCTAGTCTGGCAGCTCGTCTGGGTGTTCAGGGATGGAGTACCTGGGGCGTATTCTTAGTGACAGGATGTTTACAAGGTTGTCTATTGGTTATGGGGATTTGGTTTGAGGTTCAGGCGAGGATGGAGAAGGGGGATGATGATGGAGAGGTGACGAATGCTAGGTGCGTGGTTGGATATATTGATAATCAGAGGGATGGAGCCGAGACGGATGATGAGGGCGGTGCGGTGGTGGAGAATCCAAGTGAGAGGAGTCCGCTTTTGAGGAATGGGTCAAGGAAGACTTCGAGGTCGGGGATGAGGGATTGAATTGCTATGGATTGGGTGGGAGAAGGGCGTTTTGTAGTATTATTTTGAGGGGTTAGAATGTACTAACAAGGGTTCTCGCTGAGGTGATGGGTTTGACTTCAATATCGAATCCGTCTGCTTTACTATTCATTCAGGAGTAAGATACACTATTTTTTATTTGTTGTCTTGTGTTTCCGCAAAATTGTCTGCTTTGAAGTTTTCCAGCTCCTTCTACTCATGTCTAGCTCCTATACCAAACTCCTTCACCCGAATCACAAACCACATCCTTCTCCTTCCCCTCATCAAAAACCTACAACTTCCCCCTCCAATCCACCTCCGTACCCTCCCCCGCCCCCTCGGGAAACGTCTGCAGCAAATCCCTCAACTTATCAAACGGCGCGGCCAACAACCCGGCCAATCCCTCGCTCAACACACTACTCGTCGGCGCACTCGGATGCGATTTCGTCGGTACGAACTTCTTCGTCCTGGCGAAACTGAGCGCGATCTTCTCGGATTCGCCGGGGGGAAGCACGGATTCGAGACGGGGCATGTCGTGGTTCTTTTCGTGCTCGATGTGCGTGTGCAGGTCTGTTATTAAGGTCTCGAGGAGGGTCCAGAATTCGGGGGTTTGCGGTGACATGTTCTGTAATTTCGACAAGTCCTCCTTGACCTAAATCACATCAACATCCAACCCTATCCATCCTTCCCATCACGTATTGCGGCTTACAGCTTGATGTTGTTCGAAATCCTCCTTCGCCAGCGCTTTCCCTTCCACGCCGAGCCATTTCTCCATTGCAGGGTACACGGTCAATTCTTCGGAGATGGCGTGTCGCGCAAGGTTCCAGATTAGTTGGTTGCGCCAGGCGAGCTGGTCGGAGGGGGTTGAGGCCGCTTTGAGGGAGTAGTAGCAGGTGTCTAGGTAGGCGTGGTCGGTTGCTAGGGCTTCGGAGATTTTCATTTTTGTGGTGAAGGGAGAGAGGGGGGTGGTTTGGGCTGGTGTATGGGATTGAGGGGTGGAAATTTGTTCGAGGATGGACGGTATTGGGAAAACGTAACGGGTGTGAAAGCAAGTAAGAGAAGTTGAAGAAATATATAGAAGTATTAAGGAAAATGCATACTTATTAGCTGTAGTTATATACTTACCAATGCTTCTATGATCACTTGAGAGTACTAGCTGAATTAGTACAAGATGGTATTTATATTTGCCACTTGAAAGCTCCCTAATTCCACACTTTTCATTCGATATAAACTGATCGGATTTCTATAACCGAAAACTAAAATGCCATGATGAAGTCATCTAACATAAATGTCAAAGCTCCAGGAGATCAACCTGCATCCCCATATTCTCGCTTAGGCTGTCCCTACTAGCTCTAAATTCTTAGCGGCACCCTTAGGATTTCTTGAACATCTGCCAAACCTTCAACGTTCGCATCAAACCACTTTGACCACGACTCCACCATTCCAAAAATGTCCAACCCACCCTCCGGCGCCTCAACGCCCAACCCCCGCTTCACCACGCAAACCAAAACCGCCGAAGACCTCCTCGCAACCCAAACAGAAGGCCTAGTAAACCTCTCCGATTTCCGCAAACGCCGCGCCGAAGCAATCGAGCAGAAAGAACGGGATGCGCAGGAGAAATTCGCAAATGGGGGGAGTAGTAGAGGGTCTGATGGGTGAGTACCGATCATCCAAATCAGAGAAGGGGATGAGGGGAAGGGGGTAAGGGATGGGACTAATGGCCATAGTACAGTGCGTCTACACCCCGTGAACCATTGAAGAAGAAAAAGTGGAAAATCGGGACGCCGAAATTGTCTTTTGGGGTTGATGATGAGGAGGGCGAGAGTACGGATGCTGCTACACCGCTGTCAGGGTCGATGTCACCGAGAGGAGGAACGCCCGCGGGGGATGCGCCGAAGAAGAAGAAAATCGGTGTTAACTCATCGATCGCTGTTGCGCCGAAAGCTTTGACTAAGTCTGCTTTACTGAGGGAAGCGCAGACGCGAGAGAGTTTGCGAAAAGAGTTTCTGGTGATCCAAGAGGCTGTGAAGGGGACAGAGATTAATATCCCGTTTGTGTTTTACGATGGCACTAATATCCCCGGTGGGATATGTAAGGTGAAGAAGGGGGATTATATATGGTTGTTTTTGGATAAGAGTCGGAAGGTCGGGGCGGAGATGGGGGTGGGTGAGAAGGGATCGAATATTAGGAGGGAGTGGGCGAGGGTTGGGGTGGATGACTTGATGATGGTTAGGGGTGGGATTATTATTCCTCATGTAAGTTATGAAACCCATAACTCGGTCCCGCCAGAGTATCCGCTGACAATGTCCAAAGCACTACGACTTCTACTACTTCATAATGAACCACACCCTCGGACCCAACAACCGCATCCTCTTCGACTACTCCGCCGAACCTCCAGCCGTCCTCCCAGAAGCTCCCGAACCCATCAACCTAGATACCTACAACCCACTCTCCGTCCCATCGAAACAAAAACCCAAAGATGTTCCAACAGAGAACAAGGATTTGGAGGGTACGAACGACGATCCTACATTGACGAAAGTCGTCGATCGACGCTGGTACGAGCGGAATAAACATATCTTTCCGGCGAGCGTGTGGCAGGATTTCGATCCGGATAAGGATTATCAGAAAGAGGTTAAGCGGGATGCTGGTGGGAATGCGTTTTTCTTTTCTTGAGATTCGTAGGACGAGGGGGTTGGAGAGTGAGGTAGATGAGATATCTCTCCGCATATATACTGCATACTTGAGATAATTCAAGATAGAAAACGTTCCAACAGGTTGGAAATCTAAATAGAAATCTAAACGCCCATTAGCTCACTCCCTCCCCATCACCCGCATTCCAAAAACTTACATCCATCACCATCCTCATCCCCAAACAACCCACCTCCCAACCCACCACCCCCCAACAACAACCACCCATCCCGGCCAAAACAAAACCAACACAATCCCATTCCCATTCCCCAACACGAAGACCACGAATTCAAACCATAATTTGTTTCTTAGGCCTTTACTCTTTCCCCATCCGTACTTGACGACCTGGGTTCCTGATTTGATCGTCTGGTGAAGTAGGGTGAGGGAGGTCGTGTACGTTTGCAGTGCTAAGAGAGTGGTAAGGTGACGAGCGTGGAGGAAGAGGAGACGGGTGAGGATGCTGAGGTGGAGAGTTGTGTGGAGCGCTAGGATGGAGAGGTAGTGGGTTGTTTGGAGGAGGAAGAGACGTGTGAGGATTGAGAGGTGGAGGAGCGGGATGTGAGTGTTTAGAGCTAGGAGGCTAGGGAGGAGGTAGATGAGGCGTGAGAGCGTGGTACGGAGGGAGAGGGTTGGCGTAGAACTCTTTGTGAGGGTTGTGTGGTGGACGTCGGGTGGTGGTTGTGTGAGGCCCATGGTGAGAGCTGTAGTGACCGTGTTTGTATGTTTGCTGAGACACAGGAAGGGAAGGAGGGGGAGGAAGTGTGTAGTGGGAGTCAAGCCATTGTTATATCTCTCATCTCCCCCACCTATTCACAGTTCCACACTGTCACACCACTTAAGCTTCATGATGCGCGACATTTAGATCACGATCGCTTCCGCTACCACTCTGTCGCAGTACGGTTAAACCTTATTTATGACCCATGAATTATATATGTTTATTAAATATGTGGGGTTTTGATGAACTTGAAGTAACTTGTTATGGGTATTAGCCGCTGCAACCGATTTCCTGGCGGTTTCGTGCGAGATGGTTTTGTTGATATGCATGAAGACCTGATTGCGGAGCTCACGAGCTTGATGTCAAGCGAGGGAAGGTATAGATTTCCGAGGAATGATTGGAAGGAGAGTTGATGTTGAGGTAAGAATGGGATGGTGCTTGGTATGCAGGAGACTAGTATTTTGAAAATGAGTCTAGAATCTAATGTTTGGTTCGAGCGAGTTGTGAGAAGGAGTGAGAAGGGTTTATTGAGGTTCGTGGGGGTCTGTGATGTTGTGATTCGTTGAAAAGGGGCAGGAGAGGTTGGCGCGGGGTCAATGAGGGGCATGTCCGATGTAGGATTAATCATTGAATATTGATTTGAAGGTGCTTTATTGACTCGTATGTAGATTCGTTCGGAGTGCGTGGTAGAGTGAGTGGCTGAGAGTGTGTTTCATGAAAGAATTGGTGTGGTGGTTATGGGAAGTTTAACATCTCTGATAATTGAATCTCACATCGCCAGAAAAATGATCTCGATTGGCGGGAGAGAAATTCTTTTATGGCTTTGTAGAGCCATGAATACCTTCTTCCACGAGGCTAATCTCGGGGAGAGTCAGGTAAAGACCTAGTACTATCCGGGAGGTTTCGTTGGCGTTGCTGAGTAGGAAAGCCACAACTCTTCCGTCGCCGTCGAGGAGATAGCGGTAGCCCAGGCCCAGTAGTGAATTCGATCTATCCTTTCCCATGATACCGTCTCTTTCAATGCCCTTAATTATGGGATATCAGATAACTAGCATGCTGTTCAAGCACCCTGGTTGAAGTTCATGCTATATCCTCCAGTCTTCTCATCCTTAACCATCTGAAAATTATTCGTCGACAGACCAAATGGCTTCAGTATGCCATTTCCGAGCTGTTTTAACTTGTCCATCATCTCTCCTGTCTCCTTTTCCTGGGCTGCTTTCGTCCGAGGTGGTAGTGCTTTCAGTTGCTGCTGAACGATTCTCTTATCCGCTGCCGAGAGATTCGGCATAGTGGCAAGGATTTTGTAATCTAAAAATGTCAGGAAAATGATTATCTTAAGGGACTTGGAGGCGTCATCAATCCATACCTTCTTCAGCACCCTGTAGAACCGACCAACCTCCCTGTTCGCTCCTGGCCTTCGCCCTCCTCATCAAAGCTTTTGCCTTGATTCTCTCAATATCCGCAAGTCTCTTTTGCTCTGGCTCTGGCTTCTCCACGGGAATTTTGGACAATCTTTCCCTTGTAGCATCACTCATAACCACTTCAATCTCCTCCTCCTCTTCCTTTGATAGCTTTTCGACCTTCTCCGCATTTTGCTTCTCCAGTCTCTCTAACCCATCGAGAGCTTCCGTCGCAGACTTCACCGCTTCTTTCCAATCCTCTAATTTAAGATGACAAGCTGAAACATTACTTTTCAGGACCGCGATCTCGTAATCTAGGTAGTTCGGACATGTTGCTAGTGCTTGATCATAACTGTCTATCGCTTCTCGATATTCGGATTTGGCGAATAACGCATTTGCAGATGCTTTCTGTGTATTGGATTCTTCAATTAATGCCTAAGAAGATTTGTCAGATCATCCAAACGGACTATGTCAAAGGAAAAGGGAAGCTCACATACAGCTTCTTCCTCTGGAGAAAACTTGATTATCTCCTCTTCATCGTTCTTGGTTCCTTCAGACTTCTGAGGGTCCTCATCTTTTTTCTCTGGGAACTTGCGAGCGAATTTCTCACTGCGAGATGCCATGATGGCAGGAGGTTGTTGTGCTTTGCGAGTTGTAGAAAGTTAGGTTGATAGCTTCAACTGGTGCTTGGTGGGGCGGAACGTTCCCGCTTTTCAACCCCTGCCCTCTATGGACTTACCAACATCAACCGAGGAACATCACCACTCCTCATGAAGTTCATGATATTCACAAAATAATAGTAATAATTAGACTACATCGAGATGTCTACTAAGGCAAAGCAAGTTTCTCTCCTTGAAATTCCTCATGAAGAACCAAATACTAACGGTCTATCCTAGTCCCCCTCCTATTCGAGCATGTATCTTCGATATGGATGGACTCCTCATAGATTCCGAGGACAAGTACACGAGAGGTACTAATGAAATTCTGGCCAAGTATGGGAAGGGACCTATTCCATGGGATGTCAAGGCAAAACTTCAAGGTCGACCTGGAACTGCCGCTATGGATATCTTTCTGAAGGTTAGTTAACGGAAATCTGTCCTTCGTTTGTCTTTTCCCTCGTCAATTTCATATATTTTCGTAAAGAATCTTAGCCTGAGTCAAGGTTGAACTTAACTTAGCAAATTGCAATGCTTTTTCTATTACACTCAGGAAACTGTGCCTTTCATATGTCGCTGCTTGTAAATTTCCAAGTGTGCTTATCTTGAAGACGTTTTCTTTTGACTTTACTCGGTATCACGTTCACTCCAAAGTCTTCGTCTCATGTAGAGAATCTGAGTATGCCCAAATCCCTGAAGCTAATACAAAAGTTTGTTCAGTGGGCCCAGCTTCCTATAACAGCAGAAGAATACACAGCCGAACAAAATGACCTCCACACCAAATACTTTCCTACCACAGCACCGCTCGCAGGAGTCGAGACGCTCTTCCAGCAACTCTCGGTTGCTCGTACAGCTCAAGAAGGCCATCCTGTCGCCATAGCTCTAGCCACCTCATCTCATCTACCCAAGTTTCGGCTCAAAACTTCTCACCTAGAGCCTCTATTTTCAATCTTTCCACCGGAGCAACGAATTCTCGGCGACGATCCACGCATTCCGTCAGGTCGTGGCAAACCGGCACCGGATATCTATCTTCTAGCACTCTCCGCGATAAACGATTCTCTCCATGCTTCTATCCCGCCAATTCAGCCTCACGAATGCCTGGTTTTTGAAGACGCGGTGCCGGGTGTTGAGGCTGGAAGAAGAGCTGGAATGCAGGTTGTGTGGGTACCGGCTTCCGGATTAGCAGAGCTATATCAAGGAAGAGAGCATGAGGTTTTGGCCGGGAAAACTGGTGAGGGTGACGATTTACTGGGTCCTAATGAATTGGGAAGTGTTGGTGATGGCTGGGCTGCTCAGATGAATAGTCTTGAGGAGTTTGACTGGGCCCGATGGGGAGTTGAATTTGCCAATCGTGAGAACAAATAACTTCTAGAAGAGTTGATAACACTGTGGATTTGAAAGCCAGAGGTTCGTTATCACAGTCGATGTTTGGCGTCACAAAGTATGCTGCCGTGTTATTGACACATTTACGCCTTTAATACACTCTAGCTGAATATTGAACAGCAGCAAGGCCCTCATAGCAAGACAAACAATGTAAGTAATTTCTATATGTTTGAAACTGATTGTCACAATGCTAGTTGCCACTGAAGCGCTATGAGATATATTCCAAGAACGTACCAGCCCTCCATCTTCCAGCATAAATCTTCCACGAGAAGTCCAAACTTATCATACATATAACCCTTACGCCTAAAAGGGAAGAAACAAAACACTCGTTTAAAAGAATGATAAGAAGTGAAGATTTTCAGAGCATAGACTAGCTTCCGATGACAATCAACATTTGCTGGGTTGTATGAAATCTACCAATCGGTCTCTGTACGATCCCATGGGAGTTCCTCATCGTATAGCAGGGTGTTGAGATACATTTCTCGATACCAACCAGACTTCCCAGGGAGGCTATGGGTGTAATCGAAAACTAAATTACTTTTCAACGACTTGATTTCAACCTGAAGATACTGTCGGTCAGGGAAAGGCATGGGAATGACGCCTGATGCGGTCTCCAATTCTGAATCTAGGTCGTAATAGAAGACGGCACTGTCCTGCCAATAAGCAGAGATCTCAATAATTCCGTTGTTGCTCGCCTTCCATCCATGCTGGAAAATTTTGTAGAGCACTTGGTGGTGAATTTTCAAGACGTGATCTCCAAGTTTCCTGTAGTGTGACAGTACTAATGGACCCAATTGTTTGTCGAGCATCACCATGGCTCTACCAGACGAAGAAAAATCATCATCTTGATAATGATCACCTAAGCCAATCGAGACATCATACCTATCATACGTATGGACCTTTGACCAGGACCCAACCACCAGAGTTAGGGCTTCCCGAAATAATGTGGCATGACGCAGCTTTTTCGCAAGAAGTAGTATCTCGAACAACATGATTAGAAATTCGGGCTCCCTTTCCTCCTCGAGCCCATGACCTGAGCGCGATGGTCCGAACATAGGACTGTGAAGTAGCGCATCAGTCAGTGTAGCGGAGACAACAGGTAAGGCGCAATAATATTCGGCGGTCGTTGTCAAGCGATCCAATTGGTCATAAGTCTCTATCTTATATTCCAGGCGATACATGGCGCGGAGTATTTGATCAATTGCCATGATGTCTCCCTCGGGGTGTAAGTAAGCCATTGAGTCGTTTGTTGTACTAGGTGTTGTCTATGATACGTCAGAAAGCCCAAGCACATACACAGCGACCGTACCTTTTCCGAAGACTGTAGAGACCAGCCCCTCCCTTCCCCTGAAAGATGATCAAGGACCGTCACATACTCGTACTGGAAAGCTGCTGACGCTGGCGCTCCAGATTTATCAGGAGAGTCCATAAATTGACGAAAGTACTTCGAGTGCATTTTCAAGACTATTGAGTGTACGTGGAAGGCTAGTTCCCATCACAGTAAGCTGAGTATCGGGCGGTCCCAAAGGACTCTTAAAAGCTATCGGGGCTTTCTCAGGTTCAGCGACCTTTTGCCGTTTGTTAGGATTTCCGGGAGCCATCTGCGCTGTTACTTGAAAGCTGGACAGCTCTTGAAGCAATGGTCGAAGAGGAGAGGAAAATAGGCTAGTGCGAATAGCTACTCTAAACGTTTTTGTCAACTTTCGAGTCGCTACTGCGATCTCTTTAGGTATTCGTGGAGAAGCAAAAAGTATGTAAAGATGTCAAACAAAGGGGTTGACACGAAAGCACGTGCCCTCGACACGCGTCCCAACGCGCGCGCTCTTCCAGATCAGTTCCTATATATTTACTATCGTGAAAAGAGGTATGATCAATCAAGCAGTCTGAAATGTCTGGTACGTTTTGGCGATATAATTGAATCAACCTGAAAGTTCATTCTGCAAAGATATTGTTTGAGCAGAAAACACCATCCTTACGTCCAACTTACTAGATAATTATATTCAATCTTTATGCGAAGCGAAGACAGGTTTTGTGGAGACTATTCTAGTTTACGTTAGGCATTCGATGAATAAACATAGGCTGGATAATGTAGGGTAGAATAAATCGAGTTTCCGTCACCAGTGTGACGCGAATCTGACGGGACACCTCATAGTAGAATAACGATGTTCAACCTAAGAAGCTATATTTGCTCAGTTTTATCATAAGTAAATATGCTCTACTACTTCTATGTTAAAGATTAAATATGCTTATTGAGGGAGCAGTGGTAGAGTGTCGTCTTCTGGCAGTGTTATTACACTAGGACGGCCTCTTACAACACACTCGTGCCTCCTTAGGCGAGGTCGTCTGAAGAGCGGGAAACTTGATCAGAAGGTAAGGTATTTTCCCTTTCGAAATCCAATAATATAAACGTTGTCATGACTGCCGTTTGCCTTTAATATTGCTGAAATTCACGACTGTATCTAAATTGTGTTAGCAATAACACCACTGTTCCCTCTGGCTTCGAGAAGTGTTCCCTTTTAGAATGAGTGGCAATGTTTTTTGTTCTAGATCCAAGTTTATGCAGACATGTTTTTCAACACTCGAAGTTTGACACTACCCACGTCTCCACATTGTATCCAAACTCCTCATTTCTTTGTTGACAGTCTGCACAGTCTTGGGTAAATGACTGTTGTTGAAGTGCCAAGTAGGTGCTTAAATATAGCACTATAAACTAGGAAGATCGTGACACAATTTTGGGACATGAACAAAAAAAGCCATGCCAATTATAAGATCAGTATGTCGCACATTTAGGTACGCAATCTTGTATACAACTCGCCTAACTGCCAGTCCACACCACCTCCCTTCACCAACCAAATTTCCATCTCTGGAAGCTTAAAACAGATGTAGAGACTATGTTGTATACACCACTACAAATTATCTTAAAGTCGAGCTCTGCAACGAAATAAGAATGCTACTGACACCTAGTACATTCTTTGGGAGAAGGATTAAGTGGGGTTCAAGACCATACCATCTACGTAATGCTGCGAGAATTTTTTGGAGCATCTGTCGCAGCTTAAAATTACTTCTCTATTTACGCACTGAGTAGTACACCTGACGTGTTGGGAACAATGAGAGTATGGACAGAATTAATTTCATCTCAAGAATCACAAGCTGCTGGTTCCGTATTGTCCCAAATTTGCTTCTATACCCACTAACATTACATTACGAAAGTATGTAATTGCTACAGAATGACTAAACCATTTGTACGAACCACCTAGTGGGTCTTTAAACCAGACATATAATAAGAATACTGACAGAGACGTTCCAATAAGCCTAGTAATATAGCATGAACACCACTGCCACGCGCACCCTCCCCAGAATGTAAGTACGATAGAACACGTTTTTCTCGTGACTACCAATCGGTCTCTGATGTATCCCATGGAAGATCTCTATTCTTGATGTCTGTGCAAATAAATGCTCGGTAATAAAATCCTTGTCCAGCCATATCACCGGTTCGATCCAATTTCAAGTTGTTCTTCAACAACCTTGACAATCCGTCCCTAAGAGAGTCAATCTCTACCATTAATTCATTATTTTCCATCAAATTCCCGGCCATCTCTACGGAACACTCCTCTAGAACCTCTCTATAATAGAAAGTAGTTTCTTCCCAAGTGTCAGGCAGCACTCGGGTGGTGCGCTTTGGTCTCCATCGATGGTTGAGCACTGCCATGAGGAGGTGATGATGACATTCCACTACTTGCTCGCGAAGTTTGTTGTAGTGCTCCTTGACCAAAGGACCTAATTGCTTGTCGTCCTCGACGAGCACTCTCCACGTAGAACATGGATCATCATTAGGACCCAAATTCGGAGCTAAGACATCGTCGTCATTGTCTTTCGACCAGTTTCCGACCACTATGATCGCGACGTCTCGGAACATTGTGGCGTGGCGAAGTTTCCGGGCTAGGAACATGAATTCACACGCCTTTTTGATGAATTCCTTGTACAAGTCCTGAAAGTCTCAGGTGCCATCTGATCTGGATACTCAAGAATAGGGCTGAGTATTAACGCATCAGTTAGGGTAGCTGATACCATAGGCAAAGCACGGTAATACTCGGCAATATCTGCCCTGAGTTTGAGATGAGAATAGCTCTCTACTTTGTACGGCAGACGGTACATAGCGCGAATCATGCGATTGAACGCACCAGCTTGCTCGCAGGATCCCTCATATGCCAAGATCTCTGTTAATGATGCGGGCTCTGCCTGGAAAATGTTAAAATTGAGCATGGAGGTAACAAATTTAGGCTCTGTTTACTCACCTAAAAAACTGACAATTCTTTATCGAATTTTCAATATTAGCGTAAGGCTAGTAGGGGTCAAAGTAGACTAAAACCTAGAGAACAAGGGTGCGCTAAATACCCTATAGCGAGTACCCCGAACGCCCTGTAGCGAGCACCCCGAATACCCTATACGAGGCCGCCAAAATACCTTATATATTAGTCGTAAGTATATAAAATAAATACTTATTTATTAGAAATACAAAAAGAAACACGAGGTTTACTATTTTAAAAAGTTAGGGTTTTTATCGATTTCGACGACGAAGAGTAAAAGAACCTCGAGACTACTATTCACAATTGTTAGAATTCCTCACCCAAAAAATCACAAGTTGATAATTAGCACTGACCTCCTACTGTGGGGTCCGAACTAAAGTTTTAGCGAGCGGGAGCCCCAGAAAACCGTCAAAAGCCGAGGCAGGGAGCCCTATTCTATTCTAATAATTTGACAAAGATGTCAGATTTTCAGGTGAGTAAACAGGGCCTTAACAGCTCACCTTTTCTGAAGACTCTAAGGACCAGCCTAATCCATCTCCTTCAGCAACTTTATCAATTACAGTCACATACTCGTATTTAAAAGCCGATGATGCTGGGAGGCCGGATTTGTCAGGCGAGTCCATGAATCGGTTGAAATACTGGGAATGGAGTTTTATCGTCTGATTGAAAAAAGGGCAGCGAAATCACTTACCAAATGACTAGTTGACTATGATTCTTTGAAGCACTTTGAAAACAATGAATTTCTATAGTCCTAGGATTAGTGGACAAGTTAACTTATGTACGAAAGGTTACTAGCCTGGTTAAGCGAGGCAAAAGGGGTAAGTAACCAAAAGTCACATCCTTTCAATAATGTACCCTTTTGATCACGGTTCTACATCGTCATTAATGACTTCATGGAAGGATTTCAAAGCTTCGTAGGGTTGAAAGGTCGTGATGATCACTGAAAGCAACTGTCTTCAGGTGACGGTGTGGATTCTCAGCACAAAAGGTTACATTCGTCACCAATTATAATGAAGTAGAAACATTTGATTAGCATCATTGTAACACTTGAGGTCTGATATCTTGAACGTCTTCTGTGGCAACTCATCCATATGCTAGTGCCTGTTCAAGTAGGACAATACATGCCAATCTCGGTTCCTGAGTGGTACCATGTTCAGTCATGATTCATGATATTTGAGTCTTGGACACAAACATCTAAAATTGAGCACAACATATAAAACTCAATAATAAAAGGTAACATCAAGTCTACCAGTTTCGCGAGGTAATGTGACGACGTGGTGGCACAGATAGAACGACTAGCAGTTTAACAGTCCGTAGTAGCTCGTCTTGACAACGAACACGCAAGGTCTTGTTCTTTGGGAAACTCTAGTGATGGTCTCAGATTACCACCAAAGTTATCTTATCATGGGGTGCCCAGTGAGATCCTCGAAAACTTCACGGTGGCTCGTTATATTGTAACTGTTCTGTGAGTTCTGACTCCTAATACAATGACCATGTTTTGCAACTTTTCGAACATACCATAGCAGTCCCATGATATTATCAGAACTTTTCTACCTCAGTATTGTTTCGCAAATGATTTGATACATGCCGGTTGGAGTTGTTAGTAATACAGAAGAAAGGCCCAGCCCTAAACAGCTATTTTGTACTACAGCAAATATTAACAGTATTTATATCCCCGAAGATTTCTTCTGACTATCACCTCTCTCATCACTCTCCATCGTGCGAACTCTCTTGTAGACCCACACAATGGCCTTCAAAGTCGAACTCTGCGCCGAAGCCGACATGGCACGCGCATTCGAAATCATAAGCGAAGCATTCGGCCATGACCTTCCCTACATCGACGCCACGTTCCCATCACATCCAACGACAGCTGGTCGCGCTATTGGGACTTCAAGATTAATAGACATGATGAAGAACGATCCATGCACTACGTTTGTCAAAGTCGTGGATACCGAGACGGGACTTATGATTGCGCAAGCGAAATGGAATATCTACAAAGACACGATACCGGAGGAGAAAGACTTGGATGGCGATTTCTGGGTAAATGAGGACGAGAAAAGATATGCGCAGCTTCTATATCGTCAGTGGTTGATTCCAAGACGTAAAGCTATTCGGGAAAGTGGAGGGAATCTCTTCTGTAAGTCAATCACTGTCAACGTGGAGCTAAAACACCCAATTTCTTCGATTTAACGGGGCTGACTGCGAGGACTTGTAGCACTTGATCTTCTTACCGTGGATCCAAAATATCAACGCCGCGGCGCCGGTCGTCTTTTGGTGAAATGGGGGACTTCGCAAGCAGATAAGCTCGGGTTGAAATGCGTAGTCGAGTCGACAGATCCTGGTTTCGGTCTTTATAAGTCCGAAGGATTCGAACATTGTGGTGTTTGGGAGACAGAATTACCAGATGAGTGGAAAGAGAGCAGGAGAAAAGCGAAATTTGTGTGGATGGTTAGAGAACCCCAACCAGGACAACAATGGTTGGCTTCAAGATGTTTGCGGAAATACTAGGAGTTCATTCGACTCAACAAGTTAGATAAATTCTAAAGTTTTAATCTAGCTCGATTAAGTGCCTATAATCACTGCCGTGCCAGTCAATCCAATATGTTTAATACTTGGTGGACCGGGAAAGCAAAAATAACGAAGAATCGTATCTAGCTGTCTAGTGACGTTTTGAAGTACGAATTGACTACGCTCACCAAAACGTATTTGAATACGATACAGTAAAAATATTGAAAGGATTGTAAAAGTTGTGATCGATTTCCATAGAGTCCATATTGCCGACACTCTGAAATTGTGTATTCTAACACCTGTTTTTTAGCAAGAATCTAAATTGCAGATACTGAGATTAAGAGGAATCAGATAGAGGCAGCAAACTCAATGTTCTCTGACAAAGTCGCGGTTGAAGGTAGTTTTGCTAAACAATAGGGACATGCTATGCTTTTTCTCCAGTTTAGATTTCTTGTCTCCGGCGTCGTGGCCAAGATTCGAAACTTTCCCAAGTAAGCAGTTGACTTGATATTTGGAATGTTATATAATTCTTGCTACAATGCCCCCATATGTGATAGCTACCAAACTGTATGCTCTTGATGAGCAACACTCCCATCATAAGCATCCTGCATCCAAAGAAAACGAATTTTCCTTCAGTATTGCTTCCATGAGTTGCCGCTAAATACCGGCATCCACACCTAGATCATAAATCGAACCAGTAGGTTTCCATCCTGCCACTCGAATGCGCATAGCAATTATTCAACCCTTATGCAACTCCACCGCCTCCCTCAAGAAAATAATGATGCTAAGTCCCCATATGTAACGCCACTAAATAATATAAGCAGCTTCCCGTGCCAAGCTATTGGCATATATTGTTCATAAGACTATCATGCCTTAGAACTTTCCTGCCGTGTATTTTCATCGTCCATCGCCTCACTGAACTGAGATCTCGCATCATCGTAAATAGATTCTCCGCCGGCAGATGTGACGGCAGAAACGTGTGACCTTCGATTCCCAGGATGTGCGATTGGAAATAGATTCGGTATAGAATTATCGGTGTATGCGGAGTCCTCGGCGAAGCCGTCTGAAGTCTCGCTGGTCGTGGCGGACGCAACATTGTTCCGTGTGTTAGGATTTACACTGATATTTGGAACAGTGCGTTTCGAAAATTTGGAAGGCTCGCTGCCCGGTTGAACCGAATCAGTGTCGTTAAATTGTAGTCGAGATCGCGAAGGTTCCAATTGTGACTTCGACGAAGGCGCGGAGTATCTCGAATCAGGATGCTCTCTTAGAAGACTCGATTCGCTGTTAGGGCCACCCATGGTAGACCGAGTATCGTAGAAGACATTTTCCTCTGTGCCAAAGTTCATCCGCGTCACGGTTTGATGCTGAGGTAGGCCATTGTCATTAGACTTTTCTGGAACTCCGTTGGCATAATGGCCTGGCCCATGACTTCCATCCGGGACAATGAATCGCTTATCTATTCTCACAGCGAGATACAATGCGACAACTATAATTTCGATAGTGAAGTTGAACAGGTAGAAACACGTCTTACTATGATACCAGGCAGGATTGTTTCTGGGCCGTGGAACATAACTAGTACCTGCTCTGAATGCTGCACCTAAGGTGAGAATTGTGCTCGCGAAGGCTACAATGCCTATCTTTGTTCGAAACCGTCCCCTTCCGAACTTCTCAGCAGGTCCCCTGGCAGGTATAACCAGCTTTAATAAAAGTATCGGCAATGGTAGAAACGCAGCAACCGCAAAATATGTCGCTCCATAAAGTTGGACAACCCGGTCGACACGGCGTATTTTCGTGTCGAGAGTATAAAAGCTCTGTATACTCACGGCAATCAAAGCTGCCAGTGTAAGAACAATCGTAGCAAAGTAAATGTTGAAACTGAGGGCGAACCATTTCTTCCAAGCCCAGTGAGGATAGCTAGCTCTGAATATCCGCTGTGTAAATATGAGATTGACGAGATACAAGATAATGACTCCTGCCTGAACAAATATCTGGGCTGCAATGGCTATTCGCACATTGCTAGAATATGACGTCCATACTATTCGCATAGTGCAAGTGACGATTCGTGCCATACAAAAGCCGAAGCAGAGGGCTGAGAGTGGAAATAGCCTTCCATGTTTCTTGTTAATCACGAAAGTTGACATGTGTCCGACAGCACAAAGGACGAAGAGTGCCAGAAAGACAGCCGTAATTGGGTCATCGATTGATTTTACAGGAAGCCCTCCCAGAAGAGCAGAATTCGGTGGGTAGGGAGGACCTGAAGATTTGTTCGGTACCTGGAGCTGGTTGGCAATCATAGTCTTCTAGCAGATCGAAAGAGTTACTTACTGTTCCTACTGTAGACATCTCGAACATGAACTTGACACCGTCCCTCTTCTGGCAACTTAAGTTTCGTACGATGCTGAATATCCCGCAAGGTGAATCACTAGCAATATTCAATGAATGGAAGTACATTGTACATGTGTCATGGTGGAAGAACTTGGAAAAATCGCTTGGCGGGATGAATCATAGAAGAGCAACACGCGTAGGAGACTGAAGGGAAGAGAAATGAAAGAGTACTGAAGGCAAGCAAAAGGAAGATCTCATCGTGGCACAATCCCGTTTCCCCATCAAGGAAGGTCTCTCCCCCCTGGGTGTAGAACATTGTCGGATTCTCGCCTCCATGACGCTTTCAATTGTTTGGTAAGATTATGCTCAGCTGGTCTATTCTGCAGCAAAGTGCACGAATAGCATTTGATATCCAATGCCAAATCATGATTAACCGGTTATCGTGATTCGAGATGAAGGGAAGAAAGGAAGTTGAACACCGAGGAGCAGCTGTGAGGTTGCAGAGACCAATGAGAACTTGCAAAAATGTCGGCAAACGGAGAGTTCATTTGTGCCTTAGGCATTAACCGGGAGCACGACAGGTTTCTTGCCGTTACAAGGGACTTCAACGGACATCCGAGAAACCGACAGACGGGAAGCAGGAAACAAGTTTGTATTAGATGGAATCTGCACAACATCATGCACTGGGTAAAAGGCTAATCAGATAGCTAATTGCCTACTAAAACGCCTCTAATTCCCGGAGCGTCAACTTTCTATGAATCCAACTCAAGCCAGCGAAGCCGACTCGAACATCCTCGGCCACGATCCAACAAGGTGGAATTGTTCAAGATATCATACTCAATATCTGTACTGGCCACCATCATCCACAGATTCAGCGTGTTGGAGCCACTGAAAGCTTTAATTCAAGTTAACTATTTGGACGTTATCACCATCCCTCATGTCTTAAGGAGCCCTGAGGTGTTTATTACTGTATGTGATGTTCATGTCCTAACCTACCTGAGGACGTACAAATACCCAAACAGGTAAGTTACTACGATGAAGCACTAAAGAGTAAAGTATCCTTACCCCCCGCAACTAAAGCAACCTTAAGTATATAGTTCGTCTAGTGTATGCCCACATGGTTCTTCTTAAGACGACGAATTCGATGAAAGCTTCTTTCAACGACTTAGGCTCGGCAAGGTTGTAGACTGAGCGGGAGAAAAGCATCTGAGGAAGAGAGCACGGCTCTAACATGTATTAGTGAATAGAAAGGGAGTGTAACGGTCTTTGAATTTACTATTGAACCCGTATATGTCCAGAGACGGTATTGGCTAGGATATAGAGCCCGAGCAGAATCACAGAAGCCGGAAGAGTACTTTAGAGAGAAATATTATGGTCTCAGCATTGGGCGGCGGGAAAGTCCTTTCAAAACTCTTTCTCAACGACTCGACACCATTGCATAGAATTGCAACACAAAATAAATAATCTCCTGGTGCATCAATACTATCATCACATCCCATAACTCTTCAATGACTGAGAACTCCCTTCTATAAATAGATCCCACAAGCGTCCTTATTAGCTGATTATCAGACCCCATTCCACCAAAGAGCAGCACCCGTTCTCCACTGATTCTGAGATAAAATAACGCCGCTTTTGCTTCTCCTCCACATCTCGCTTCAACGCTGACTGAATCAGGCCGTCACCACGGCCTTCATTCTCCACAAATTGATTGAGGTGTATATTTTATAAAAAACAATTTTTCTTCATAATTCAACCAATCACATAGCCCGGCTGGCACAATTGGTTAGCGCGTGGGCCTTTTAAGCCCAAGGTTGAGAGTTCAAGCCTCTCGTCGGGCGTGATAATATTCCTTTTTTGCGAGTTCCACTTCATTTGAGCTCCATTCAGAGAAACAAATGTGTCGTTAAAAACAGTTCCGACGAGATTTAGTAATAGTTTTCAAGACATCCACATAAATTAACTACTTTTTCGAGATCTGGAAAATTCTCGCTTTGGAATTTATATGCCAGAAATACTGATTCGTCATTTTTGAAGATATGGTCCGTTTGTTATACAAAAAATTTGAACGGAAGTCTCAGAAACAACGTGAAAATCAGCTCCTATATGGATATGCAAGTATGACAGAGTTCTCGGAACCAAACAGCACTTTCCTTGCCGAACCTTATACCAGACCGTAAGTTATAGTGACATTCTGGTAGTTTCCCTATCTATTGGGACAAGCATCAAAAAAGTTGTTCGTCAAACGCTTTTGCATTCCTATAGAAGTCTAATGCAAGTCTACAAAAGGGGCTATCGATTTCGACCAGGACTGTTCATGATCACAGAGTCCATACGTATTCTTTGACTACGTTTCCAAGGTGCTTTCTTGTACACAAACATGATTTTCTTCGCTTCTCATTTTTGCAGCACTATCATAACGCGTGGGTCGGAGTGATATACTTGTTCTTGATGTTCACTACCTAAAGGAAGTAATCGGGTGTACCTAATTTTTCTCAGCATGGTAAATCGTGGGGTGTTGGGAAACTTACGTCGTGAAACCATCGGCTCGCCTGCTCTTGGGCAGGGGTCAAATTGCAGGCTATATTAGTTAGCAGAGCCTCATTGCAGGGAATATCTGCCCTTACAAGGTATATTTCAGATGTTCATCAATCTCCATAATGGCGGCTTGGTTACCACACCTATAGCAGTAGTTGGGAGCTGCAGAATTAGTGTTGGACCATTAGCAACAATAGGTTGACATACCAGAGAAGATTGTGACTACATTCCGATCCTGAGACCAATTATAACCCTCCATGACCAACTGATGGGCTCTGGCAACCAGTGTCAACCCGTTGTTGTGGTTAAACGCCTCAGAGATATCCTGTCCAAACGTATATCCAGCACCTCGAGGAGATATGCCCCAACCACATCTGTCATCGGGATCAGACCATAACAAATCGCACATTGGACCCTCGTGCGGAACTTCTTGAATACGGTCGAGAGCTCTGATATTATCGAGGGTGTCAATACTTGGGGATAGACCCCCGTGGAGGCAGAAAATTTGATTGTCGATAAGCGCGGTGAGAGGAAGATAATCGAATAAATCGGTAAAGTATTTCCATACATTTGCGTTTCCATATTTTCGCAGGCATTCGTCGTAGAAGCCATAGACTTGAGTAATTTGCCGAGATTCATGGTTACCGCGAAGAATCGTAATGCGTTGAGGGTATCGGATTTTTAAGGCTACCAGAAGAGTGACAGTCTCAACAGAATAGTATCCTCGGTCGACATAATCACCTAGATGTTACAGTCAGCCCGCCTGTGGATGCTGGAGCGCTTGCATTGAGCTCACCCATGAAAAGGTAGTTGGTATCTGGGTTGGGTCCACCAATTCTGAAAAGTTCCATCAGGTCATGGAATTGACCGTGGATATCTCCGCAGACTGTAACGGGACATTTCTGGGGTTTGAGATCAGTCCTATAACAACTCAATTTAGACCGATATGCTTACCACTGGTTGTACATTCGACTCGTCCTGAAGCACCTCTCTTGCCTGAACGCGCCATTAGAATATCTTCACGCGTGCTGTATGTCACTCTGCAACCCCCCGAAACTGTTGAGAAGCGCGAATTACACGTACCTTCTCGCAGAGCCTTTGCACGTCAACCTCAGCCAATTGCTTGCACTGCATGAGGCTCTCGATCCAACCATCAAGAGTAGGTATTGTGGCCGGTTCTGACACAGGCGAGAACTTTGGTGGATCTGGTGCCCTGCTAACATCTTCCATATTGGTATCCATGATGTGTCTCTCGAAGCGCAGATCTGGGTATTACGATCGGGCGGTGGGCGTTGATGGCGGGGACCTCGAGTGACGACAAGGGCGGTCGCGATACCGAGTGAAGTCGAGGGCTGGAAAAAGAATCTCGCGTTAGGCGCAACCTGAATCTCGCAGATGCAGGCTGTGGAAGGTGAGACGGCGGATGTGGAGGATGAATTATTGGGGTATCACAATGTTGATGTTAGCTAGAGTAGATGGCACGGAGGGGTGTGATAAAGGTTGGCCCTTTTGGCGTGCGCCTTCGCTTGCAGGGGTCGCCGCATGTCCCAGCTTCTTGTAAAAGTTTCGGCAGGCATGATTCAAGAGCTAGTAAGACCAATACGACGGTCACAATTATTGGCCAACTATTTTTTTTTATCGAAATAGATCGCAAAGTTTCAACCATGGTAATCTAAGTGTTGATGGCTACAGCTCCCATCGTTTTTCACTACTATGATAAGCCTAGTCCCGCTGGGCCACCGATTCTCTGTTGGGTAGATGGATCACGACCAATGAGGCTCTTAAAGTCCAAGCCAACTTCTGAAAGCATATTTGCATGCTCTCGTGCCTGATCTATACACTCCGTCCACACCTGACCTTCGCGTTCAGTGCTACTGAGTTGGCGTGCAAGGATAGTATTGAAGTCATCCACCTGCTCCTTTGCCCATTTTACACAAGCACTCATCAAAAGCGGTGGAAAACATTGCAGGAATGTTGAGACCGTATTTTTGATGATAGTAAAGTATACGAAAGACAATTCCCATATATACTGGTTGAGATTACCCTCGAATATGCATTGCCTGTTGCGGTTAGTCTTAGATATCACGTTAGAAGATCTTCTCTTACCTGGAACGTTTATGAATCGTATTTCCTCGAGCCTCAAGATAAGCTTCTCTTGCACGGTCTTCAAATCCTAACCTAGCCAACCAGGTGATGTTGCGCAGAGTTTTCTTTGGTTCGTTGTGGGTATCCACGAGCTCACGAGTGATAAGACCTGCAAGCTTGGTGGCTCTCTCATCGGCCTTGAAACTTATAAAATCCTGGGCGACAGCGTTGCTCTTCAAACCTTTAGCAAGTATATTGAGCTTATCTACTCGCTGAACGGCATCACCAAATCGCTGCAGCGCGATATCAATGTCAAGTTCATCGACTTGGCTTTCCACCCAACGCAGATTTTGCTGCTTACCGTCGACGTCGATAAGCATGTCTTTGATATCAGACAAGGTCTCGAGCAACTCGGTCTTCTTTAGAAGCCCAGGGTCACGGGAAGCAAAGTAGTTGATAGTCTCCTTGGCCTTATTGCTTGACTCCAGCTCCGATCGAAGTCCTTTACGAAGCTCCTCGACTGCTTTCCTGAAGTTCATCATTAAGGTGCGCTTATCGTTATCGCCGGGTTTCTCCATCTTGTAGGTGTGCGAATCTTGACCCATGCCTCTGATAGATATGGCATCTCCAACCTTGTTTCTACTACCCATCGACTCACTACTTCCTGCCAGATCAACAATTTCTATGTCTAGAAGTGGCCAGCATTTGTCCGCAACAAGTTTTGAGGGGGCATTTCGCTGATCCGCAGCACTACCTTCAACCTTTCTCTTCTTCCGCGACGCTACTAGAAGATGGTCGTTGAGAAGGAATAATTGCATTGCTCGCCTTGACTTCCAGGTGGCGCTGTCCAACTCTATCCACATACCGGCGTTCTGTACTACATGTCTGCCGGGAAGAGCAGGTAGAAACTTTTGCGAGCCTTCAACATTTTTCCATAGGGCCTGGAGCTGTGAGTTCCACATTGCTGTGCGGTCAGCGACAGAACTCCTTTTATCTCTTTTACTTAGAGTTGATGGAAAACCCGTCTCGAAGTCATTGGAAGCAGATCCTTGCGATGACGCGGTCCTGAGGGCTGTGGTGTTGGTCTTAAGTTCGGACATGAGATTCCTGAGAGCACGCATTTCACTCTTCAATTTCTCCGCCTCTTTACTGATCTTTATGAACTGGGTTCGATTTTGGTAGACATTTTGCTGTAGGTCGATAGATGTTCGGTTACGCATTTTCTTCAAAGACTGCTGGTACTCATCGATTTCCTGCTCCGACGCAGTCCCAAGCAAACTAGCCACGTACTTTTCTGGTCGCAAACTTGGGTCCCTTAAAGCTTTAACATCAACAGTCAGTCCTGGTCCCCTGCCAGGCGAGGGCCCTCGACCGCCTCCTCTGCTAGCACTTGTAGGTGCATATTGACTAGGAATTGACGGTATTGAAGGGACAGGAGGTGCGGTTGCATCAAAGTCGTTCGGTAAGTTGTTAAATCGTGTGGAATATCTTCGTTTGACAAGATCAGATGTCTGCGTATCAAAGTCAACAAAGGCCCTATATTATTAAACAATCACTTACTTTTCCACTTATTTGTGGCCGCGCCTGTGGTGGACGAGACTGCGGAGGAGCAGCTTCGAATGATGCCTTTCCACCAGTGCTGCGTGGAGCACCTTCAACCTGTGGTACCGGACCAGAGATTTGCTGTGGCGCGCTGATTGCCGGACGGCCACCTTTTCGTTTTGTCCTCAGAGAAATTCCTTTCGATTCTGACATCTTGCAAGTTGATTCTCAAAATTGGAAGTTGTTGTCTCCGTAAACTTTTGGGAAGCTGAATCGCGAGGTGGTCAAGCTGTCAGAGATCCTTGTCTGCTTGCCGCAAGCAACACGCTAAAGCTGCGCTTCGGGTCCTTTACGACATCCGAAGTCGCCTTGGGCGTGTGTCGAGTTACTTTATTTTTTGGGTGGTCCGAAGCTTGACCTTCCTACTCTGCTGCTTTATTTTCGACGTCTTCTCATCTCAAAGCCTTATACCAAATTCATCGAGCTCTGCGCATCCGGCTCTCGCTCGTCTTTTAATATGCCTAACACAAGTACGATTGTCGCGGCCACGGTAGGCACAGTTGCGACTGGTTTCTTGGGTATGTTCGAAGCTCCAAAACCTGTATATGCTGCTAACTCATGATGTAGCATAGTTCGTACCCCCGAAATCGCGCGTTGAATCCAAAGCCATTCTGAGAGACTCGAAGAATGAGTTTTGAATTAGCAACTGATGTGCTATGAAGCTAACTTCTATTGAAAGTGCCATCTACTTTGACCATCGCCGGCGGACAGATCCCAATTTCCGTAAACAATTGAAAAAGGACTCAAAGCGACTAGCGCGCGCAGCAAAGGAGGAGGCAGAGGCGCATACAGTCAAGCAGAGGCAATTCATAAAACAAGCAGTCCAAGAAGCGAAGGAGGAAGGATTTCCTTCCGATGTAGAGGAGAGAGAAGCATACTTTATGCAGGAGGTTGCGAGAGGAGAAGGGCTGAGTGGTGAAGGCAAGTCGCTTGATGAGCTTGACTTAATTGCATGCTTACCGTTCGCAGGTACGGACAACGTTGAAGCAGCGCTCTGCTTCTACAAGGCTTTGAAGGTTTATCCTCAGCCTTCTGATTTGATTGCGATTTATGATAAAACTGTAAGCCTAATAGAAGATGTACTGCAAGGAGACGATTTCTGACCTAGCTAGGTACCAAAACCTGTACTGGACATACTGGCGGAGATGATTGCGGCAGATGACGAGCTCAGCGTTGGCTCATTTGGAGCTTCCGGATCTGACAGCGGCATGCCATCAGTTGGTCTAGACTAGACTTGATGATTATGGACTTCGATAATCCCCGCTCTCAATACAAACGACGACACACTCACTGGATATCCAGCCACTTGTAACAACGTCGAATAATTGGTCTCTTCCTTTCTATGTTTGTACAATTGTAAATATTATGAGGGTATGGCTATACCATATGGTGGCAATAGAGCCTGCTATGTATTGTTATAGGTTCATGGTTCTATTATATAATGAATTGTATGTCTGCGAGGAACTTCATTACACGACTGTCTTGCAAGAATGAGAGGCTGGCAAATTAAAGTGTGATTTGGTCAGGCTTATTGGAAAATAGCAAGCATCCACATCCACAGTACATTTTTGTCCTACGTTCGCAGTTCCTGACCCTAATTGCAACATGCTTTGTGCCCATTATTTCTGCCATGAAATAAGAGAACTTCTAGTTTGATGCTCAGACATGTGGCGTCGATTTCATCTATAAGCTCTATGCCAGTAAGAACCAAAGGTAACGGTCCTTCTATCATTATAGCCAAGTATAAATAGCCCATTATTAGCGCGCTAATATCTATCTTCTGCAGATTATATTAGCCTTACGAGCTACTATGTTTGTGATCGCTAGTAGGAAATAAACAAGAAACACAGAAAGCTTTTTGACTGTATATGGCAAGCTTTCCTACCATTGCTGCTGCTACATAGCATGATCTACCTCGCAAATTGGATATACCATGTGACGCCCATTTATCATCAGCTCACGACACTCAGGGTTGCTTTTGGCATGGATAGGAAGGATATCTTAGAATTTCGTTCTTAAAATTTCTGATCAATCCTTCTCAGTTGAGGTAAATATTTTGTAAAAACAGAGTATGGATCAGATTGATTGTTAGCCTGCTCAATAGGGGAATATCTCTAGTGAGAATGGATCATATGCAATATATGAGTACGAGATATCATGTGAATTAGATATCCCATGTATCTCTGGAATTCCAGAATCATCTACTTTAAAAAGCAACTGCACGGTATCATCCTACTCACTGCACTTGGCCAGCGACCCAGCGGTATAAGGTAAGACAGAGTTTAGTTTAGTGGTTATGTGACAAAGTGATCTATTGAAACTTCTTTTGTAATAACAACTGATGGAAATTCCCTCTACCGAGCGATATGTGACGGAGGGACTGGCCGTACTGCGACAATTCATCTGTGCAGACGGGGTGCAACATGGTACTGGTGACTTATACCCGGGAGTAATATTCTAGAAAAAGAATGAAAATCGAAATGACTTACAATGATAAAATACTTGTGCATTTTAGAAGTCGTTGACGTGCATTATAGAATAACCAGCACGAACCCCTTTTCAATGCCGCATTGTGACAGCCTCCAGCCGGGATTCGCCAAAGTCGCCGCACAGAGGAGACCCGCTCTAGCGCAGGGGTAATGCAGACTTCTTGACGACAGTATCGCGTCCCCAAGAACAATTTCGGTGGTTCACGCGAAGGTCAACATTACTCTTTACATCCACGACGATAACCTCAACGACAACCACCACCCCACACACAAAACGTCGACTTTCTGCCAGGATTTTGTCATAACCCTCCATCCATCGCATGCATCCAGATATGACACGAAGCTCATAGAGCCAAACGACCATGATGGAGTTAACATCTCCAAATGCGGGACCAACGAACGGTCTTCCGTCGCCGTCGGGAGTTGGATACCAGTTCGACCCTCAGCTAATCCTCGACCATCTGGCCCAAGTCTGCGAAATCACACTTGGGGCTTCCAGGAAAGATCTAGAGAATGTGGGAAGTCTGTTATCAAAGGCACGGGTTTCCGAAACTACCCAACGTGTTCAACGATGGGCCGATTCACAAGCTGCACTGTACATCCAGAAAGACAGTTATACTGCAGATACCCTAAACGGCGTGCTTGACGAAGCTGGTATGTTGCTTGACCCTAGATGGCCGCCATAGCTAACCTCTTCTCTCAGGCCCAACTACGTACAGTTATACTCTTGCGACCGACATTTCGGACTCGCCATCCACAATTTCCTCTATCGCTCTTTTGAAACGGCCTTCACCATTAGAACCTACGATACCCATTTCCTCACAAATACAAATTGTTAATTTACCGGGTGTTGCCTCGCTGACTAGCAATGCTGGGGGGCAAGGCGCCCAGGTTTCCCCTTTCGAGATCCTTCATTCAGTTGTACACCTTGCGCTGGCGCCTTATTTTGATGCATATACGAAAACTCAGCAAAACACAAATGGAAATCGAGCTCGGTCAGACGTTGAAGCCAAGACTGGCATACCAGTTACCAAGAAGAGAATCGCAGAGCTAGAATTAAGTCTGCTTCACTTGCAGCAAAATATAGAGATTCCGGACCTCATTCTTTCTATGCATCCGATGGTCCAAAATGCGCTCGATGAGGCTGCTGCTCGCAACACTCGACCTACCGCTGAGTTATTACCAAGTCAACTCATACACGATTCGACGTTTCTCAACGCGTTACAATCCATTGTCAATGGTTGGATCAAATCAATACAAACCATAACGAAGATGTCGCGAGATCCAAGTAGTGGAACTGCAACTCAGGAGATACAATTTTGGCTTTCCATGGAATCCGCTCTCGAAGGGATTGAAAACCAGCTTCGCGCGGAGGGTGTTACCTTGACCATGGAGATTCTTCGAACAGCGAAGCGATTCCAAGCCACTGTTAGTTTCTCTGCCGATACTGGTTTGAAGGAGGCCGTAGAGAAGGTGCAAAAGTACAACCAGCTGATGCGTGACTTTCCACTTGATGAGCTTCTTTCTGCAACATCTCTGTCGAAGATTCAGGATGCTTTGGCTTTAATTTTTACTCACCTCAACAAAAAGCTTCGAATATGCCCATACCCAATCCGTCGTGCGCTACCTCTGGTGGAGGCAATCTCAGCGGATCTTGATACGCAATTGCATTCCTTACTCAATGGACGTCGATTGATGCATCTTGATTATCGAGAATTCAAGGCCCTGATGAGTACAGCAGACTCGATTTGGAAAATCTGGGATGAACACATTAAAGAGTTTACCAATGTTGCACGTGAGGTAACACGACGAAGAAATGAAAAGTTCATCCCAATTAAGATTAGTCCTAAACATGCGGAGCTTCAGGCGAGGCTGAAGTATGTCAGCACTTTTCGAGACAACCACGAACAGTTACAAAAGACCATTGTTACTGTTCTCGGCCCGCGAAGCGGAGATGCTATGGCTGATGGAGCGCCTAACGGAGCGGTAATCGTCGAAGAGATGGGTGATGTTGATGCCGTAGAAGAAGTGCAACAAGCTTATGCCGCTTTGAACAACGTCGACTTGCTTGATGTGTCTCCAGAAGGAACGCAAATCTGGGTCCAGGCCGAGATCACCTATAACGAGCGCACTTCACGTGTTGAAAACTCTATTATTGCACGCCTTCGAGATCGGTTGGCTACAGCGAAGACTTCAAATGAAATGTTTCGCGTATTCTCAAAATTCAACGCCCTGTTTGTCCGACCGAAGATTCGAAGCGCGATCACAGAGTATCAGACCACTCTGATTGACAATGTTAAGCGTGATATTTCAGCGCTCCACGAACGTTTCAAACAACAATACGGCCACTCCGAAGCACACGCGATGGCTCAGCTTCGAGATCTGCCCCCGGTTTCAGGTGCGATTATCTGGGCAAGACAAATCGAGAGGCAACTTGATGCGTACATGCGAAAGGTTGCCGATGTTTTAGGCCATGATTGGGCTCTGCATTCAGAGGGACAGAAACTTCAGAGCGAAAGCAACCTGTTCCGAAAGAAATTAGATACTCGACCTATATTTGAGGCCTGGCTCCATGATGTCCAAAGGAAGCAAATCTCGATATCTGGCCGTCTCTTCAACATCAACAAGATCAGAGCTTCAAATTATGCGCTCGAGCTAGCTGTGAATTTCGATCCGCAGGTTATCGCCTTGTTCAAAGAGACTCGCAATTTATTATGGTTGAATTTTGGCGTCCCCCACCAAATTAACAACGTGTCAAAAGAGGCAAAGAGGGTGTATCCCTACGCTGTGAGCTTGATGGAGAGTGTGCGTACATTTGCACAAACTTGCCGACAGATATCCCAGATGTCCGACGTCTCAATACTTCTTGGTGGATATCAAAACGACGTATATACGCTTATCTCCAAAGGAGTACCACTGAAGTGGGAATCATTTGTTCACTCATATGACGTGCATCTTAAGCAACCCTACCTCACCAATGGCACCAACGATCATATCCAGGGTGGTCGCGGTGAGAGCAAGCACGTTCAATTTGTCCGCGAGTTCGCCGTATCTGTATCCCTTCTGCAAAGCAAGACCATCGCACTTGCATCCATAAATGTGACAGTCCAGAAGGCCCTTGCAGAATTAGAGACTTGTCCGTACGATAGCGCAGCTCTGGAAACTCGCCTCGAGACCATCCAAATGGCTGTAGACCAGCTGAACCTTGAGAATTATGTCAACCTGTCCTTCTGGGTAAAGGAAATGAATGAGAGAATCAAGGCGACACTTCTGGTCCGTCTGCAGCGTGCAATAGAAGCATGGATCGAGGCCTTTCAAGATGATCGCTCAGAAGGGGTGAATGACGACAGCCGAAAGAAACGGTTCAGTGGCTTGGAGGACGGCCTTGACCATTATGCTCCAACTTTAGTACCATTAGTCCATGAGGTCTCCATGCGAAATCAAGTCATATATCTAGATCCGCCATTGGAGTATGCGAGAGCTAGCTGGTTTTCGCAGCTTCACGACTGGCTTGGTGTAGTGTGCAATCTTCGCAAGGTAAAGGCCTCAAGGTATGAAATGTCGTTATCCACCACTCACGACACCGAGGCGCGCTTCAATGACTTACCCGCATCATGCGCCGGTGATTTATCCCAGGTGTACATGGTTGTCGAGAAGAAGCTGCAGGATATTAGTGTGTATATCGACAAATGGCTTCAATTTCAATCACTCTGGGATCTACAATCGGAGCAAGTGTATGAACTGCTGGGAGAACATCTTTCGAAGTGGCTTCAGCTACTCCAAGAAATCCGCAAAGCTCGGTCAACATTCGACACGACGGAAGTAAGCCGGTCATTTGGCCGCCTTTCCATTGATTACGAGCAAGTTCAGACCAAAGTCAATGCAAAATACGATCAGTGGCAACATGAAATCTTGACCAAATTTGGCGGTCGCCTGGGGAATCGTATTCGCGAAGTGCATGCAGAGGTCGAGAAGGCACGTAAAGATCTTGAAGTGCAGTCACTCGAAGCATCTTCAACCGCTCAAGCGGTTCAATTCATCACTATTGTGCAAGCATGCAAACGTAAAGTCAAAACATGGGGTCCCGAAGTCGAGATATTTCGACAAGGCCAGACAACTTTGGTCCGCCAGCGATACCAATTCCCTCAAGATTGGCTAGGCGTAGAACAAATGGACTCCGAGTGGACAGCGCTCAACGAAATCTTGGCACGTAAATCCAAGATTGTCCAAGATCAAACTGATGCCTTGCGAGCTAAGATCACCGCTGAGGATAAGGTTGTTGGGGAGAAAGTTATGGAAATTACAGCACAGTGGAATGAAGAAAAGCCGGTTTCTGGTACAATTGCTCCGGAAATAGCTTCTGCAACTTTAGCCTCGTTTGAGAGTCGCATCACGAAACTCAACGAAGAGTTCGAAATGGTGTCCAAAGCAAAGGAAGCACTCGACCTTCCTGCTAGTGCGGATACTGCTCTCACGGCAATACTTGAAGAAGTTCAAGATTTCAAGTCCGTCTGGGCAGCTCTTTCAACGATTTGGAAAAGTCTTAATGATCTCAGGGAGACTTTATGGAACAGCGTCCAACCACGGAAGCTTCGCTCGTCTATTGACGGTCTAATCAAGATGACAAAAGAAATGCCCAGTCGGATGCGTCAATATGCCGCCTTTGAGCACATCCAAAACGTTCTTCGGCAATTCTTGAAAGTCAACCCTGTGCTTTCAGATCTCAAGTCGGAAGCAGTACGCGATCGCCACTGGAACAAAATTTTCAAAGCTCTAAAGCCTGGTAAAAGATACTCGCCTATTTCAATGACTTTGGGCGAAGTATGGGATCTTAATCTGACTGCGAGCGAAGTCATCATTCGTGACGTGATCACACAAGCGCAAGGTGAAATGGGTCTAGAAGAATTCTTGAAGCAAGTACGCGAAGTCTGGTCAAATTACTCGCTTGATTTGGTCAATTATCAGAACAAATGCCGACTGATTCGAGGTTGGGATGACCTCTTCGCAAAGTGCAGTGAAAATCTCAACTCCTTACAAGCAATGAGACACTCGCCTTACTACAAAGAGTTTGAAGAGGAGGCTAGTTCCTGGGAAGACAAACTCAATCGGACGCATGTACTTTTTGATGTTTGGATTGATGTGCAACGCCAGTGGGTTTATCTTGAGGGAGTGTTCACTGGGAACGCGGATATCAAACATCTCCTGCCCATCGAATCTTCTCGTTTCCAGAATATTAATTCCGAGTTCTTCACTGTGATGAAGAAAGTTTACAAGCAACCGTTCGTCCTCGATGTTCTCAACATTTCGGGAGTGCAAAAGTCGTTGGAACGTCTTGCCGATCTGTTGAACAAAATCCAAAAAGCCCTCGGAGAATACCTCGAGCGAGAGCGCGTATCTTTCCCAAGATTCTACTTTGTCGGAGACGAGGACTTGCTTGAGATCATTGGCAATAGCAACGACACCTTGCGAATAGCAAAGCACTTCAAAAAAATGTTTGCTGGTCTGTCTGGACTGATCATGGATGAAGACCATCTCATCTCTGGTTTCACTTCGAGGGAAGGCGAAGAAGTAAGATTGAAGAAGGAAATCTCCCTCATCAAGACCCCTAAAATCAACGATTGGCTGGCCTTGCTTGAAAATAGCATGAAGTCAACCCTTGCAGAGCTGCTCGCTGAAGCCATCGAACGTTATGAGCCGCTGTTTAACGCTGAAGAACTAGATCAGGATTCATTGAACGAATATATTTCAGCATTCCCTAGTCAAATTGTGGTACTTGCCACGCAAGCTGTCTGGACATCGTCTGTCGAGAGAGCTCTGGAAGGCGGTGGATCATCGTTGCAGAGTTTGTTCGAACAAGAAGTGAAGGTTCTTCGTCTCCTCGCTTCCACGGTTTTGGGAGACCTGGATCCAATACAGAGGAAACGATGTGAACACCTCATTACGGAATGTGTCCATCAGCGCGATACGATTGAAAAGCTTGTCAAACTCAACGCCTCCACTCCTAATCACTACTTGTGGCTTCTGCAGATGAGATATGTCTACAAACCGGAAGGTGAATTTTCGCAGCGTCTTCATGTGAAGATGGCAAACGCAAAACTGAATTACGGCTTTGAATATCTTGGTGTCGCGGAACGTCTGGTTAGAACTCCTCTCACCGACCGGTGTTTTCTCACACTTACCCAGGCGTTATGCCAACGTCTCGGCGGATCACCTTATGGACCAGCTGGTACAGGTAAAACTGAATCTGTTAAAGCGCTCGGTGTACAGCTTGGAAGATTTACCCTTGTGTTCTGTTGCGATGACACTTTCGATTTCCAAGCAATGGGTAGAATCTTCCTGGGAATTTGCCAGGTTGGAGCATGGGGATGTTTTGATGAGTTCAATCGCCTTGAAGAGCGCATCTTGTCTGCAGTCTCTCAACAAGTCCAAAATATTCAGCTTGGGTTGAAGCAGGGCATGGAGGACGAAAAGTCACAGATTGAACTTGTTGGCCGTCAACTACGCGTCAATGCCAACACCGGAATCTTTATTACCATGAATCCCGGATACGCTGGAAGATCCAATCTTCCCGATAATCTGAAAAAGCTGTTTAGAAGTGTAGCTATGTCAAAGCCAGACAAAGAGCTCATTGCGGAGGTCATGCTGTACTCTCAAGGTTTCAACCAGGCTAAGCAATTGTCAAAACAAACAGTGCCCTTCTTCGACAAATGTGCAGCTGGACTTTCGAAACAAGCCCATTACGACTTCGGGCTCCGCGCTCTGAAGAGTGTACTTGTCAGCTCTGGCGGCTTGAAGCGTGCGCGGTTGACACAATCTGGTGGAGATTTAGGCCCAGAGGAAGAGGTGGAGCCTCAAATCATTGTCCAGAGCATTCGGGAGACTATTGCACCGAAGCTTATAAAGAGTGATGTGGAGATTATGCGATCAATTGAGGCAGAATCTTTCCCTGGCGTTGACTACGTTCCTGCAAGTCTGGTAAAACTCAAAGAGGCTATCCATGAGATTGCCCAGAAAAGGCATCTTGTCATCAATGAGACTTGGATGACCAAAATTCTCCAGCTTTATCAGATCCAAACCATCCACCATGGTGTCATGATGGTTGGAAATTCGGGCTCAGGAAAATCTGTGGCGTGGAAACTTCTGCTTGAAGCCTTGCAGAAGGTGGAGGGCGTGGAAGGCGTTTCCCATATTATTGACTCAAAGGTCATGTCCAAGGAGGCGCTTTACGGTAACCTCGATTCTACCACTCGTGAGTGGACAGATGGTCTCTTCACAAGCATCCTTCGTAAAATTGTTGACAATCTTCGAGGCGAGGAGTCTAAGCGACACTGGATTGTGTTTGATGGAGATGTTGACCCAGAATGGGTTGAGAATTTGAATAGTGTTCTTGATGACAACAAACTATTGACGTTACCAAATGGCGAACGTCTCAATCTACCCTCGAATGTTCGGATCATGTTCGAGGTCGAGACGCTCAAGTACGCAACACTCGCTACTGTCAGTCGTTGTGGAATGGTGTGGTTTAGCGAGGATACCGTGACACCAAGCATGATGGTGTCCAATTATCTGGATACATTAAGAAGTGTCGCGTTCGAAGATCTTGATGAAGACGCCGTGGCTACAGGACAATCCGCTGCCAGCGCCTTGGCTTTACAGGGGCAGGTCGCTGACCTTCTTCAAGCTTTCCTCACAACTGATGATTTCATCCTGAATGCGCTCGACAGAGCAGAAGCATTCAATCATATCATGGAGTTTACAGTTGCCAGGGTGCTAAATACACTCTTCTCCTTGCTCAACAAGAGTGTTCGGGATATAATTGAATACAACTCTCAGCATGTCGACTTTCCACTTGAACCAGAGCAAGTCGAAGCCTTCGTTTCTAAGAAGCTTCTCTTGGCTTTAGTCTGGTCTCTGACAGGTGATTGCCCGTTGGGAGACAGAAAAGCCTATGGCGATTGTCTAGCCGGCATCGCAACGTTCGGGTCACCGATCATGGGCGACAACTCTTCGTTAATTGACTTTGATGTTCTTCTGCCCAAAGCCGAGTGGTCTTCATGGCAGAATCAAGTACCCACAATCGAAGTCAACACTCACTCCATTACACAAACCGACGTGGTAATCCCGACGCTTGATACTGTACGACATGAAGATGTTCTCTACTCTTGGCTCGCGGAGCACAAGCCTCTCTTGCTTTGTGGTCCTCCTGGTTCTGGAAAGACCATGACATTGTTTAGTGCTCTTCGAAAATTGCCAAACATGGAAGTCGTCGGTCTCAATTTCTCCAGCGCAACTACACCGGACCTACTGATTAAGACATTCGAACAGTATTGTGAGTACAAGAAGACCGTCAACGGTGTCATTCTTTCGCCAACACAAATTGGACGCTGGCTAGTACTCTTCTGCGACGAGATAAATCTGCCTGCGCCTGACAAGTATATGACACAAAGAGCAATCTCATTCCTGCGGCAGCTTGTTGAACAAAACGGATTCTGGAGGACCTCGGACAAAACTTGGGTTACGCTCGATCGTATTCAGTTCGTAGGAGCCTGCAATCCTCCAACTGATGCAGGTAGAACTCCAATGGGTGCCAGGTTCCTACGTCATGCGCCACTGATCATGGTTGACTACCCCGGAGAGCTTTCGCTTCAGCAAATCTATGGCACATTCAATACTGCTGTTCTTAAAATTATCCCATCACTCCGCGGTTATTCGGAGTCACTCACAAAGGCAATGGTCAAGTTCTACTTGCAATCACAGCAGCGCTTCACACCAAAGATCCAACCTCACTATGTCTACAGTCCTCGAGAACTTACCAGATGGGTCCGCGGTATCTACGAGGCTATTAGACCGCTAGAGTCATTGTCTGTAGAGGGTCTGGTCCGTATCTGGGCTCATGAAGCCCTGCGTCTATTTCAAGATCGTCTAGTCGCTGAGGATGAACGCAAATGGACTGATGAAGCAATTCAGCGTGTTGCTTTGGAATTCTTCCCAACCATCGAGGAAGATAAAGCTCTTGGCGGTCCTATTCTATTCTCAAATTGGCTGTCAAAGAACTACGTACCAGTCGACCGAGAACAATTACGGGACTTTGTCAAAGCTCGATTGAAGACATTTTGCGAGGAAGAAGTCGATGTGCCACTAATTCTGTTTAATGATGTGTTGGAACATGTTTTACGAATTGATCGTGTTTTCAGACAGCCTCAAGGACATTTGATTTTGATCGGTGTTAGTGGCAGTGGGAAGACCACACTTTCAAGGTTTGTTGCTTGGATGAATGGGCTGAAAGTGTTTCAAATAAAAGTCCATGGAAAATATTCAGCTGAGGATTTCGACGACGATCTGCGGGATGTCTTGCGTCGCTGTGGATGTAAGGGTGAAAAAATATGCTTCATCATGGACGAGTCTAATGTTCTCGATTCCGGATTTCTCGAAAGAATGAATACTCTTCTAGCCAACGCCGAGGTGCCCGGACTATTCGAAGGCGACGAGCTCGCTTCGTTGATGACGGGCTGCAAAGAAGGTGCGCAACGACAAGGCCTACTTCTCGACTCACAAGAAGAGCTGTACAAATGGTTTACTCAACAAATTGTGAAGAATCTCCACGTGGTTTTTACGATGAACCCTCCCGAGGATGGACTCTCCTCCAAAGCCGCTACCAGTCCTGCTCTGTTCAATCGTTGTGTGCTTAATTGGTTCGGTGATTGGTCAGACCAGGCTTTATTCCAAGTTGGTACAGAACTTACGCAGTCTGTTGATCTTGATCGACCGAATTTCACAGCACCGGATAGCATACCAGTGGCATATCGGGACCTTCGTCTGCCTGCTTCTCATCGTGAAGCTGTGGTTAACTCTATGGTTTACATTCACTACTCTCTCCAACGCTTCAACGTTAAACTCCTCAAACAACAGAATCGGGTTACTTATCTTACTCCGAGACATTTCTTGGATTTCGTTGCCCAATATGTTAAACTGTATAACGAAAAGCGAGAGGATCTCGAGGAACAACAGCGCCACTTGAACGTGGGTCTCGAGAAACTGCGAGACACTGTAGATAAAGTCAGAGATCTGAGAGTTAGTCTTGCGGAAAAGAAAGGCCAGCTTGAACGGAAAGATGCCGAGGCTAACGAGAAATTGCAACGCATGGTTGCCGACCAGCGCGAAGCAGAACAACGAAAAACAACTTCTCTTGAAATTCAAGTCGCTTTGGAGAAGCAGGAGTCAGAAGTTGCGGAAAGAAGAACATTGGTCCTCAATGATCTTGCCAATGCCGAACCAGCTGTAATCGAAGCTCAAAAGAGCGTCAGCAACATTAAACGACAACATCTCACCGAAGTTCGTTCTATGGGTAACCCCCCACAAGGTGTCAAGCTTGCTCTTGACTCTGTCTGTACTCTACTTGGTCACAAAGTAGACAGCTGGAAGACGGTTCAAGCCATAGTCCGCAAGGATGATTTCATTGCTAGTATTGTCAATTACGACAACGAACGACAAATGACTCGAAATCTCCGAATCAAGATGAGGAACGAGTACCTTTCCAACGAAGACTTTACATACGAAAGAGTCAATCGTGCCAGTAAGGCCTGTGGGCCCCTTGTTCAGTGGGTACAAGCTCAAGTCAACTACTCTGAAATTCTTGATCGTGTCGGTCCCTTGAGAGAAGAAGTAGGATTACTAGAGGAGCAAGCACTTCAGACGAAAGCGGAAGCACAAGCAGTCGAAAACACTATCAACACTCTCGAACAGAGCATTGCGACATACAAGACAGAATATGCTGCTTTGATTAGTGAGACACAAGCTATCAAATCAGAGATGTCTCGAGTCCAGTTCAAGGTCGATCGTAGCGTGCGACTCCTTGATAGTCTTTCTTCAGAGCGTGTTCGTTGGGAGGAAGGCAGCAAGTCTTTTGAGACACAAATTGGAACCCTTGTGGGCGATGTTCTTGTCGCTGCTGCATTTTTGGCATACAGTGGTCTCTACGATCAACAATTCCGGAAGAACATGATGGACGACTGGCTACACCAGCTTCAACTATCAGGGATCAATTACAAACAACACAACCCCGTAACTGAATACCTCTCAACTGCTGATGAGCGGCTCGGTTGGCAAGAGAATTCCTTGCCGGTAGATGATCTTTGTACCGAGAATGCAATCATTCTGAAGCGTTTCAACAGATACCCGCTGATCATCGATCCCTCTGGTCGAGTGACAGAATTCCTCCAGAAACAAAGCAAAGACCGACGACTTACAGTCACGAGTTTCTTGGATGATTCGTTCACCAAACAATTAGAAAGCTCTCTCCGGTTCGGTAACCCTATCCTTATCCAGGACGCTGAATATCTGGACCCTATCCTAAATCACGTCTTGAACAAAGAATATCAGAAGACTGGTGGTCGTGTGCTCATCCAGTTGGGCAAACAGGAAATTGACTTCTCGCCCGCATTCAAGATTTATCTATCCACTCGAGATCCCTCTGCGACCTTCGCCCCAGATATTTGCAGTCGAACAACATTTGTCAATTTCACTGTTACACAGAGCAGTCTTCAAACCCAATCATTGAACGAAGTGCTGAAGTCTGAGCGCCCCGATGTCGATGAGCGCCGATCCAATCTCATCAAACTTCAAGGCGAGTTTAAGATTCATCTAAGACAATTGGAAAAGCGTTTGTTACAGGCGCTCAATGAGTCCCGAGGCAATATTCTAGACGACGACAATGTCATTGAGACGCTAGAAACATTGAAAAAAGAGGCAGCCGATATATCCATCAAAATGAGCAACACCGAAGGTGTCATGGCAGAAGTAGACGAGATTACTCTTCAGTACAACATCATTGCGCGATCTTGCAGTGCCGTCTTCGCTGTTTTGGAACAACTTCACTATCTGAACCACTTCTATCAATTTTCACTTCAGTATTTCCTCGACATCTTCCACACTGTGCTTCATGGGAACAAACGCCTAGCTAGTGAAACGAATCACAATATCCGACGAGATATCATTATCGAAGACCTCTTTGTCACAACATACCAACGTACATCTCTTGGTTTGCTACAAAAAGATAGAATTACACTTGCAATGCTTCTCGCCCAGGCTGCTCCATACAAGATGGACAAAACACTCATTGATGTAATGCTCGACGATGGCGTTGAAGGAACGGATTTGTCAACAGAAACTCATATGAGGGAAGAAGTCATTGCCAGAGCTTCAAAGCTGCCAGTACTCAAAGGCAAGCTTGATGCTGTTAGTGCTCAGACTTGGGACCGTTTCTTACTTGAAGAGAAAGGAGAGAATTATGTTCCTCAAATCTGGGATGAGACATGTGACCAGCGCGATCAAGAACTACTCTCGCTCCTCTTGGTTAAACTTTTCCGTATGGATCGATTTGTACCCACTGCTGAGCGATTCGTCACAGCTGTTTTCGGAAAGGGTCTTCTGGACACTACCGAGGATCTCAAGCAGACGGTCGATCAAGTCTCCGCCCGCAGCCCTATCGCTTTATGCTCAAGTCCAGGATTCGATGCTAGTTATAAGGTCGACAATTTAGTGGAACGCTCCCGTACATCTTGCACCAACATCGCCATGGGATCTAATGAAGGTTTGGCGACCGCGGACAAAGCTATCAGCAACGCCGCCGCGAATGGTTCGTGGGTTCTAATTAAGAATGTTCACCTCGCCCCGACTTGGCTACAAAGTCTTGAGAAACGAATGGACTCTCTCAAACCGCATGCCGACTTCCGATTGTTCCTTTCCATGGAGTCGAGTCCTAAGATCCCAGTCAATCTTTTAAGAGCATCCCGTGTACTGATGTACGAGCAACCTGCTGGTATACGAGCAAATATGAAAGATTCTATGGCTTCTCTTTCGACTCGGTCGGTCAAAAATCCTGTTGAACGAACGCGGCTCTACTTGCTGTTGTCCTTTCTACATGCTGTGGTTCAAGAAAGATTGCGATATGCGCCAAATTTGGGATGGAAAGGCTTCTGGGAGTTCAATGACAGTGATGTGAGTATATCTTCTCTTCCACCAAAGACACCACTAATCAGCTTCTAGTATGAATGTTCTGCGTTCATTATCGATACCTGGGTCGAAACAGTCGCAGCGGGCCGTACCAATGTTGCACCACAAAATCTGCCCTGGGAGATGATTCGAACTCTGATCATCGAAACATACGGAGGAAAGATCGACGATGAAGGTGATTTTGCCCGTCTTACTCAATTAGTGAACTCCTTCCTTACCCCCTCGGCATACGACATTGGCCACAAGCTTGTTGAAGGAAACACCGTGGACGGCGTCAGTGACGAAGATGACGGAAGTTTGATTGTGCCTAGCGGTACCTCGCTACAAGAATTCACCCAGTGGATCCAAAAGCTTCCAGAGCGAGAACCTCCAACCTATCTTGGACTGCCCGCCAACGCAGAGAAGTTGTTACTTGTTGGTCAAGGAAGAAGCATGATCGAGAACCTTGACAAGATTACAGAGCTGTTGGATGAAGGAGAGCAAATTATGGCTGAAGCCACTTGAGGTTATTTTTCATTTGTATGAAGAGAAATTTGTTTTCTTGTAGAAATAATAGGGAGGGTACTAAGGTTTTGGCGTATATTGTGTGACATGATGCTACAACGCATGGTTGTGTAAAACATGGGATGGCTTTAGCGATTGCGCTTATACCCAGTCTTGCATCTGATGGCCTTCAGACTGTCAATTTATTTGTTAAACATATGTAGCATAGCAGTAATAGAGATAACATCAACAATTTGGTGGTTGCCGGCAGTCTCTTCGTGGCAATGCTCTAAATCGTTGAGCTTACTTATCAGTTAAGTAGGAGGTAGGAGTATGGAGGATCCGTGCGAGGTGAGTTTCATGTTCATTAGTCTAATACACAGCATTTTCTAGCTCGTCTTTGAAGTACGTGAACTAGCTGTGCTAAAGCAATAAGTCAGACTCTACGGATTCACCCACATTATAACAGAGAGACATAGCATACGGCTTGAAACATCTGTCAACAAAAATAAGGTCAGAATAATCACTAATTGCTCGGTAGAACTTGTTTAGAGGTACTGTATGTCACCCGCACTTATAAAAGTATATTCAAGCTCTACTTTCACGACTTATTTGATGATATCAATGTTCCTTAAGGGTACTAACATTCCCTGAATCTTCACCATGGGAGTGGATGCAATGGTGCATGAGGAGCTTCTAATTCCAGTCAAGTCGTCGAGGTGATGAAATGTGTCATTCAGATCTAATTGCTGTTCTAAAGAACTGGATGCGAAAGGAGCTTAGGCAGAGTCTAACTCTGTCAGTATCGTGAATACTGGAGCCTCTCTCTTCAACAGCGCTACCGTCTCAATCCAAAATTTGGTCTGGGCCCTGAGCCTTCTTTTGATTGTACAAAAGAAGATGATCTTAACGGGCAATAACAGCAGGTCAGTTCTGAATGGTTTATTCAAGAGTATTAGCTATATTATTGGGAAGGAATATTGTACTTACTTCTTCACGATCTGCTCCTGATGTAAGCTCCTCGATCAACAACGTGCTGCGTCGCAGCGTCTCCCAAGTTGTGGCCGCCCTGTTCAGCAGTCCAGGCAAATATCTTGAGGACCAGATCGATGCAGAGAACTTGCGCAGAAGCCTGGATTGACGGTATTAATGGCGATATTAAATTGGAGTCGGTCTATTCGAGCGTTGAGCCCGCGCATCCACAGAACATTAAGAAGCTTGCTGGTGGTGTAACGTTCTATGTTCATCCTTTCCATGCCATTGAAGCACGCTTTGGCTGTGTCTAGCTCAGTAAGTGCGTTGGGTGCTTTGAGTTCCCTGGACTTGGCCCAGAAATGGTTCTCAGATGAGTCAATTGTCAACTAAACTGGTGCTCCAACCGCTTTCGCCGTCCAGTTTAGAGGATTTAGGAGGTGTACAGAAACAAGTGCCGTCCCAAGATTTGACCTGCACGTGTGCCTCATGCCCGGTCTTCGACTCAACGTAATCCAAATATTTTACGCCAGCATTGAGTATGACAATATCGAGGCCATCCAAAGTATCAGCGCGCTTGCCAAAGGCATCGATACTGGCAAATGACTCATGTTCAAGCTCCCAAATCTGCACTTCGATTGCTGGGTTGCCGCCTGGAGTTGCGCCTTAGCTATTTTGCTTTTTGCAACTGTTTGTACAGCAAGAATAATCCACGCCAATCCATGTGTGGCTAGTTCTTTGGCAGCCTCCAGTCCCAAACCAGCATTGGCACCAGTAATAATAGCCGTCTTGCCATCGAGTCGCACATTCTGAGGAAGCGGCTTAGGTTTGATCGTCAACTGGCGGTAGAAGAAACCAGCAAAGGTGCCCATTTTGTTTGTTAGTGAGTAGGCTTGAACGATACATGTGTTTGTTGACGATTTACAGATGAGTTCGAGCGTAAGCAGAGACAAAGCCGCGTGTCGCCAACAAGCACCAACATCAGAATGGATGGAGATGGTAGAATTTGTAAGAAATCTGACATTTGGGTGGTCAGCAAATCCCATCTTTTCACAAAAGGCTGCTTGTGGTTATACATTTTCCAGTGTCTAAGATCGATATTGACATGAAACTGAGCTATAGTTCTTTGCTGATATGTTAGGAAATAAGGGAGAATCTGATAAATGAACTTCCGTTTTACAGGCACCAGTGAAGAGATCGTAGGGAAATGTCAGCAAGGCCGATCGTCAGTATCCTGGTTAATCACGTCCACGTCTTTCAACGTGTGAGAAATACACTGCTGACAACCTGTATTTTCGAAACTCAAGGACCTTTTTGAAGAAAGACCTAGAGGCTTCTGAGTACTTAGCGGGGGACCCTAAATCTTCGCAGACATTAGCAATCTTTCATCACGCCTGTCGTGTCTTCATAACACATTGAACGATCTTTGCGGCTCTGACGAGCCTTGATTTTTCCTGCCAGCAAATATATCCACAGCCTTCTTCAGGCACCGGCAGAACCTTCCAAGCCATGTCTAAATTTAGGTGGTTATTGGACATTGTCCGCCACTATCAGCACGGCTTCAAATCCTAGCACACACTTGCATGTTCAATAAGAAACCTGCATAAGCCGCACTCTCCAACAAAAGCAAATATTTTCAAGCCTCTCGCCACCGTCCAATGATTTATTGTGTCGTACAGGCCACAAGGCGACCATTCATATCTTTGTTAAAACGCCATATCGCAATACTCGGTTTATACCGAATTGCCATCCTTTCCCAGAGGGCTGATGTCTCGAAGGTGACCCAAAAGAGATCTGTGCCGTGCTGCTCTTATGATAATGTCATTGATGCGGCTGAAAATGGAAGGCTCTATTTCCATAGGCCGATTCCTCTTGAGACGCCGCGGCTCTGGACCATACGAGTCCGCACCGTTAAATTTTCACAAGAGAAGACATTAGTTCACGCAAACAGACCTTCCCCTCCTTGGAAATTTAATTATACGTTTGTTGGGTTGAAAAGGCTCATTGTAGCCGTAACGAGCTCTTAATACCGCCGAAGGGAGGAGGCACTGGGAGTGTCGTTCAAAATCCATACAAATAGCGTTCACTGATGAATATCTCTCGTAAAGCCAATTAAAATGATTGACTACTCACATTGTCAGTCGCGAGTGGATCGTCTAGCTCATGGAACTTCGCCATCGACAGACAACGCTGTTCTTCATTTCTTTGGTTGTCTAAGGTTTGAAGAACGTCAATCATTCTTGGATAGCCTTGATGATTCGGATCGAGCGAAGCAAAGAATTCAAGACGAGAATACCAGGATACAAAACATGAGAAATATCTTTGAGATGGAAGGCCACAATACAGCTGCAGGTAGCCTGCTCTATCGTTTCAAAGTAACTTTAGGGTATAGGTTTCCCAAACTCAATAATCTTCCTCGCCCTAGAATTGACCCGGTTCCAAACGCGAGAAGTGCTGAGGCTAGAAGGAATCTGAAGCGGGCAGAAGAACGTGAAAAAGAGTTTGTGCTTGAGGATCTCAACGCGAACATCATATATTTCAAAAAGGAAAAACACGACCAACATCTGCAACCTTACGATCATCCAAAGTTTCTTCCCAGCAAATTTCCGGACCAAAAGATCAAACTCAGTCAGCTTCTGAAGGATGATTCCGATAGTAATCCTTTGATGTGGAAGTGCGAAGAGAACATGATACGGTACTTCCATCTTCCAGCAAACAACATGGAATGGATTGAGGTGAGAACACTGCTACTCATCGCATACATAATTGACTGGAATTCCAGGAAGCAATAGCAAGATACTACGATGAAAGGAACGTCCAACTTTCTGGTCCATATCAAAAACCACGAAGACCAGAAGACCACTCCAAGACAAGAATGCTCTTGCGACCGCAGTATTGGCGGGGACTTCAACATGGCAATCACATTGGCTTACCAACTCATACCAGACATATGCGCCCAAGATGTTATCCTATCTCAACAGGTATGAGATACAGGCTTCGCATAATGTTTACAGGAGTGCAGACTAATAGTTGCATAGATTACCAGAACCTCGAGCCGCAGCCCAAAAACCTAGCACTTTTTGTAAGTAAGCCTAACGATAAGAAGAAGAATTGATGCTAAACCAACCACTTCAGATGCCATACTTACACTGGGAGACTGATCGGAGAAGAGCACGTTCCGCAGAAGTTGTAAGGAGGTATGGCAATGACCGCTGGACACCATTTGCCGAGGTAGTAGATCAACGGCATACGCCAGTCAATGTTTCCAAAATGAAGCGAATATCATCAGATGGTTTTCCAGAGCACATAACGACGATAATAGAAGCTGCTCAAGGTTGGTGCGGCCCCAAAAAGATAACTCTAAAGAGCTATCAAGGACAGACCTTGTTAGGCAAGCTGCTCTTGCTAGCAGCAGCGCTGTACGAAGAGCTAGATGCATATACGGATGAAAAGATGGTGAAGCATTACCTCACGAGCAACCCGCCTCTTCATCCTAGAAGGACTTTAGATCAAAGCTACTACTGGACGCTGAGAGATACTCGCTCAAGGGATCGTGATCAGGTTGTGTATCGTGGGACGGCGCCGCCGCCAAAACTCCTGCATCATCAATGTCGTAAAAAGGCGAACAAAGATCGACCATGTGCGCAATGTCAGGAGAATGCTAGCAAGGTACCCAGAGTGGTTATGGTTGATCAATTATGGATGTGGATCTTAGATGAGAGTATGTATTTCCAATGTCCACAAATGTGTTACGAAGCTAATAAAAATGAAGATACTGTCATCACCTGTTTTCCGAAAAGGTTCGGTAGGAATAAACCAGATGTCTCTGCGGTCCAGAAATGTATCCGCACGCGATTGAGGGCGGCAAGAATCGATGAAGTCCGCTCAGTCTACGATCTCGCAATTATTATCATTGATCAATGCTCCAGAGTTTTCTTTGATCGAACGCAATCGGAGGATCTTCAGCCCCAGGTAATGGATTGCTTCGGCAATGCTATTGGTAGGGTGGTAGGTTAATAGAGAGCTCATAAAGTGCTCGGCTAATCAGTTCAGACACACAAGCAAAGCATAGCATTCGACCATTTCTGGGAATGTACACGACTTGCATCTAAGCGATACAACTCCCGTAACGAGCCGGACAACGGCACAGCCAAGAAATCACAGAACGTCTTGCTCGATATCAACCCAGAGGGAGATTTACTTCGGGAGATCAAAGATATTATGGATGAGATTTTCATTATGATGCTAATTAAGAAGCAGGAAGAAACGGTAGCTCGAACGTTCGCTAAGCATATCAAACCACTTATAAAGAAGACAGCGTACTTGAGTAATGCGGCTGATAGTCGGACATCGGATGATGATAGCGATTCAAGCCGACGACATGACGATGGACTCCTGGCTTCTCCTGTACTGAGACAAGGTCCCAAGATAATCATTCCCCGTTCTGCAGTTTCAGAGGATTATGAATGGACATCATCGTCTGCAAATGAGCTAGTCGAGAGAATTGAGAGTCAATTGCAGGAATTGAAATACCTCCAGGACGCTGCTGAGAACGCTTCATTAGCTGTAAGACTCATCTGGTCCTGTCTTTACAACCATTTACTGACCTTTTTTAGTTGAAAGACCTCTTGAGTCTGAAACAGCAACAAGCCGGCGTTGTAGAAGCTCGAGAAGCAGTCAAACAAGGCGAAGAGACTTTAAGGCAAGGACGCGCAATTATGCTTTTCACCGTCATCACCATCATCTTCCTACCCATGACTTTCTTCCTCGGAGTCTTTGGCATGAACACCACGGAACTCATAGGAGACGCTCCCGGTTCGAGTAACTGGAAATACAAAGACGTCTTCAAGTTCATGAGTAAGTCTCATCTTTTTCTTCCAAGACTTATCATCGTCCTGACTACAGCCACAGTTCCCATATCGAGTGTAGTAATCACCTGCTCTCTCTGTCTCGCATTCTCCAAGCTCGTCCGCGCAGTTCTATCTTACGCTTTCAACATTTCCTGGACCTACTTCATAACGCAAACGTCGCTCTATGTTACCTGGCGCGATACTTCGTTGAACAGTAAATGGTTGCATGAAGATCGCAAGGTCAAAGTCAACGCTATGAAGACGAGAGCAAAGCAGAAAGCGCTGGAAGAAAAGATGAAGCAGGCTCGGCGGGTTGCGAAATTGGAGTCAGACGCAAAGCAGAAAAGGGAAATCAGGATTAGGTCGGGAAATATTGCAAGCTATAATATTGCTTCTCCGATTACGCCTACAATGGGAACAGCGGCTTTTGACACCCCGAGGAGGAATCAAAGGTTGCGGTCAAGTGATTTGGAGATGACGGGTGCCGTGATGCAAAACGGGGGATGAATCACTTCTGTTTTGTAAAGTGTTAGCTGTAAAGTAACGTGTAATGTATACATTTTGTACCACCTGAATCAGAAATCGACAGTGTGAGTACACAAGGCCCCAGTGAAACCTCGAGGAATCTTCGGCACCTCTGGCCGACTTGATAGGCAATGACCAACAGTCAAAGTCGAGTGTCTCAAATCTAGAATGTTTTTGCAATCGGAAACTCACAGTACTTGTCGTCAATTGAATGAGTTGAAGTCGAAGATGTCAAAAATCAAAGCCTGTTGTAGAAAGATCTTCCATTAGCCGCTCTTTCTTGTATTGCGTCAACCGCAGATTTCCACTCTGGTTGTGACTTTCGAAATAAGATATAGCATGTCCTTACTCGCAGCAATTGTTCCAAATACACAGCAAATTTCGCCCAGATCGCCTTTCGGTCCCATACCTTCAACAGAAAAATGTTCATATTACCGCTCGCCTTACAAATCAACAAAACTTCGGGGTATCAAGAAACATCGACTTTCTCCATATCATAGATCGTGCCATCGTGATCATCGTACATGATGCTCATAAATATGATGAGCGTAGGTTTTAGCGGTCGTTTCACATAATCTCTGTCATGCCAATCAGCTCATTTCCGGTTCTGTGCTGTAGCAAGATTCTTCTTCTTCGAGTCTTCATAATTGTCGAAACCGTAGATGGGACGACCTTGACGTCTCAACGCAAATATTACCTATATTCATGTCAGCTTTATAAACCGTTCAGAACACTCTATGCCTTCTTACGTCTGGTACAGTAACTGTTTTTCTGTTACAATGAGATGTAATTTGCACCGCATCGTTCAAAACCTGAGGTCATACATTAGTACATCTTTCAGAAATTGACTCTTATGTATCATAAACCTTTGTCAAATAGTCTTTCAAGGCCGTCTTCATCGAAGAGTAAATATCAGCAGAAATACGCTTAACCCCTCCACGCCGTGCCATGCGGCTAGAATTTGTTAATATTTTTGCCTTCAAGTTCCGCGCTATGCACGCTCGACAAGTAAACATACCGAATGTCTCCCTTGGCTATAGAACACACAATTAGCGCAATTCACATTCCGGAGGCCTCGCAAACACTTACTGACACCATCAATATTGTCTTTCAGCACCTTCCTGTGATACCATCAGCTCTCGGTTCCATGAAAAGTGTATCAGATGAGAAATAAGCACATACCTATGCCTCTTAGCACCAAATTTACTACTTTTCCCCAACCCCAACCCCAAAGATCCCTTCCCTCGTCCGGGGGGATGGCCTGAAACGGTTTTCCCACCAACAGTGGTGCGGGCTTTTGATGACGACGGCCCAGCAGTCCCTCGAGGCACAGAGATTGGCGAGTATGACGGCGCCATGTTTATGATGCTTTTATCGAAGACGGACAGATCGAGCCTGCAAACAGAAGGAAGTAAGATGTTGAGCGGGAAGACGCGTTGTGGGTCTGACTTGGGGGGCGCGTATCCACGTGATTGGACTCCGCACTGGTAAATGGGGTTGATCTGGAGTGGCTTTGGGTCTAACCGCTTTGGGTCTTAATTGGATAGATGCTAAGGGAAGGAACGGAACAGTCAAATAAGCATCAGATGATGGCCCTCACCTTTGTCGCTTTATCGCTTTATCGATGCGGTAGACAGTCAAGCAGCATGTGCTTTATTTAATACTGTCGTTTTCCCACCACATGAGAAGCAATTTAAAACATTCTAGTTCTCCTAAATTAAACGGCAGTGTTGAGGAATAACTGCTGGATAGTTGGAAAATATGGTTAGATCACCGCTTTCTCTCACTATATCAGAAATCGGCATTTCTACCAAGTGAAGTCAAGTATACTTTGGGTAAACGTTAACATTGAATTCCAAGTCTCTTTAAATCGATGACTCTATTAGGCTCAAGAGAGCAGCATATCGCTATGGTATCAACGAGTGTGGTCCCTTCTCTACAACGCCCTCTGTCTATCAACAGGATGAAATTAGGTGTTTAGGTCTCCACGATAAATGTCGCTTCTGTGAACAGTTGTCCTTCCTCTGATTTCTCATCATCTCCGACATTAATTTTCAATTGGCAAGACTTTGGAGAATACTGAAATGTGTTAGCAAGGAAGAAACTCAGCAAAAGAATATTCGACGAACTTGGTATATATATGGCTTTGTTCCGGCAGCAGCCGCGACAATGGTCTTCACAAACCCTGGCACCTCTGCCATGACGTCGATCCTGTCGAGTCTCTCGTCCAAAGGACAATCGATAACCGCCGTGATTGACTTTCCATCCTTGGTCTTACCATTCCACTGATACTTGACAGCTTCTGGTTCGGGCCAGTCGTTCTCGGAGTCGCCTTTTATCTTGGTGTGCTCGGCCACGTGAGAAGCACCGGCTGTAATTATCTCCCCATCCTTGACAATGCCACCAACATTGACAACAGTAGAGCCGTAGGATGGTGGAGTGGTAAATTCCATCATGATAGCTGAATATGTTGGACCCTGGAAATCAACAAACTTCCACTTCGCGCCCGCGTGATGTGGTTTCATTCCCTGAAGAGCATGGCTGAGGAGAGCTTTGCCCTTGAAATCGATTGGTCCATCCTTCGTCATGATCGACCCCTCCACGGTATTTCTTGGCCAGAAGCGATGTCTCATCGATCCCCAGGGAGCTTTGGGGTCGGTTCCGAAATATGAAGTTCCATCATTGCCTACCTGGAACCCAGGCGCTGTTCTAGTCACAGTGATATTGACGATAGACTTCTGGTTGACCATAGACTTTATCGTATATGTTTTCCCATCCTCCGAAAGCTCAACCGCAACGTCATCTGCGTAAAAATTCGTTTTGTCTTCATTAAAATCGATGTTGCTGAGTTGGTCGGATGACCAGAGAAATGGTTTGTTCTCGCTCCTTGGGTATAGTACTTTCAGGGTAAATTGGGAGGTTTGGCGAATGCCACTGGCCGCATGTTAGCTGGTAGCTCTCAGATCATGGAGATATCCACTACGTACGCAACATTGCTATGAATGATTTGAGCCACGGAAATATGCCCAGAGTCTGCGTGAAGATAGAAAGTCTGCGTCTCGACGCTCGTGGAATCCATATTAGCCCATTGCAAGTCCTTCCTCACGAGTTCCGTATATGGAGTGGTCTCTGCCTGTTTGGTTACAGGTTGAATAGCGGATGGGCCGTAAATCGGTTCTGATGTCCCGGCGACATTGGCCAACCTGTTGCGCAAAATGATTAGCTATGTACGGATTCGACGGAATGGCGCAGTCATACGCTGCTTTCGCCCAGTTCATCATCTTGAAAGTATTTATGAAGGTGTTGCGGATTATTAGATTGTTGTATTGGATGTGTTGCTGAAGTCTAGAATTATTTTGGAGAATAATCGCCCCTCCACCGCTCCGCGTGTGCCTCTAACCTACGTCAGGGGTCTGCCGAGATTCACGATCAGCAGGGTACATTGCCTATGCATCATAAACAGTAAGCAGCGCTTTTTTGCGATTTCTGATGCTGCGACCCTTTAAAAGTAGACAAGGTACACTTTCCTCTGTATGTCTCTCATAATTATACATATAAATGCGTTCTTTTGGTTGTGGTTTTCAAAAGACTAGCGTCGGGTTTTGTAATTGTACATGGTCCGAGCTTCCTCGTCACTCCCACCTCTCCTCGAGTTCAACAACCGTATTGTCAAACAACCTAGCCTATTGCGACTTCTTCGCTTTCGAACTTCCGATACCCATTCCGTAAGTATACACCAGATCACCTCCAAGCTTCGCAGAATACAAGACCATTGGCATCGCTACCAAGCCGCTCAATGCCAAGTTGAGCGGAGTTGGTGTGAAGCCAGGAATGTTGCGCCTCGTCCACCAATTGTAGGTCAACGCTGCGAACACGACGTCGTTCATGGCAGCGTGAAGCACCCCGGTTTTTGCCTTGGATGTGCTCAATCCATCCCTTTGGATCAGGGGCAGCAGTTGCGAGCCTCCGGACACAATTGAAGGAACCATGGTTACGAGCGCAGCAATCGTGGTATAGTGGGAGAGGGTCGGTAGCATGCTGAGAGGGATTTGAAATTGTATGCTCTTTGCCGCTGCCGCAACATAGGACGAAGTCATAGGACTTGTAGCCGCCGCATGGAGAAGGTCGAGGCCACCAGTCAGTGAAATGGCAGCAATGGGCCAGTGTACAGTGGCAGGATGAAGTGGGTGGCTATAATGATTCTATGTCAGCCTCTTGCCGCGATAACAACTTGTCAGGGCGCTCCGAAACTCACTCCATGATGATTAAAAGTTTTTGGAAGCTACTCTTCTGACTTTGATTATTCTCCAAGGGTTTTGAGTTGCATTCGAGGGTTGTAGATGTCATTGAAACCCCTTCCGTATCATTGGTCGGACGTAAACTAGGCCGAAAGAAGATCGATCAACTTCGCTTGTCGTGAACATGTCCGACCAGTGACGTGGATTTATTTAGATATATGCCAAAAAAAGATCAATGTACGGGACGGAGTTCCGTTCATACTCCGCCGCATGACACCTCGATTCCAGGAGTCGTTTTGATTGTTTCTATCAGACACTGTATGAGAGCGATATTTTACTTTGTTTGTCTACCCTTTTCTGCCACGTTTAGTTGACTGAGAGTATTCCTAAGTCAAGATTGGCGATTTGTTCTAACTGAAATAGACCTCATTGTCTAGGTTCTATGGGATCTGCACCGTATCAAAGTATTTCGAATCACCCCTTGGCTGCATAAGCATATTCAATGACCTGTACTTGGAATTCCGCCAGATGCGTTTACTGACCATTACTGCCGCAAGAGAGCATTGTCAAAAGTTAATCTTAGTCTCAATGATTGGGTTTAGGCTCAAAAGTAAAGACACTAAACCAACTAGAAATTGTACAAGAATTTTTGTCAACAATTAAATATTCCTTAGCCCAAGTAGAGAGTTCTTTTGAATATCGACTTCTCACTTCTTGCACTTCCTATTTTGTGCTCTGGGTATTATAGGTCAGCAAAAAGAAGGTGTCTCTTTTAAATATGCTTATTCAGCTTTTCTACCCAGCACTAGATGCTTTATTCAAAAATAAATCTTCCAAAACCTTGTGTGCTCCACTCCGTCGAGTACAATTATAACTTCGTATCCTTCGAGGAACACTTACTGAGCTCACGGCGTTCAACATTTTTCGACTGAAGAACATATCGAGGAAGAAAGCTGGTTTGATTAAGGACGGCAGAAATCATCGCTGACAGGGTTACAGATGCAGGAATGGAGCACCAAAATGGTTCATTCAGAAGACCCTGGTTGGTACACCACCTCATCCGCACGTCTAGAGATGGAAGTGATCGCGTGATTATTTTAACGGAGGGTCGGGGTTTGCCCGGATGCAGGACAACTCTGTGCTCTTTATACCTCCATTCACCAAATATCAGAGCCAGTTTTGGTGAGAGCGGCGCTGAGCGGTTCCCTAAAGCTCTACGTGGTTGCAATACAGGTATGCTTTTCCACGTATGCTTTTCACGAACAGATCATCGCCCCTAAAACCGCAGCACGGTTTATCCTCTAATCATATTGTCTATTCAGAGAACCAAAGACATTTTGCTCCTTATCTTTCAGATAGACATGAACTAGTCACCGAACCCTATATCCTGCTGCAATAAGCAATGATACGGTTCGCTTCCTAGTGCGGGACACTTTTAACATCTTTAACGATCCAGATAGCACGTTTATTGCGAATACTAATCCTCAGCATCCATAAAGTTTTGCGGAAATGTCTCTTTCTCATGGCGGACTACAAACGATATTTAGCCAGTATCCCATCCGCCGCCGTCGATCTTTGTCAGTCTTGAGCTTTGTCCTAATAGACGACCATCTTCTACCTCCCACGAAGCAGCATTGAACAACAGATTTTTACCACGCCCATTTTATCTCAAAAAAACTTCGCAAGTTAGAAACGGTCCAGAACAGAACCTCAAGGCGCGGTAAAGTTCTATATATTTTTTGTCAACGAGGCTCTGATATATTACAGAAGATACCTCCTAGTCATTTTCACCACTTCAACGACAAGGCTATTAAAATAAACTCATCGCCCATTTATGCACCATAAATGGATCTTTGATGGGTGACTCATACGACACCTTTACAAAAGTATCAGTCAAGTGACTCAGCTGAGAAACCTCCTACATTAAAATCCGTTTGGAGTTGATTTTCTCAAAATTGTAGGGCTATTATACACTCAAAGTCACACTCGAAGTCAACAAGATGAAACGAGAAAACATCTAGGGATGATTCGCAAAGTTTCGGGAGCCTGTGCCGAATAAGAACGAGTATACTCATTAATCTCCTGACTTTATTCATTTGGTTATATGTTATCATCGATTGGTTTGGGAAGTTAAACTTTTCAAATGTCTGATTTAGAACTAAATGTTATGAATTTCTCATTGCCAGTAACTACCAGAATCAGTTATGAATATGCTGCAGTTTAGTTCTTTTCTTGAATTATCAATCATTTTGGTGTTTGGAGTTCTAATGACTGGTACGGAATTATTCTACTTGATACCTACTCATTGTCACTCCAGTAAGAGAAACTTGCGCACAACCATATATATTTCTCAGTTTCCCATAAATTACTCATCAATATGAGTTGATTCGAAAGAGTTTTTAGAGTCAGCCGCTGGAAACTGTGAGAATCATGAGATATTCATCATTTGTCAACCCTGTTGTTACTGGGATTGTTATTTCTTGCCATTCATAGTAGAATATCCTCTATTCATAGCAATACCCTGTCACCATTCATAATTTCATATGAACCATCAAGACATACCCTGGTCAAAGACCTGACATTCATAGTAAAAGTTCCTCTATTAATAACAACACCATGTTGTCACTCATAACATATCTCGAATTCACAAGCTGTTGTCACAGAACCGAACTTATCTCATGACTAGTGCAGTGATGATAGAACATTCATGGGAGTTCTCAACCAAGATATTATTCAATGACCATCGACTTTGAATCACAGCTCCCAGAAGCCACGACTATAAATTCTTCGAGAATCCCCCCTCTCCTTTACTTCTCTTCACATCATTACCATTAAATCTGAACCAAGATCATACTTAGTTACTTTGTAGAGCATAACAAATCCAACAAGTCATCTACCTCCTGGCTACGTTATAAGCACTTCGTTTCACTCAATCCCAAAAATCTTATAACCACAACCGCTTCCAATAATGCTTGATCCATGGAACCGGACATACGAAGAATGGAGTCGTCAAGAGTTGCAATTCTTAATCGACGCGAGAGCTTGCGTTGACGAAGGCAGAACGTTTATGACCTGGTCTGTAACAACTCAGATATTTTGTGAGAGGTTCAAGTTCAAACTAGAAACATCGACACAAAGCAGTTTGCAGAAACTATTCACTGATAAGAATCCACACTACGCAAGAATGCATGAGGAAGTTGGATGGGAAAATAAGGGATTTTATAAAAGAATGATATGCTACGTCGCTAGAGTTGAACACGACTGGGCCAAGTCAAACTACATCCTTACAGAGGACCTAAATCATCTGAAAGTTGATTTTCCTTATGTCGGCTGGGATCATATGTATTTCAAATACGATCTGGAAGGTCGCTTTCTTGCGGAGCCTAACGAATATTACGAAGTTAGACAGAATGAAAAAATTCCAAGCCACTTAGGCAAGGACGGGACAAGATATGTTGAGGAACATAAGACAACCCTTAGAGTCTGGAGTCTGGCTGAGGATACTGCTCTTCGGGATTTGATGGCTGTCGAGCCACGAGGAACTTCAGAGGGAATGGCGGCGGTTCTCCAGGACATGTTTGGCAGAGGGTATGATCACTTTGCATTGGGGGAGTTTTGGCGAAGGAATCGACATCGTATCATTGCTTGCAATCCAGAGGCACATCCTGAGAGATTTAATAGGAATCCTCAATATCACACGGATTATGGTTTCAACAAATATGGTATCGAAGACCAAAAGCCAACCAAAGCTCCAGGCGCTGGACCTTTCGCATGGAATGATAAACCTAGTGGATGGGGACTATTCTACCTCGGATACTGATGGCACGATCAGTTGAGAGTTACTATCATCGTTTCCCCTTACTATCCAACTTACTATCCAACTGTGCAAACAATTTCGATCATCATTTCAGGGACCGTGGCGAATGGGAACATATCAATGGACACTCTTTATAATGTATTTTAGAATATTTCGTGTTTTCTCGTAGTTTGGGAGTTAGTTTCAAATAGGCCGTTGTTTTCAGAAGAATAGAAGCTCACCTCGCAGTTTCATGATCATTTGCCAGGATCTCCTAAATATTTCCTGGCCCCTTTTCAGGTCACTTCAATTTGAAGTCAGCTTTCGTGGCAGATCTGTTCCGTGGTCGCTTTTTGGATATATGTCAAGCGACTCCGGTAAGTTCCTAATTATTAGCGGTCTATGCCAGGAAGACAGGAGTAATATCATGCTTTGAATGGATTTCGACTTTTCCAGAGTAGTGTCAGCAAGAAAGACCAGATATTATCTTCGAAATGTTCATCTCTGTTGCTTCTTTCACCCCCAGCTCCCCGGTTCAGTATAACAACGAAATCGACAAGCACATCTACCAGCAAAATTGCCCACGACGCTTTCCTTCAATCTTCACTTGCCGATTTTAGAATGATACTAGACCTAGAACCCCCAGGACACAGTTTTTCTGACGCACTTCCTTCAAAATTATCTCGACTTTACGTTCATGGCACTCAGCTTCATTTTGAAGTGACTGCTACTTCCGATCATCTGTGACCCATTTGACTGATGGCATCTACATCACGAAATGCATGCTAATCACAAACTCATACTTTAGACTACCACAGGAAAATGCCATTCCGCGGCATTCCAGAAGCCTGAGTAATCCAGAGCCGATAGAAGAAACCACTTCACAAAATAGGCGCTGTTGCTTTGTTCATTTGGTGTGAGCTCAAATTCTCTGGTCTGTTGAATCACCTGAATCACCGACTGAGCGCGATACGGGACAGCTTTGAGTCTGATGTGCTTCTAGATTCAAGATACTTATGAATGGCCAGTTGTTGAGCAAGATTCATAAGCAAAATTCATGAGCAATTGAAGGTTTCCAGAGCAGGGTCACGCACGGCTCATGATCTGGAATAATTTATGATACTTGTGGCTCCATATGGATTCGAAATGACCATTCATGACTGCATCTACCCTTGACATTCATCCTCCACACCGGTTAACAGCGTATCTGCTAACATGATTTTGTATGAGTGTTACAGCCCATCCATGTCATGTCTATACACGCAACTTATGCCGCCCATGAATTCTCGGTTAAGCTTCAACCCGTGTGTATTCACATGATATCTTGTTATTCCCAAGAATCTTGCTCAAAAATCACACTTTTGTCTGATCCAAGAACGAGCACAACTGATTCTTATGATATGTGGGATTCATGATTGCATCGATGGTTGCAACCCCATTCATGACTATTTCTCAGAACGACTATAAATTCTTCCCATGGTACCATACTTCAACCTCTTTTCTTCATCACAACAACACCACTTCTCCAAAACACAGAGATTCAAACACTTATTCAAACCTTATCGAGTTTAAATCCCTTCTTTTGAAAGCTAGTTCTATAAACACTTTTAATACCTGCATCTTCCTCTGCTTCTCTTTATCATATCACTCTTAAACCTGAAAAAACATCAAACCGAGCTACTTATAAAATCCCACCAAATCTTAAAACTCTTCCATAAGCTACCAACGTCACAATTATGAACCCCTCAAACGCCGGAAACTCATCTCGGGATATCCCGGGGTGGGACGACATGACCCATCCTAATGCTCGAAACCCATATGCAGAACCTGGCCAACATAATCCTCAACAACAAGTTGCGCGAGCTCCTAGTGCTCGAAACACATATAGGGAAATTATAGGGGTGGGACGACATGACCCATCCTAATGCTCAAAACCCATATGCAGAACCTGGCCAACATACTCCTCAACAACAAGTTGCGCGAGCTCCTAATGCTCGAAACCCAAATGCAGAACTTGGCCAACATACTCCTCAACAACAAGTTGCCCAAGCTCCTAATGCTCAAAACCCAAATGTAAAGGCTGACGATCATGAACATTGGCGACGACGAATGAAAGCCGCACCGACTGCTGCTAGCATGGACGACCAAACTAGACGAGATGAACAGAGCGAAGTTGCTGAATTCGCTGGGGGAAAGTTGACACTCTTCGCGAAGACCGCCATTCTAGACGCTTTTTCCATAAAACCACTAGGAACGCGAGAAGGTGTCCAAGATCTTTTATTTGAAGAGACCAAACTGCGATACAATATGGAAAAGCTAAAGGACTGGTTCGAGGCAGAGGCGGACCATCTCATAAAGGAAATACGATGTGCTAATCCGGCAAGGTATAATAAGCATAATGATAGACATGGTTATGGTATCCCACTTCAAGGAGGCTCTGAAAGATTGAGTCCGGGGACCAAATTCGAAATTGAGTTCGATCCAGGTCGCCACCAGGTTGGTCAATTCTATTCAGCACAAAGACTCGATGATATTGCAAATGGCCGGATCTAACTGAGACGTTCCCAACAATTCAAACCCGTCACAGGAGATTCCAATCTTTGCCACCACCTATCTCTTCCAACTGAGGAAAATCAACAATAATCCCTCTCTTACGAAGCTATCGGTAAACCACTCAACAGCTTGCACCAAGTCTAAATTATCACACCACAATCGACACCTCTCAACAACAGGTTACCTGACGCCTCATCTTCAAAACATCACGCAACCGTCCTTTCCGAAATACCATGTTGAATCAACGAGTTAACAGATTTCCTTTCAACATCACAACGTTTCTTTCTACGCGCGAAGGAACTTCCAGTTTCTATTCTTGGAATATATGTTCAGAAACTACAAGTGGCAAATGCCCTTGTTCTTGAACACCTACGCTCTTTAATGCATTATCGGTTTCTTCTGATGTTTTTCTTCATATGGAGATAGTGGAGGGTATGAGAGGCGTGGAAAGAGTGATTAAAAACTTTGTTTAAGCGACTTCTGAATCTTGTCGGAGGGCGGTATTATGCGACATTAACAACACTCTTTTAAATGGTTACCTCTTATCATGTATTTTTATCGTAGAAGCAAGTCCTATAACATAATCAAACACATTCTTAGGTTGAAATATAGAACCAATTGCCGTCGCTGTGGCACCATATGTACTCGGATTTTCCATTCTTGGATGCAACTACCCTGGATACTCATTTATTCAGTATAATCAAGTATCTGCTATGATTCTCAATCACGACTACAGCTCTTTTACATTATGTGTTCTACCCTTTTTAACAACATATGATGTTCGTCAATAGGTTACCCCATAGGTAAATACTACCCTATTCACGAATAGGGTCTGTCGGCAAATTGGGTCTGTTGGCGAACAGGGTAGAACACATGATTAATCCCAAACAGATCAAGCGCGCGCCATCAACTCTTGGGTCATGCCTCACCCCTCTTGTACTCACATAATGTTTTATTATTCATGAAACCTGCTCAAAATTGAACTTTTATCTGACTGGAGACACTCACAACTAACACTTATGAAGCTTGAGGTTCATGATTATACTAACGAGTTCAAGAACCTATTTATAACTTGTTTTCCGAGAAGCTACAAAATCTTCTAGTAGAACTAGACTTCAACCTCTTTTGTTCCTCACAACAACATCACTTCTATGAAACAAAGAGACTCAAATTTGCATAAAGAACCACAACCGTCAAGCAAACTTTTCTTTACATTTCTCTTTTTCACTTGTACTACTTTTCTACAGCCAAATCTATTCAGCATATTTGCGCCAAAAGCAGAATAACTTCACAGTTTCCGCTGACAGAACTATCGACAAAATAGGACTTACTCGTTATCATGCAAGCCGCACACGAAGTTTCAGTTGCAGATCAGCCGCAAGATCCAGGTCAAGCAAAAGGCTGGACGCGAGCGGAAACGCAGTTCGTCCTGGACGCAATAATGTTTGGAAAGTATTATAATGAGGAGCTTGAGAACGGCGGCCTGCCACATCATGATCTTCTTACAATGAACATCCTTGCAGATTTATTCCGCCAACGATTCGGGAAATCCATAGACCAAATGCAGATGCACGAAATAACTCAGAACGCCGGCTATGGTAGAAACACCTACACTAGATGGTGCCGTCGGTTCGTAGAATATCTACGCGAAAACGAGGGAGGAAAGCAATATGTCTCACCGGAGCTTGAAGCTAAATTGTTTCCCGCAGACACTAAGCACGAGGAAAAGGGAAGTTTATATGCGAGAAAAGATACCAAGCAATACGAAATCAGCAATCAGGAAGCCTTAAGAACTGCCGAGGAGATGAATCCGTATCGCGAAATCCAATCACTTTTCCCCGCCCTTTGCAACAAACGCTGGACGGTACCCGAGTGGGAATGTCTTCGAGACGTCATGGCGGTTGAGCCACTGGGAACCAAAAAAGGTGTTGCGATGTTGATGAAGTATTACGAGGAGGTGGATTGCCCTGAGGAGCAGCTAGCGGAATATTGGAAAGTGAACAAGCACCGTATTTGGGACCACTTTTCCATTGCACGTCCCGGAAGATTCAACGCAAAATGGCATATCGAAAGACAAAAGCATGCCTGGGAGTTCGGAAGTGAAGAATGGGACACCGGTGCTGCGGTTGAGGACAGCTTCTATTCGAAAGACCGTCTTGAACAAATACGTCAATCTAAAGCCGCAGGGGGCAGCTGAATAACTTCCCTAATTCGAAAGTCTTCCGACGGACCAGTCAAACTAGAATTATTACTGAACAGACATCCCTAAACATTTTTCTTGCGTAGTTGATAGAACGATTGATATTGAACACTTACTTTCTTTAATGTCACAAGGTATGGCAAGCGAGTTCAAGGTTGCAGACACGGTGGTATGACGATTAAACAACATTTCTTTTTCAATGTACTTTAGAAAGCTTCTTTACGTATTAGATTCCGGGTGGATAATGGAATGGAAATATTTTTTTCAGAAAATAGAAGTTCTGCCTGGCTGATACCTGGAAGTGTCCTCTGGACCTGAAGACAGGGGCGCTTCACAACTAACCAAGAAAACCCTGAGAACCCATCAATGACCACAGAACCAGCTCTTAATCCCCTCATTCCCCGACCTATACCGTATTCCACAACCATCCATGATCGACCTACTCACTTCCACTCCAAACCAACTAAGAAAACCCAAACCTTAAGTAGCACGACCTCAGGCCATATGCGACCAACAAAGCGGGAACGAGTCCTAACAAGACCAACATCCCCGTGAGCGAATTTCATATTGCAAGGAGATTGCTTTCACGGGGAATAGCTACGACGTACTTCTTCGACGTAAGGTAGGGGGCTCCATTGAAGGATATCTCTCTGTGATCGGTCCTCTTGAGCGTACCCGGATAGTAAAGGAAAGAACGGCCTGAGTTTGTGTAATACTCGAGAAGATGGAGGGCTTGTGAGGCTGAAATATGAAATTAAGGAAGGAAAGGAGGATCAAAGAGAACGTAACTAGCTTCGAGTTGTGGGTCAAGAAGCCACAAAGGGAAGAAACATGATGACATGCCAGCCCATTTCTCACTTGAGGATAGAAATCTTGAGAAACAACGTTCGAACCTTTGGCTTGGTCAACTACCACGAAAGATGCTCAAGGATACGAACAAATGCGGCAAAACTCGGTATATTGATACACCTACGTGCGTGACTTGCTCATTGAAATATAGAGGGGAGATTAATCATTTCATTTTTACCCACCACTCTCATCTAATAGACACACATTCCCCCTAACCCAAGCATACACGTCCATTTCTAACACCTCTTTGAGGGAAGTATCCCGTCGCTATTGCATCGCAGCCCGGTGGCTTACTTCAATTATTGGCTTTTATACATGCTATTTATTGTACATATTGATCTTGACATTCGTGAATTGGAAAGATTTATTCGTTGATCTTGGCGAGGAGCCTGTGAGGGAAGCTTGTTAGTGACTGGATGTATGGGATGGGGGGTTGGGGGCTTACTCGTAATCTCTGAAGAGGTGGTACTCGACGTCTCCGACCTTGACGGGTGATCCACCGTACTGCAAAATCCACGTTAGCCATCATCCAAGACCAACTCCGCTTTTGCGCAAAACTGTCGCCGCATATCAATCATGCCGTATGTATCCTCTGACTTGCACTCCTCCTCGATGTTCTTGAATCATCTCTACTCCAAACTCCATACCCAAACCCAAAGAAAACAAACTCACCTGAGGAATCAAAACCTTATCACCAGCCTGCACACTACACGCAACCCTCTTTCCCTCCTTATCCAATCCACCCGGGCCAACAGCCAGAACCTTCGCCTCGTTCAATTCCTTCACGGCGCTCTCAGGGAGGAAGATTCCAGAGGCGGTCTTGGTCTCGGCTTTGATGCGCTGCACGAGCACGCGGTCGAGGAGAGGAGCGAGAGATTTGATGGACTTGAGAGCAGTAGACTGGAGATTATGCGTGTTAGTGAGAGGGAAATTGGGTAGTTTGGTGACGGGAGAAAGCTGGGAACTGCTGCTGATGAAGCAGTAGGAGTATGCGATTCTATTATTGTGAAATGGGAGACTGGAGATGAAGTGGACATACCATTTTGGATGAGTGTTGAAATAAAAGTGATTATAAACTGAAGAGAAAGTCTGCTTTGCTTGTGTTAGATGTGAGAAATTGTTTGTTGTCAAAAAAGAAGATGTACACCTCGAGCTTCGAAGAGGTTCTGGATACTTTTTTACTAGCCGGCGACAGGGGTCCCCATCCCGGGATTTATCACATGACAACAATATAAACCTCCTTTCTATGACCAACTCCTCATCCAGTGCAAACTATTTAACAAATCACCTAATATAGCACAAGAAGTGGCTGGTATCATATTATATGATGCATTAAAGTGAGCTATTCCCAACCCATATTTAAAAGCCCATCTAGAGGTACCTTCGCTAGCCAGGAATTTCTTGGAACCATTGATGGCCATCCTAACTAGCCGCAAAATGTACAATCTACTGCAGGTTCTCCGCAATGTTGGGCCTGCCCCTTCTATAACCTCATAAAACTGCACCGTCAAATATATAACCAAGCTGAACATAGTCCTGACCGCACCTATTCCTGAACACCACATGCTCCCTCCCATTCGAATACATATCTTGAAACTCCGACCCGTATTGATGCCCGTCTATTTCGCAGGTGCCGGGGCTGCTGGAGGCTCAAGTGTATGTGTATGACCTGCAGCTGGAACGACTTTCCCATCTGTGTCCTGGTAACATATAATAGTCCCTGACACCCATGGATCATTAAGGATCTCGTCCATTGTAGCTCTCTTCTTTGGATCAATTTCGAGCATACGCGACATTATATGCCTGCTCTCCCTTGGAAGCAGACGAAGTAGTCTCCATGGGCCTTTGATGACTTCTGGTTTCTTCTCCGGCGCTGGTGTTGCGCCGGCGCCAGTTGCAACGACTTCTGATGTGGAGGTCGAGTCTGGTACTGCATCTCTGGCCGGGGTACTTAGGTCATTTGTAGATTTCGATGGAATTGGTGTTTCGGATAGTCGCTTCATATCAGTACCGGGAGAAGGAGGTGAAGCAAAGAGCTTGTATGAATTATCTGTCATGCGTGGCATTTTCCAAGGAAACCTCCTCAGAGACATGCAGCAGAAAATGATAGCAAGAGACCAGATATCGGCAGGCCGTGGGTCGTACTTCCTCTCATCGTACACCTCAGGAGCAAGATATGGGTCAGATCCGACAATTCCTAGATACCTGTTAGATGGTTCCTATATGCGCCATTGCAGTCTCGAACGTACCAGATGCCAAAACAACCCCGTTCTCGAACGGATACTGGAAGACGCTGGCACTCCCAAAATCGATGATTTTCATAATGCCGAACTCGTTTACCACAACATTATCGAGCTTTAAGTCTCGATGTGCCAAGCCCATGCTGTGCATGTATGTCACTCCACTCAATATCTGTAAAAATGCGCAACTAATCTCCTCCCGCGACATTTTGCCCGTCATCACAATCGCGAACAGGTCATATGGCGCATATTCCATAACCTCGTACCATTTACCTTTTTCTTGTACAATGTCCATTGATTCGATGATGTTACCATGGTGTAAAGCGGATCCGACACAAAATTCCGCAGTAACCTTCTTTGCGTACTCTTTCTCGGACTCGTATGAATGTCTTGCTCTGAATTCCTTTACGGCAAATGTCACACCGTCACTACTTCTCTTCATTAATCGCACAGATCCTCCCGCACCAGCTCCTAGGATCTTTCCGAATTTCCCGTACTTCGAGGTAAGGCCATGATTGTCATCAAATGGAAGTTGTTGTGCTCCTCGGTGATGAGGAGGTGTTTTCGTGCCTGATTTCACAGATGGAACTGGTGAAGCTGGCCGCTGCTTAGACTTGTGATGACCTCCTATCTTTAGGAATCGCTTCAACTCCGACATCGAACCTCCGTGTTTGGTATGAATAGTGGCTGAGCTCTCATCATGCCCGTGGGTTAGGTACTCCTTGTTTCCACCAAAGAGAGATCGTCTGTCTCCAGTTTTGGTATCAGCAGCACTTCGCGAGGATCGAGGCAATGACGCGGATGAGCTACTCTCCTTCAGTCGCGCTTTAGATCCCAATGCCGTGAATTTAAATCGTGGATCGATAGAATCAAGATTTCTTGACTGTGGAGGCCTCTTGTGGGCGGCGTACGGGTCGTTTGCATCTCCAACTGGTGTGAAAGGTCTAGTGAACGAGCTACGGCTCGGACTTTGCTCTCTTGATACTGGGACTGACCGTGTATTTCCTGGTCCGATCGTGAAAGCAGCCCCGCGGTTATTTGGCTGAATACCAGATTCAGTTGATCGACTCGTTGGCTGCGTCGCTATTCCCGATGATCCTGGCCGAGAATCGTCTGCATTTGTTGTAGTTGGAGAGTTTCCGGAGGTCCCGGGCGAGATTTGTGGTGTTACTGCGGATGGATCTTCTACGGGTTCTAATCTCTCGAGAGGTGCTCCCTTTGCAGCTCCGGCATCCCTCGAAATCGTTGCCGCAGGAGTAATAGGTGGTGAATGCATTGAAGCTTGTCGAGGACTTTGGTGGGGTGAAGGTCTCACTGAAGAGTTTTGTGTATTGGCACGACTGGCTTCGCGTGACCCTTCGTCGTTGGATGGAACCTAAATGTGCAACAATACGTCAGCGGTGATCCGTGAGGTTGTTTTGTCAAAAAGAGGCGCATAGGAAACAATAGGTGAGATTGACAACACAATAAAGTGGATCATGACCTGAATGTTGTTATGCGTATGGCGGGGTGATCCTAGAAGGATTTCAATCACACTTGCTTTTTGAGATGTGATTCGGACCACTGGGAATTGTCCATAGTGACCATGCGCCATCATATAGAGATCTCTATCGATAAAGCAGGATAAAAACCCCATACTCCACAAAGGCTTTATCCAATGCTAGGTGACCACCATCATTGTGGGGATCATACGAAATGGGAGACGTACCCTTGATGCGGGAAGAGATACTGGCTCGAAAGCAAAAGCACTCATACGACGTTCCTGTAATCTTGGATTCTGAAAAGCGCTCGCCAGTTCCTTCAATTTCTCCTCATCTTCGGGTCGTAAGTTGTTTTGAGGAGGGGCAGCTTCGACGCTCTCGACGGTCTGCGCAGGCTCAATCTCCTGGTTCTTGGACGCAAATCGTACCGCCAGAGGATTATGATCTTGCGCAGCTTCCGGAATAGGAGGATTTGTTTGGTCGCTACCTAGAAAAGGAAAGACAACAGTCAGAATTGTTCATGCTTCAAATCGGAGATACGGTGTAATCATCGTGAGGAATAGTCAGCATCCACTTACCAAGCGAGCCTTCTTCAGGCTTGTGTTGCAGTGCTGCCATCTTGGAGGGGTCGATAGGAAAGTTCGACCCTTCGCAAACTAAAGTTCAGCAGCTCCCGACGATGTCGTGGAGAAAGAGGAATGGTAGATCCTCAATCCAAAGAGAAATTCGCAGTAATGGTGGGGCACCGACTCGAGCGCTTCTCGTGCGGATGCGTAGAAATGGAAGTCCCGATAAAGAATGCGCCAATCGAGAATCGTGAGTGGACGGCGCCGGATGCACACGGCCAAACGGTTGGAGATGGCTTGCAAGCACAAAGACACTTAGAGCTAGGTTGAGAACAGCAATCAATCAGATCTGTGAGCCGCAAGAGATGCCATGCACAGACAGCTGATGCCGTGACGGTGTAGATGGAGATTATGGAGAAACTGTAGCTCACAGAGGGTGGAGGAGCTATTATTTTGTTTCTACCGTAGTGGAAGTTTGGCTCCATGACGAACGCAGTCCTCGAGTGAAGCTCACCTGTACTCTAAGCGAGAGGGGAGGGGGAGTCAGCAACAACGGGAAAACTACGATGTCATGGATTAATCTTCGAATCCACTCTTTTTGCTTCAAATTTACTCCGAGAAAGTGTTAATTGGTGCAAGCAACAAGTTCTAGACTTTCACTTCGACTTTTGTCTTTTTCCCACATAAAGAAATCCTCTTACGGAGGCCAGGAAAAGCTCAATTCGTAGGAACTACTTCGAAGTACAAGATACGCCAATCCATGGATGCATATGACCTGCATTCCACGACTGCCCCGCCTCTAGAGGCAGACAATATGCTTTCGACTCATTCGGCGTCTTGGACTTCGTACTCCCTGTTCGTCCACCTTGCCATTGACCGCAAGCAATCAACTCAATTATCACATGAAACCGCCAGAGCACATCTGAGGAGAATTCTTCAACCATCCCCATGAGGAGGGATTTTTTATTACGGCTTTCCGAAAGAAAACCACCAGTTCGGACATAACTCGCTCACGAGTCGTTTTCTGCTAGCCGTTCAAACCGAATGACATGTAGGGATGACCGGGCTAGCTTTGAGATCTGCCCTGTCGGAACGAGAAGAAACGAAAGCCAAATGGCAATCATCTATGCCGAGGCTTGGTATTCAAAATGTGCCGAAAACGGCTTCGAGAAGTCGAGAAGGAATTCTGGAAGGTTTGCCGCCGAGTTCGCCAAATGTGGCCGAGGTAAGGAATTGATTGAGGTGAGTCCTCCATTGGATATTTGACGCAAGAAATACACAGTAGGCTTGACATACAATGGTTTGAGAATATACAGTTTTCTTCTCTCTGGCTTTCGTTATACAATGCTCTACACACGATCCCTTATATTGTACACCTCCAATCTTGACGCCTTTTTAAAATGCAAACAACCACACAGTCCCAAGGCTGTGAAGACCTTGGGATGCGGTTACAGAGACTGTTAATCCATCATCATTGGTGTTCGACCCAATGCTCAGCATCCGTCTTCTGTTGCATAAGAATCTTCCCACGTTGAAGTTCCAATCGATTCCCTGGTCCAGGCGATGAGCTCAACCTAACCACAAGCAACATTCCTCCGTAACCAATATTCAAGCATCCACATCTATGGCTTAATAGCAACACCAATCGTCTTCGCCGACGCAACCACACACTTCGCGATGCCCTCCAAACTCAATCCGCTTAACCTCAGCTCGCTCTGCTTAATCTTCGCAATCTCGTAAACGTGCTTCAAACTAATCGGTTTCCCAACAGTATCCGGATACTGAGCCCTGCCCTTTAACTTGCCCTTATCAGGTTCCACTTGCGCGGCGCTTAGCAATAGGTAAGAGGTCGTAGGTGTACGGACATCGAAATGGAAACTTCGATCTGGACGAACGGTAACGCGTACTGGTGTTGGGGTTCCAGGAACCATGTGTGAAGTTCGGGCGTTGAATTCCTATCAGTGTAATTAGTATCTGCCGATTGAAGCCGTGTGAAAGAGAATCATGTTGCAAAATGTAATAAGGATGGATGCCATACCTTGCAAAAGTCCATGGATTTTACACCTTTACTACCCAGCGCAGGACCGACGGGAGGACTGGGACTTGCTTGGCCAGCTCCGACAATGAGCTTGACAATTACATCTTGTACCGCGCGCGCTTTCGACATATTGGCGGAGAGGTGTGTATAGCTTCCAAGATCAAGCATTGATGATACTCGCAAAAAGTTCCCAGGAAGACGCGCCTGTCGGTCGGACCTCGGGTTTCAAATCCGCTGTTTCGGCGCCGTTAAACTCCTTCAACAGCCAAAGCAACTCGACTTTATCACTACAGAAATTATGTTTTTCATCCGGCTTCTTCTCACTCCGAAGAAAGACTGATCGTCCTCGAACGCCGCCAAGAAAGTTCCTGCTAAACGAAATTAATCTCAATTATCACATCTTCAAAAACATGAAAAACCACACAACTTCTTGAGCCCGATTCAGCCGTACAACAGATTTTCCTCATAGGAAATGATTGCTCGGATCTCAAGGTCCACCACGATAGATGAGATCAAGGTTCAACTTCCGATCAGATATATTCCGGGCGTACACGACGTCACGATTAATCATTACGCTCCTGACTTGTACAGGTTGCTACCTGACAGCTTAAATTTCGTGTTGAACTGAGCGCCGTGATCTATCAACACAGATCCAATGGCTTACCCCTCTATGTGTCCTCTTGGCATTTGTGATTCTAGTGCGCTTCTCGGTTGTCCAAAAGCTGGTTCTTGCTCACGTTCGGTTGGTACTGCTTGAAATCAAATTAGATGCGCGTAATATTTTCAGATACTGGGGTTGATTGAACTCAGGATATGTCATTAGCTCGCTGGCGTTTGCATCTCAGGACTACAAGAGTGGCAGTAGCTAAGGCATAAGCTGTTGGTGAACTACGTAGGTCAGGTACGTTCCGACTTGGACCGCTCATCAGCTCATCTGTTTCCTAGGTAGACTCTGGCTCCAATGTCGTTGCAATACTACACTGAACTAGTTCACCTTTTGATTTTTATGATCGGTAAATCGATCTTGGTTTAAGCAATGGATCTTGCTCGTTTCGATTATTCCATGTTTGACATCAACACAACGTTAGATCAATTTAGCCTAGAGAATGTGGCTGAAGCATCTAGATCACAGATTGATTAAAATATGCCAATACCAAAGCAGAGACTTGCCTGGACAATGCCAAAGGGCTGGCTGGACGCAATATGGGGTATTTCCAACGGGAAACTTGATTGAACACGCTTCTGAGCCGAAATTTTCGAAATCTTGTATACTGAGCTTGAAATATACGCTCGAAGCCTCCATCCGCCTCCATTTTCAAATTGGTATAGACATTTGATAAGCAATATCAGACACATAATCTCCCTCGCCCACCTTGGACCCGTCATGGCCATTTTCCCCCTCAAGCTTCAAACTCTTTCTTCACGAAAGCTGTGCTTGTGGTATTCGATGCATAGGCAGCCCAAGTCGCATACTTGGCAGTCTTTGCGCTCTTCAAGTCAGCACTATAACTTCCTTGACTTCCATGCTTGGTAAAAGTGGTAGTCACACTTGATTTAGTCGTTGGTGCCGCAGTGTTGAACGCCCATCCGAGCGTGTCACTAGCCGCAGAAGCGTCAAAGGTTGAGCCATCAGTTGAAAGACATGCTTTGCAGAGGAAGGTAGATACCCAGTGAGTGGTGTTGGTATATGTGCCGTTGGCGATTGGGTAAAGCGTCCAGGCTCCCTTGGCTACTGCTGGTGATGCATAAGAGCTAGATGACATTAGTCTTAGGATTCGACGGAAGATATTCAAGCTCACGTTGTTTTGCGGAATGACGAAAGCACTGCTTTGGCATTTGGCCAGGTTGCTAGGAGTAAAGCGTTTTGGGTCATTGGACCACCGAGAGATACTGCCGCCCATCCTGTCCCTTTTCCTATCATCACACCGATGAAGTCCGTCGAAGGAGTTGTTGGAAGAGCAACTCCAAAGAGGAAGTTGGCATTGGAATATGCAGTGACGGTGATTCCAGATTGCTTCTCAGTATATTGAACTTGACTACCTTGAGCGCTAACTCCCAGGGCCAGCGCCAGAGATAGGATTGCCTTGAACAACATTGTTATACTTGATTTTTAACGGAGGTGAATACGAAGTGATTTCGACAGCGAACGCTTTGCTTTTCGTCCTCTAGATCCCATATTCGATGCCGGAACCTTGCTCTTTATCTACTTCAATAACGGCCCGTTGGGATTAATTAACGATCGAGGTACAATCTAAGGAATCCATTTCCAGATTTACGAGAACCGGAGCGGCTCTTCTTTCTCTGTCCTTGGCGATGGTATTGATTGAGCCTCGACATAACCGGATGATGAAATTGAGAAGGATTTCAAACTACAGCTCGCTCATTGGCCGACATCTAAGTAATTCTTCCTCAATATTTGACAGACGCTCGCTAAAATCCAATTGCCGTGAATGCCCGTGGGCATTCGAAACGTCTGTGGAAGTCCGGTTATTAGCCTGTTGTGTGATTCGCGAATCAGGAAATCTTGGATCAAAGGAATCAATATAACTACGCACGAGTAAATTTGACGGCATTGTTGAAAAGCAACTGAGGAGGACTAAAAGCTTTGGTGGCTTGAGAGGCTATTCTGAATGCTTTCTCGCCTCAAAGAGTTTGACTACTAAACCCCGATTCGGGCACTAGTAAGTGTACAGCGCATAAATGCCGTTGTGGAGGCGAACATTCATAGCGGGAATTGATAGTTCTCAGCATATCATTGAATGAGCGGGTTGAAGAAGGGATTAAATTAAAATTCGGGGGTTCAACATCAAAAGACCCTCAAACTGTGAAAAGGCTAGGATCAGGTTCACCGTCATAAGACCCCCCGAATTGATAGCTAAAACCAGTAGGTAAAGAGAAAAGAGGTTAGAAATGACAAGACTTGTGCTCCGAACTCGAATGGTATAGTCATCTTATAGACAGACAATAAACCTCCTAGATAAATCAGAATTAGATCAGCCACGTACCAATCAAATTAAACCACTCATCCACCCTCAGAACTTCCAAAACTCCAAAACCCCCAAAACCCAACACTACCACCCCCCTGTCATCCCCGTTACCCCCCAAAGCGCAATAACCCCCCCAGCAACCCCCCTCAAAACAGCCTTATCCCTCATCCCCTCCCCGTAACACACATAAGCATCCACCGCACCGACATATCCCAAAACCATCAACATGACATCCACGGCCTTTAGATCACCCATATAGTAGAATGCGAAGATAGACGCCCCGGTGGCGGTGGTACGCGCGGAACAGACGACCATGACTGATTGAGCGGGTTTGGAGGTCGCGGTTGCTTTTGGGAAACCGAATTCGAGGAGCGCGGAGTGCGGGTTGATGAAGGGCCAGAGGCCGCCGAAGGTTGTGGCTGTTGCTATGAGGAGGGGTGGGATGTGGAGGATAGAGAAGGGGTGGAACATTCTTGGGGATGGTTTGTTGGTTGTAGTGTTGAGAGGTTTCTTGATATGTGGTCCAGGTGTTGTGTTTTGGGTGAGTTTTGTGAGTTTTGGATCGTGAGAGTTTGGAGATGTTTTCACGTGGAGGATTATGTAAGTATGATGTCTGTACAGCTCGTTGTTTGTGAGTTGAAGTAAATAAGTAATACAGATGAGACTTATATACTTTAAAGATAAAGGGAGTGTTCATGTGCCACGATTAGTCGAATTCTTGGCAACGACCCCCCTTTCCCCACCTTCGGTAGTGGAACAGGGTTAACATATTACCATTGTTCGAAAGCATTCAAGCTTCAAGTGGCCGCTAGATACATTGTATTTGCTGTTGTTTGATACAAAAACCTTATAATCTTGTACCGAAACGATAAATGTTAAGAAAGTGTCTAAATTATACGTTAACGGATATACATCTGTCTCACTAAAGATATTAGACTTTGCCGCACAGCTCTAGATCTCTATTTGAGGACACAGAGTCAGCGTTTACGATTGTAAGTTGAACCAAACGCAAGAACTCGAAGCTATATTTGTAAGCAATGTATAGTTCTTGTACAAAAGCATGTTTTTATTATCTTCTGTTCTTGGAAAACCAGGAGTATAGAAAGAAGTGGACAAGGTAGGTAATGCAGAAGTTTCCCATTCTTGTGTTCTTCCTGGCGAACAAACTAATGCAGGGTCTGAGCTAGTCTTACGGCAAAGAATAAATCTCCGTCTGTTGACGGAGGATGATGGCGATCTCGAATCTATATCCACCTCCCGTGTCAAGCCTTTCCCGTAAGCCTCTTTCCCGGCGGCACTTAGCCATGTCTCGTTAGGTACCAGTTTATCAGAATTGCGGTATATCTAAAAACTCGGCCAGAGGCGTCAAATATCCAATTTCTTTGTTGTTGTATCCGCTGAGATCAACATACGGGTCACCGCAAATCGAATATTCCCCCATGGCAGGAGTGTACGAAGCACAATAACATGGTTAGGGGAGGATGCCAGAAAGCAACGATGCTACACGCGAGATGGAATTTGCTATACATTGAGAACCTACAATAGACCTAATTAGGATTGGGGAATGGAATGGGATCAGTCAGTCCTGATCTGATGTGACCCATAAGCAGAGCATCGACTCTTGTACCATGTGGTAGAGTCTCTTTGCCGGCGGGCATACACAACAGAGCATTCGCACTCTTCAGACTACCCACTTTCGAACTTCTCTGACCTCCAGTACTGCTTGCGGTGACCAGGCCATTCCTGTTCATAGTCACAATAGCACGATGATATTCTGGCCGTTGTGGATCAAGCCGGAATTCATGTTCTAGAACCACCGATATTCTAGGTAATCCTGCTGGAGAGACCCCTGAGAAGTGGTGGAGCGAAGGAAGAACGAAGAGGTGAAGAGTCACGACGGCGGAAACTGGATTTCCTGGCAAAGAGAAGATGACCTTGTTGACTCGGTTTCCAGAATTATCCTTGACAGGCACAGTCGCGAAAGTCGTGGGCTTGCCAGGCTTCATGGAAACTCGTCCAAAATGAATGGTTCCACCAAGAGAACGTTCAATGGTAGGCTTTAGAAGATCGAGCTCGCCCATTGATACGCCGCCAGATGTTATGATAACATCAACCTTTCTCAGAGCATCCCGAAGCGTTTCTTCCAACGCTCCAGGTTTGTCCCTTGCGATTCCGAGATCAACCACATCGAAGCCCCAACCTCGGATTGCAGAAGTGATGGTAGGTCGATTGCAATCTCGTACCTCACCAAGTTTTAAACCGCCAGGTCGTGAGTGCTCAACAATCTCATCTCCTGTTGACAGCACACCGATCACTGGCTTCTTAAAGATGGATACCTCTGCCCGTCCCACCGAGGCCAACAAGCCCAATTCTCCACCGACTGCAGATATTTCTTCTCCTTTCTTGAGAATTACTTCCCCTGTTTTGATATCGCTCCCAATTTCACGAATGTTCTCTCCCTCTTTCACGTCTTCAGCGAGAATTTCGACTTCTTTCTCTTCTGCACCGTCATCCGTCAGTGTCTTCAGGACTGTATCTTCAACCATGACGACCGAATTAGCCCCAGGAGGAAGAGGAGCTCCAGTGGTAATACGTGTAATTTGACCAGCCTCTAGAGGTTCAATTTCGCCTGGTGTAGCATGTGATATCGAAGCTACCGGGAATGTGCCTTTACTAGAAGCACCGTCTGTGGGTGCAATAACAGCGTACCCGTCAACAATACTAGCTCGATATGCTGGAACAGCCTCCGTGGCGGTCACATCTTCGGCCAGGACAGAGCCAACTAGCCCTCCATCAACCTTCGCCTTTATCACTTGAGGCGATGGAGTATGTTCTTCAATGAGTTTCAGTGCATCATCAACCGAGAGCATTGGATAAGGAGAAGAGCGGTTCCTCCGTGAAGGTCCTAAACTGGGGTCGTTGGACTTGGGGTTTTCAGAGACATTAGTATGACGGACAGGCATTGAGTGGCCATGACTATGACCGTGTCCATGTCCATGACTGTGACCATGGCTATGAAGGTGATTATGGTTATGAGAATTTGATGCTTTTGTCGAAGATCCACCCACACCTGCATCTTTCTCAAGCTTCTTGATTCCTCCGGCATGGAGAGCTCTCGAATCTGCTCCGGCAGCCTGAGAGCAAGCATGAGGTAGCAGCTTCAGTATGGATTGTAGATTTTCTTTAGCTCCCTTTGGCGAGCCTGGCAGGGTGACAATGATAGTTTTGTTTCTGACCCCAGCTACAGGCCTGGACATGAGAGCAACTTCAATCGATCAGCTGATTCCGCCGTTCTCTATAACGGCGAATACTTACATGGAGTAACCGCTAGTGAGGCAGCCAGCATTCCATGAACAAGACCTGGGGCTTGTTTATGTAGCAGAGGTGTGATTGCCTGTATGGATATCAAATTCTGTTGATAGAGATTGACAATAGCGATTTTCGTTACTTCGTCTTACCTCAGGTGTGGTATCAGATACCGCGAAACCCGTCCCACCTGTAGATATTATGAGATTGACAGCATTTTCACCGTCTGTCCAAGCCGTAACATTCCGCTGGATTTCAAGCACATCATCTCCAACTATCTTCACTTCCTCCACCTTCCATTTTCCAGCTCCCTCGGTCTCGAAGACGTTGGTCAGAATACCACCCGATGCATCCGTCGATGGATCTTTGGAGGCCGTTGTCGATACTACAAGGATTTTCGCTTTCAAAATGCCAGCATCAGACATCTTGATAATTTTGTGTAAAGTTGATGGTAGAGTGTAGAAAATCGATAGGGGTTACTGTACCTTGACGTTGACAGCTCACCCCACTTCGCAAGAGCTCGTCGCGTCTCCCGAATTTCTTTTTCGATGTCAGAATATCCCGCGTCGTCGAACCCCATAACAATCAATCTCAAGGTGCAACTATTCCTTGTATATATGCATCATGGTGCGCATTAAGAATAGGTATCTTCTCGTCAACATACTCTACCCCGAATTGGATAATAGCATCCCGCATGGAACCCCCGATCTTCTCGCAATCAATCAGCCGACGAGTCAGAGCTTGACGTCGCAAACATTATTAAAAGCAATCAGGAACCAGATTTCAGAGCTTTTTGGAGATTATGGATCTGGAGCTGTATCTGATAGCCTTATGGGTAGGTTGTGGAGGTCTCTGAGGTGTTCCTTCATATTAATCAAGGTTATAGTAAAGTACTTGTCGCACGCGACGTCGACATTCATATTACGAGTCTCACGGGCGCATTACAAGATCGTCTGGGCGGCGTTATCATTCATGGGTTCATTGCCAAAGGGTGGAAAGAAATGCGTCTTTCGTGTCGTGCGAGTGAGTGGAACAATACGAAAGTCAGAGGAAGAAGCTATCAGAAGAGCCAAAGATATGATGATCAAAGCCAAAAGAGAACTTGGGGATAAGAACGAATCGACATTGGACAAATTGTTTGGCAAGGTGGACAAGACTCCGAAACCCAACTCCGCGGAAGATATCCTCATGGTCGATGCTAGCGATAGCGAAGAAGAGAATAGCGACAGTAACGGTTGAAATCAGAAGGGTATCATTGGGGTTTCCTAACTACTTTTATACCACTATCTCCGCGTGGCATCGACATACCATCCATCTCATCATCCTCCTGCTCGGCTCTCTTCACCCGCTCGGCCTCGTCTCGAGCTTTGGCCTGCTCCTCCCATTCTCTGCGCTCCTTCTCATCATATTCGTCTTTGGCATCAATCCACCGCTCTTGTACGTCCTTGACATCCATTGCGGTCACACCTTCCCGCATAGCGACCTGCCATACCGTATCATTGGCTCCCTCAGCCCCTCCAAAAGCATAACCGCCTGCTCGATCGATAACTTGAAGTAGACTCATCATGCTTCTTTTGTCTTCGACAGCCAGTGTTTCGAAGCTGACAAGTCCAAAATCCTCTACCAGCTGTACGATAGCTTCGTTCAAACCCTTGAACTTATCTCCTACCGAAGATTCTGCTTCGAGATGTGGGAGTAAGTAGGATAAGTCTTGTACTTCGGTATAGTAATCGAGGTTAAATGGCAGTGGTGAATATGAGGAGATCTTGTCAATTTTCGTCAAAACATTAAGATGTGGGAGTTCCATCTGCAACATCGCACGCAAGGACAGTATTAGATTCGAGATGAATAGGGAAGGCAAGGTGAGGCAATAAGAATCCGAAAGATGTAGGACAACCATCTACTAGAGTCAGCGCACTGCTCAAAGACCAGCTTTACGGAGCTCACGCACTCTGTATCCAAGCTTTTGTAGTTTGAAGAATATGTTTCGTAGCGAGGAATGGTGTGTATAGAGCTCGACTTGTCCGGGGCAATCGAATAATACATAATCCTCTCCAAGCTCACTCAGACCCTTTTCTAGCCACTCTACGTTATTCTCAAGCTCCTCTAGCGCGTACAGTACACCTCCGTTTGGGCCAAGCTCGTCCTCTTCCATAATATCCTCTAATTTTATTAGATCTCGTACATCGATCGCGCAGGGATATCCGGTATGATCGTTGGCGGGGTCGAGGTTTACAACAGAACATTTTCGCCCGATCGCAGACATGAACTGTTGCATTCCATTGCAAAATGTGCTCTTCCCAGCTCCCGGACTACCCAGAACAAGCTGCGCGAACGGCATACTCGAGTCCGGGAGTTTGTCGCGGATGTGAGGATGGCGAAGGGAGGAAATCGATGGCGGGGTATGTGAAAGTGACTTGGCTCTTTGAAAAAGCGCTATTAAGTAGTATATCGGTCAATATATAGTTATTGCAGAGCTCCGATGATTATGAATCTTGAGTAAAATTGAACGCCTCGAGAGTTTCGAGTTATGCCGAGAAATTCCTCGCAGCAACAATATTTGGAAGAGCTGGTGGAGCTTTGAAGTTCGAACACTTTCTCAAGAAATACGTAAGGCGGTGAACTTGTAACGGCAGAATTACACCCAGGTAAATAAAGCAACAAACTATATTTCAGAAACGCAGACTTGTTGAACGAGAACTCTCTAGATCAATCAAATTATGGCGCCGAGTAAGCAATATTCCTCTTCGCGTCAAAATTGTTCCATAATCAAACCGCAATTACTAACAAGTGACAGCAATTCAATACGAAATCTCAAATCCCCCAACCGACGCGGTCTCTGCAGTTAAGTTTGCGCCAGGCTCTCCGACACGGCTATTAGTTTCCTCATGGGATAGGAAGGTCTATCTGTACGAAATATCAAGCGAGAATGAGAATGGAGACCTGATTCAGGCGTATACGCACCGCGCGCCAGTCCTGGATGTATGTTTTGGAAAGGACGACAATGAAGCTTTTACCGCGGGGATGGATTGGCAGGTGAAGAGGTAGGCAATACAGTGTTTGAAGGCTGGGGGAAGCTGGCTGACGGCATTACTCTCTAGGTTGAACCTGGAGACTGGTGAGCAGGATACGTTAAGTGCGCATACTGCGCCTGTTAAATCGGTGGTGTATAGCAGAGAACACTGTAAGGTCACTACCGTAATACCTCCCGACATCTGCTAACACATAAATATAGCATTACTAGTCTCAGCCTCTTGGGACTCAACCCTCCATTTCCACGACGTATCCAGCCCCTCAAACGAACCCATAAAGATAACCCTCCCAGCAAAACCCCATTCCCTCTCCATCACCGCCTCCAAATTAGTCGTTGCCATGGCCTCCCGCCTCGTCTACATCTACGATCTCCAAGACACACTGGAACTAGCAGCGCAATCAAACGGCGCAGCTCCAGATATCAAACCCTGGCAACAGCGAGAATCGTCCTTGAAATTCATGACGAGAGCCGTGGCGTGCATGCCCAATGATGATGGATACGCAAGTAGCAGTATTGAGGGCCGTGTGGCTGTGGAATGGTTCGACCCGTCTACAGAATCACAGGCGAGGAAATACGCTTTTAAATGCCATAGACAGCCAGATCCTGAAGGTGATGGAACGGATATAGTTTATCCTGTAAACGCTCTGGCTTTCCATCCTGTATACGGCACTTTCGCTTCAGGTGGTGGAGATGGTGTCGTAGCGCTATGGGATGCGAATGCTAAGAGGAGAATTCGACAGTATCAGAAATATCCGCAGAGTGTGGCGGCACTTGGGTTTTCTAGTGACGGAAAGTTCTTGGCTATTGGTGTATGTCCAGGCTTTGAGAATGGTCAGGAGGAATATAGTGGTGAGGGTGTGACCAAGATTTACATCAGAGAGCTGGGTGAGACTGAGGCGAAGGGGAAGGCGCCTAAGTGAATGCCTGACGACGTCTGATGTTGTGGATTAGCATGGCGTTTTGGGGAGGGTAAAAGGGTTTGGCTTTAGAGTGTGATATTAGCATACCATCTGAAACATATTGAAAGTTTAACTGAGACTCCATTTTCACTGATCTCGACTAATGTGTATGAATATCCAACAATAGCAGTGTCTATACGACTTATATACCTTATTCTTAGAACAAACATTGTCTATGATACTACTACAAGAAGCTCGCGCACTAAGGAACTACCATCTAGCCATAATACAATATTTCCAGCCATTTTGATACAATGTTAGCCACCCAAGTTTCAACACCCAAAGCAAATTCCAGCATAATATCTTTCAAAGCCGCGAAGCACACTTCTAAACCATCGTCCAGGCCCTCCCAGATTTACAAACAACGCCCCAATCAAATCGCAACTAAATATCCAACAACTTCAAAATATCACCCATCCTCGTAGTCTTCTCCTTCCCACCCTTAGCCGTCTCCCTAAAAGCCTTCCCAACTAATTTCCTCTTCTCAGCCTGAATATCCAGAACTCTCTCTTCGACGCTCCCCTCAACAACCAGCCTCCAAACCGTACACGGTCTCGTCTGACCCAATCTATGCACGCGATCCACAGCTTGATCTTCGATCGCAGGCGCCCACCAGGAGTCCGCTAGGATAACCGTGTCCGCGGCGACGAGATTGAGACCAACGCTACAAACAGCCAGAGAGGCGAGCATGATGCGGCATTTTGGGTCTTTTTCGAGGGCTGTCATGGCGGAGTCGCGCTGCGTGGCGGACATGGAGCCATCGATGCGGGTGTAGGTCATGGATGCTTCGTCGAGTTGTTTTTGGATTATGTTGAGGAAGGAGGTCCATTGGGAGAAGATTACGACTTTGGAGTTGGGGTCTTTGCGGCTGGCTTTGAGGACTGACATTAGGGCTTCAGTTTTGCTGCTTTTGGTGTCGGTGTCGATATCTGCGTCTTCGATGGTTGGTGGTTCGTCGACTTTTGCGTGGACGAGACATTCTTTGTCGGGGAGTTCAGTGCGGCACATTGGACATTTGTGTTGGAGTTCGATGGTACGCTCGATACATTCTTGGCCAAAAGCGTGTTTGCAGGCGGTGATGACTGGGTTGTGAAGTTCCTCGAGGCAAATCGAGCATTCGTCGTGGTTGTCGATGCTGAGTTGAAGAAGTAGCTGTAGAGCGGTTTTGTTCTCTTCCGTAAGTGCAACAGCATCATCATTGTCGAGAAGGGCTAGCATTTCACTGACCCGATCACCGCAAAGTTTCCAGTGGCAACACAGCTGGCGGAGACGAAGGAGAATCTCGAGGAAATGACGGTAAGCATTAGCGCCTTTGATTTGTTTTCCTTCTTTGTAAGTTCTTGCTAGACCCTTTGCTTCAGCCCTGGATTTCGTTAGTCAAATATTTCACAGATCAGCGAGGGGTTTGCATACTCAAGTATGTCGTATTTCTCCTTCTCATCATTACGGAACGCGATACGATGAATATACTCAGATTTCTCTGGTAGCCTCAAGTCGATGAACTTCATGTCCTTCTTCCTTCGAAGACACATAGTCTTCATAATTGACTGCAATATCTTTTCCGCATTTTCATCGCCAACAGCCAAAGGTCTGGTGAGAATAGCATTGAAGATCTCCATCCGCTCAAGACCACCACTTATACCCAGGAATTTAAGCATAGAATATAAATCCTTGATGGTGTTAACAATTGGTGTTCCAGTCAAGACCCATCTAGTCTTCGACAAAAGGCTTGTAGCTGCAACAGCAGCTTTTGTAGTTGCATTCCGAATGATGTGTCCTTCATCAAGAACCACACGTGCCCATTCCATCGAATAAATGCCAGTCTTCGATGGGACAGCCTTTGCCTCTTTCACACCGCGAGGGAAAAGCTCAGAAGTCAGTTTTCCATACGTGGTGATGACCACGTCGTAGGCTGCAAAATCATTTGGCGACATATTTTTGATACCAGTCCCGTGATATGTAAGGACCTTCAGGGCATGCTCTTCTTGGATATGTCTCTCCATTTGTTGTGCCCAGTTGGACATGACACTAACAGGTGCGATGATAAGAGTCGTGCCAGGTTCACCCTCAAGGATCAGACTGATGACTTGCAACGTCTTTCCAAGTCCCATGTCATCGGCCAAGATTCCACCACGAGCCAAGCGAGGTATATTGGCAATGCTGAAATTGGTTGCAACATTGGTGAAGAGGTCCCGTCGAGTATCGTGACGCTTCCATAATTGAACGATATCCTTTTTGTCGGGAGAGGGTGCGCTTGGATTCTCCTTATCCAACATCCAATGGAGACCTTGCAGTTGGTATGGGAGTAAAGTGGCTTTCAATTTCGAAGGCTGAGCAGCCTTTGGCATATCCTCAAGCGCTTTCTCGCCCAATCCCCACTCCTCCACAAGCTTCTCAACATCTCGCGGATTGAATTGCTCGCTGTTTGCAACGAAATGTTGAAGACCCAGTTCAGGTTTAGGCCCTGGTGGCCCGACGACAGGAAGTTCTGGCTGACTACTTGAAGGTTGCGAGGATCCCGTATAACCGGTTCTTTTCTGTGGTGGTGGTACCGGGGCTTCTTGCTGCTTCTTCGTTACCTTTGGAGTAGCAATACCTTGCTTCTTGATTGGAACACGATCTGCACCCAATTCCCTCTCCAATGCCGCACGCGTTTCCGGCTCTCCCGGTCCGTAAACTTTTATGTAGATAGGACAATCATAAAAGCCTTTCTCGCCAGAAAGAATTGCTTCCAAGACAATTTTTCTGGAATCAAGATACGGAGCTAATTTGCTCGCAAGAGTCTTGGGAATATGGCCGATCTGATCTCCTTGAACATTGTTAATGCGGATGGCATTTCTGTCATACTGATTATTTGGTTCTCGTCGAACCATGACCTGCTCACCCGCACTTGCTACACCAGTGTAATAGCGAATACCCACGACCTACATCGCATTAGAAATTCAGAAGCCAATCTCATCTTTGGAGCAAACGCGTGATCATACCTTATCATTTATAGCACCCAGACAAACCCACCCAAAACCCTCATCAACATCTTGACTCAAATCAACAACATCATACTCCTCATCATTCTCCTGCCATGCATCTCTTTCAACCTGGGTACTCGACGGATGACTATTTCCAAAAGACTGACTTGCTCGCGGCTGCGAGCCCTGAGAGCTTCTCGGTCCAGACTGGGAACTATTGACGCGTTTCTTATTAGGCGCCAGATTCTCGTCACCAGTCAAGTCCACTATGTGAGATGAGGAGCGTTTAGGCATAGCGACGTATTGGCGGCTGAAATCAATTCAGAATCCTTCCAATGCGGGTGTGGTTGGAAGGGGAAGCTGGGGAACGTGATGTGAAGTTGTGGAGCGCGTCCGGTTGTTGAGATCTGCGCAGGGTTGAAACACGACGTGGTGTTTGGTTTCGTCGTAATAATGACGCTAATGTTTCTAGTTTAAATAAATTTAAAAAGCCTTCAATTGCAACACAAACGGAAAGATAATTGTGTGGACGACGCCGTTTGGTTCTACTCGATCATGTTTTAGGTCACGTGCCAGAAGCACTACCTACCTAGGTACTCTAGACCGTCTTTCATTCTCTGGAAAGGACTCCCACATTCAGTTCTCATTCCATCTCAAGCTTGTAATTGTAGCTGATATCAAAATTCAAGTTCCTCGTATGCTCGAATATCATACGTTCTTGTCAATCCCTATCCGCAGTCCAACACGCCAAATTATCTACATCCATTGCAGCAACCCACCACACCTCAGCAGCATACATTAACATAAAGCATCGATCCATGCAGTTCCCATCTCTATATGTTGCAACCTTGTCCAACTCATCAAGTATATTACCCATTATAACTATACTCTATCCCCTACTAAGGTATTTTGAATATTAATCCTGACACGTGATCAGTGGTGCCGTCTCCGACGTCACGACCTGTAGCATGTCCAACGACCTACTTCATTAACCTCTTCTCCCTAATGAACGCCTTCGTCCTGCTTCCTGGTGCAGTAACGGGCCACCTCTACGCCTTTTTCTCTCATAAACTTTCATCTCGAGAACATCAATCCAATTTTTAGAGATTTAGAAATCTCAGGTCTCGTAGGTAAAACACGCCGTGGACACATGTGCATAAAACACCGCGAAAAGCCATGCTAAACATAATTGAGAAGAGAGAATTCATTCAGATGCGCCATAACTAGCCTTCGTCAGTAAACAATACGTGCAAGATGGGCATAATGCACACCACTTGCGCTTGGCAAAGTGCGGCTGAACATGGTGCCGTCCATGATTTAGTTCCCTAAACCCAAGTCTAACTTATAATCGTGCAATACATAAAACACACATGATGGCTAATCCTCTATACTCACGTCTGGATACTTCTCGACGCGAGGTTCGCTTGCTGGTCCTTGAGCCAGGGGCCAGCGAAGGCAACGTCAAATGCAAGCTCATAACCAGATCGCTGGACGATAATCCGACTTACGAGGCACTTTCGTACACATGGGGCGAAACGCAATTCAATCAATCTATTCTTCTAAACGGACATCCTACTACGATCTCGGGAAATCTTGAGTCCTTCCTTTGGACGATAAGCCATGAGCGGGAGGAAAAAGTTATATGGGTAGACCAGATTTGTATCAATCAATCTGATATTGTGGAGCGTGGTCAGCAAGTTCAATTAATGCGGGACATCTACGAAAAGGCGGAAGGGCTTCTTATATGGCTTGGATTGCCTGACGATGATTCAGACATGGCTCTTGAACTCATCATAGCTCTCAGTAAGCTTGAGCAGAATCTACTCGAAGTCCCAACTATTCTAGCAGTTGCGCAGACCCCTGAGATGCTACCGTACTATCAAGCTCTGCAGAAGTTTCTTGGTCGTTCTTGGTTCAAACGCACATGGATAGTTCAGGAACTGGCCCTGTCACAGCATGAGATTATGGTAATCTGTGGGGAACGGTGGCTTCCATGGTTCACTATTGCTCGAGCCGCTGAAAACCTTGAACATCATCGTTTGATGTGGTTCAGTGGTAATACGCTATTCTATACGATTAATATAGCATCTGTTACGTCGCTACAAATGCTTCATCGCCATCCGGAGAACAATCGTCTACATCAGCCTCGTCCGACGCTTTTTGATCTTTGTTGGATGCTCAGAGCTTTTCAAGCTACAGATCCCCGTGACAAGATCTTCGGGTTCATGGGATTAGCTACGGATTTGAAGCGAAGTAGCTCGTTCTTTCCCGACTATACAAAAGCAGTGGTACAAACGTACCTGGAATTTGTGAGATTTTTAATAACGGAAAATAAAAGCTTGGAGTTTCTTCGTGTTGCAAGTCGTGCAACTGATTCGGATTTTCCTTCATGGGCACCCGACTGGAGAGACTCCTTGTCCAGATCAGTTACTCGACCAGGTTATGACTCCAGAGTTCCCAAGTTTTCGGCTACAGGCGTGTCGATACCAGATGCTCGCTTATCCGACGACCTCAAGACTCTTATAGTCCACGGATATGCCGTTCAAAGTATTGAGCTGTTGGGGGATGTTCTACATCATGCCCGTTCCGCTCCAACACTTGAAAAAGACACCATAGTTGCCGTACTTCGAAGCTGGGAAGATCTCGCCACAGAGGTGATTCTCGATCCTTACCCAAATGGACAAAGCCGACTTGAAGCATTCTGGCGGACATTACTGGGTAATTCAGACGTCGACGCTCAAGATATTCCCACCTCGAATCCCTCGCTGGATTACGCACTAATGCTTGAACGCTACATAGATAAGGCCGGTGACTTTGTCGATATGCCGAACCGTGACGACTTAATCGGTAAATATGCACGTCCGTTTACTGTTCCAATGATCAGAGCTACATATGAGCAACGCTATTTCGTTACCAACCGAGGGTACATGGGTTTCTGTCCTATTTATTCTCGGGTTGGAGATTTGATCTGTTTGTTGCCTGGAACAAGTGTTCCTATTATACTGAGAAAGATCCAAGATCATTACGTTTTGGTCGGGGAATGCTACTGTCATGGCATGATGAAGGGCGAGATATTTAATACCTTGGGAGAGGACAATGTTGAAGAGCAAGTGTTTAATGTTATATAAGTAGTAGATAATTTGTTTGCATATTACTTGCACTAGATGGAGACTTATACGCACACAGAATAGTCATGTTAATTATATTTCTTCGCATGAAATCTTAACATTGTAAGACATCCCACCTCTCACACGGTTGATTCAACCAAAGTTGAACCAAACATAAGAGGAAATCAAAGGGAAGATGGCCACGGTCTCCGAAGAGGGGAGTTTATGGCTTGAAGGTGCGGAACGGAGAAGCAAGTGATGCACGTCTACATGGTCAAATAGTATGGTACATTCAAACTAATGCATTCCATCTCACGTACTCGACACACGTCAACATAACATCACTACGCATAAAGCTGTGAAGTATATCCTAACCACGAACTTATTAGCACCTTCATTCTCAACGAAGATAGTGGATCTCACAACTCAATAGCATCAAAAGCCACACAAGCCCAAGCCGTTCCAGCAAGTGTAGCAAAATCCTTCACACTTCCATCGACAGCTTTTCCAGCACCAGGAAGAGCTCGAGACAGAATTTCTACATCTCGCCGACACTTCTTCGTGTCGCCGTTCGTACTGGTTGCAATACAAGCTTGGTACGCTGCCTCATCTGCATCGTAAGTGTCCTGCGGATCGGGTTTCCCAGAGCGTGTTTTTTCGGGATCTCCAAAGGGATAAGAGGTGATTCGAAGGTTATGTGTTAGCACGACAAGTGCAATGAACCATAGCAGCCAGAGTAGGGCGACTAGAGCGATATTAAACCGTGACCATTGCAGCTTCTTTGATGCTTTCACTTTTACAGCTATGACGACCAGAATCGTTAGGATGGCCTAATTTCCGGCACATATTCGAGTTAGCGTATTCCCGCAAGGATTTCAGAGGGTTGCTCTGTGGAGTTCTCACAATCATTAGATTGTATACAGCAGCGTCGTAAACTCTTCTATCTTCTGCTTCACTGATGACGACTGCTGAAAAGACAAGAATCAGGAAAGCACAGGGCCCAGTCGCTACTATGCCACCAAATGATAGCTCAGCAAAGACACGTTCCGTCTTTTTGCTCTCGTCGGTTTGTATGAGACTCTCCGAGTCCGCACTCATGTTGTTTCTTGCGGTATGGAAGCCTGGTTGCGTCACTGATTGCTCATATAAGTGACGATTATTTGCGTAGCCAGTGCTGGCGTACCACTCTTGTTATATGATATTGAGTTCGCCCATCTCTAGCGTCCAGCCTCATTGTGGCTTATTGGTTTTCAGCTCCAAGATACCAAGTCAGTTGTCCTCCCTAGCCACCTGGTTTCATTTGTGACTTTTGTCATTCTTGATTGGTCGGCCAAGGGATGTGGCATCAGCCAAATGCCCTTTACGAGATGTGTTTTGCGCAATTCAGTCGCAATTCACATTGGAATCCAATGTCTTGCCTTCCCATCGGAATCGGGTTGTGAGGTAAGGGCTGTACTACGTTGTTCCGATTCCTCAGGCGAAATAATTGGCGAAAGTTGGGTCAGGGGTACCGAGAACAAGCGAATATGTGAGATGAGCATAAGCTTAGATGAACAATCAGAATAAATTGTTGAGAGCAAATTGCTCGGAGAAGGTGAACGAAGTTGAATTGAAAATGTGCGTCTAATTCTGCCTGTTCTGGTTTAGCTTGTCTGAATGAATAACGGCTCTATATCACTGGCATCCTAGTAAGACTTCCAGCTCACATTGTATGCAGAGTAATGAAAAAAATGCACAGGCTTGGTGCTCCTTCCAAGTTAAGACGATTCGTTTTGCTAGTTGATGAAGGGCTGTAATCTAGCTCCTCCGAGTTTCTCTTGTGGCTGAATTCATACTGGAGTATCTAACTCGGTATATATTCATTCGAGAACTCACATTTACGGTGAGTGGAGTTAGATGCATAATCCGAGATACCTTCCTAGCTGTTCTCGTGAAACCTGATTCCGATGAGTTGGTGAAATCAGTTCTATCTAGCGTTGGTCTTGTAATAGTATCCAGTCGTCATTTGGAGACCTTGATTTCATGAGCGTGAAGTTCGCTCGCTTTGTGCATTGTTACAAACTCGTTGCTCTCCTGAAAATTGTCAGATGGTTGCAGACGTGTAAAGAGCCCACCTCCCAGCATGCGTACGATGGAGCGGTGCATCTTGTTTCTTTCACTATCTGTATTCATGTTCCTACAAACATCTCATATATCAGCGTAGTAGAGCCTTTTTATTCCAGACTGTAGGTTGTCGTCGAAGACTCGAAGCCAGAGCTCACCAGGTTTCCACTCACCCATGCATGGATAGACTTGTTGGAGAGCAGCTTTCTGTTAGCTTGCAAGGCTGATATGCTGGTCATAGGCCATTCTTCGGGACGCCACCCGCTTCTTAGGCGCTGCATAAAGCGCCGGAGAATATTCATCGAGTCAAAAACAAGTGCTAATTAATTGACTGGCAGCGGTTAAGGCGGTTTGTGGGGTCAGAATTATGAACCATTTCGAGCATTCGGATGTCCGGTGGTTGTCGTGACAACAGGTGCCGGCGCAAAAGTGTAGAACAAGGCTACAACCCAAAGCAACATCAGGATAACTCGATTGTTTTTTATTCAGATATTGGGAATATCAATTGATACCAGACCCTGACAAACCGACTCTTCTTATGATATTTGCAACTTCTTGACATATCCTATTTGCAATATTTACATAATACATCCACTGCAAAAGATAGCGAGCAGCCCTCACCTCAAAGCACATGCGCTTTGTAAACAACAATAACAGAAGCACTCGAGTCGCAACCTACGATCGCAAGACGACACGAGATGGATCGTCCTAATACGCCTTCGATGCCACCAATGTACTCCGAAGCTCCTTCTTACGGAGACTTGAATGAACGCACTCCAACGGGACAGCCTTCGGATGCATCGCAGATTCGTTTGTTGACTGGACAGGAGGATACTAGACCGTATGTATTAGGGGATTCTGTTGTTTCTGTCTCTATGAACCAGATAATTGGATCCACGGGCTTGGATGGGGTAGTTCCTGAACCGCTCAAAGTGCGCAAATCGTTATGCATCCGAGGTAGAGAAGATATACGGGCTGGAAAACTAAGGGAGATGGCGCCTTCGGAGGCGATGCGGGTAGAAGCAGAGTCCATGAAGCAGAAGGTACAGCCTTCGCGTCATGAGACTTCGCAATATCTAAGAAACCTTCTGGGACCAAGAAATCCATCACACTCAACTCCAGAACCTTGGAACTCTCTCAAGGCAGAGGAGGAGGGTCGCGCATCTCGTAACCTTCAGAAGAAGCAACGAGCTGTCGACCTTCCCGTCATCCCATCAGGTCCTTCCCGAAGACTTTCACTAAAGAACCCAGTCAAATCTCCTCTTTCCAGACTTGAGACGCAGTTGAATGTGCAAGCAAGCTCACATGTTAATTCAAACAGTACATATACCGCTCGCAGATCATACCAACCTTCGGTATCCTCATCACACTCGCGAGCGCCTTCGATTATCGATACGGCACCACCACTCAACCCATCAGAAAGCACATATGCTCCATACTCGAGCAATGGAAGAATCTCACCTACACGATCATGGAGTCCGAGTAGAAGTTCAAGCGAATTTATTACTCGACCGCCACCGAATGTGCAATTCGAACCACCTGATATCGACGGAAGTCCCAGACCCGGAACCCCAAGTTCGAGATATGGTGGCAGTCCAAGGAGGCCCTTGCCACCTGCACCGCTGTTTTCGGGGCCTGGTGCTCCAGCCAGGAATTCGACGTTTGCGGATGATGCTACAATATCCATACCATTGGAGAATGATATTGCAGATGGCGATGACGATGTTTTCGGGCCCTCGAGTCCGTTAAAGTCGAGACCTGGAGCTACTACGAGAGAGTCATACCTATCCAGTGACACTCTCACAGACGAGATTGATATTCATGATGACGAGGATTACGAACATTACGGACCAGCGCCAGATGGGAAGCAGGAACGAAGAGGAGCACGACAAGCACAAATGGCGAAGAAAGAAGTCCGGTTGATTAATGGAGAGCTTATCCTGGAATGCAAGATTCCAACCATTTTATACAGTTTCTTGCCACGGAGGGACGAGATCGAATTCACGCATATGCGATATACGGCTGTCACTTGCGACCCTGATGACTTTGTCGGCAAAGGCTACAAACTGCGCCAGAATATTGGTGCTACCGCCAGAGAAACCGAACTGTTTATTTGTATTACCATGTATAACGAAAATGAAATCGACTTTACCAGGACAATGCATGCTGTTATGAAGAACGTTTCTCACTTCTGTTCTCGTTCAAAATCTCGTACCTGGGGCGAACGTGGATGGGAGAAGATCGTTGTCTGTATTGTGTCTGATGGACGCCAAAAGGTCCATCCACGAACTCTAGATGCTTTAGCAGCAATGGGAGTCTACCAGGATGGAATCGCTAAGAACTTGGTCAATGGAAAAGAAGTTCAAGCCCATGTTTACGAGTATACGACACAAGTTTCACTAGATTCAGATCTCAAATTCAAAGGTGCCGAGAAGGGTATCGTGCCTTGTCAAATGATCTTTTGTTTGAAAGAAAAGAACGCCAAGAAGTTGAATTCTCATCGATGGTTCTTCAACGCGTTTGGCAGAGCCCTTACTCCGAATATCTGCATTTTGTTGGATGTGGGTACCAAACCTGGTGGAAACTCCTTGTATCATCTCTGGAAGGCTTTCGATACGGATTCTAATGTTGCTGGTGCTTGTGGAGAGATTAAAGCTATGAAAGGCAAATTCGGAGCTCACCTCCTGAATCCGCTCGTTGCTTCTCAGAACTTCGAGTACAAGATGTCAAATATTCTTGACAAACCTCTAGAATCAGTATTTGGTTATATCACTGTGCTTCCCGGAGCTTTGAGTGCGTACAGATACCATGCGCTTCAAAACGATCATACAGGACACGGTCCGCTGAGTCAATATTTCAAGGGAGAGACTCTACATGGCCAAAACGCAGATGTCTTTACCGCGAACATGTATCTTGCTGAAGATCGAATCCTGTGTTGGGAGTTGGTAGCTAAGAGAGATGAAAAATGGGTGTTGAAGTATGTTAAAAGCTGTTATGGAGAGACTGATGTCCCTGGTAAGTCAAATTCCGTGAGTCTATGAGCTTAGCTAATGAGTATAGATACTGTGCCTGAGTTTGTCTCCCAGAGACGTAGATGGTTGAATGGTGCTTTCTTTGCAGCCGTGTATTCGCTCGTCCACTTCCGTCAGGTCTGGAAAACAGATCACACAATTGGTCGCAAGATTCTCCTCCACATCGAATTCGTGTACCAATTCATCTCCCTCCTCTTCACCTTCTTCTCTCTCGCCAACTTTTACCTCACGTTCTACTTCGTCGCTGGGTCGCTCTCGGACCCCAAAGTAGATCCTTTTGGACACCATATCGGTCTTTACCTCTTCTCCATCCTGCGATACACTTGTGTCCTGTTGATATGCACCCAATTCATCCTATCGATGGGTAACAGACCACAAGGTGCGAAGCGTCTCTATTTTACATCGATGGTGCTCTACGGTGTCATCATGGCGTACAACACATTTGCAGCTGTGTATATAGTTATCCGACAACTCAAAGGCAGCGATCTTCACGTCGGCAAGAACGCGTTCACGAACCTCATCGTCTCAACAGCATCCACAGTCGGACTATACTTCCTGATGTCTTTTCTATACTTGGATCCATGGCACATGCTCACCTCTTCGGCTCAATACTTCATGCTCCTTCCCTCCTACATCTGCACTCTACAAGTCTACGCCTTCTGCAACACCCACGACATCTCCTGGGGCACAAAAGGTGACAACGTAATCAACATTGACCTGGGCTCCGCCAACGGTCGCGGCAAGGGTGCCACAGTCGAGCTCGAAATGCCTTCAGAGCAGCTTGACATCGACTCGGGCTACGACGAAGCCCTGCGCAACCTCCGCGATCGTGTCGAGGTTCCCGTTCCGGAGATTAGCGAGAGTCAGCAACAAGAAGATTACTACAAGAGCGTACGTACCTACATGGTTCTCGTCTGGATGATGTCAAACGCGATTCTGGCCATGACTGTTAGCGAAGCCTACTCCGGTACTGACGTCGGCGACAATATCTACCTCTCTTTCATCCTGTGGTCGGTCGCTTGTCTAGCGCTCTTCAGAGCGATTGGGAGTGGTACTTTTGGGATGATTAATGCGGTCGAGGCGATTGTTGAGGGGAGGGTCAGGATGAGGATGAAGGTTCCTAAGTGGGCGGGTGGGATTGGGGAGAAGTTTGCGGGGTGGAGGAGTGGGGTTAGTAGTTTGGGAAGTGTGAAGTCTTGAGGGTTTGGGAAATGGGATGGTGTTGTGGGCGTTGGGTTGTGATATTGGATGGCATTTGGGTTTGTGGTTGACTGGATAAACAATCTGGTTGTATGAGGTACTTTTTAGGGTTATGATTAGATGATTGGAATTTGGAGAGTAATGGATCTGATGAGGGTGTTGAAAAATGGGAATTTGCTGCGTCTTGGTTCTAAAGCTTCTTATCACGAGTCTCTGGCGTGTTTCGCTACTGTGAATCAGATAGGATACCCATTCTAGCGTTCTCTAAAGAATACTTCAGTCTATCAATGTCGGTCGATGTCGATGTATTAAGGATTAATCAACGCACTCAAACTATTTATGAGTTATCGTGAGTTGAGTGTGGATAGGTATGGATTGTGTTGCATAGAGTGGTAACCACTGGTAGGTTTGGATGGAACTCACTACCCAACTTGATTCTTTCAGTACACTGGCTTATATCCTTCCCGTATTCCGACTTGTGAAGCTATGCCAATTTAGGGTGCAGTGAACACTCATGTGGCTGGCATTCTGTATGGAAGGTACTTCTGAAGTTTTACACGTCTTCGATTATGATTGTTTTCTCTTGTATATGGGAAATCAACGGCGCTGGAGAGTTATTCTTGACACATGTTTTTTATGTGGTAATAGAGGGATGTTTTGGCGCTTAGGGAGCCTGGGAGAGATATAGATGGGTCGGCTGGCGATGTGGATGGGTGTGAAGTGCGGGAGATGGGATGAGATTGGAAAGCGGAGGTGGAAAGAGGTGTTGAGAATGAGTTGAGTGGTTTGGAGGGGGTTGATGACTTCGTACAAAAGAATTGCAGTAACTTGTGGGATGAAGTCCGAATTTGTGATTAAAGCATTTGTGATAATTCCTGCTACGTATATGTCTCTCTATCAAAGTAAACGACTTGGTGAACTCTAGGGTCTGCACAAAAGTACAGTAAATGAATAGACCTTGTTTGTGCTGGGTATATCTGTTCTCTTGCTGGCTAAAAGGTGAAATCAGGGAAATATATAGGTTTGTGAATGTGATTTATGGAATTTTCAGAGGGTGGTGGGGTGAGGAAATGAAGTTTTGGCTTGGATTACATGGTTTGAAATAGCGTTGGTAAATTTGAAGTGTGAGAAGAAAATGTGTTAGACTCAAGAAGTGGGAAAGTGTGGGGTTTGACATGGAGTTGGTGAGTGGAATTGTTGGAAGATGATAGTTGTGATTGCTGTGGGCGGTAACATGCGTTACGGAGTTACAAGTCTTTCCAATTGTAGGTGGTGTTTGATGTTTGAAGTGTTGTGGTGTGTTTGAGGTGCCAAGGTATATCGAAGTATAAATATCAAGTGTTAAGATTTAAGATCGATAGGTACGTTTGTTAAGAGTAGTCTGATTATCGAGGATCCTTTTTAGATGACATGACAACTCTACTATAGAAAATAACACTAGTTTAGATCTATATATTTAATCTACTACTATCCAAACAACCCTTTCCCTAACCCTCATCTAACCACCAAAATTCCACCTATTAAATCTTTATCTCCAACTTTACACCTTCCTCACCTTTCCATATCCTCAACACAGCCTCCTTCTCCCCTCTCACTCCCCCATTCTGCTTCACCACGCCACATGACCACATCTCCCCTCCCCTTCTCACCCACCCACGTGCATCGGGAAGGATGCGAAGAAGAATCAAGAAACTTGTTTCGTTTCCGAGATGTCTTTTGTATAGCAGTGACGAATGAGGGATGGTTGAGGTGAGGATGTTCGGAGGGATGGGTTTTAAACGTGAGTGGGGGTTTTGAGGTTCGGGAGGATTTGAAATGATTTTTGGGGTGAGGGAAGAGAGATGGGGTGGTGAGGTGGAGGGTTAGGGAGGGAAGGGTCAGGAAAGGGATGGTGAGGTTTTGTGGAAATTCAAATCTAGTGATCAAAACTCAAGAAAGCTATTCCCCGAGAAGACAACATTAAAGTTTATTGTGTAACTTTTTATCTCACGTCCAATTTTTTTTGGGGAAGGAATACCCTCAAATCAAGCTTCTCTTCATTCCTCCCATCCTTCACCTCGTGCTCACCCTCGTACCTTACATATCCAGCCTCACCTACATATCTCACCCGCACGCATCCTCTCCCACGTTCCACACATCTGACAGGTACATAGGTACGAGCATGTAAGATGCTGACCACCTGAATCCTGTGGTGTGTTATTATTCGGTGTTTGTTTCATTAGACATGTGTTTTGTTGCTGCATGTCATTTTCATTGTTTGTTGGTTTGTTTGTGAGTGGTTGGATGTGAGATGAGTGTCTTTCAACACTGTGAACCAAATAAATTCAATTCATCCTCCTTCACGTAAAAAGGTCTTCTCAAAAATAAGCTTATCACACCCCAAGGGAACGTACGAAATACAAGGACTTTTTCAATTACTGAAACCCACCTCCTCCTTCTATGCCATCTAACATCTTCAATAATAATCATATAACGCACTTACATTACAGCTTCCAAAGAATTATATCAGTCTCAAAGAGTTGTATTCTCAAAACCACGTGCATCCCCACTTACCCTGCATCGGAACATTTACCCAGCGTTGTCAAATGTCATCGTGGCGAAAAAAGACGGACTACGGGATTTTTTCGTGCAAGTTCGCACGATAAGGTTTTAGTGTTTTGGTTTTCCTGGTGGGTGGATCTACTTGGAAAAGTGTAATTGGGAGCGTAAATAATGGGAGTGTGAGTATTGGGTGAGAAAGGATAATAATGGACGTCTGTTGGAGAAGTGAAAGTTGATGTGATTGATGAGGTTGTGTTTCTGTGAGGCAGTGCTGCGGAAGTGGTAATAGGGAGAAAATAGAAATATGTTGTGTTACGAATGGTATCTTTGTGATGAAAAACCGACCAAGCGGGCAAAATAATCATGAAAAGTAAATGTTCACGGGCGCATCAACACGATTTTTACACTTTCATCTGACTCAATATTCAAAGCCCAAAGACACATCCAGATTTCTGGCAGATCTTAGTAAATAATTTTCTCGATCTTCATCACGTTTCTAAATCCGGCACTCATATTAACTGTGGATCGCGCCCCTTGACTGATTGGCCGCTAAGTGGGGGAAAAAGGAAATGAAGGGGATCGAAGTCTAAAACGCGGTTAAACGCGCGGTCGGGGTGGTGATTGGCTCGGTAGGGGAGATATGTCAGGGGTAAATTGGGAATGTGGGTTTTGGGTATGCCTTGGGGTTTAGGCTTAAAATATTTCGAGGTTAGACATTGTGAGGAGAATGAAAATGGTAAAGAGGGAAGAAGCGAGAGAGAAAAGGCTGGTGAGAAAGAGGGAGAGGCACGACAGTAACATATCTGGAATGTGCTTGAAACGATGAGTGTGAGTGTGTGTGTGTGCGACTGAGAGAGGGATTCGTGGATCCTCCTGTTGTGGGTGTTTGGGGGCTTGTTCTAGAATTTGGGTGTCGCTCTTTTACCACTTTTAGAACGGTCGCTGAGGAAGGGCGATGTGCTGTGCTTGAGCGATCGATAAATCTGACATGGCCGCCTGTCTGCACTGATATGAAGATTGCGGAAAAGGGGAACAAACATTGGCATAAACATTCATAAATAAGCTCATTTGAAGAGATGCGATGGCCAGGTGTTGGAGATGTTGCCCGAGAAATGAGCAACAGCTGGGTTTATGAAGAGATGAAGAGTCTGGGATGATTCTTGTGAATGTTGTGCTGCAGGGTGCACCGAAGCAGTCAGCATCACACTGTAAATTCAACGCGCTCAGGACACTGGACGCCTTGCCGAAAACAAACATTCAATTTCCCGGGGAGCGCTTGTTGATGGTTGGGTTGGAGCTAGAGGGAGGAAGAGGTTCAAAAGAGTATGAGTTATTGAATGACTAGAAGTGAATGACTAGAAGATGGATGATGGTTGAAACAATCGCGAATACTATGAGTGGAAATAGTTGGTAGTACGAGGTCATAGAGACCGACCAGAGACCTACCGAAGAAAGGCAAATGGAATAAGCAAGGCCGCAACAGCAGCCTCAACACTCACCGTTCGTACGGTATTACATCTCACTCCAGAGCCGACTCGTGGTGTCGTACCCTCTTGAATCGGAATCCTTCTGCACCCAAATCCATCTCGCTTGTATTTTCCCATTGTTTGTCCAGTTGGCAGTTGGCAGGCAATAATGGCACTCAGTCGGCGTGCTTGCTGCTTGCCCTGCTTGCCCTGCTTGTGCAGTGATGTGCTAAACCTGCATTGCTCCCATGCGTAATATATTGCAATTTACCAGATCAGAGACTAAATCTGCATTCAATCTGGATATTTACCTATTCCAACCTATCATTGCCACGGCTTTCCCGGTTCTCCCTCGGCCCCTGGCTAAATCCATCGCTTTACCTGGTCGCATCTTATATCCCGCTGCTACTGTAGCACCAACTGTCTCCCCACTTAATTGTGACAGTCCGCCCAGTCATTGCCAAACTTGGCTCCCTCCCGCCGCCGCAAACCCACCCAAACCCTTCCTGCTCGCCTTGCTCCCCCAAACACCAGTCAAGCCCACACCCAAACTCCACCAGGACCACCACCCAATTCGTATCCCTCCCTTCTCTCCTAGTTCTTCCCCCCAAAAAGGCCAAAGGGCCAAGCCAAAAAAAAGTTCCAACCGCCGCAGACACACGCCCAACGAACACCCTCGTCCGAGTCTGGTCGGTCTTTCTTACTCACGGTCCCTCGACCCAAGCTCGCCCTCTCTCGCTCACGCAATCTAACACCACTCACCACTCACCACTCACCACCACCAACCAACCCTCATCTACTCGTCCCTCCCACCCGACCTCTCTCTCTCCTCCACCTCCACCTCCTCGTCGCATCCTTTCCCGACTTCAATTCTCGCGCAGCTTGCTTGTGCGATTATTATTACGAATCCTCACCAGATTCGTAACAAGAGAGCCCCGGGAGGCCGTTGGATAATGGTTGTTGCGAGTCCATGATCGCGAAACACCACATTGTAAAGGACCATCCATCCACGACTTCTTTCCGACGATTTCTCGTCACGACACTCATTTGAGGCCCGCTTTCAATTTACGACCGATACATTAATCGAATAAAGTGAGTCGACGCTCTTTGGGTGCTGGTGCAGAGATGGAAACGATTGTCTTGGTGTTCGTCGACCAAGTTTTGGGGACTGGACAGGCAGGATATCGTGGATCATTCATGCGAACAACTCATCGCGATTCAAACAGGACGACCGTGGTGACTGACAAACTTCTAGCCACACTCGTTGACATTTTGTCAAGTACACTCGTTCAATCCAATTTGCCCTGACAGTCAGTCGTCAATTCACCGGATGGTAATTCATCACTTTGGTCGTCGTACTGACTCCCGATTTAGATCTCAAAAATCTTCCTTTTCCATCCACCCGTTGCGACCACCTCTCCCGTCGCATCTCACGAATAAATCTTTCATATAAACAATCGATACGATGCATACTCCTTCCCTTATAGCGGTCACGGTGGTGGCGCTTTCGACGTTCGCCAGTGCTGAGGTAGAAAGACCTAGATTTTATTTTCCCAGACAGATAAAGCGCCAGCTATTTACAAACTCGACGACCACGTTTACACCACCACAGACAAGTCAGGAATCTACCAGCCAGGAAACGACGAGTCAAGAGACGACAGCTCTCCCCACGATTCCAGTTGCGCAGACGTCGATAACATCATCGCGATCTTTATCGGACATATTAGGCTTCTCAACAACTAGTGCCAGACAGGAGCCCCCATCTGCTCCTGGAACAACAACAACGTCTGCTGGGACAACCGGAATCTCCTTTTTTGATTCTGCTTTGGCTCCAATATTTCCGACGAGTGGAAGATCTACCAGTGCTGCATCCGCAAGTCAGACTGATAGCGCTGTTTCTTCAGACCCAACTTCATCTGATGTGACCCCAGGATCAACTGGAATTCTTCCACCTGTAGTTGTTGTGCCAACAGTAGCTACGAGCGCTACTTCCACCGCCGAATCCTCAAGCCCAAATCCAGAAACTTCAACCGGTGGAATTACTTTTGGTCCAGGTGGCATATTGACCTCATCCGCGGAATCAACGTCGGCGGCAGACTCGACCTCTGACTCTGTTGTGGTTGTTCCAACACTTACCCCATCTACTGAACCCGAGTCAATCACATCTGGAATCACAGGAACAGGAACGGGAACTGCACCAGAGGTCACCCCAACACCCACGCCAAGCACGGTCGAAACTAGTCAAGTCGTTGTTCCTACTCAATCGCCTTCTAGCACTGAGGCAGTTACCACAGCAGCACCGGAAACGACTGCTGCTCCAGAGACTACCGCTGTTCCAGAGACGACCCCATTGGCCAGTCTCATCTCCAGCCTCTCAAGTGACATTAGCGATATCATTCCAACGATTGTCCCTACTCTCACTTCTGATCCAGTCACTGTCCCAACTGCGGAGCCAACCACGACCAGCGATGTTCCAACAGTAATTCCAACGACCAGTGCCGAGTTGCCAATTACCACGGATATTCCAACGATTATCCCAACAACCACTGATCTACCAATTACTACGGATATTCCAACGATCATCTCAACCACGGACTTGCCAATCACTACCGATCTTCCTACCATCATTCCAACGACGACTGATTTGCCAATTACCACTGACATCCCCACCATCATCCCCACGCCAACGTCGGACTTGCCAATTACCACTGACATCCCCACGATCATCCCAACGCCAACGTCGGACTTGCCAATTACCACGGATCTTCCAACGACCATCCCAACCACCGATATACCAATCACTACTGATGTTCCTACGACCGTCCCAACTACTGACTTGCCAACTGATGTTCCAACCACCACCCCAACTGATGCTACATTGCCAACAATCACCACCGAGCCACCGATCACCACCCCGACAATCACCACTGATGGACCGATCACAACCGAGCCACCGATCACTACTCCGACAATCACGACAGATGGGCCGATCACCACTGAGCCACCAACCACTACCCCTTCAATCACAACGGATGGACCGATCACCACAACTGGTCCTTCTGATACCGTGATAACTAGTCCAACCACCACTGGCCCTAGCGATACCATAACCACTCCAAGCGTCACAACCACCCCTACTCCATCTGTGACTGATGATACCACCATAACCGGGCCTACTACCTCGCCCACGAGCGTGATCACCACGCTTCCTGATACCACAACGGCCCCAACCACTATTTCTGACCCTACCACAACCGGTACCGTCACGAGCGACTCCACAGGATCGACCACTGGCTCTGGAACATCAGTCAGCGATACCACTCTTCCAACAACGACAGGTCCATCCACAGCTGTGTCAACTGATGCCTCCACAAATGATACCACATTGGCCCCATCAACAAGCGTCTCAACAGGTTCAGAATCTACCGGTATTGCAACCACAAACGATACCCTTCCAACTGCTACCGCGACTACGCCTACCGCTGTTTCTCCAACTTCGGAAGCTCCAACTACAACAGCTGTGCCCAGCTCAAGTGTACCTACCGTTGCTCCAGTTACAAGCGTCGTTCCAACCGCAAGCGACAGTGCGACGTCGATGTGGCTACCAACCACCTTGATCGCAGCACCATCGTCTACCAGCACCTCAGGCCAATCATCTGCACCACAAACCACCGGTATCAGTCCAACTCTCCCGAAAGTCATCCAAAATCCAAATGGCAACATTCCACAAACAGTGCCAGAGGGTCAGACCAAGATTCAGATTGGTTTCGTCTTTGCTCTCAACTACCCATTCATCGTAGCAACCCCATTGTCTTCTGCTCAGATTTTCAAGTACCTTCCTCAAGGAATTGCCGATGGTCTAGGATTAGATATTGATCAAGTCACCATCCAGAGCTTAGCTCCTCTCGACACCACGGCCCAATTGGGTTTCATTACCACCTTGGCTATGGCTTACATTCCCACGAGCTTGGTTGAAAGTTTGAGCCTCGATCTTCACATTCCGACCTCTGCGATCTACAAGAACGATGATAACAGTGTTCAAACTTTGGTGAACTACATCAACCCTGCTATCCCAATCACTCCTGGTTCAAACTTGGATGGTTCAGGAAGCAGCAGCGGTCCAGGAGCTTCCCCATCATCTCCAGGTGGTGGCTCATCGAACAATGATGGAGCCTTCAATACTGACAACCAGAACCAGTCATCATCGGTCAAGGGTACGACAGCTGGTATTGCCATGGCTGCCATTGGTGGATCTGCCGCCTATGGTGCTGCCATGTTCTTGATCGCACGTAGATACAAGAAGCGTAAGCAAAGCCATCGTAGATCAAGCTCCCTCATGGGCCCAGAGATGAGATCAGGAAGCCCAGCTCTTATGGGTGGAGCCAATGCTTTCATGTCTGGAGGTCGCGTCTCACCAGGTGGAACCATCACCAATGATCGGAATAGTAGGGGAAGTGGCCGAACTGGAAACTCGGCACGAACACAACAAATCTCAGCACCGATGATGGCAGAGAATTCTCTCGGCTGGAATTAGGATCATTCCTTGGAATAGCATCCACCTCATATTTCGCGCACATATATACCCCAAACCAACCTTCCTTCGAAATCTCAAACCATCATCACACCAAAAGATTCTTCCCACCTGAACACATTCTTCTTCTGTACAATACCAAAATCATACCTCCGTCACTGACGTCGAGCGTTTCAAAACCCGGGATACGTCCCGAGGCTTCCTCGTGCTCCAACTTTTTTTTATTTACACTTTGTTTTGCGCTTATTATTATTTATTCTTCACCAACCCACCACCCTGTGTCATAGACTCTTCATACCCAACTCACATCCCGGGCGCTGGGGACCGCTTTTTACAATCGACGACAACGTTTTTTTTCTTTTTCTTTTCAATTTAATTTATAAATTATCGACTCGATCGTGGGAGGGATGAGCGAAATATTTGAATATCTGATTTTCCTACCTCCAAGATTTTGGGGTGGGAGAGTGGGGATATTGATGTGGAGGATAGGGGTTTTTACTTGTGTTTAGGTGGGGGGCCCTTTCTAGGGTGGTCATGAGAGGGATGAAAGGGGATGAGGAGGGAAGGGGGTGTGTATATGTGTGATGCATGAGGGGGAGCGTTTGAATAGGAGGGGAGATTGGGAGAGGAGAGGAGATGAGGGGAAAAGGGAATGTGAAAAAGGAGATGAAACAAACCTGTGTATATCTATGATCTTTTGAGCGATGAATTGATCGATATTTTTGAAGAAGCGGAAATGAAATAAAAAAATCACTTTTACTTATTTATAAACATTAGTACTGGTGTTTGGTGTGAGTGAGTGTGACATGTAGGTAGGTAAGATACCAGCAAAGGCAAGTTCCTTGACCTAACGATTGATTTAAATATATTATAAAGAAGTCATCACCCCACCGACTAACTCTATCACCCTTTTACTAGATTTCACATTTCATTTATAGACCCGTCGGCTCTCGCTTCCTCTACTGTTTTTTTGTGGGCAAGTTGGTCAAATTACTCCATCGGCTGCGGTTTACAGTGGTAGTAGATGAGTTGAGTAGGTCTCGTAAGTCTCGGAAGTCTCGGAAGCTCCACTCTCTGTCTTTGCTGTAGCACTTGGAATTCTTAGGAGAGATTTGATGGTGGTGGTGGTAGTGTGTATTGGATTGGGGTTAGTTGGGTGGGTATAATTTTTTTGATGGGTGAGATGAGATGAGGTGGATAGGGATGTCGGGTCTCCTCATTTAACGTGGAATACACCTCTTCACCACATCTCGTCCATTGCGGCCTCATACCCTGAAAGAATCCCGTAGATATCTAGATGTTTGTTAAGAGTATGGGATTGGATTTGACTCATCACACACAAACTACGTCTCCATCCCGCAATCTTGACTCATCTTTTAAGCAATCACATCTTGTTGAATAGCAAGATTTTCATGTCTCATATCTCGTAACCACATTAACTCATCACCACCTTTCTTAAACCCTCGCCCAATGCCCACCTATCCCTTTTTAACACTCTTAAACTTCTCACAAGCATCCACCAACGCCTCCTCCACCCCCCTCTCATGCGCACTATGTCCACAATCCGGCAAAATCTTATACTCCACATTCGCATTCCCCGCGCCCCCCAGCGCCTGATACAGCTCCCAGCTCGTTTTCGCCGGACACACCATATCGTACCTGCCCTGGATGATGGTGATGGGCAGGTGTGCGAGCTTCGGCGCGTCGTTGATGAGTTGGTTCTCGTTGAGCCAGCCGCCGTGGACGAAGTAGTGGGATTCGATGCGCGCGAATGCGAGCGCCCATTTCGGGTCGTCGCTGCGAGCGATGTAGGCGGTGTCGACGAGGAGTTTGGAGGTGGCGGTTTCCCAGGTTGACCAGGCTGTTGCGCTGGGTTGGGGTTAGGTTTGGGTGTCAAATGAAGAAGAGATTCAAAGGGAGGAGTACCATTTTAGTTTCTCGACTTCATCAGTGCCGGTGAGTCTTTTGTAATAAGCAGCTATCAGATCTCCCCTCTCATCCTCGGGAATCACAGCTTTATACGCGTCAAAGTAATCAGGAAACATCCAATCACTGCCACTCTGATAAAAGAACTCCAGCTCGCTTCGTCGTAACGTGAAAATCCCCCGCAGTATCAACCCAAGCACTTTATCAGTGTGTTTTTGAGAGTAGGCGAGGGACAGCGTGGAGCCCCAGGATCCGCCGAAGACGATCCATTTTGAGATTCCGAGGTGCGTGCGTAAGGCTTCGATGTCAGAGACGAGATCCCAGGTGGTGTTGGCTTCGAGGGAGGCGCTGGGCGTGGATTTGCCGGAGCCGCGTTGGTCGAAGAGGATGCTGCGGTAGTGGGAGGGGTCGAAGTAGCGTCTGGATGGGGGGTTAATGGGTAGAGTTTAGGGGAGAGGGAATGGGACCTGTCGCTGTCGTCTATTCCGCCGCCGGGACCGCCGTGGAGATAGCTGGTTTTCGTGGTTAGAAGTTGTGGTTGGAGATTGATGTGAGAGTTCGGAAGCAAAGGATGAAGTAAACATACAGGATTGGTACGCCATCTGGATTTCCGCAGTCTTCGTAGTATATTGAGTGGATGTCTGAGACTTTCAGATGGGACGTAGTATTTGGTGTGAAGGCTGGGTATATTGGTGCCATTTTGGTGGTGTTTGTAAATGGAGTGTGGAGGAGGAGAGCTGTTGTTGTTATTGATAGAGAGGTGGGGTAACGGGGTCGATAGCTTTGATCGATGTATTACAACCGCTTTTGGACAAAAAAGGTAACTCGCCTCTTGTTAATTTTGTGCAGAAATATTGGGGTTTTAGTAGCTGACCCGACTTGCGTCAGATGAAAACGAAATTTTATGACTTTGAGAAACAAATTCTCAAACTAACGGTAGTTTGTAAGGTGTTAATAGGTAAATAGGACTTGTTAAACTGGTTGATCCTCGGCAGACCGCCATTGTGGCTGTCGTTCGCAGCTTCTGAACTTCTCAACCTTTAACCTCTTACTCTTTCATCTACATTTTGTTCCTTTTTTTTCCATACTTCAATTGCCAAATGAATACCAACTCGATATACTCCTCTACCCACCTAGTAGAACTCTACCTCCAGCAAGGAGACTCGTTGCTGGAAACTAGGCTCTTTCTTTCGTTGAAGTCAAGAGTACTGTGTCCCCGATACAATCATGATCTACGCGACCCAAGGTCGCCTTTGTTGGCCTGATCTCTGCTGTCGACCTGGAAATGGAATACAGCGAGAGCACTATTGAGTCTGCGAAAGCTCGCAACCCAATCTATTTTTGGCATATTCAACCACCTGCCTTATCGATTCCATGATTGGCGGCTGAACGCCACCCTCAGCCTTGTGCCATCGCGACTTCGTCGCAATGGGGTTCCAATCTGTCACTTGTGTCTATATTACTTGAAGATCTATGTACAAAATCTACCGCGGTAGAGCTCAAATTGGACGTACTATCTGGGGAACAACTCCTCAGAAGTAGTTCCAGTCTCCAGTTGTTGGACAGAGCCAGCTCTTGAGCGCCGACCAAAGCGACCATGGATCCCGCGACGGTGATCGGACTGATATCCGGTTGCCTGTCAATCGCAACCACGACTGTGAATACAATCAAGTCGCTGAGTGGTCTGAAGGAGCAATATGCGAGAATTGAGCAAGACATGAGCCTTCTTTCCGGCCGGATCAACACCATATGTGCCGCTTTGTACAATATTGACAAATGGGCCCGCAAAAGTCAGGCAAAAGACATAATAGCATCACCAACAGGACCATGCCTCGAAAGCTCCATACAATCCTGCATGATTGTCATATCTGGCGTCGAAGAGCATGCCCAAGCTGTCAGCAGCTTGAAAGTCAGGGACAAGATCAGGCATCTCTGGAACAAAGATACTCTTACCGAGTTGAGCCAGAGCCTTGACTGTCAAATCAATGCTCTACAGCTATTGGTATCGACCATTAATTTGTGCGTTGTTGTGTATTTTCTAGAACTAAGAGCTAAACTAAAGTCCCTCAGGTCTTCGCCTTCCCAGCAAAGAACCCAGCTCGAGAGCATGGTCAATCGAAAAATTCTTGAGCGAGCCCGAGATGCTGCTACAATATACGTAAAAAGGAAAGTATCTACTACCGATAGTAGCAACCTCGATACGCCATCCCAACCCCTACCACAAAGTGTGAGCAGACTGTCTCTCCAATCTACTATTGTAGACGATCTGGACGATTACAAGCTCGAGGTCTCGTTTGAAAGAGATTCTGACTGTGTATTACACACGAAATTTGTTTCCGATCGGGCTCGGGGCATTCGAAGAGTACCAGTCGTCCAAAAATGGCGGCCGCAGAAACCTCCTTTAGGGGCGGGTATGTTTGGATCCGTACGGTTAGAGATCTGCTCGGACTCGATCGAAAAGCCTGAACAGCGAGCGGTGAAGAAGTTGCAAAAGATGCATTTGGACCGTCTGAAGATTGATTTCAGAAAGGAACTGATTGCTCTGACAAAGTTCTCCAGGCGAAAGGTAATTGTAGCTTCCGTGCTCTAGATATTTTCTTTGAGCTCTAGCGTTCTATGTATCTACGCGGGCTTGTATTTCTTCCTTCCTTTTGTAAATCTGTTCATCAAGGTGGGCACTGCTAATCACTGGTCCAGTTCTCACAATGTGAGATATTCGTCGACTTCCTTGGATGGTTCGAAGACGACGATAATGTTTTCCTGGCTATGGAGTACTTCCCTTTGGGCACGCTTCATGATCATATCAATGAAGAAATACTGGAACATGATGTCAAGATCATCTCGGCACAGCTTTTGGAAGGTCTTACCATCATGCATAAAGAGTGCTTCACTCATAGAGATCTCAAACCTCAGGTAAGCTGGGTTTGGCAAATTGTCTCTTATAGCATATATGCTCACTCAATGGATCCAGAATATTTTTGTTGTCCAAAGGCTGCCTGAATACTGGATCAAGATTGGTGATTTCGGCATTTCAAAACGCGTATCTAACGACGAGACTTATCTCCACACGGCTACAGGTACTCCGCATTACCTTGCACCAGAGATATCTAATGCCATAGAGCTTGATGACGATAGTAGCGATGAGGAAGAAACGCAATCGTACACAAATGCGGTTGATGTATGGTCCTTTGCTTGCGTTATTTATCAGCTCCTTGCTCTAAAAGTTCCGTTTCCCAAGCGACGTGACCTTGTACGGTTTTGCCGGGGCGGAAAGTTTCCAGAGCCAGCTTTAATGACTCGAACAAGTGATGAAGGCATAGCATTCGTCAAGTCTGTTCTGGTCCCAGACCCGTCACTTAGACCGAGTGCTGAAGTATCCTTACGATCAGAGTGGTTGAAAGTTGAAAGTAAGGCGCGGAAACAATCACTAAATTCAAGTCAGCTCTTGGATGTGGCAAGAGCTCTTGACCCGTCGGAATCAACACTGCCTGACGATTCTTCCTCGGTAAATCCTAATATTGATATTCAAGACGAAGCTTCAACGAAACTTAGCAACAACCAGCCTAAAAGAATCGGGCCATTTAAGACTGCTAGGCGTATTTCTGGTGTAAAGGTAAAAGCGGAGCCGGCCTTTAAATCCACTCCCGAATCAGGACCACTTGAAGGCACATTTGAGGCACCGAATAAGAATCTTGGTCCTACGAAATCTTCGCCGCAAAAGTTCGATGTCAATACTCCCCTTTATGGCCAATTCAAACGCTCAACATCAGTCGCCGATCCCGATGCAACAATTGTACCGTACCAGCAAGCCACCGTGGCACAAGAACTTCCGGGCAGTGCATCTACCAATGCAGTATGGGAAAGCTACGTCAATCTAATGACGAGACCTCCTCTCGGAACAGTTGTGAATGCCAAAGCTCTCGAGGATAAAACGAAACCAATCCCCAAGTCCGAACCTTCGTCACGTCAGGTTTTGAAAAACAACAAATCGTCCCAAGAGGGTTTCAAGCCTAACCACACTGAGATCTCAAAGGTCGCGCCGCTTTCTCGTAAAGAGTTGGAGCTCAAGGGGGTTCACATGAAATGTAGGAATGGCATGGTTGACCTCGTTAGTGAAGCGCTGAAAAGGGGCGTTGATGTTGATTCCCTAAATGCGAGCGGAAACACTCTCTTGATAAGTGCGATGCAATGCGACTCACCATCCCGCATAAATCTGGTAGATCTACTGATGGAGAAAGGAGCAGATCTTGAAGCAAGAGATAGTGCTGGTCATACTGCTCTTCTTCTGGCATGTAGTGGGCGCACACCGGATTGGGGTTTGGCACTAATGCTTTTAAAGAGCGACGTGCCTGAGAAACGTTCGGACTGGAGTGCCAGGAACTCGGATGGTATGACGGCGCTTCATTTAGTAGCACGCCATTCTCGGGATTACTACTCAATACCATTTCTACGACGGCTTCTGGAGGTTGGAGCGGACATTAACCAAATCGATACTGAAAAATACAGGAATCGCCCAATCCATCACGCTTGTATGTCTGGAAATTCGGATGTTGCGTCAGTACTTATCAATGGAGGTTGCATAAACGATTCAAACTCATATGGCTTGACGCCCCTTCTGCTGGCCGCTAGCGCGGGTTATGACAGGATCGTTACCATATTGGTCCGCTCGAGACGCGTCTTTGTCGACGTCGATACAGAAGTCGACGACCGAGGTGCAACTGCTTTGCACCTCGCCGCTGAATCGGCCCCAGAAGAACGGAACCACTCGGCAACTATACCCAAACTCCTTGATTATGGATCGAACCCCAATGCCCGTGATAAACATGGCGAGACGCCTATCTTCTATGCTCTTCGGGCTGGCAAACAGCGTCATGCGAAATGCTTGGTTGAAGCAGGAGCCTTGATCAACGTAATTAGTGCTCGAGGAGAGAAGTGTGTTTATGTTGTCAATGGGAATGGAACGTTGGAAATCGTGAAGACAAGTGGTTATGTCACTTCTGGGGTGCAGCTGAAGCAACGCAAAGGCGATACTTATGAGAAGTCGGAGGAAGAAAGACTTGGCTTAGTTAAAGGAGATAGTGATGTTGTGGGATCTTCTATACGGTTTTGGACTTGTAATTAACTACCTAGTTACCTATATATACATATATACTGTATTCATGTCCTTGTAGGTACGCACAAATCCTGAAAATGCTAGGATTAGATGAATAACTCAATTCGTTCTTCAGCCAAGTATCTCCTTAGTCTTCTACTTAACGAGGATCTTTGGAAGCTGGCAGAGTTGGACTTTAGGGATAGGAGATGTGAAATTTTAGAGAGTCAACAGTACAAATCATCCAGAGAATTACATGTCATTCCATACCTATACAGTCACCCATTCACTCTTTCTTCTACCCCCTCTCCCACCTCCCACCCTATTCTTGCTTCTCCCTAACGAGCACAGCTGCATCCATAATCCTTTTTTGATCCTCTCCCACCTACCACCCTCATACTTCCGCCGCGCCTCCGCCAGCGAGCAAAGCGGACATAACGTCTGTTCTGAGACGTAGACATAAGTAGGCATAGCGCATGGACGGAGCGAGCCGCGAGCGAGGAAGAGACCGGTGTATTGAGCTAGGAGGGTTGCGGGCAGGGTGTGAGGGTGTAAGGGCCTCGGTGGTAGGTGGGTGCAGACGTGGGTGGGGATTAGGAGGTTGCACATTGCTGTTTGGGAGAAAAAAATGTTGGTTTTTACGGGTTGTGGTTTTGGTGGGGTGTAGGGGAATCCTGGAGTTTGGATGAGTATCTGGGGCGAGGTGTATGTAGAAAGAGCATAATGATGTTGTTCAGAGCAAGGTTGTTCTTGGACGAGGAACAATGGGATTGTTCAGGCTTTGGGGATGGGATGAGGTGAGTTGAGATGTTTTGGCGTGGAGTGGTGAGGTGAAGAAAGAAATTTAGATGATGGCGAGGTAAAGCTTTGCTGGTGATTTTGTGAAATGGAAATCAATTATTAGATAGCTAATAATAATTGAGACTTTCGATAAATTGTTGTAATCCTTCAGACATCTGATATTTGAATAGGTACCTATAATTGAGGTTCGAAATGTAATGAAAGAAGATCATATGACTTGTGCGAATTTTTGACTTTGCTAGTTAATGTAATGGTGCCTTGCTTTGGCCGTATGGCTGTCTTGGGGTTCTGGATACTGTCAGATAGGGTGTTGGCTTGAAAACTATCATAAAGACGACAGACCAGCGTGTTTCCTTGACATTCATCGATGTCCTCAGTTTCAATTAAAACACCATCATTGCTAGGAGGTATCGAGGATCGCCCGTGGATTTAACAACTCCTTTCCCATCTCTGGAACGCCGCGTTCGTTTGCTGCCGAGCAAGTCACGTTCCCAGGTTCTACTACCTGAAAATCGAAGCTGATTCCATGCCAATCATGTAAGAATGAGCACAGGCAGGACATTCGCAATAGGCCATATAGAAAATAGAAACAAGCGCAACACCACAATCTTGAAACGTGCTGCTCACTTGCTACTGATCTGTAATGGGGGAGGGGGTATAAAATGTTTTCGAATTATTATGCTTCTGTCTATCAAAAAGCCGGAATAGCAGTTTCGATCGCATCTCTTGCAGTCTCCCAGGCCAGCCAATCTGATCTCGTAGTCCTAGGATTTTATTAGCATCTGGTTCCTTCACAAATAGTTTATATCACTCACGGTAAGAGTCCCATCCCATTAACTTTCCAAACTCCCAGAGCCAACGCCAGAACCTGCATCGCGACATATACCGCTTTAACGCCCAATAGCGCCGCTCTTGTACCATCGCTATCGAACTTCTCAAATGCCTGATTCGTCGCAACCAGTCCCATGATAGGATTTTTGAATGCCATAACCACCATCATGATACTGAAGATCTGTAAGGAGTTTCCGGACATGTACATCATGATCGCGGTCATTGGTAATTGTTTGACTGGTGCAAGCGCAACTTCCCACGCCTTCTTCAGCTTTAAGGTGTCCATTTCTTCGGTCGTGGGTGCTGTGCGAGCAGGAGTTTTCGAGGAGGCAATTTGTTTCTACACGATCATTAGACATAATTCTGTCTAGGTAATGAACTCCTTACCTTGTTTCCCGAAGATGCTGCTGTATATCCTGGAGGGTCTGGAATCGTGGCCTTGGTTCTTGGTACAGGCGGCGAGTTGAGCTCGACGGCCCATCGCGGTGGTGCTAAATCTTCTGACATCTTGAATGACTAGAGGCGGCCGTATGGTGTTTCGATCGAAGAAGTTGAAGAACTAGACAGGTATTGTCTTGAAGCCGTTGATGCTCGTCGTCCTCGAAGCGGCGTTACGTAGCGTATCGGCGGGTCCTCAGATATTCCGGCCCGTTCCTACAGGCCAGAACCCTTGGAGTCTGACCTGTGCACTCCCTGTCCCTAACTCACAAGAACCTCGACGTCTCCAAAATAAATTATATCCACGACTTCCGACGAACAACTTCCACTCGAAATCCGCGGTTTCATGGCGACAGATCCGCCACTTCATATCAACCCGCGCCGGCGGATACAGTGATGTGTGTGAGCCTTTCTGCATAGCCCCGGCCATACAAGAATTGTGCCTCGCTCCCGTTGGCTGAAGATTGCATTGGTGGAGGGGTAACTACTACGCACAAGATACAGGTTGAGCTTCGTCCAAGATGAGTTCGGGCGGGGGAGATGCGAAGCTCTTTGCACGAGTACGTCCATCTCTGTTTGTTTGATCTATGCGACACTAGGTGTGCGGTCCCGGTGCGATAGCTAGTGAATATCAGACACCTCTCGTTGCGCCAGCGGCTATATCTTTTGATGCAAGGCTGGAGCGTGTGGTGGTCTTTCAATAGATATTGCCATGCGCGGCGCTCTTCGATGTCAACATGTTTCTTCCCCATTACATTCCGCCTACGGGTTACCATAACGGATTGCGCTCACCATTCGCTACTGCACAGGGCAAGGTTGCGGAATTGCGGCTCGAGTTGAACAGTGGAGGGAAGAAGGACAAGAATCATGCGGCGAAGAAGATAGCGCTCAAGAAGATTGTGGCCAATATGACGATGAGCAATAATGATATGGTTGCATTATTTCCAGACATTGTTGGGTGTATGCAGATACCAAGCTTGGAGATTAAGAAAATGTGGGATGCCTTGTAATGGTCGAGCGTAGAGTGCTGACAAGAAGACATAGGTGCTTCTTGTTCCTGGTCAATTATGCCCGCATGAAACCGGAAGTTGCGTTGAAAGCACTGCCAACTCTGGAAGAGGTAAGTTGCAGGACTCGAGCATCAAATGCGCTTGCTAATTACTAGTAGGATATGCATGACACAAATCCATTAGTGAGAGCATTGGCTCTCCGTACAATGTCATATATCCACGTTAGGGAATTTGTAGAAGCTACCGTTCCGCCTACGAAGCAGCTCCTGCGAGATGCGGATCCGTATGTTCGCAAAACAGCCGCGTTTTGTGTTGCCAAATTATATGACCACGATAAGCATCTTGTGGAGGCATCAGATTTGATCGACAGATTGAACGCGATGCTTAGAGATGATAATCCGACAGTGGTAGCAAGTGCTCTTGCAAGTTTAATGGATATATGGGAGCGAAGTGATGCTATCAAATTGACCATCGATTATGGCAATGCATCAAAAATGGTTCAAATTTTACCAGATTGCTCAGAGTAAGTAAATGTCTGTAGGGCGTATTGTGTTTAGAGCTGATTATGTTTAGATGGGGACAAACCTATATACTAGAAGCGCTGATGTCTTATGTTCCGCAAGAATCTTCCGAAGCTTTGCTCCTCGCGGAGCGCATTTCTCCTCGACTGTCACATTCAAATTCGGCTGTGGTCCTCACATGCATACGGGTCATCCTTTACTTGATGAATTATATTGCAGACCAAAAGCAGATATCGCTGCTATGTCGAAAGCTCTCGCCACCTTTGGTTACACTGCTTGCCAAAGGACCTGAAGTCCAGTATTTAGCTCTACGGAATGCTTTGTTGATACTACAGCGGCGTCCGGAAGTCCTGCGAAACGACATTCGTGTGTTTTTCTGCAAATACAACGATCCTATCTATGTCAAAGTCACTAAGCTGGAGCTGATATTTATGCTGGCAACAGAGAAAAATATCGATGAAGTGTTGACGGAACTAAGGGAATATGCCACTGAGATTGATGTTCACTTTGTGCGCAAGTCAGTTCGAGCTATTGGCAAGCTTGCTATCAAGATTGAACCTGCAGCGCGGCAGTGCATCAACACACTCTTGGAACTCGTCGCAACAAAAGTCACTTATATTGTGCAAGAAGCTACGGTTGTTATTCGGAATATCTTCCGAAAGTATCCTAACCAATACGAATCCATAATTTCCACATTATGTGAGAATTTGGACTCTTTAGACGAACCCGAAGCAAAATCGGCTATGATTTGGGTTATTGGTCAATACGCGTCACGTATCGAGAATTCTGATGTTCTTTTGGAGGATTTCCTGTACTCTTTCGCCGACGAACCCGTCGAGGTGCAGCTTGCTTTGCTCACAGCGACTGTAAAACTGTTTATTCAAAGACCTACTAAGGGACAAGAACTTGTGCCAAAGGTCCTGAAATGGGCAACAGAAGATACAGATAACCCGGATTTGAGAGATCGAGGGTACATGTATTGGCGACTTTTATCGTCTGATATGGAAACCGCAAAAGCGGTCGTAATGGGCGAGAAGCCAGCGATCACAGCTGAATCAGAGAAGCTAGACCCTGTTACTCTGGAAGAAATGTGTTTGAATGTTGGAACCCTTGCGACAGTCTATCTGAAACCAGTCCAGCAGGTGTTCAGATCTGCGCGACCGAGAAAGCTGATAGATAGTCCGGCTCTGCAGAAACACACTTTGCCCACAGCCAACGGCTTGGACGGGCAAAAGTCTCTGTCAACATTCGGAATGGAAGGTCAGCCTGCAGTTCGACCCCAAGGAAATGGAGACCTTGCCGCAGCAGTTGACGCTGCGGATGAATTTTTTGCAGGTGTTGGCAACCAACAGATGGCTCACATGAACATCAACGGCCAAGATGACGGATTTGGAGGCAGTCCGACTGTAGGAAGAGGAGACATGCAATACGTGGTAAACCAAAACGCACCAGAGCAGGCATACCATCCGACGTCTGGCCAAGGCGCGAATGGAGATTTGCTTATGATGTAGGTAGAGCGTGTAGGCAGCATTTGCGTGTGGGGGGTATTTGTATAGCTGGGCTTAGGAGTTTGAGCGATGTAATGGAATTTTGCTTGTAAGAAATCCGACTTTTGATACTGATCCTTGACGCTTGCTATTGATTTGTCAAAAACTGGTTTTGGTACTTATCACCAACTTTGTGTCACTTCTCACTGCGCACATTATCTTTCTTACTCACCACGCCTTTCGGGGAGCAGAACCAGCAGATTATTGAGCCTCGAACGTCTTCATGCCTTGCTCTTCAGTTCCACGCTCTGAAAATGTAGGCTCCATCGTTTTAGCATTCACGTTTGGAGCAAATTCAGCAAATGAGTCGTAGAGTACACCTAAATATCCCAGTGCACCGTTGGTGACAAAGAGGGCATTAAGCATATCTTCGAGCACGTGGCCTGTTTTTTGGAATCGAAGATACGTTTGGTTGTGGATGAACAAAGAAGATGTACAATCTGCTCCTCGGGACAGTGAGGCAGGTGGGAAGAAGAGCGTTGTGTTGTGAGGGACTTTGTTGGATATTTCACGTTGATGGTTCGGATCATGGCCTAGCATTCTGGGTACTGCATGGAGTAACGTTAATAGCTATGACAAGTATCTAGACAGCATTACACTTTTGGTATATTTTGTAGAAGCATGTCAGAGGGGAATGGTACTTGCTTATGACAGGCCCGAGGCCATTGGAAATCTTGGATCAGTTGTGTATGTATTTTACATTTGAGAAATAAGAAGTTTAGACTCCTACAGGAGTCTGTAGTAACATGCCAAAAGGATGTTGCATTTACGTAGAAATAAATGAAACGTATAGACATTAAGAATATATAGTTTTATAGAAGAGTACTTAATCTTATTAGTTAATAATAATAAAGCGACTAATCTAGTTACTCTATATTAATCTATTTATTATAAACCTACTAGTATAGAAAACTCTATAAGCTAGTAAACTCTATATAAAAAGTTATATTATTAGACGCTTTACTTAATAGTTTATAATTATTTAGAACTATTTCTTTTATTACTCCCGTTCTTTCTCTCCTAATTCACCCCACTTTTAAAACTAGTCACCCACCCTTTTTCACTCCCATTTGTCCCTTCCAGTATTTTTTCAATTTGCTATATTTAAATAAACCAGTTTTATTTTAACCAATCAAATCCATACTGGTGTATCGGTAACATTTCCGCCTCTCAACACTTGAGTGGTCGCGGTAGCGCAGGGTTCGACTCCCTGGTATGGAATTAATTTCCAAGGATTCATTGGTTTTTTGGCTCCCATTACACAAGTTCTTTTTTTTACGAAAGAGGATTTTTGCGCATTTCTTTTCGGGTCGAATATCGGGATTTCGTCGCGTTTTGGAAATACAGGAGGCGATTTATTTTGGTATTTCATGTTGTATTTTGAGCAGTGAGTTAGATGAGAAAGTTGAATAAAAATTGAAAGTTATTGACAATTTGGCACTGAATGTAATGGCTTAAGTCAATCACTAACAAAACCAATATAAAAAGCAGGTAACATCAGCTCCAATTTAATGGGAAGTGGTGATAGTCATATTCCGTCTACGTGATTTGAATATCGCATACATCGTTAGCTGAGATAGAAGAGCCATTTATGCCTAAAACCAATTTTGAATATCAGTTGTGTAGATTGACGTAGCAAGCTGTTAGAGTTCCAGTAAAAGCTAATGCCGTGAAATGCGATAGAGGTTACTAGATCGAATAAGCCAACTCTTAGGCATCTGAATATCAAGACCAGATGACTCCAGCACGTAAGTCTCAGTACACACTAGGATTAGGCGCAAGAAACCGAGAGAACAACACAGGATCTGAAGCCCGATTACTTACTAGCAGACACCTCCTCACAGCTTTTCAAGCTTTGTACTACAACAACTGTTAGTCCATTTTCCGCCCCTAGAATAAAATCCGCTCTGTTGGATGACCGCCAACACTTGCTGATTCTACAGTTCTTGTGCGACATATCGTAACGCGTGACCAGATCAGGAGCAGCGACTCGACATGTACCCTTAATCTGAAACAGCAATTAGCTGGAATCAAATCAGGATTCTGAATGTTGAAACTATTTATTGGTGCAGGGAAGTTTCTGGGTTTTGATGGTTAAAGAGAGTTTTAAGGTCGAGATCTGGTTACTTTGGTGCTTCTTTCGATGACCCATTACCTCATGATCGTCACACAGCACAGTTTTCATGACATCTGGGTAAGGAAAGCATAGCTCAACCCGTGATCAATATCACAACGAAGAGGAGGACGCGGTGACAGTTAACAATTCGTGGGGGTCCGGATCCCCTTCCGATATCTGCAGCAATGGACACTACGCGGGATATGAGCAGGTAACTTGATACTATCATTGGTCTTTGACATAGTCATCTGCTGACGAACTGCATCGAAAATGTTGGAAAGACGGGGAGGCTGCCATTGTTGGCGATTGCCTTGTGCCTCATCGACGCTGACGTGAGGACAACACAAATAAGAAGCTTTTAATGCGACGAGAATCAGCTTGGCGGCTCAGAAAGTCGTTGACGTGAATGGTCAAATATCAGTTGTAACCATTGGTGGGCAAGGCGTGTCGTGGGGTAAGATTGTGCCGGACGGGGAAGTTTGATTTGTCCAAGTAACCTAGAAATCTTCGAATTACTGAGAACGCGGTTGATTCCTGCGACCTGTTACTTTGCTCATAAAACTTGACTGATATGCCGAGAAGTCTTTCCTGTGAAGCTGTCTGTCGAGAAATGCCCCTATTCAGATTTAGGCGGAATGCCTTGGCACTTTGTGTTCCTTCAGTTCACCTATCGCATACAGGACAACGAGGGAGGACGAGCCGGCCCGAATGTATGGGTGTCTTAGGAATATTTGAATCTTTTATCATGAAAGGGCGGTAGCAGGAATATCATCTGAAGAAGATCTGCACGAAATCAGTGTGCAGCCAACAGTAGCTATTGCAACATCACCTAGAACATATCTCTCTGCTTCAGGCCAAACAGCACAATTTTCATGCGTCATCATTCCTGTTGCTGATGCCGTCAAGGTCTGATGTACCACAACCGCTGTCACAAAGAGTTGACGGGGGTTTGTTGCGAATGAAGTCCTCAGAGAGGTTGCAGAGCTCTTGGACATGGTTAGAATCTGGGAATCGCCCACACTTGAGAGATCAAACCACGCGCAAAGGACCGTATTTAGCAAATGGCATTGAATTTCTCGACAGGATTTTCTTTGGAATAGTGTAACTCTCGAATTCTGTGACCACCAAATCTGATAGCCACGAAAGATTTCTTATTCACTTGACAGGAGCCCAACAGAAAGAATGCTGTATTGCCCTTCCATCATCAGAGCTCCGCGATACCACTGATTTGTGCGATCGAGATATCACTGCCATGCGCGTGAGCTGAAAGAGTAACATTACGCTGTATGGTGTTGACCATCGACCACATGGCCCGGCACACCCGCAAGTCGCCGCCCACCACTTCGACTGTTTAGAGACATATCAACTGAATCCGACGCGAAGCATATGACACAACCTTGTCAGTAAATCATCCAACGATGGCAATAGCAATGGCGAATAAGTCTGATGAACGATCGTTTGTTTGTGAGTCGTAACTTGATGCAAATAAATAGGCGTAATGGTACCCGCACCTCTGGGCCGATACAAGCGTCGAATTTCTTGAATATGAACGTCGGGGTAGCATAGCCTACGGCTTCGACGGCTTGGTGAGTGCCGCCTCGCGGCGCGATGGTATAATTGCTATACAAAAACTGCTCGGAAAGCGTCATTCGCTGGACTGAATAGTTCGATAGTACGCAGACGTACGGAAAAATTGTTGTTTATTTACGCGCTGCTCCAATGCCGAATATCCAAGCCTTGCTTTTGGACAACAAAGTCTTGTGTAGGAGAAAAGCATCTTCAGCTCCCGCCTTCAAGTTAACTATACCATCAAGTGGTGATCGTGAAAAGTAGAACCATCGAAGACTCGCTTCGTACTTCTGGAGCCCTATAATAGAAATATCAAGGATATATAGGACTGCGCATATTCCAGGAAATATGCATGATAGCCCGGCAATATCATCCGGAGGGTCCGGAGGTGTCCTTTTAAGGCCACCAGCATCCGTGCCTAATCGAGAACTATAAGATCTCAACTAAGACACCGTTAGGTCTTCGATACGTTTCAAACAGCTCACCAGACGGTCATCATATGACATATCTAGAACTAGTTCGCATATAGCAAACCGAGGGACCAAGGTTTTTGGTTTCTTTGAAATCGGATACAACACCGCGGGAGAATGTCAGTGGCCTGCATTTTTTGAACTTCATCAAAAACTGCCCACCTACCTAGCGCCAGTTCAGAAGTACTGAGCTGGCAAGCATTACAACTGTGGATCCCCAGCGTTTGAAGTTAATACATAAACGAACTTGATAATCTAATTAGTAGTATATGAAATATGTCCAAAATCTTGAGCCCAATTAAATGGCGGTTAAGTGGGTATTGTTGACAAAGTGCTCTGAGATAGATATATCATGTGAGCGAGTACACATGTCGCTCGGGCATTTTGCGTGAGCCTCATATACTGCGAACCAGCTGCTGCATAAGTACGAAACGGTTTTTGGTATTAGCAGTCCACGATAGAACCCCCGTGGATGAGCACCGCTCTTGAATGCATCGAAAAAAGCGAAGTCCCCTATACTTATCCGGATTTTCGGTACGGGTATACCGACTTTGCTATGAGAACAAATACCTATATGTGGCGTGAGTCTTCAGGATCACGTCCACGTCAGGAATGCTAGCCGATCAAGTTTCCTTCACCGCTTCGTCAGCGCGAGGATTTGATGTGATTTCATTTGAAGCCATCAAGTTGCGTATACGATCCGTATGCCCATACCTTGCTGAAGATTCGGATCTTGCCGATAATCAGTTGGCCGACCAAGCAGAGGAAATCAGAGCAAGATGTGTTCGCTGTATCTCATGGCGTTACACCGCGTATGTCTGATATTTTTTTTTGGTTACCGCACTGGTGCCGAACAATGGAGACCGAGAGTACGTTGTAAAGTAGACAATGGATCTTAACGCCACTGTGGATTTGCGGTACTATACGTAGTGAATATCTTAGGATCTTTCCTGGAAGGGAGTTTTCAGCATCCTATGACATCTCTAGTATTCCTAACTTTCCGTACTTCGAGAGCCTCGAAAATCCCGAGTATTCGACTTCACAAGCGCTGTAACACTATTCGAAAAGATGCACCTCCTCCGTGGGGTAACACGTGGGGTTTAAAGCGGCCAAGCGTCAAGAAAACAGATATGGCAGGTAACACCCAATAAATGGTTTCCTAAGAAGCATATGCCTCCTTTTCTTTTTCCGTTTTTCATTACCTACGTAGAAATGCAGGATAAGAAGCTTGATTGTGGCCCAGAGCATTTATGCATGTCTCGAGAGCGGTTGAATGCATCATCGTTGGCGGTTAGACCGTATACCGACTTTAGTGTATCGTGCTGCTCCCATGGTTGAATGACTGATGAGACAATTGCTATGCTTGGAACCCTAGAAAGACCATATTAAGGGCTTTTGTGTAGGTGCCGGGCTGTTTCTGCAGACTTGCATCGCATATGACCCCGTGTGCTCAATTATCTCCGAATGGTAGGCTGTTTAATTGTCGAAGCGGCTTGAAGGGAAGGTCGGTAGTTTGCTGCGTCTAACAAAACATGGTAGTCGCAATCTATGCACCTTATCAGATACCGGATAGATCGTTGAGAGGGTATCGACATCGTTAAGTAACGTCCGTAACAGGCACGTTTCAGATCGTGGTTGTGGCATGGGATGCGACTGTTTTTGTGCGTCACAGAATGATTGACGTTGGATCCAGCAGACTGGATCACTGCTTTGGAAAGCCTCTGCGCCCAAGTGTGACACCCGCCGGCAAGCCACAATCAGAGGTCGAATCCGTATCGCAGCCTGCGAGTCACAGCAGCTTTGAGCCACTTCCTCCGCCAGTGCCACCGCTTCGAGCCCATCGGAAGCCCTCTGTCCAGGGCAGAAGCGTCAATGGCCAGCCGAGTCTGACCCTAATGCCCTATAGACCTTATATATGCGTGGCTCTGCTTCTTCGCACACCAACACACGCTTGTTCGTCGGCTGAAAGGGACCGCGAGCGTGGGTAGTGTTCGTGGCACATGGCGGACGAGGTGGGAAGCCGGCAGGCAGGCTGGCAGGTGTTGTTTTTCAAGTGCCCTGGCGACCGGTCGCAGGAAGAATGGGGTTTCTGGAGAAAAAGAAATGGAAGGGATTTCTTTTACGGCGGCAGCGGCGATAACGATAAAGTCGAATCGATGGTGATAGCGGTGGGCGGGTCTGGGAATCGTAATTCGATTTGCATTGCCTATTGCAGAGGTACATGCACCCTGGTCCAGCTGGGAGAAGAGGAGGGCGCGAGGAGCAGCAGAAGAGAGAGATCGCAGATGTTCCTGGCGCGGAGATCCCACCCTGGTCGTCGAGATGTAAGTGTTTGGCATGTCGAGCAGCTAAGAAGCACATATCGCAGGGTTGGAAGGGTGGCTTCCCAGCCTAAGACTTGGTCAGGTAAGGCAAGGTAAGGGGGGGTCCAATCCACAGAATCCATACGGGTCTATAGTACCATACAAGACCGACAATTGTAAGACGTCGAAGCCATACGGATGTGTCCCGCAAGGTTGAAGCAGCCGAATTTAGCTGTTACGAAGTATGATAGCATAGCGGCCTTTCCATTAAGGTTAGAGCCAGAAAACTACCGAGCGCTGCTCTCCACATCCACCTTCACCAGCACGCATTATGTGCCATTGAGGACCCGTTTCCCGTATATAACATCAGACCCTCCCTCCGTCCTTTCTCCCCGACCTGCATATGTTCTCCATTTTCCAACGACGAGTCTCCCAACTACCACAACGGTTCACCACTACCACATTCGCAACCTCCGCATCTCGAGCTTTCTCAGCAACCAGAGCAATCATGGGTGTTACTAAGACTACCATTTCAGAAGGCAATGGACCTATCCCAAAAGTCGGCGACACCGTCACGATCCAGTACACTGGCTTCTTGAAGGATCCTTCCAAGCCAGACCAGAAGGGCACTCAGTGCGTCTCCACACAGCTATAGCACCAGAATTGCTACAGCTTCCATCCTCGACTTCACGATTTACGTGCTGATGCATATTCATTACAGATTCGACTCCTCCGTTGGTCGCGGCCCATTTGTTGTTGCCATTGGTGTAGGAAAGGTCATCAAGGGTACATGCGAGTGATGAAGTTGTGCGGAATAGGTTGCTGACTGCCAATCACAGGCTGGGACGAGGGTGTTACTACCATGAAAGTTGGCGAGAAGGCAACTCTGGATATCACCTCGTAAGCACAGCGACTCCTCCACCTATCAGATACAGTACTGACTTTTCTTGTCACAGTGACTACGCATATGGTGACCGGTAAGCTTCCCGAACTCCAAACAAACGAGCGCATATTCTACGCGTCTAAATACCTTTCCTTGCGGGGAAGGGTCAGATTTCAGTCAAATCCTGTCTCCGGACCTGCATTCCTTTCTACGCCGTTCTCTGCTTGAGAAATGATAACTGACAATATTTGTAGTGGCTTCCCGGGACACATTCCAGCCAACGCTTCTCTCATCTTGTAAGTTTCTGGCCCATTTTGTATGCAAGAATGACCTCTGACGTATGCGGCAGTGACGTTGAGCTTCAAAAAATCAACTAGACGGACAGTCGAGCACTCTTCTTCACCATAGCGTTTCTAGTAGAGGTAGCCGAGGTTTAGCAATAAAGGGATAGCTACATTTCGAGAACAATTGAGGGATTAAGATCTTCAGTACCTGTTTGCACATGCTGATTCTTGAACCCGTGCATTTCCGAATAGTCGATGAAGTTTGGACTCTTGCACATGCTACTCCACCTCGTTACCGATCCCACATTTCAAGAAGTTTCAGGTACTGCACTGGACTGGTAAATGTTTTCGAAGTTCTCTGCGTATGTTGGCCATCATGTACTTGTAATGCGCTCGTTCCACCTTGTCTCTCACCCTTGGGAATGGCGGGGTTGAAATGGTTGTTTGTAACCGATGATTACCCATAGTAGGAGATACTATCATGGAGGGGTACTGTAGCAGCACCACTGAGGTACTGGACAGTATTATCTCTTAACGCAACCGATTTAAACCAATATAATATTAGTTCGTGGTTAAATACAAGCCCCAGACTCACTATCTTGCTGGTAAGATCTGTACTAGAATCATTTCTACATAGCCGTTTGACACAAATTGTGAAATGCTAAATCAGAACGTCCACCCCTGCTCCTCGCTTAATAAGCTGTTGTCATGGACCTCGACGGATCGACGTTTCTCGAAGGCGGCGTTTGAGGCTACAAGTTCATTCGCATTATCAACCTTCCTCTTCGCAAACTTCAAATCACTCTGCTGAACAGCTTCATCCACAACTCCATATCGTATTCGGCATTTCATCTACCACGCGTAATTCAGCTGAGGATACTCCATTCGCTTTCAAACCCAAGGCTAGCTTCGGCCCGTGCCTTTTCTTCGAGCGGTTCAGGTCTGGTACTTAGCACCCAGAGCTTGAGCTTGCTCGGGACCCTAACCAAACGCCAAAATTCCCGCTCAAACCATTAACGAGGTCGAGAACAAATCGACAAAACGCAAATTATCGGTTGAAGATTCATCGCAACCGCACAAGAAGAAAATGACTGTAAGTTTGTCAGCCTTGGGGTGTCCGGCCTGCCAACATCGCCTTTTGAAGCCTGCAATATACTAACTGTGATCACAGGACTCCAAAGATATCGACATGGAGACGAAGATGCAGGTCGATGAGTCGGTGGTGGGCCACAACGATATCGATGAGTCCTTATACAGCCGGCAGCTTTACGTTTTGGGACATGAGGCCATGAAACGGATGGGCGCCTCAAATGTGCTCATTGTTGGTATGAAGGGGTTGGGTGTGGAGATCGCAAAGAATATCGCACTCGCCGGTGTCAAGAGCCTTACGGTTTACGATCCTACTCCCACTGCGATCGCAGATTTGTCATCTCAGTTCTTCCTTCGCCCGGACGATGTAGGCAAGCCAAGGGCGACAGTAACGGCTCCACGGATTGGAGAGCTGAATGCATATACTCCAGTGTCCATACATGAATCCAGCAGGTTAGTTACTTTTTTATACCCGTTTGCGATGTCGCTGACCAATCTATGAAGCCTAACCTCCAACCTATCCCAGTTCGACAAGTACCAGGTAGTGGTTCTTACAAACACCCCCCTCAAGGATCAAATTATCATTGGCGAATATCTACATTCCAAAGGGATATTCTTGGTGGTGGCAGATACATTCGGGTTATTTGGTTCCATCTTTTGCGATTTCGGAAAGAATTTCACCGTGTTGGATTCCACGGGAGAAACACCAGTAAATGGTATCGTAGCAGCCATCGACGAGGACGGTCTCGTATCTGCTCTGGACGAAACCCGCCATGGACTGGAAGATGGAGATTTTGTCACTTTCACAGAATTAGTGGGATTGGAAGCCTTAAACTCTGCCGCGCCACGAAAGGTAACAGTTAAAGGGCCATATACTTTCTCAATAGGTGATGTTTCAGGACTCGGGACTTATCAGAAAGGCGGTATCTATCAACAAGTCAAGATGCCCAAATTTATTGACTTCAAGCCTCTGTCTGCAGCGTTGAAGAGTCCAGACTTTGTGGATTCGGATTGGGCGAAAATGGGTCGAGCTCAGCAGTTACATATCGGTATTCAAGCTCTCCATGCCTTCCAAGAACAACACGGCCATTTCCCTAGACCGATGCACAAAGAAGATGCCGCAGTTGTTATTGGTGCAGCACAAGCGTTTGCAAAGCAGGAGAAGTCAGAAGTTGAATTGGATGAGAAAGTTCTCCTGGAACTTAGTTACCAAGCTCAGGGTGATCTCAGCCCGATGGCTGCTTTCTTTGGAGGTCTTGCTGCTCAAGAGGTCTTGAAGGCGGTATCTGGAAAGTTCCACCCCATCTGCCAATATCTTTATTTTGACTCTTTGGAGTCGCTTCCTTCCAACTCTGTCAGATCCGAGGAGACTTGCAAACCACTGAACACCAGATATGATGGCCAGATTGCCGTTTTCGGTCGAGAGTTCCAAGAAAAGCTTGGAAATATTCAAGAATTCTTGGTTGGAGCGGGTGCCATCGGATGTGAAATGCTGAAAAACTGGGCTATGATAGGTTTAGCAGCTGGTCCTAAGGGCAAAATAACCGTTACCGATATGGACTCGATCGAAAAGAGTAATCTCAATCGACAATTCTTGTTCCGACCCAAAGATGTCGGCAAGCTGAAGAGTGACTGTGCGGCTGAAGCGGTGCAAGCCATGAATCCAGATCTCAAGGGAAAGATTGTTACCATGCGGGACCGAGTAGGCCAAGATACTGAACATTTATTCAACGAGGAATTCTGGGAGGCTCTGGATGGTGTTACCAATGCACTTGACAACGTCGATGCGCGCACATACGTGGACCGACGATGTGTCTTCTTCCGCAAGCCACTGCTTGAGAGCGGTACTTTGGGAACGAAGGGTAATACTCAAGTGATTATTCCTCACTTGACAGAATCATACTCTAGTTCGCAGGATCCCCCTGAACAATCATTCCCTATGTGTACGCTGAGGAGTTTCCCAAACAACATCAATCACACAATCGCCTGGGCCCGAGAACTCTTCGAATCATATTTTGTCAAGCCCGCCGAAACTGTCAACCTCTATCTCAACCAGCCAAACTATTTAGAGACGACTCTGAAACAAGGTGGCAATGAAAAAGCCACCCTTGAGATGATCAGAGACTTCTTAGTTGATGACAAGCCTTTGAGCGTTGAGGACTGCATCAAATGGGCTCGTATCCAATTTGAGAAGCAATACAACAACGCTATTCAGCAACTCCTGTACAACTTTCCAAAAGACTCGAAATCTTCAAGTGGCGCGCTATTCTGGTCTGGCCCTAAGCGTGCACCAGATCCATTGAAGTTCGATATCAAGAACGAGTTTCATCGAACATTTATTGTTGCTGGCGCCAATCTTCACGCTTTCAATTACGGAATCAATACCAAGGGCCTGGACCTGAACAGCATTGAGAAGGTCCTTGACAATATGATCATCCCTGACTTCTCACCAAATTCAGCCGTCAAAATTCAAGCAGATGATAGCGAGCCTGTAAGTTCATGAGATTTATTTTTATGGCCGCGAATACTAATTCATTCAGGATCCGAATGCCGGTGCATCCACGTTCAACGATTCCGAGGAGTTGCAACAAATCACAGATAAGCTGCCACAACCAAAGCAGCTTGCAGGTTTCAAGCTTCAACCTGTTGAATTCGAGAAAGATGATGACACCAATTTCCACATTGATTTTATTACTGCTGCAAGTAACCTTCGTGCCGAAAACTACAAAATCGAGCTTGCCGATAGGCACAAGACCAAGTTCATCGCTGGAAAAATCATCCCGGCCATTGCTACCACCACTGCCTTGGTCACAGGATTGGTCATCCTTGAATTCTACAAAATTGTCGATGGAAAGACGGATTTGGAGCAATACAAGAATGGATTCGTCAATTTGGCGTTGCCATTCTTCGGTTTCAGTGAGCCAATATCCAGTCCTAAAGACAAGTATCAAGGAAAGAATGGGGAAGTTTCGATCGACAAGTTATGGGATCGCTTTGAAGTCAACGATATTACGTTGCGAGAACTTATCGATCACTTTGAGGAGAAGGGATTAACAATTACAATGTTGAGCTCGGGTGTTAGTCTGCTGTACGCAAGTTTCTTCCCACCTACGAAGCTCAAGGACAGATACACTATGAAGTTGAGCGAGCTTGTTGAGCACATATCCAAGAAGCCAGTTCCTGATCACCAAAAGAACGTCATCTTTGAGATTTGCGTGGAGGATCAGAGTGGGGAAGATGTTGAAGTACCATATGTTATGATGAAGATGGCGAAATAAGCGGTCCTTTTTCTTTGGATCTGCGATGAATTGATGATTGTTGGACGGGAAAGGTTCGTTCGGGAAAACGCTTTTACGACTTTGGGAACTTAGAAAGATGGCCTGTATTGGCTTTGCGTGCATAGTAGAAAATAAACATACAGATTGACTTAATCCTCTTGTGCATATGTTTCGGCTTCTTTACTTCGCATATTAGTCGGGTAACCGCATTTGGAATTTCATCTATGCATTTACAATCCTGAAAGCTCGTGATACAAGGCAATTGCTAAAGCATGTCAGGATCTTTTTGCTTATTCACGACTGAGGTAACCAGTATTGATCGATTTTCATAGCTTATTCATGACCCCGCAGAGCGGAGGCTTTTTCCCCCTGTCAGCCCTGCAAGGAGGCGAATTAGAATGATGCAATGAACGGCAAAAGGATGGATTACAACACTATTATCAACCACAACAAAGCACGAAGCCCCCACCAAAGGCGCTGTTTCTAGATATATTAGACCAGCTGAATTATTCGAGACAGAGAGGAAAGATATCCTCTTCACATGCTCTCCCGCTCTACCTTTATTTCAGCAAAATTGTGCACGTTTACCACTTATAAGTCCACCTCGAGATTGTTTTCTTCCGCTTCAGTCAAAATGGTCAGTGCTCCGCAACCTTGCCTTCGTATGCGCAAACCAACAGACACTGATACTCTACAGGGAATCACAAATTGGGTTGCACCGGGCGACAAGTCTGGGGAGTTCAAGAGAGGACAGTCGCAATTCAGGAATTTCATCCAGAAGGGAGGAGAATTTCCTCCAGAGAAGGGACGATATCATCTTTATGTACGTTTGTACCCCTCCAATGCATACAGCCAGTGACTGACGTCTGCAGATATCCTACGCCTGTCCGTGGGCGCACCGAACCCTCATCGTCCGAAAGCTGAAGGGCCTCGAAGATATCATACCATTTACCTCCGTACACTGGCATATGGGAGATAAAGGATGGCGATTTGCAACTTCTGAGGATAGCGATGCACCTGGAGCGGAGGTTAAGCCCGATCCGGTGCCTGGACATGAGAAATATACGCATCTGAGGGATATCTACTTCCAGGTCGATCCTGAGTATAAGGGACGATTTACGGTTCCTACATTGTATGATGTGAAGCAAGGGAAGATTGTTAGCAATGAGAGTAGTGAGATCATTCGAATGTTCTATACCGAGGTAAGCTGGCATGCTAGGATGACCGGAGGTCCAAGAAGATCATCGGAGTGCTAACATTTGAGTAAAGTTCGACGATATTATCGAAGAAAAGTACAAGAACGTCTCTCTTTTCCCGACCGAACTCCAGAAAGACATCGAAAGCACCAACGACTGGACATACAACGATATCAACAACGGTGTCTACAAGTCAGGTTTTGCAACCACGGAAGAAGCATATGCCAAAGCCGTTACGACGCTCTTTGGTTCTCTTGACCGCGCCGAAAAGCACCTATCCGAGTCAGAAGGTCCTTATTATTTCGGAAAGAACATCACGGAAGCAGATGTGCGTCTCTACACCACCATCGTGCGTTTCGATGCCGTCTATGTGCAACACTTCAAAACCAACATCAGGGATATTCGTTCCGGTTACCCATATCTTCATAAGTGGTTGAGGAATTTGTATTGGAACGTTCCGGCTTTCGGGGAGACGACCGAATTTACTCATATCAAACGCCATTACACGAGGTCGCACACCCAGATCAATCCGTTCAGTATCACGCCAGTTGGACCCATTCCTGATATCTTGAAGGAGGATGAGGAGGTACCTGCTGTCAAGTTTGCCCTGGCGCAGGCGGCGAAGAAATGAGGGTTTAATGAAAAGGAATGAAGGGTTTACGTACTTCTTATCATAGCGACTGCGAAAGTCAGTGTTTGAAATAAAATAGTTTATAAGTTCAGCCATTGTGCGCATCATATCCGGCAGCCTGGTAACATAACATTATGGCAGTTCGGTGGCACAACGATCTTGTCTCCTCATTTTGGGCATCATCAGGTAATGGCAGGCAGGCTGCAGCAATTATCTAGATCATCTTGGCTTCGTTTCATGAGGCGGACCCCTTGGGTGTACGTCTAAAAGAAATGTTTTCATGAACAAAGCGCAATGATTCGTTGTGCCGGGAGAGGCTCTCTGCATGAAACAAACGGGGCATCCAGCCGGAATACTCGCTTGCGCCACACCACAGAAGTGGAATTTCATACGACCTGTTATGTCAAAATGCAACAACATCTTGAAACTTGTGTATTCAAGTGCAGTTATTAATCACCCGCAAAGGCACGCCGAGATTACAAATTAGCTAATAAGCAAGCGCATGCTACTAGAACTTGACCATTCGAAAGTTGTGGTCAGGAGAGAAGGTGAGGAGGTGTCGACAATGGTAAGTCAGCGCTTGATAAAGAGCGATGAACTTCCTTTGTTGGATATCATCATCCTATTGTGAATTTCTTCCTTACACTCCTTTACTGGACTTCGACTAACAGATCGATTCCTTTGACTCGACGTCAACCAATTACATTCATCTGTCACTCCTTCATCTTTTGTCCTTCCCACGACACTCAAAGAATCACACAAGATTATTGTGGGAGCTTTATAACTCTCTTCTCAAAATCTGCGCTCTTTTTCTTTTACATCATTCAAAACCACAGCTAGCTGTAAAATTATACGCAAGCACATATATATTTCAAAATGCGAATCTCAAAAGTTACCTGCGCGCTGGTCGCACTTCAGACAGTAGCTGCGCATACTGTCTTCACAACACTTTACGTCGACGATGTCAACCAGGGCGATGGAACCTGTGTACGAATGGGCATGGGAGAACCAACTGCCCCAGTTAACGATCTAACGAGCACCGATATGGCATGTGGCCGCGAAGGAACCAAAGGCGTTGCGCGAGTCTGTCCAGTCAAGAAAGGAGCAAAGCTGAGCTTTGAATTTCGAGTCTGGCCTGATGCTTCGAATCCAGGAGCTATTGACCCTCAACATAAGGGACCTTGCTCGGTTTACATGAAGAATGTAGCTTCTGCAATCAAGGATACTGCTGCCGGTGATGGGTGGTTTAAGATCTACGCGGAGGGATATGACGAGAGTACTTCGAAATGGTGTACCGATAAACTGATCGCCAACAACGGGATTCTGTCAGTCAAGATTCCTGAGGATCTCGCGGGTGGGAATTATTTGGTTCGCGCTGAGATTCTCGCGCTTCAAGAGGCTGATAAGGGGAATCCTCAGTTCTATCCGGGATGTGCGCAGATCTTCTTGGAGTCTTCTGCGACTACTCTACCTACTGATACTGTTTCTATTCCTGGAGCTGTCAAAATCACTGACGCGTCTGCGACCTTCAACATTTACGAACCTGAGAAGTTTCCGTTCCCGTATCCGATCCCTGGGCCAGCAGCGTACGTCCCCGGCACCTCACCTTCTAAGGAAGTCACTCCTGTGTCGAACCAAACCGAGGGTCTATCACTACCCAACACCATCCTCACCGTAGCGAACTGGATGGGCGTCGAAGTTGCACCCTGGACAAATTCTGATGGTTGTGATAAATCCGTCGCAGGTTGCTGGGCACAAACAAAGACTTGTTACGACAAGGCACCACCTACTGGCGGCAATCTTTGCAAGATCTTTGAACAGAAATGCGATGCGCTGCGGGAGGCATGTCCCAGTAATAAGATTCCTAATGAGGGGATGGATCTTACGCCAAAGCCGAAGAATAGGTTTGCGATTCCGCCGGCTGCTAATGGGGGTGATGTCGTGTCGTCGCCTGCTTCAGCATCAACTTCTCCATCATCAGTTGTGCCTTCCTCTGTGGTACCGAAGTCATCTGCCATCAACTCCGCAAATGCATCATCGACAACCTCCACAGGACCACTCGATCCAGCACCAACACCATCACAAACACCGCCCTACGAGTCCACACCCGCGCCAGGATCTGACGAAGAATCCTACGACGAAGACGAAGACGAAGAAGAAGAGGAAGAAGTAAGCATCATCTATAGACGTCACCACCCACGAGAAGTCTCCACAATCATGGTAGTCGAAACATCATACAGAATAACTGGGACAGCAGCTGGGAAAACGCCGGCTGTTGTCACTGTTACTCCTGTTGTTACGTTGACTAGTTCTGTGGCACCGATAAGAGTAACTCGTTTGCATGGAAGTGCGAAGGTATTTGCAGCTCCCTCTGTGGTGTTGGAGAGTCCGGCTGTTCATCAAGAAGCGCTGAGTAGTGAGATGGCGTCGACAATGGGGGTGGAGAAGGGTCAAGCGACTCTGGCATCTCCGTCTCCTACTCCTGAGACGGCAGTGCCTTCTCAAGTTATGTCGACATCGAGATTGCATGGAAGTACGAAGGTGATCTCCGCTCCCGCTGTCTCGACGGTGAGGCCTGAGCTGCCTGTTCATCAGGTTGCGCTGAGTAGCTCGATGGTTTCGACGATGGGGGTGGATAAGGGTCAAGCGACTCTTGTGTCTCCTTCTCCTGAGGCAGTGCCTTCCCAGACTGTGCCGACTAGTCCAACATCAGCAGTTGCAAGTTCAACTACTTCATCTGCCACCACAATCCCAAGTCCGGCTTCAGCAGTTGCAAGTTCAACTACTCGATCCTCCACTTCGACCCTGACAATCGTAACTACTCCTACCTTAACAATCTTCAACACCCCCACCTTAACAATGTTAAGCACTTCCACAGCAACCTCCTCCTCATCTCAAACACTAACAACCACTATCTCTGACTCACCCGCTAAGTTCATCGCGTTGCAGGAATCGAGTAACTTTAATGTCTCAGATGTGAATGAGAAAAGACGGTTTAGAAGAAGTGGACGGTATCAGAGACATATGCGTTTTCATGGTGGGAATGCTTAAGGGTGGGAGATGAGGTATTTACGATGGGGGTATGTGTGGTGGATGGGAGTGTGAGGGGTGTGTGTGGGTTGGCGATTGCGGCATTGGTTTCTGCTTGGACTGGTGAAGGTGGTATGTTGGATTTGAAAGTCGTGGAGGAGTGTTGGTTGAGGCTTTCCAGGGTAGCTGAAAATCGAGGGAGGGCTCGGGTTTCATTCATGTATATATTACAATTCCCCATCTTCGCACTTTACAGGCGAGGAAATTCGATTTCATGTACGGTAGCGTCTGCGGTAGTAAATCAACTGATGAGCTGCGCTCTATTATGAAAATGATTGAGAGTTTGTGAAGTGTGTCGGGATGTGGATTTTGTGAGGAGTGAGTAATCTTGTGAGGCGTTTGGGGAATGGTTCCAGAGTATAGAAGGTCTAGGTTGAATGAGGAAGAGGGTGGAGATCGTGTTTGGTGCTGTGAAATATTCCTGATGCTAATGAAAGGTCGAGGGAACGATAGGAACTTTGGAAAATGAATACTGTTACTCAGCCTACATCGCTTCGTGTGAAGAGTTTCCCTGGTCTGAAGTGAGAGGTGGTCAAACTAAAAAGAAGCCGCGGAATAGTAACATCTGGTCCGAATAGTGGTGGGATCTCTATCCTCCAGCCATCTTATTGATTAAGCTTGGGTTGTTAGATTGTACTAGTTGTTATTGCGTTCGAGTGAGAGCCGGGACTATTCTGTACTGTCAAAGACATGCCTACGCCATCGGTCCACCGATTCAAAAGGAAGAAGTAGAAAGTGTAATTTCACAAGCTCCACGACATGGATTAAAACCAAGAGACAAGAGGATTTGAGAACGTGTCCATTACTTCTGATCAAACGGGCATGTTAGTTACATACATCGGTTTGCGATTCTCGACTATAGACTAGATGCTTTGTCGCCTTCAAAATGAAGTCTCTCTGAGGTTTCGGATACTTGTTGAGATGGGGAGAAGTTGTAAGATCCAAACAGAAAGGAACGGATGGAGAGAATTAAACGAAACAGAAGAGTTAGGACCATGAACAAAATATATGTGGAGATTTTCTTTTTTGCTGGGAGGTAAATTGATGGAAGTTGCTGGCATGAGTATCAAACCTAAAAATTGCAAATCCAAGACCGAGATCGTTGTAGAATAAGGCAGTTCAGAATTCTACTTTCTAAACCCATATTCGTTTAATCACGATAGCTAAGTCAATTACATTTACTCTCAAAGTTCTAGTGTTCCTGAAGGTCTGAAAGGCACTCGCTTAATCTCATCAGCTGACTCGCCCCCTTTTCTTAATAGCTCCTTTAGTCGTGGGCAAAATTAGACGTACACTTTTAGACCTTGCTCCATACAAAGACTCATATGCTATTTAGTAGAGTTTAGTTTCGTTTCTCGCTTATTGACTAATAAGCAACTTGAAGATGCGAAGATACTTGAAGTACTGCAAGTAATTGGAGTCGATAATTACCTAAATTTACTTGGGAGAAGGAAATGGATGGGTAATCATAAGATATAATTACATATCAAGATGAGTTGCCTACCGAAGACAAGCCTAACTCTCAATTATGTTATTCAGGAGCGCTTAAGCTTAGTGATGAAAGTAACAATTTTAATTTGACCTTTACGTTACATAAGAACAAGCCGGAAAAGGACGACGACGAAATACACTATGCAGAGTTCGTGCCGTGAAATGAAGAAAGTGTTTCAGTATAAAACTAGCCCGCTTTTTACCTGGCTTAGTTTACATATAGTAACACAATTCTATAATCACAATTTCAAGTCGAAATGGACAGTACATTCGTACAGCGATCCGTCTTATCAAGTCTGACGCCGATTTCAAGACATGATGTGCAAACGTTACACGAAAGCCAGAAATCCGTAAACCACAATCGCGTAGACCCAGCTATCCATCAAGAAACTAGCCTTTATCCCACTTGCCGCAGACTTCGTCGCCACAGTATTAATCGAAACAGGCGCGCCACTACCAGCAGGACACGTCAAATTAAATTGTGGTGTCGTAGACAGATCCGTAGTAATAGCAAACTTCTCCTTATTCGCCGGATTCTATTACTCATTAATCTTGACTCCACTTTTAACTTGTAGCACTCACCGAATCCCTCAAATTGTACCACCAAACATTCATCCGTCCAAACAACTGGCACCCGATTCTCTCCCAATAAGCCCTCGCATTATCGACACTCGGCACCGCAGACCCGAAATTAGGTCCGCTGACTGGCCATCCAGTTTCCGTGATCCAGACTGACTTATTGCCCGCGCTATCAGTGACGTTTTTCAAGAGCGTATCGAAAATCGTTTTGGCGTTGTCAATTGTATTGGTCAGATCCTTCTCATAATAAGGATACAAATCGGTCCCAACGAAATCCGCTGCGTCGACAACGGCGGAATTCGATTCATTCGCCCACGCAGACCAGGAGTCAACATGGCCGACAGGTTTTCCAGAGAGTGCAGTCGAGGCGAGGGCTGAACGCGTTTGATTTATGAATCTGACGATTGTGTTCGGTCCAGCTCCTATTCCGGCCGCATTCGCAATTCCACTCTCGCTCACGCGATACAGATCTTCACTGCCAACACTAATACCCACGACGAGATCAGCGAAGCGCTGACCATGTTTCGTGATAGCTGCTTGTAGTGCGGTCAGCTCGTTTGTTATTGTATCTGTACCAGAGCACCAAATTCCAAGGAGAAGGGAAGTGTTTGTAGCGAGTGCGGCGTCAAAGGCAGAGATTGGGTCGGCTGTTGTTTTGGCTTGGATATTGGTGTATAGTCGTACACTATTGAAGCTGCCAGGGGAGAAAGAGAGCGCGCTTGCGGTCTTGAATTCTTTTTCGAAATCGGCTTGCTTTTTCGCGGTTTGGTCTGTGAAAGTGTTGCCGGAGTTGAAACCTTGGTAGATCTTTTCTTGAGCGGTGGCTGTGGCTAGAAAAATGCTCAAGCCGGCGAGATGAGGGAATCGCATTTTGGACTTCTGAGTAATGATGGTAGGGTTGATAGTAATGGAAAACAAATAGAGAAATAAGACAATTGCTATAACTGTAGAAAGTGATGGTCAGGAAATATCTGAAAAGAGCGGAACCTAAGCCTTGATATTGAGAAAGGCTCCCGAAATTAAGGAGTAGGAGGCTTAACGGAATATCAAAGCCTCAACCGGTTTGGAAAATCAAGTGTAAATTTCATTGGCCATAGCTTGTGGAATAAGCAAAGTTGGGCGGCTTTCATGCGTGGTGTGGAAGGACACACGTTCTTGGCGACTTGAGACGAGGAGTGATTGGTATAACAGGAGCGCCATTTGCGTGTTGAGAAAGTCCAAAGTTCCCAATGGAAAAGCATCTATTGATCAGCCCTAGGTTTCTGTTCGATAGTATCTGACTTGAAAAGTTTTCTATCGACCACGTAAGAAATACTGACTCCCTATAAATTGCTAACAAATTTTGAAATCGACTTATACCTGAATGTTCTCCCAAGTTTGAGTAAATGCCATATACTTCGAAGTACCAACGTGATTGCTTTGCCAAGGATAAGACGGACGGAAGTTATGTGCCTTGCATGTAAGCACATGGGTCAACCAGCAACTGAAGCGTAGAAGGAGGACAATTTTTACCCCGCCTTTCGGTTTTCCAGCTATATTTACACCAGAGCTGAAAACAATTCCAGCATTAGGAATTGTTCCTTGGTCAGTATTTGGATGATCAACAACGCGAGAAATCTTGCAAGAACCGGAAATACGTAAATTCTTGACTTTGACATGTAATGTTACTAACACAACGAGATGTTGAGCATCATGTATTGATAAATCTTAAGATAATAACAGTCCGATGACCGAAATCTCCGAACAAGCGTAAAAGCTTACACGGATACTTGGGATTTCTTGTATGTCAAGATATACCTCTTATTCTTTGCTTCGGTAAGCCCATAGAATGTATCTGTCCTGGTGTCCCAGCTCAAGTCTTCAGGTGATGGCGGAAAGAACCCTGCATTGTTCTTCGCAGCATTTCCCGGAGTCCATGCCCAGAGATCTCCGTTACTATCACCGTTGCTCCGCGAAATGTAGACCTTGCCGGCGTTGGAAACAGCACCTTGCATTCTATCGATATCGACACAGTACGCCCAGCTCGCACTTGCAATTCCTGCACTTGTCTTGAGTTTCCGAGTAGTGTAATCGAGATCCCATCTCGCAAGACGACGAGGTGCAGTCGCGTCTGCAACCTGGTACTCTCCAACCAAGAGGCTATCTGGTGTAGTACTCCGATCCAGAGCGACGAACGAAAATTGGAAGTTGAAGCTCCGGTTCCATGTGTAAGACCGGATCTGCGGAATGACATACTTGTAGCCCATGGCATAATAGCTACTGCCCGACTTTCCCATTACCGTATCGCCACCGGAATCCATTGTCCAGATGTTGGATAAATCGAAGACGCGAAACCCAACAGCGCCATCGCCACCACTGCTGTCAACGACCCAGAGTGTATTTCCGTACCAAGCCATCCCACCAGCATGCACTGGAACAGCCTTGAAAGTATCGCCTGCAACAGGGTTGACCAAAAGTGCATGGCGGTATTTCTTCGATTCTTGGTCGACAAAAGTAACTCTGACACTGGTATTGTCCTCGAGATGCCAACTCACGAGCCATGCTGATCTTCCCTCGACTGTCCCCACAGCCAAAGAGTCCGCCGTGGACGTTAACCCTTGCGGGACCCATTTCTCAGTGGCTTCGTCATTGAAGTCTGCGGTATGTTCCCACATGTAAGCAGAAATCGGCCTGGTTAATGGCTCTGAGGTGAGCGCGTGGTTGGCCGAGTCCAGCACTTGGGAGACTGTGGCTCGTCGATTTGCCAATTTCGAAGCAAGGCCGGACAGGTACGTGTTATCAGCATTTTCCTTGAGTGTAAAGTCTGAGCCACTACGTTCCTTATTGGCGGTGTTGCAATTGTTTGGGTCAGCTGCGAATGTTGCCGTAATGTATACGGCGCCATGGAGAACGATGCTGAAACAGACCTTCATCGTGTATTTTTGAAATATACTGAAGTGCTCTGAGAAACGAGATAAACGGCAAATCAAAAAGACGGACGCCTCTAGGCTTTATCAGTCAACGATTCTCAAAAGCGGCCCGGCAGTGCGAAAGAAGCAGAACCCCTAAATCCAATCGTAAGACTATTGAAAAGATTCTGAAAACAATGATTGCATGAACAGTGCGGAGTTCGAAGGATCGATATGGCTGCTTGGCACCACGGAGCTGAGTGGTCAATTAGGAGGCAAGATGCTTAGCTGCATCATGCAGGCCTGGCAAATCTGGTATTACTCTTCATGCGGACAAAAGCTTGCCAAATCTCTCAGTCTCGAACCATCCCCTTATTCGAATGTTGCCGGCTTACCAGATGAGGCTTGCATAGTACGCCTTAGAGGTCCTGATTTGCAAATACGTCGCGGCAGTAAGATGACGATCAGGTGGGTATGAGCTTCGAACAACAGCTGATAAGTAGTCGCGATGTATTTTAGCTGTGAAAAGTGGTAATTTGTAATTCTTTGCTGCAGTGAACCAAAGCCTTCGCATCTGGCCACTCGTAGCCACCGTCTCTGGTAGGGCCAGATCCCATTGCCTCGAGCTTCCTCCAAAGAAAAGCGTCTATTTTCATGTGCTTTAAATTTTCCTGCAACTGTTGATTGTTGAGCAGCAGATCAGCAGCGAATTTCGGATGGAGATCGCCGCATAACCAGAGAGCTTCCGTTTCGAAATCGATGTAAACAGTCTTCTTGCAGGGATTTCCAAGCTGACTTTCCGAAAATGTCAAAGAAGAATAGCGCGAGAGGGCGTAAGAGCGGGACTCGGAGCAAATAGACATAAGAATAGGCGGAAGGGTGTGAGAGAACCACTGGCCATGAGGCTTTCCTGGCAAAGTAGGTGTACAACTCAGTTCGATATTTCGTGGTTCGTCTGCTATTGCCGTCCAGATAGCTAGTCGGATCTCTGGAGGCAGGAGAGGGAACAATCGAAATGACCGAATGGCCTTGACATGAACTGTGTTTCCCCTTACAATAACACAGTGTCGATGCTGGTGCTGCATGGCGAATATAAGTGATGAGGGATACATGTTCGTTTATTCTGCTATTGTTCAGCACTACCGCGAGTGGGGGGAGAATAAAAATTCGATGAGATATTACATACCAGTGCAAGAGGCTTTCTAAAGTAGATCAACAGAATAGGCGCAAAAAGAGCTTCTATAGCTAAAAGACTATGATCTAACATTCTCATCGTCGTACACTCTCACGTCAGACAGACTTTTTATGCTTCTTGAACAAGTGTCAGGCTGAAGTGAGCACTTGCTCAAAGCACAATAGTAGCATTATTTTACGTATAGAACAGATCTTGACTGATTGTTCTTCCGTACTTCTCCACGTAATGCACACGGAGGCGACGAGTAATCTTGATACATCTGGAAAAATGCCGCCTTTACAGCCCTCCATGCTGATTAAGGTTAATGAGCATGGGATCATATTGGCGTAACCCGTCGGATTGCTTTCCTAGAAGAGTTATCAGAGAAGTGAAGAGTACAAGCTGTTGCTTGGTACAATACGAGCATCATGATGCCCGGATTAGGATCGAGTGACGAAACTTCCATATTTGGCTCTTGAGATGTTACGGAAAGTTACTGGATCAAGTGAACCTCGAAGGAAAGGGGATGATCACGTAAGCATGCGCTCCCCGCGCTAGCGGAAGCCCTTTCTGCCCCACAAACAGGTCCCCCACCAAGATTTTCGAGGGACGAATGCGACGCTCGATACATTCGCACCAGACTTCTGTAATCATGAAGTACGATGCTTGGATATTGTCGAATGTCTGGCCATTTAATACCTCTGGTATGTACCCAATTGAGAAATGTTTTTGGACGCCCCTGGCAATATCTTTGTTTCTAACCTTACAATAGCTTACGCGGAGGCTGTTGAAGTATGGCACGAATACCGAATTCCCATCATCATCTCAACCTTCACAATTCTTATGATCGTTCGGACGGTCTTGCATACCCGGCTACCACGAGAAAAGCTTTCGATAACGCCGCCACCAGCGTCTCCAACATTGGCGGCCGAAAAGAAAATTGCCCCCGTTGGAACAGGAAATAAGAAACCAATCTCAGAGAAGGTTACAGAGAAGGTTCCGAGAAGAATTGTGGGCGGCGTGAAGAAGCGTAACTCATCGCAAGATGATGTAGTAACAGGCGATGAGAAAATCCAAGTGCTGGTCTTCTTTTCGTCTCTGACAACTACTACCGAGAAGACTGCCAAAGTATTTACGGAAGGACTGGCGCAGAAATTGAAAAGTGTGAATAAGGCATCTAGGTTCATAGAACCGGAAATCCTAGACCTATCATACATCGACTATGACGAATACTTTATTAACCCTCCGAAATCCGATTCAAATGTACAATACTTTTACCTTCTACTCGTACCTACCTATAATATCGACACAGTCCTCGACAATTTTCTCGAACATTTGCAAGAAACCCATAACGATTTCAGAATCGATACCGCTCCATTGTCTCCACTTTTAGGCTATTCAGTATTTGGTTTTGGTGACAGAGAAGGATGGCCAACAGAGGCAGACGGCTTTTGCTCTCAGGCAACGGATATAGATAAGTGGATGGCCAAACTTACCGCAAGGAAAAGAGCGTTTCCACTTGGAATGGGCGATCCGAAAACGGACGCGACAGAAAGACTAAAGGAATGGAAGGATGGTGTGGAAGATATTTTGGAGCACATTGCGGAAACGGGTGGATTAGGTGAAGGAGTTGTGGGTAGTGGTGATGCTGTTGAGAGCGACGTGGAAGATGTAGACGAGGACGACGATGGTGAAGTGTTATTTGCAGAACAGAAGGTTGCACAGAAGAAAACTAAAAGTTCGAAGAAGGATGATATGAACGATATGGAGGATTTGGGCAAAACCTTGAACAAAATCGCTGCCGAGGCCGAAGAGTCAGGCGAAATCGAGATTGACTTTACGAATTTCAGCAAGAAGGCTAAAAAGCCGACCGCGGCACCAGTCATCAAGGAGATGGTTCCCAAGGACTCACCAACATTTAACTCCCTTACCAAACAAGGCTACTCAATAGTTGGTTCTCATTCAGGAGTTAAGATTTGCAGATGGACAAAATCTGCTCTTCGCGGTAGAGGGTCATGTTATAAATACTCATTTTATGGCATCGCTTCACATCAGTGTATGGAGACGACGCCTTCTTTATCATGTTCCAACAAATGCGTCTTTTGTTGGCGACATGGCACCAATCCGGTGGGCACCACCTGGCGGTGGGTTGTAGACCCGCCAGAAATGATATTTGACGGTGTAAAAGCAGGCCACTACAAGAAGATCAAAATGCTTCGGGGTGTTCCTGGCGTACGTTCGGAAAGATTTGCAGAAGCGATGAGAATTCGTCATTGTGCTCTCTCCTTAGTAGGCGAGCCGATCTTCTATCCTCACATTAATGAATTCCTTTCCATGCTTCACGCAGAACGAATCTCCTCCTTCCTGGTATGTAACGCACAGCACCCCGACCAACTCGCAACCCTCAAACACGTAACACAACTCTACGTCTCCATCGACGCATCCAACCGCGAATCCCTCCGCAAAATTGACCGTCCCCTTCACCGAGACTTTTGGGAACGCTTTAACGCCTGCCTCGACATCCTCAAGAAACGCCGCTTCGAACAACGAACCGTCTTTCGTCTCACCCTCGTTAAAGGGTTCAACATCGATGACGAAGTTGAAGGCTACGCCGCCCTCGTTGAGCAAGGCCTTCCCTGCTTTGTCGAAATCAAAGGCGTCACATACTGCGGCACCTCCTCGTCTGCCTCCGCGGGTCTCACTATGCAAAATGTACCTTTCTACTCTGAAATCCAGGAATTCGTACTCGCTCTCACCGCGGCCCTGCAGAAACGCGGATTAGGCTATGGTATCGCAGCGGAACATGCACATAGTTGTTGTGTGCTTATCGCTAGTGATAGGTTCAAGAATGAGCGCGGGAAATGGTGCACGCGGATTGATTATCAGAGGTTCTTCGAGTTGCTTGAGGGAGGTGGGGAGTTCAGACCCGAAGATTATATGGGCGAGGAGACGCCGGATTGGGCGCAGTGGGGGAATGGAGGGTTTGATCCGAGAGATGAGAGGGTTTATCGGAAGGGGAAGAATAAGGTGCCACTTGCTGTGAAAGCCGAGGAAGAGGAGGGCGGGGAGTAGGTAGTACATATGAGAATGATAATTTGTATTGAACATGCGTAGTCTTGTCCAGTGATTCATTCGACCTATCTTTTCCATACAACATAACAAGATTGGGCAAAACTTTACCTAATATGTACCGAAAACTTGCAGATGGGCTCTAAATAAGTATTAGAGTGTGTATATAGTCTAATAGTTATCCCGTGGTTTAGGAAGATGGCATTGTGATGCATTCATCCGATAGTTGCACGAGGAGTTTACGCAGAATTCATCGTCTCACAACAGGCGAAGCATCAACAAATCACAAGCCGCCGTTCGGCTGGAATGGACGCAGGTCAACTCGAAAACGAGCAGGCCTGAAGAAATCCCGCATCACTACCCAAAAGTTAAGACAGCCAACAAAACCGCCAGATTAAATCACTTGCAACTGATGCTAATTAACTCTACAATGTTTACCAAGCAAAAGCAATCTCGCTACCCATTTGCCCCCAACCAAACTCCAAACCCCAGGTGCATCTACATCATTAAAGCAAAGCAAGCAAGCGAGCAACCAACCTAACCAGTAGGCGTCCCCCCATTCTCCACATCCCCCAATTCCGTCCGTCTAACCATAACCCTCTCGTTACATATATCAATAAACTGTTCAAACTTCGTAATCATTTTGTCTTTCTGTCTAAGTTTCTCCTTCAGCTCCTCAACCTCCTTCGCCCATTCCTCTCTCACCTTCTCGACTTCTGCCTGCGCGTTTGCTACTTCGGTGCGGAGTTCGGCGCGGAGTTTCTCTTCGAATGTCATCGGTGGCTTTTTGTAGAATGTGGGTAGTTCTTCCATAGCTGTGGCTTCGACGCGCGAGGGGTCGCGTTTTATGGCTGCGCGCGCGTTGTAGATGTCCCGAGGGAGGTAGCGAACGGTGGGGTTGTCGCGGTGGAGAATTTCCAGGGTTTCTTTTACGGAGACGCCTGGTGACTGTTAGTATCTTAGTTTACATGTATGGGTGGAAATTGCATACCATTTTCTTCCAAAGCTTTGACTGCTGCGATAGCTTTTGGATCCAACTTTCGTGCTCCAGGGTGCTCCGTAGGACTATCGCTGGGCGGATGATTATGTGAAAGATGCTCTCCATCAATTCGGCCTCTCAATATCCAGGCTGTCTTGGTCTCTAATCCGAACACACCGAATTCACAGCCACATTTCCGGGATTTGGTTTTTCGCTGACGAGCTTCTCCCGGAACCTTCTCCTTATTGTTGCCTCCTCTATCACAAATTAAGAAGACCTTCTTTAAACCTCGGTTATCCCGCTTGGATCTACCGATAACAAATGCATATCCATGTGACAACGCGTGCGACTGCGCAGCTGCGAACAGAGCCTCGAATGTAGGATAGCTACCTCCGGGCGGAGCACTCAGCATGTTCTCTGGCAGTACTGGCTCGATAGGACTGTGTTCCGTCTGGAGTATTTGGTGAGACTGCTGCTGTGCTTGCATCATGGAGCTGTTTGGATCCGAAAGCTGTTGATCGATTGCCAATTGAGGATCGATCATCGACATATCATGGGATTCATGAGGTGAGGCATCCTGTGGGCGTGAAACCATATTACCATTCGCATTTACTGGAGAAGAAGTCATGGCAGATCGTTGTGAGTTTAGGTGTTGAAGTGCTGGAGACCCATTCTGCGACTGCCTCTGAGCTTGGTGCAGCGATGTAGAAGTTGGGTTCATGGCATGGTTGATGTTCATTGGCGTACTCTGTAAGCTCATGGGCTGCTGTTGTTGCTGTGGTGTGCCATGAGATGGCATATGTATCGTTGTGCCTAGAGGAGGGGGTCTTCGTTGCGGGGTGTTGGATCCGGAGCCAGAAGACGGATTACTCAAGACACCTTGGGCGATCTGCTGCTCTGCAGAGAACTCGCCGTTTCCGTTCTGGAGTCCATTTTGTCTCGAAGGTACCGTCTGAACCTGTATATTACTTGGAGCATATGGGGTGGAATACGGTGATTTATGTTGCACTCCAACCCGAATTCCGCCTTGAGGGGGCCGAGGATAGGGAACTCGTTGTTGTTGCGCCGATGGAGGAGTTGAAAGGTTGGGTTGACCTGCAAATACAATACGTTGTTGTGGATTGTTTTGTTGTGGAAAGGAAGCTCTTGCATTATCTTGCGAAGACAACGACATCGTGGAGCCCTCGAGATGAATGCGATATGGTTTGTGGTGCGTAGACGTATCAATCTTGTTGCATCAACACGACGCCGTGACGTTAGAATTTGATATCAACCAAATTTCGCTTAGCTGCAGCAGATCATGTGGAGTAAGCACTCACGTGGCAGAACGTGATCAATCAAGACGACAAGCCTACCGATTTATCTGCTCTCGTTAACATCATTGATGCCGTTAGGCTCATAATATCGCTGACGGTCTGCAATATCGACTCTGTTACATGTAAGAGACAACTCTGGGAATCGGCTTGTTGATGAAACATTGAGTAATTGGGTGTTCAGGATGCTGTTATGCCACAACACTTTTTGAATCGCTGTAGACATATTTAATTTGGTGTGTATTGTATAATTACCATGCAGTCGGGGCCATGTAATATCATCTGTTTCTACTGCGCCAGTATATATCAATGAAGACAAGATAGTTCTAAGTAGAACCGGAGCACCTAAATAATCTTCTTCCGACCGGAGTTCCGTACATTCTACTTACAGGAAAAATCGCCGGAATAAAATCTATGAGTTGAGATTAACAGAACACATGTCTGTAGCTAAACAAACTCCAGCAAACCGCTGTCCTTCCAACCATTTAAGTAACTTATATCTAGGAGATTTCTGATCGAGTATAATAGTGTATTATTTACTATATTAGACTTCGTGAATTTTCCTAAGCAAATATCGTATTTCGAACACTCCTTATTTTGTCCACCGCGATCCTCGCCCAAACCAGCAAGGCCTTAGAATTCGGCCAAGCATTTACGATGCTAGACAACCCGACAAAACATACATTAATCACGACAGAGATCTTCGTCCTGCCTAGATATTCGTAACTCTCTCACCACCAGGGAATACACATTCATATTCCAAGTTCAACCTGACACTCTGTCTCGGATTCAACTTTACGTTCCACGTAATTTCGCCTCCCTTCTTCGCTGTCGCAACAGCTTTTCCCCATTTCACTCCCCCAAGAGCGCCAAAAGCACTTCCCCTGCTATCATTCGCCGTGCCTTTGTCGTTACTTGTACGAGCGCCGGATGTACCAGCGTCAGTACCTGTTTGAACAGACTGGCCTCCGACTTTGAGACCATTGGGAGATGTGATCTCGATGCGCAGACGTTCGTCTTCTGATACGGGAACTTGATCAAGGAAAGTAATTTCGCATGGGGTGTTTGGTTTGGTGTTGGTGATTACTACCGTACGGGCGAACAAATTCGAATCCTCCTTGTTAAAGATACCCGATTGACTTCTTCGGACGGTGGGTTTGGGGTAAGATACCGTGATAGAAGGATCAACGCCCAGGGGCAATGAGAATGATTCTCCAGCTGAACATCGCGGGAATTGTGTTTGTCCTAGGAAACTGCCATCGAGCGTCAACCCCAGGGGCCCTTTCAATAACGTGATCTTCGAAGTGTTGCGCAAGCGAGCTTTGAGAAACGCGACTTGGCGGAGTTTGCCTATAACAATATGTGAGAAGACAACATTTCGGAAATCAATCTTTGCAATTTTGTGTTTGATTGCGGAGTGTGAAGGCGCTAGAGTTTTGGTTCCAGCAACATCGTACGTGGTGGACATTCCACTTTCACCCCAGGCTCCCGCCTCGAAAGTCAGGCTGTTTGGTGCTGGCGCGGAGAGCTGCTGCTTGAGCTCTTCGAGCTCTTCGGCCTCTTCTAGTTCATCCGAGTAATGAATCAGGCCTTCCTCTTGACGCCTGTGAGTTGTAGTTTCGCTACTCATTTTTTCACCTCTAGCAAGAGCCATAGGGGCGATCCTTCCGCTTTGTGGGGCTGCCATAGAAGGTTGACCACCGAGACCACCAAAAAGACCCCCGGATGCGGGTGCGTTGTGTTGTGCGCTACTTCCAAAGGCAGTTGAGCGGAGAGCATTGTTTTGTATGATAGTATTGCTGCCGAAAAGGCTGCTTCCAAAACTTTGGGGAGGAGGTGGGATGGCCATCGATCCGCGATCAACATTCTCTTGAACGTCGACCCTTGGTCCAAACTTGAGTTCAGAATTCTTGTCCATTCTAAGCTCCTGGACGTTTTTCAGTCGGCCGAAGATTTCGTGGCGTGGCTTCATACTATTGTCGATGGTCTGGTCCCATTCTCGCTGCTTCGCGGACAACTCGTGATGGCTCATGAGTACGTATGGATCCCCCTTGATCACACCTTTAAGCAGTCGGACATGCCAAGGCTGCAACGTAGGAATGGTCTCGGTAAGGCCAGAGAAGTTGGTTTGTGAGGTTGATAGTATAACCTTGGCGTCCCGCCACGTTTCGGAAGTGGTATTACTCAATTCTGCACCGTATTCGAGAAGACCTGTACCCTTGGTAGTATTCAAACTCAGATCGTACCGTGGAGACCATGAGGCTGAAGAGGTGATGTATGACAGCGACAACGATATTTCGTCCAAATCCAAAGCTTTGCCGCTATCTTCATGGAATGTAGACGTGGCAAGGTTGACGATCGTGTCGCCGTCATCAATGGACGTCCGACGCGATGATGATGGAGTGAAAGCTGACGGTTCCAGGTTGATAGTCACACAATATGTCTGTTTTGGCCAGAAGAATTCGCGATCACGCTGAATTCTCAGCTTCTCCTTTTGTCGAGCAAGCTTTTGTCGCCGCCTTGATTGCTTCTCTCTTAGACGTTCTTTCCTCTTCTTTTCGGAAGACTTGACCCAAGCCCTCACAAGTCTCATCCTTTCCTTTTCGAGCTTTGCGATTTCAGATTTCAGATTTTCCAGTGCCTCCGTAGCGATTTGATGATCAGTAAAGATAGTGTGACGCTCCTCTTTATATACAGCCATAAGCTTTCCAAGCTCACTAGCCACTGGATGATCGCGACTATCAGACTGGCAAAAAGATTCACAGTGCGAAAGTCGAGCAGCTGCAGAATTGATGGCTTCTTGCTTGGCTTGTGCCCTCACATTCAATGCTTTGATTTTGCGTTGTACAGAGACTACTGCTGGATCTTCATCCTCAGAGTCTGACACATCGGTGCTCTCGTCATCACTGTCATCTGAGGGATAGATATCTTCAAAAATTTCCTTGTTCGGCTCGCGTTCGACAAGGACATCAGTAATCGTAGCTGTACCCGTTCCCTCGACTTTGATCGAATGTTCATCTACTGTCGGTGAAAGACCAGTAATAATGACTTTATTAGCACCAGGGCCGAGCTTAATGGCGTTGATGTCGCGAATAATTTGGGCTCGGGTGGGAAATAAAGTTACGCTTCGAGTTGAAAGGTCACGAATCTTAAATTCATGCTTGCAAGTGTCTGAAGCGGCCATTGTGGTGGCAGGCGAGGATGGCTTCTCGCTGAATTCTCCTTGTTGCATTTTGCCAAACGGTGATTTGAAGGTGCCAATTAAAGAGATTCAAAGTGGCTGTCTGTGATGATAAAAGAAGAAGAGAAGGAATGGTTTACTTCATGTCTTTAAAGAAACGCAAAATGCAAGGCAACGAGCTCCTCGTTACGAGGAGCTGAGAGCTTGCCGACGGCATACCTGAGTCGAAGCGAATCACAGCTTACCCCTTGAGTCCCCTTGAGTCCCCCCCACCTGGCACGGCCTATTTAGGCAACGCTGTGGGTCCTTATAGTTGACTGGCCGCGACTGCGCCTACGACTTCAACAAAAGTCATCTCAGGCACCGAATCAGCAATACATCAGACTCAAAGGACGATTCGAGGTTCATTGTCTAGCAAGCTAAATGATTTTGCAGTCGATTGAGTGTGCCATTAGATAGTGATACCAAGACGCGGGGAAGTATCAGAATTGTGACGGATGACTCAGCACAACAACGCCCACGTCTTGCCTCGCCATGGATTGACAGATGGCAGGACCTTTCAACTCCAGTAACTACTAAATCAGATTTTCATTTGAGCGCTTGTAAGTACTCTTAATCTTGATTGGTACAGGTAGAATTGTGAACATCCTGTTTATTGAGAATATTAGATAAAACATTGGTGGTTGAGATGATACAACGTTCCAAATCCTTCCACAACACAAGGAAATTATATCCATTCATTCAATTGAGAATTCGTTTCTCATAGACTACTCCAAGATCATGAATCGTTTTCTTCGGTTCTTGACAAGAAACCCGGTCACACATAACTATCCCTTGCAACATTCCCCTCTGACCCATGTCTATTTCTTTTAAGAGAGCATACTTCTGAGTCAAGTTTCTTCTTAGCAACCTTGATACACTTGAAAACGAAGCTCTTAGTTCAAAAGGCAGTTGCTTTAAGTATTCTTTCAGTCATACTATACTTGAGCTGTAGGCTTTGTCAAAGTTGAAAGCTCAGACGAGTTCTGTTGACCAAAGCCAATAGACGAAAGGTATCGTCTTGTAACATGATAGTTCTCGATTCTGACATATTTTGTCAACAGCGAATCACACAACTTAGGCTGCCAAGTGAGTATATGCATGTTTACGGCGAGGTACATATTTCAGCGAGATGCAGCTTGAAGTCCGCTACCCACATGAAGAGTCACGGTATTCTTTCATTTTGACTTGCATGCTTTCTTCCCGTCTCTGCACTAGTTTTGAGTTGTACCATAGTAAGTTATTAACATTTTTCCCTCTGCAAGAATTCTAATCGAGCAAGTGGTGAAAACTGTCAGATTATCACAGAATGCTGCGATTTAGTGTAGTTGATGATACAATTTTATACTCGGCTATCGTGCCTGCAGATTTATCACAATAAAACACTCACAATCAACATCGTTCGATCATGGCATGAAAGAAGACGCCGATTTATACCGAATTCCCAGCAGGACGCCGGAATGAGGGGAAGTGGGTTTCAGATTTGATTGGGTTTATAACCGAACCTGTGCAAGGTTTCACGAATAACATCCAACTTATAGTATCAGGCCCCCGCTTCGAGGGGACCAACTTGGATTCAAACCTACAATTATTTCGTATATTTCAAAGAAAAGGCTCCCCTTCTTTTCGAAGGAACAGCAATACACCGACATCTTTCATAATTACTTGCAATTTCAGAACTATGCCAGTCACCATCTACCCAGCCCCTCACGGTGCAAATGCGTTGACGCAAACAACATTCGCCAAGACCGCCAGGCAGCTCCTTCCATATTCTGAAAATGAACAAGTCAAGAACGATCATATCATCCAATCTACCTTCAAGAAGCTCGATGGAAAAAACTTATCATCTATAAACAATGGATTTGTAGATAGTGCAGTATCAGCTTATAACCAACATTATAATCTGATTATTCGACCGGAAGATGTCTGGTAGTCGCTCTTCTTTCCATTTCAGATGGCTCATGAAACTAAGAAATATCTAGGTTCAGTATCCTCACTCAATTCAATTTCAACGTCAACGCAAACTCGGAAAAGCTTCGTTCCACATTTGTCGCGCATGAAGGACAGAAAGAACTAATCATAGACGATCTCAGCGACATCAAAAGCAGAGATGGATCTGGAGTCTTCGGTGTAGATTGGGGTAAATTCTCCTTCAAAATGACCAAGATGATTGCGCAGAATATCAAAGATCCGAGCCTTCGAGAGTGGATCCTGCCTACCTTCACAACAACTACCAAAGACGATCAAACGGTCGCATCCATCATTATGATGGCTACTCTCAAGAACTTCTTTAGTTATGGATGTGGTATTGCGTGTGGAATACCCTCAGTAACTTTACTGGGCGAGCAATCTGATTGGGAGCAGATTTTGACTAAAGTCGAGCGTCTTAGCACGTTTGGTAAAGAACCGACACAATGGCTTGAGCTACTACGACCGGTGTTGAAACGATTCGTTTCCAATTTTGACGCGCCGAATTCCGACGAGGCGAAGGACTTCTGGCAAAAGATTGCTCATCGTTCCGGTGGTGGTTCGGGTCCGTCGTATTTGAGCGGTTGGATCACCGCTTTCTGTTTCTGGAATACGAAGGGAAAAGCGTATTATGACCCAAAGTATAATCCACCGGCAGAAGGTGATACTATGCATACCATGGGCAGTGATACCCCTGTGCTTGTGCTTGATGGAGCAAGGTATCATAGAATTGAGACTGATGAGGTGCCATCTGGGTGGGCTTCGGTGCCGGTGAAATTGATTGACGATCTTGTCATCACGGAGACTGTGATGGTTGCTGGATCTCTGGGATATGAGGTATGTCAGTCAGAATGAAAAGGATATGAGAAGGTTGTTGATCTGTGGTAGGCATCATCAAGCGGTAAAGATCTGCACAAAAAACCAGGGGAGACGGCGTTGGATACTCTGGCTCCGGTGACCGGATGGTTCATGTATGAGACGAAGAGCCAAGATGAGATTGCGGCAGAGAAGACAGCTGCGAAAGAGGCAGAACTGAAGAGACATGAGGATCGTATGAGGGAGATCAAAGAGAACTATAAGGTAGATTGGTGATATTATGGAAGAATACGAATATCAAAATCGAACTCCGTTCGATTCTTGTAGGTTCGGTAAGAAATAAACAAGGAGAGAAATCTGGCAGGATAAGGAAATCTTTGATTGCGACGGAGTTATGCTGGGTACCTAGGTTCGCAAGTGAGCAGCAGAAATACAGTTGACCATACCGTCTTATAATTACCCTGTCAAAGTGAAATGTCGCATTAAGATCTAGAAATACACAGAGTGGAGTTCAAATACCTGTTCATACCCAGAAAACCTTTCCCGTTGTAGCTAGAAAGCCATGCCTATTTCAATTCGACATAATCAGGAAGGTCCCAGCCCTTAACATCCTCCCTAAGCATCCACTTTCCCATATTGACTTTGAAGAACGAAGCAACCCCAAGAAGACCATTCATGACGGCGATGCTGAACGCATTTGAAGGCCAATTCATACCCTCAGACACGCCCTTCTGGACCTGATCCATGAAAGGTCGGAATTTCTCTTCATACCCCTTCAAGGCGGCTTGTAAATCCTTCATGTTATCGCCAGCCGTGGTACGCCGATCACCACAATGTCTGCCAATCTCCCCGGCCAAAATATAAGCTCCTACCATAGCAGAAGTGGTACCCATCCCAGTATTAGCAGTCGGACAATACGCTGCGTCGCCAACAACGGCCACGCGACCTTTGGACCATGAATCCAACTTCACAAGCCCCATACGTTCACAGTAAAAGTCATCAGCGCCCATCATAGCAGCGACAAGCTCTTTGGTACGCCACCCGGCGCCTTCGAAGATTTCTGCCAAAGCCTCCTTTTCCACTTTCACATCTCCACGACGCGCGTTTTCAAGTTTTTCCATCTCGGTGGTGCAGCCAATGTAGACTTGGAGTTCGTGTGGGTTGTTTCTTCGGGTCATAATCCCGCGGCGGCCGGGAGCGAAGAAGGATGTGGCGATGTACTCTTCGTTTTCTTGCTTTTCTAAGGGGCAGGTGAAGTAAGCGACGTAAAGGTCCTTGAGAGGGTAGATCGCGTCTGGTTTGTTGAGTCCCAGCATCAGACGGCGAATGTGTGAGTACTGGCCGTCTGCACCGACGAGAAGATCAAATTGTTCGACACATGTATCCGTGTATCGGACCTGGACCTCATTTTTCGTCTCTTCGAAACTCTCGACTGCTTTGTTGAAGATGTATTTGACTCGAGTCTTACTTGCGTCATACAGAATGCGACAGAATTCTCCTCTCATGATTTCGTACTCTGTTGTGAAATTTTGGGATCCTTTCCCAGATTTGTTGACCGGGAAGAAAGCTCGTTGCTTGCCCGATTTGTCGACGACTTGTATGCCCTGCTCTGGGACTATTTTAGAGCGAAAAGCTTGTTCGATTCCCATACTAGTTTAAAAGTTACAAGGTCAGCTTGGATGAACGTAGAGTGTGAGGTTACAGTTTAGAGAAGCAAGCATACCGTTTCATGACCTCGATTCCATGGCCACGAAGATCTACTTGAAGGCCAGACGCGCGCAGAGTTGGGAATCGTTCCACAACGGTCACAATATGGCCCAACTTGGAAAGCCAAAAGGCAAGAGCATTACCAGCGATACCTCCGCCGTTGATGAGGATTTTCATATTGTTATAATATCTGGTGGGAGACTTAGCAGTAGCGTTGGGACGTACTTTTTCGAGGCGCAATTTGCTCCAAAATCTTGAAGCACAACTCAAAAAAGAAAAAACTAGGCGATTGGAAACCCTAGAATGAGAAAAAGCGTTCGTGTTCGATTTGGTAATTGCAGTTCAATCCATCAGCGACGATCAAGCATATATGTCGTGTTATGTCCGCCTCGGCCGAAATAAGCGAGTGAGAAATGGGAACCTTGACCGTAACGCCAATTGCCTAGGTCATCAGGCAAAAATGCTCGGTATCTTTGCTTGTCTTTAGGGGATATTGTTATCCGAATAACTACTCAAACCCTCCTTCTGCTGGAAAAAAATCCATATCAAGATCCAATCCGAAAATATCCTGGTCATCGTAAGGGCCGGGTAGTCGTAAACCCTGCTCACAAGCTGAAGTAAAAGAATTTTGATCAAGCTGTGATTGCAGAATTTTGAGACATAATTCAAGACTGACCTGAGCACTACGCGCGATACTCAACTCACAGGAGGTATCATTTTCTATCGCTTCAACTTGAGCGAGAATCATGCTGAGAAATGTGTGACTCTTCATGTTGGTCTCGCCTTCTTGTATACGTCGTAATGATAATTGAATCATGTCTTTCAGGTTAACTTTGAGGCCATCTCTATATTTTGAAGCGCTATGCAGCGTCCCATCCAGTTGTTGTGCATTTGTTTGTGCAAGCAGCTCGAGACTGATGATAGATCCAGCTTCCCTTATGACCTCCCTAAATAGACCGCCGCCAGTAGACATCAGACAAGCGAAGCAGTCATCCGGCTCAGGAGAAAGAATGAGCATGGTAGCATCCAGACAAGACTTCAAGGAGTAGTGATATAACGGATTGACTCGCGCTTGAAGGGCAAAAGAACAATGTAAAGGGATAGTAGATCGACGTAGGGTATAGTTCAACAGATTGCGGTGAAAAGACGTCATGACGGTCTTATTGGCATCCGTAAATGCCCCAGATACCCGGTAATGATCAGACATCTTCGAGCTCAAGCTAAGAACACCAACATAGGAAAGCTCAGAGCGCAAATTGGTTAAAACTTGGGCGATTTGCAGCCGGGTCGCCATTGATCGACATAAAGCGATCTGTAACGATGTCATGGTGTAGTGATTTAACGGCTGAGGGTCTATCGTGCTTGTCGTATCATGTATTTGATCATCGTCAAAATTGGAAGGTGCTGTGGTGTCGAACTCGTCAAGGGATATCCTGGGAGGCATAGCTGAGTCCATTGAGGACTGTATACTCATTTCAATAATGGTTGCCCATAATCTCCTCCGCAGCTCAGCTTGCAGATGGGACATTCTTGGAAGGTGATGAGGGTCGCGGTGAAGGCCGATTTGCATAGCTCGATGAACAAGAGATCCAATGGACATCCATACTAGATCTCCTCCAATAGAGAATATTTGTCTCGCTAAAATAGACAGGCAGTATATTTGTAAACCTGTAATGCTTAGGCGATTCTTATGGAGTGGCCCGGAAAGCCACGCTTCAGCGTCGTATACCCATTGACGAACGAGCTCACGGAAGTCAGTATCCCACTCGCTCAAACTTGAACCTATTCCAACGACCAGAAATATCATTAAGCGGACATCAGGTGCAACAGCATCTTGCTGGTCCCAGTATTTCCGGTACTCGGCCCAGAATGTGGGTACGTGTAAAATCCGAGTTGTTGATTCGAAGGAACAAAAGTATAAGTTGACCATACGGTCGGACACCTCGCGAGGAGGAAGAATAAGACCAAATGCAGGATTTGAAGGACCTCTGATCGGTCGTTCGAGCTTGATACTGGTAGCTACACTTTTGCATTTACTGAGCAATGTTCCAATATGGATTATCATGCTTTTGAAGTCGTCTTCCTGAAACGAAAGTGTATCCCCATGGCCGGTAGCTTCAGAATAGCACGTCAAAATTGCTCTAAACTAGTGGAACCATGAATATTAATTGTAATACATGATAAGAGCGAGTTACGTACCTCTGGAGCTGTGGCCATCCAATGACTCCATCTCAAAATTCTCGTTTTATTCAGCACTATTTGTGAGTCTTCTAGACCAGATTGCCGCTCGAAGATTCTCCTACTGGTTTCTGCTAGTCCTTGGATGGCACTGTTGGCTGAAGGTTCTTCAGCCACTTGCAGCTTCCTCAATAGGTCCTGTAGATCTAGGTTATGAGAATTCTGCTGTGGCTCGAATAAAGATCGGTTGCGGTCTCCGGTCGATTTTACCAAGTCTTCGATATTTATATCTCCAGGCCGGCTATCTTTAGCTGACACACGCTTTTCGTGGCCGTCGTGATCAATATTTGACAGATCGGTGCTCATTTCTCGGAAGTCCTGTGCGATAGGTAGTGATACTATGCTACATTCTTCGCTCTGATTCGATTCCAAAGAGCCACCAGCTAGCTGCTCCCGAAGGATAGCCTGGATAGGCGCAGTGTTGTAAAGGTGGTAAACACATTGCGGGTGATTGGAAGACACGCATTGTGTACAAGGCTCTGTCCGACTGCATTTAATTTTGCGACGACGGCATTCAACGCACGAAAGAGCTGGTCTGCGACGTCGGTGAGCTCGTCGATTCATGGCTAGAACATTGATGAGTTAACCCCAGCAGATCCGTTAGAAGACAGAGGCGTAATCACGTGTTTTATGCGGGGGTATAGAGCCGGTAATTGTCCGATGCTAAGCGAGCGACGTTTCATCGCCCTGGCTCCGGGAGGACAAAATAAGTGGCAGTCGAAGCACGATATTTCTTTGATTAAGTTGACGAAATATCGGCATTTAGTGGATTAACTTGGAACAATATTACTTATTTCGTCAATTATTTTAAGTAAATAAGACTTCTTGAGTCCCAAAATTAGTAGGCAGGTAACTGACACTGATTTTATCCTCCGCCAGCCTGGGTGGCAGTCAATTATCGAGAGGTCTTTAAATACCTAACTTTCGAGACTTTAAAGTAGGAGCTAATTCACAATGAATATTAACAGGACTTAGTACGTATATCAAGAAGCACCTAAATTTTAATAAGAGTGATTTTTTCTATCTAAAATACTAGTGTTTACCTAGTTTAGACGTGTAGAATTGAACCTCTTAGTTTTGTCGAGGGGTGTAGGGACTGCCATCCATTTTGTCCTCCGCGAGGCCCCAGCCCCATACCTTAGATCGCACACATATCTACCTGTACAGGGGCATTTAAAAATTAATAATTGCAGGTGCTCTAATTTCTGATTCAAATGTTCTTAACTCCGGTAAATCCCTTAAAGCCCTTTGAGACAAGATTTATCATCCTCCACGAGTGGAGTTCCGTAAGGCACGGAACTCGATCCTTGCGTTAAATAGGGCATTGGTACTTTCTGTAGGGCTTCAATGGTACTAAGGCCGGCGTACGGTCTCAGTGTTCTCCGAATTACCAATACTGAATTCAATCCCACTCCGTTCGGCGGTGGAAGACAGGTCCCTTAGCGGTTCTTTACCGATCGAGGAAGTAGAGGAGAAGCTGCAGAATATCGTTAAATGATATAGTAAATTCCCGATTTTTAACGTAGTCCGCGTATATCGGGCTCTGGGGAGACGTAGTATGGCATCATATGGAGCGGTACCACTCTATGGAGTTGCTGTGCGGCCTCGGGCAATATAGAGCGTTTGGCCTCTGGTGTAGCCGAGCATACAATATACACTAAAACACGGTAGTAATTTCCGGCACGTAGGTAGGTGTGTAAATTACTATATTAATTCGTATACTAAAATGCTTTTACCTCCTAAATTACAAAACGGGCTTTGGCACTACTGCTCCGCATGAACATACTATAATGCCAATACCAGGGATAGGTCCAATATGTATATAAGTAAGTGCCATTGTAAACTTCGCTCATTCAATCAATTTACAAACGAACATACTCGACCACACTCGCCACTCACACTCACAAATCTATCCAACAAATTATCACCATTGTACTAAGAACGCCAAATTAAAAATGTCATCCTCAACAGCAGTCCCCAAAGGCTCTACCATCATCGTCACCGGTGCGAACGGCTACCTTGGTATGCACGTCGCAGATCAATTACTTGCATCTGGCTACAAAGTCAAAGGTACCGTTCGCGACGCTGACAAGGTCCAATGGACCACCGAGTACTTTAATGAGAAGTATGGGAAAGGCAGTTATGAAGCTGTAATTGTTGACGATTTCGCGAAAGAGGGAGCTTTCGACCATGTCATCAAAGGCAAGTCTCTCCATCAGATCCTCTCAGATAGAAACATGGGCTAACAGCTCAGTCTCCCAGGATCCACCGGTGTTATTCACGTCGCTTCAGATGTCACTTTCGGCCCAGATCCAAATGAGGTCATTCCTGGCGTGATAGATGGAATAACCTCCCTTCTAAACTCTGCCGCTTTGGAGCCATCCATCAAGTCTTTCGTTCTCACCTCTTCTTCAGCCGCTATTGATCAAGGCCGCCTAGGACAGAAATACCTCGTTGATGGTAACCTTTGGAATCATGAAGCCGTCAAGGCAGCCTGGGCTCCTCCTCCATACACTGCAGAGAGAGCCATAATGGTCTATTTTGCCAGCAAAACACAAGCTGAACAGAAGGCTTGGGAGCTTGTCAAAAGTGGCGAGTGCTCGGATTTAAGGTTCAATGCCGTCAACCCCAACTTTATGATGGGGAGGTTCTTGCATCCCAAGCAGAATAAATCGTCTGGAGGAATGGTGATGGGGGTCAGAAATAATGATTCGCGTGCAGTTGATACGTTTAAGTCATTTGGGTGGCAATGGATGGTTGATGTCGTTGATGTTGCGAAATTACATGTCATTGCTTTAGTTGATCCTGCTGTCAGGTATGTTCAACTTGGTTTGCCTTTTGATCCCCTCATTCGGTGAAAATGTGTCACCTTGAGAAATGCATAGCATTGGCGGTTGAACAGTCTTGGGAGTTGCCCTGATTCGATCTTCGGAAACCCAGATTTCAGTACTGACACAACTGATAGGAACGAGAGAATCCTGGCGTACACCGAAAAGACCAACTTCAACATTCTTGTCGACAGAATTGGCAAGGTGCTGGGGCCAGACGCTATTAGATATTTGGAGAAAATCGAGGAAGGGGAGAAAGACTTGAGAGAGGTAGACGTGAAGAGAAGTGAAGAATTGCTGAGGGGTGTCGGCCTTTCGGGGTTCAAAGGGTTTGACCAAACTTTGAAGGAACTGTTTGAAAGTGCGGCTTGAGATACAAAAAGCAAATAAAGAATTTACGCTCTTTGTATGCTGTACTAGGCACCTATTGATTAGAAGTAAGCAGAATCAAAAACTGAGTGTGCAGCTTCAACTTCACCGGATATATTTTTGAATGATGCTGGCGCATACCGGCCAGAGACTTAGATGGACCTAGGATAAGTAGTCCGATCAGACCTTTCTGATTACATCTCGACTCAGTTGTATAGTGCTATTGGTGAAGATAACTCTGTCGTCAACTATGCCGTGCGGGAAAGCAACGAGCAACCAAGGATCGATTGAATCTGCCTACGAAGAATCATAAAAAGACACGGAATTTCGACCGTTCGTTGTCGAGATATTGACTGCTGAGGGCGCCTCAATGGGACACCTCCAGGACACCTAGTCTGTTCGAGAACGTATTAGATTTCCTCGTCCGGCTCCTAAGGCTAATAAATAACGTTAGATAAATTAATACTTAATCCCGATATCTATAAGACGATTAATGTTAATTAGGTTATGTTTCTTCTTCCTAGAAGGATAAACAAGAACCTTACTATAATATAAATTACGATAGTATAGCTAAGTATAAAATTTGGTTTTTAAGTAGGTGTCTATTGAGGGATACTCGTCGGTATATTGGAATATAGGCGTGGCATTTTAGCGTCGGATTGTCCCTTTAAGTTTAGAGTAAAACACGATGCTTAAATAGTGTAGATGATTTAAGAAATATGAATTTAATTAAAATAGTATTAGTACCGAAAGGAATTAATTATATTAAGGTTAATAATCCTGGGAATCGTGATATTTACGTACTATAGCTTTACTACCAATTATTTCTAATAGTACTTTTCCCTAGCTAGTAAATATATATATATATATAGAAATTAAGCTTAACTACTAAAATGTGTTCCTAAACTCTCGTCGACTCTCTCTATAGCGCTATAAATAGTCTTTTATGAATTTAAAGAAGTCCTCGCCACCCGTGCGATCAGCAACAAAGGAGTAATATCAAGAAGAGGATAATAACGGTGACACGGTTTTCTACTCGCTGGGAGCCTCGCTCTGTGAATGTATGAGCTTGGGAGCCTCGCTCTGTGAATGTATGAGCTTGGGAGCTCATCTTTATATGTAGACGCCCAGTTCGGTACGTATACAACCTAGTCTTGTTGTTTGTTTTGGACAACCAGAGAGATCATAGAAGAACTCCGATTTCTGCTGTCGAATGTGAAGGCATTTGATTCCTGCATATCCTCGTGGGGGTTCCATTTCCTGATCTCGCCCCAGTTCGCCAAATCCGAAACATCCAACACCTCGTGTCCAGTCTTCTCGTGCTTCTCTATTCTAGGTCGGGTTCTAGGGCGACGCTCTTGAGTCATATTATTCTCCTTATTCTCTGCTCCAATTCTCAAACCTGTTCTTATTGAGGCTTCGCTCCGTGAAGGTGGCTTCGGGTTTCCTCCTACGCTTGAGGTTCCCGCGTCGCTGGTTTTGTGGATAGACTTGGATTGAGCATGGACAGACTTTTTTACGATTGGACGGTCTGCTTGTCAGATGTAACTTTTGCTGACGCGTCCACAGTCGATGCTGCATTCTGCGCAAGGCCTTCTCCAGTAGAACCTTTCGGTCGATATTTGAGGCATAGAGATTCCCAAGCGACAGAATCCTCATCCTGATGAGACTCATTAATCTCAGACAAAATATTTGTTGTTGTCATGGAGTCACAGGGGGGGACTCGATCATTTGTTTTCTTGTTGAACACCGATACCGAACCTAGAATTCAGCTCGCATTTATGGTTTCTGTTAATGGAGTTTGGAAGATCACATCGTCGTCCGTCTCCTCAACAGTAGTGTCGATCACGATAGGCGTCGTTTTTCTAGCAGATTGTGCCACCGAAGAGTTGCCAGTGGATGGCGTAAGCAGAGTTACTGAATGGAGCGCAGTGGAGACGCACTTGGGCCCTTGTATTTTGTCGTCGCCCCTACAGGAGTTTCCTCATTTCTGCCTCTCCTGGAAATCACCCAATTTTGTTTGGCCTCGTACGACTCCATTAATGATTCTGTCGTTTTGACCGACAGCACAGTCCGTTGATATTCACCCAATGTTCTGAGGAACAACGTTGGATCCCTCGCATACTCGTCCCAGGTCTTTATGGTGGCGGATATATCACGACTCGTAACAGCGTTCACGAGGTGGTTACCGCAGGGACCTAATGGCACTGGTGAATCCGCAACCACAGATCTGATTGTATTGATGAATTCGTAGTGCTGCGGGTAATCTTCTCTGAGAATACCGTCAAGTATTTCCTTCAATGACAACTCCTTTCGAATATCAATAGCATTACCCACCACTGCACACATTTCTGCTATGACCGTTTCATTGCTATTGCCCGCAGGAGGCATATTTGGATTCCGTAGATTTGTAGATACACCGAATTGTTGAAGTCGGTAGAAAGTCGACATTTGTATCGCGTATTACATACAATAAGTCCAGTCTTGTAAGGAACACCGGACAGCAAAAGACAGTGTTCAAACCTTGGAAATTCTGCCCTCTTGTTAAGCCGAAGTTCTCGTTTTCGTTGAATATCTCGTGCAAGTCAACACGCCACATTTCACGGCACCTATTACAACGCGCGCTTTCTGTTCAAGGGCTGTATCATTATGCGATTTCGTGTGGGAGAGCTCCAGCAAACTGATGAGGGAACTCTTCAGTGTCCAGTTTGCACCCTAGACTGATCAACAAACGTAAGACCATTATCGTGATGTCCAACCCTCGAGTTGGAAATTTTCGTTGTGCTTCGAGGGCGACTTCTGCTGTCAAATTCTTGTTCGGCTCCCACAACAAACCTGGATGTGGCCATATGCTACGCAGTCTCGCGGAGGACAAAACAAGTGTCAGTCACCTGCGCAGTAAACTTAGACTACACAAGTCGACTTCGAACAGAGCGTAAGAAGCTTTATTTACTCAAAATAATACACGAAATATCTCATATTATCTCAAATTAATCCACTAAATAACGAGATTTCGTTAACTTAATCGAAGAAATACCGTGGTTTGACTGCCACTTATTTTGTCCACCGCGAGGCAGTGAGATCAATGCCCGATCTTCGCGAACACCACTTACAGTAGTGACTCTTGGTATTGTGTGGACGAATGAGGCTGCTAGTTTTGTTTGGCCTCGCACATTGTTTGGTTTACCCCGACGCTGGGGATTCTTCGAAGGCATGGCAGTGTTGACGGATGAAATGGACGATGAAATGCACAGAAACCCGGTTTGTTGATGAGAGAGATGATTCGAATTAGAGTGGGAAGAGATCGAACTAGAGTGGGAAGAGATTGCTTGCACAACGGTGCAAAGTGATGGCGAAGATGAACTTTGTGATTTGAAAGAAGGAAGGTGTGTCTTGCCCACTCGCTTCGCAACATTTCACCTTCACATCCTCATACCCCGCACAACATTCCACCTTCACAACTTCATCAACTTTTTCAACTTCATCAATTTATCAACTTCATCAACTTCATCAGCTGAACAACTTTCAACTTTCAACTTTCAACCTTCTCATACCTCACACAACTTCAGCCCTTCAACTTCATCAGCCAAACAACCTTCAACAATGGACTTGAATCTTTTGCATCAACAGTTGAAAGAAAAGATTGAAGGTCATTTGAAGATGTACGATAAAGCAGCAGATGATCTGAACAAGGGCCTGCTGCCATTATGTCCTGATGGGACTACGCGTTGTATTGGGGAATTGTGGGAGTTCTTGAACCAAAGACAAGCATGGGTCAACCGTCACATTCATGGGCTACATGTACACGTGGAGAAGTTTCGAGACTTGTTGTTTTTGGAGGCGGAGTATCGTAAAAAGCTTGATGAGTTTGCGCAGAAAGATAACATTCTTGGTCGGAAAGTCAGTCTGATCATCCCAAAGTAGAAAGTCATCACGCTAACCTGCTAATGAATATAGATGGACAATATTGGTCAGCAAGTAAGTTTGATCATCCCAAAGTAAAAAGTCATCAGGCTAATATGCTGTTTAATATAGATGGATTGTGCGCTCGATGCAATAAACATGATACAAGTGCCTACGCTGCCAGACGGCCACGCTGGAATGCTTCACCCTGAGAGAGAAATTGCCGATCTGGAAGCCGAATGGAGACAGTTGAAGGAAGAAGAGAGGATGTTAAAGTTGGAGAGAGAGATGGACAGGGAGAAATTACAAAGTGCTTTGGCTGAGCAGAACAAGGCCGAGATTGCAGCAGCAGCAATGATTGACCAGCACAATGAAAATGAAGCGGCGATCGAAAAATACAGGGTAGCATCGAAGGAAGTGCAAGAGCTATCGCGGAACAAGATCCTACTGGACTCCAGGTTGGACGCGATTATAAAAGATATGGAATCTGTCAACAGCCCGCCATTTGTTCACCCGGACGTTGATTCCACTGACGGAAAAGGAAAGGACGCTTGTGGTTTTAATGGTTGAGCCGGCCGTCTGGGCGCAACCATCAAATTTGCTTTTAGCTCTACTAAAGAACTCATCACAAAGTCAATGTATATAGAAGCTACCTTTCGCACTGGTACTTGCCCATGTACCCTTTTTAGCTTTAAAGAGTATATTCAAAAATCAAATTATATTGATAGAGGTGAACTGTTGACAGATAAGAACACTTTCACTCCGCTCCGTAGACTGTGCAGCTATCTTGAGGGAAAGGCTCTTCGCCTCTGCTCTCCCGCCAACGATTTGTCGCCTCCAGTATGCCGGGAAGGCCATCTACCAACCACCCCCATTTTTTCACGAATCCTTCGGACATCTCCCACCCACTGATATCCCAGGGAGGTGACCACGCAACGATTCCCCGTCGTTCGATTTCGTCATCGGGGAAGCCTTCATACAGCCCACCGATACAATCCATCCACAGCTCATCCTCATCGAAGGTACCCGCGGCTTCTATTAGCCGGTCTCGTCCCTCGGCACTTGGGAAAATGTCGATCCAGTTTCCATGCGGAACCGTTTGTTGAAGATGGGTGGGCAGAAGTGTAGGAGGGAATCGTCCGGGGTTAACAGGGTAAGGTGTGATATGGATCACCTCTTCACCACAGTCAACTGGTGTGGTGTAGATGCCCGAAACTAGGGTATGGTTTACTATCAGCGCACGGAGAGCGTTGAATTGGAGGAGCGTGATTAGATGGTCTAGACACAGCGGGAAGACAATCTCGAATTGCTTCGTTCGTTTATCTGGCACTAAAGGATTCTTCGGGTCATAAGTTTGCTTGGCATGAGATGCTGGGACGATGGTCATGGATTGTTGATCGTTGTCCCAGCATCCTACAAATACTTTCGATTTGTTCGATGTACCAGGTGCGGCTAGAGCTTTTCGTTTTCCTACGTCTTGTCAGAATCTATTGGGTATTACAGGGCATTTATTCTAAATTTATACTGGAAAGAAAATGAGGAATTGCTTACGGTATGCTCTTGTATTCAGTCTAGTTTGTGCCCGTCTGCGGGCTGCAGCGTCCTTGGCCCCAGTCCAGTTATCATCCCTGCATCTGGCCTATGGGGGTCAGTATAGGATCTCAATTTAAGCCATGGAGACGGAATAGTACGGACCTCAGCCAATTGTGGCATCGCAACGAGCTGGGCTCGCGGTGCAGTTGGATCGGCAGGCTGTAACATTTTATCCATGAGTCTAAGGCGAGCGGCCGAGCTTGGAGACAGAGTGCAGCGACAATGCAGCAAGTAACAGACCGTACGGCGTTTTGAAGGTAGGTTCAACAAGATATGCGGCCTGCTCACAAAAAGATTGTTCCGCTATCACTGGTCGTACAGGTAAGGAGAATATTGCTAGTGACATATGGAAACAAAAGCGATACCTATGTGGCCGTAGACATCCGCTTAGTGCCCAATAGAGCGCCTGTATGCAAGTGGATTCATCATTCTTCGCGAATGTTATTGAATATATCCAAGAAACATGTGATGTTGAGTTCTCAAAACACAACTCCGAGGTCCGATGTCTCCTCTGTTGTCTAAACGAGTTCCACTTATGGGAGCCTAACTCAAACAGGTCTAGCGTCATGCAACCTGCTCACCTCCTGTGGGTCTCCTACGACGTTCCCGTAGACCTCCTACACAATGCAATTACCAAAGGGGGCAAGCAATTTTTGAGCCGCAGCAGATTACGAATTCTAGCACATTTCAAAAACACGACGCTGTGAACTTAATGGACCATTTCATAGTGGCTGAGAATAGCCACCATATTCCACTTGGCACAGCCGACTCACTTCGTGTCCCACATGCAGATGGTGATTGGCGGCATGAGCCAAGTGTGTTGGAAAAGCATGACGTTCTCGGAGTCGGTGGTAAGCATTTTTTATATGTTCACTTCGAATACGTTCTGATTGGCTGGATTATCATGCAGCTGGCTCACATTGTGTATTGCTCGGAATAACAGTTACGAGTCTTTTGATCTTTGACCATCGATAAGAGTGATATAAAGAGAGGAGTATCACCTCAATATTGCAATTTATTTTCTATATCCAACAGCAATTGTGAAGACTTTGAGAGAAAACAGATTGTCAACTTTAACATCACTCTCTACCGATACACACAACTATTCATCCATCCATTCGCACAGCAATCTTTTCCTAGCACCGACATGACATTTCATCCCGACAGCCTTCCTGATCTCAGAGGAAAAGTATACATAATCACAGGCGGAAATTCAGGCATGTAAGTACTTCTTCTTCATAGAAAACAGATCACATAGCTCACGAATATCAAGAGGTTACCACACCGTAGCTCGCCTAGCGGAACACGGCGCCCATGTCTACATGTGCGCGAGATCTCCAGAGAAGGGCAAAGAAGCAATCGAAAACATCATGAAAATGCACCCCTTTGCCAAGATCGATCTCCTGGAAATGGATCTAATGGATCTGGCCAGCGTTGTTGCAGCCGCCAAACACTTCCTGGCAATCGAAACTGCCCTGCACGGTCTTGTCAACAATGCAGGTATCATGGCCACGCCATTTAAGATGACCAAAGACAACTACGAGACCCAATGGCAGACGAACTACCTCTCACATTGGGTTTTCACAGAACACCTGCTTCCACTCATGCGACAAACAGCAAAGTCGCTTCCTCCTGGAAGCGTGCGTATCGTCAATCTTAGTTCATCCGGTCACTTAAGCGCGCCGAAAATCGGAATCAATTTCGAGGACCTCTCGCTTAAAGACGGAAGTACATATCAAAGATATGGCCAGAGCAAACTCGCCAACATACTGCATACCAAAACACTGCATAAGAGGTACGGGCCTGGCTCTCCTAGCGCTCGAGATGGCAAGGGCGAAATCTGGCTTCTGTCTGTCCATCCGGGCTTGGTTGAGACGAATCTCGGCGAGTCGATTGCAGAGTCAGGATCGATGATTGTGAACGGTGTCTTCTCCGTTTTCCGCAAACTTGGGTTCTTCTCCAATGCCGACGAGGGATCGTGGACTAGTCTATATGGTGTGGCGAATTGGGATATGAAGGCGGAGCAGAGCGGTGATTATTTTGAAGTTCACCGACGGTTTGGAGAGCCGAGATGGCAGAGTGCTGCGGCGAAAGATGCGAAGCTTGCTGAGAGACTGGACGAGTGGACTAGGGAAGAGATGAAGAAGCAGGGGTGGGTTTCGTGAGTGTGTTGTCTTCGAGCGAAATGTGTAATCTTATGGCGTTCCGGTTGTTGAAGTTGGCTGATTCAGATGAACTGTAGCTTAATTAGTTGATATTTGATTGTAATATTGAGAAGTCTTTAAATTTGGCTCTTATGTCTATCTGGTAATGTTTAATTATACGCGCCCTCGTATACTTCTTTCTCGCGTTGGACAAAAGAAGTGTCAGTCACCGGGCCACCGATCTCTACACTGAACAAGTCGATTTCGAATACAGCACAAGGAGGTGTTACTTGCTCAAAATAATTGGCGAAACATGTAATATTGTCCCAAGTTGATTCCCTAAATATGCGATATTTCGTCAATTGCTTTGACAAAATATCGTGGTTCGACTGCCACTTACTCTGTCCTCCGCGAGCTCGGTGTTCAGTTGCTTTTCAGCCTAAGTCCCTGCTCTTGGCCATGGGGAGGATGCTTTATGCGAGGAAGCGTTAAAACCTGCTTTTACACCGCCTAGGCGAAACGTTCATGAACACAACGATATTTGATCCCGAGTTCTATTAGACGATTAGTAACAGTAAAATCATATTCATTCTCTCGAGGAGAATATATAAGATCGTTCACGTAATTTAAAAGATAATAGAACAGTTGAGCACAAGTCAGTGTTTCGTACTTGGCAACTAAGGTATATACCTAGAGCTATACTAGGTAAGTACCTTACCATTTATGAGGTTCTCTAGTAAGGTACCTTAAAAAAATTCGTGTAGGTACTACCCGTATCCAAAAGTACGGCCCGAGGGGTTCCGGACCAACTTCCGAGTCACGTTTTATCTAAAAACCAGTCCTCGGGAGGTACTAATGAAAAAAAGTTATGTAGGTACCTTAGTATACCTTACCTTTTGCGGAAACACTGGCATAGGTGTAGTATGTGGAAAGAGAGTATGCCGAGGCGATGTGAAAGAGAGTTTAAAACCTACCTAGGTACTGCTCGCTTAATCTGTCAGGTGACTGGCCTTCCCCTACTTCCCCCTATTTCTTTGTATGTATGAAACCTTCAAGTTGCTCTATGGTGACAGAATCTCTGTATAAGTACACTCCATCTATTCTGCCATAAAGTTTTCTGTTAAGAACCCTAGAAATACCACAGGGAATGTTTAAACTTACTCGCAAACAAACTTCTGACTTGGCGATCACATCGGCACAAGTCACTGCAATGATAGTATTTTTGCTGACTTTGAAATTTTACAGTATTATTTATATAGGACATAAAAACAGCTTACATTTAGTCGAGTACTTTCTATGAACAAGTGGTCGCGAGCCGTCGAGTACGAGATTGAAGAGCTGCATAAGCAAGCCGAAGTAAGCCGATTCGTTGTCTTCAAGAAAGACAATCATCAGGGTGTTGCTACTGCATCGTGAGAATGACTTGACCGTTCTGCGACCTACTGCGGCCGAAATTTGATGTCTCACCTGCGGTCGTATTATGAAACGTAAGACTCGACATCGTCGTGCCCGAACTCCAATGCCGAGTAGAATGTTCCAACAGAGCCGCAAAATATTTAGACGTCTTAGACCATACGGCCGTAAGCTCGGCTCAATGTTTGCAAAATGTTGGTTTCAGATCTCTTCTTGTGGTTTCGGTTTTTGTGATATTGAATGATCGTGGTTGGTGTATCTCTGTCGTCTCCTATTTGTTGCTTCGTATACTAAACGCTAGTGACTTTCTGTGCTTTTTCTTGTCTGCCAGATTTTATCCGTAATCCAGTCGCAGTTTCTTCCCGGGAAAGTGTGGTGAAGAGACTGCATTTTCCACTGAAAGAGACGATTATCATCAACTTTACTTCCAGTCTGGTTCTCATATTACACCGTCGTAGACCCGTAAGGAGCTCTTCTATGATACATCCCTACGAAGCGCTCTAAAGCAGAAGAAAAATGATCTAGTCAACCTTGTTAAATTTGCAACTGGAATAGAAAGAATAAATGAATGGTGTGTCCATTGTACCTATTGTGTTGTAGTTCATAATTACGCCTCCATGTCGGTTCGATTCGCAGTCGGAGGACCCCAGTTTCGTCAATACGGCCCTAGAGTGTGCCAGAGGTCGTAAATGCTCCTTGTCGACGTATCCAGAGCTGGACCACAGGCAAGTATAGATGGGTGCCGAAGCAGCCGTGAACCGTGTCAGCGCAGCGAAGATGCACGCTAACCTGTATTCCCAATCCGCAACCCCAGCTGCATTCTGCAGAGCTCTCATGGTTGTCTTCCACAGCTATTGGTGGGGCCCAGTCTGTAATATGACCCTTAGCAAGCCACGAAATTTTTCACTTTGATCGGGCAATAACTGCCAACGTTTCATCTCGTCCTTTACAATGTGGTACAATTGAATAGTTTGTATCTTCCGGATGTTGACAATGTGACAGAAGGACCCCACCACCTTTTGATTCTTAGTACGTGGAACTCACGCTTATTACCCGTCTATGATGACACAAAAGCTCGTGAATACACCAGTTTTATTCTTCTTTCGGGCAAAGATTGATAGGAGGAGCTCAGCCTGAAAGCTCGACCACTATAGTCGGGCGTAGTGGCGTTGGTCAGGAGGCGCCTCCGTGTTGAATTTCGGTAACAATGCATAACACCGCCCGCCTCATGTACACCACCCACCGGAATCCAATCGTTATAATGGGTCTGATGTTACCCTACGACTGGGCTTGAAATTCAAACTTTCGTGCGATACAATAAAAGAGCGTGTACAGCTTCGAGCCTGGGTGAAGAAACGCAAACATTGTTTAACTCTTCCAAATTGTCAGACTTCATGACTGAGAAACTGTATGATCTCTCAATTCTTTACTGACCTTTGGTACGAGATTGTCGAGACCAGAGTAGGAACTTGTGAGGTATGCGGAAATCAAACCGTTCCTGAGGCCATGACTTCTTCGAGAGCGCGTCATAAGGCTGAGCTGGCGTTTCTCAAGTGACATGTCCCCTGGCTTTGGTGATGGGTCAGAAAATAAGCGCTCACAGTTCTGATGCTGGTCAATATTATAAGGTAGTTAATTCTCCGGGTTTTAACGGTGGTTGGCGACGGATAACTCGGTTCTTACAAACACTGATTCGATGTACGAACAGGAAACTCTCACCGACACTTTACCTGATGCTACAAAAGGGGGAATGCCGCTAAAGGCGGGTCTGATTTGCCGGTTGAAAAATTGGCCCGCTATGGGGAGGTGGCAATATGTAATAATTCAGTAAGGTCTGCCAACCAATACGGTATCTGGCTTGAACATTTGGGATTCATCTGAAACTCTGCAATATTAATGGCGGCTCTTGGTTTGTTGCGTTGTCACTTGGTAGTCTAGGTTTCACACGAAGTCGGCATGCTATGAAACTTGGAAGTCTTTAGCAAATCAATACGCGCTTGACCCCGACTTTTCCTCAACACTTAGTTCCAGCTTTAGACTAATTGCGTTTGGCGCGGATGAGGCACCGTTGGGCATCATTATTCTCATACCTTATACCAAGCCCTTATGGGTTGTTTTTGGAGAAAGTCGTTCCCTATGCTAGCTTTATGAATAAAATTGATGGCAGCGATCTCAGTGAAAACAAGCACCAAAGGGATCCGATGTGATTCAAACGTCTTAGCCATTCAAAAGATGGGCGAAGGATTTGAAAAAAGAACGCAAGGTAGAGAGCTCCTTGGTTACAATTGAGTGTCAACCTCGCAGTAGTTACCACGATCGTATCCCTCGGAGAGCATACGTTATCTACAGTGTACTAACTAAGTTGGCCTTGATGATGGTCAACCTCTGGTGCTGAACTTAAATGCCGATTCTCATAGCAAAAATACTGTAATTATTTTGCTCATCTCAACTACGTATTACAATTTGATGATAAGGGTGAGCAAAATGGACATTCATACTGAATTAGAAGTGGTATTGACGCTACAAATCAGCATATTATTGACTTTCATGGCCCTCAACAGACTCAACTTGAGGGTTATCTCATAGATCAGGCAAGTAGACATCTCCCCAAATGAGGAGATCTGAAAGCTGTCACGATTTTGAACCGGTGAAACAGCATTCAAGCTACTTCAAAAACACAATCTTAATCGGAGATCCGGAAAGAGATCAGAGATATTCTTGTTCATGGCTTAAAGTAAGATCACGAGTGCGGGTAACTTTTGACGGGAAAGATTTTGAAACGTTCTCTGAAGCTTTTGGTCACGATGTCTTCAAGTCAGTAAACAGGCGGTCAGGAAGCTACCCACTCACGATGGGAGTACAAAGCCTTGTACTATATTTGGGTTACATCGGTTGCTGTACGGAATCCTTCTTCTGCACCTCGATGAGTTCTGGTAATCATGCTGATGCATGCTCAAGGATGCGCAGGGGACCAGATCGATTTAGATCCAATGCAACCAAAGCGAAGAATTCAGCTTTAAGAGTTGTGTGCAGAGTCAGACCACTTTCATAGAACAGTATTAAGAGTTTTTCAAATCCTCAACAATGCCCTCCAATACAGATTAGATATAGACCGTGTGTCAAGAACGGAAGATCGAGGAGGCCTTAGTCTGGCTGATAAGAGACTACTGGAAGACAATGTGGCAAGGACGCTTCAGTATGGATGAAACCAATTTTGTAAGGACCCACCAGTCTGGTATTGGACGGTGCATGGCTTCGATGTGCCTGGTTCTGCATCTGCATTGCAGATGTGCAAATGTACTGATGGTCATGATAGGCTATGTTTGATTTGGAAATTGCCCGTCTATGCTGATACTCAAGATTCAAAAGTCATCATTCTAGGTGTTGTTCAAGGAATCTCTGAGCCAGTAAATTTTCGTGGTGCTGGGTAGGCTTTATGATGACTTGCTTCCAGAAGAAGGGTGACTTCTTTCCAACCCACGATTCTGTAGTTTCACTTCTCATCAGATGATCGTATACTAGGGAGAATAAGAAGATGTAAATTTCGATGGCTCATGAAGTACCGCAACCTAGACCTGGATATGTGCGTGATGTCGGTAATTAAGGTTATTTAGTCGGCTTCGTTTGCCTCAGAAACGGTTAAATGTGGCACAAGATGTTGTCATTTTGCAAGGACTCCAAATCAAAAACCTTGTCAAGCTTGTATGAGAGTGACTACCTTCTGAGCAGAGCTACAAAAGTCTAAATAGCTCTCGCTAATCACCTTGTCTAGATCACCAACATCGGCATGTTTGCAGTTTATGTTATATGCTCGAAAGTGGTTTGAAACATCATGTAGAGTCCACAAATCAACAACCAAGCCTATCTAGGCATTTGATGATCCACATCGAATGGTCTCTGCATCAAATGTCGATCATGTTGGTCCTGATGGAAGTAGGGGTAATACGAGTGCGCAGGGAACTAGGTGTACGCTACTGTAAGGTACCGGCACAGCTTACAGACCCCCTTCAAGGGACCAGAGTCGACTTAATTTGAACACACAACAACCTCAAATACCCACGGTCTAGATGTTCTCCACTTGAACTTTCTTTGTTAATTCTGCTTTAAATTCGAGACCAAAGCAATTCAAACACTACGGCTTTTCCAAATCTTACTGTTCTTTTACTCGCAGCCTTTCCTGCCAATCTACACACTATGCATATCAGGTGTACCAAACGCCAATCTTTCAAGGGTTCTAGAGTCATCAAACTTAGAGGTACCCATTACAAAATCACAATGAGTGAAAAGCAACTGACCAATGTCTCAGCGCCACTCATTCCAAGTTCAACGATTAATACCCTTCCATCAGTGATTGTCTCCGGCTCATCTGCTTCTTCTGCCACCGACACAGGCAAAAATGACAGTGTCGTAATAGTAATGGGCATATTGGCCGCTATCACAGCCCTTTGCATTACTGTAGTTATAGGCTTGTGCGTCTATAGCGCTCTGAAACTCTTTCTGGTTAAACGCAGTCAGCCAGAGACTTCAAACAGCGGAGGAGTAGTCTTACCTGCACGTCCGAGATTTCCGCCACAGAGTATCATAATGAATACGGCCGACACCCAGCAATGCCAATGCCGACTATCCCTCAGTACTCGTCACAACACCAGGAGCCCTAGAAATTTTGAGCCTTCCCGAAGTGTAAGTGACATGGTGCCCACTTTCGTCACTAACAGCTGACATTATCAACAGATACATTCCGACGAATTCCAACGCTATGCCTTATTATATGAGCAATCAAAGCCTGAACTAGAGCAGAACTGTTTCGTTGTTCTCGATAGTGGCTGTTGCCACTCAAACTGGGTTTCACGCAGTATTGCTCAAAAATGCGGCGCAGAAATAAGTGATATCGAGCCGCTTCCGTTTCATACGATCAGTAATGAGACATTTTGGGCGAAAGAAGAAGTCCGACTTTGGATCCGTGACAGAAATGATGTACCCATCACACAGGGTCGATCTTTGATATTTTTCATACTTCCACTTAATTCGGATTGTGAAGTCATCATCGGAAAGGATGACATGATCAAGCAAGCCTCTAAAAAACGCATGGTTCTCGGTACCAGATTCGGGAAGGCCACTGACAGTGAGTTATATGATCTACATTCAAAAAAGAGTGAAAGCAGAATATTGACGTCACCTAGAGCCCAAAACCTCAGCCGACAAAAAGCTAAACAAGAATGATAAAGCTGCTAAGCATCACGAAGAGGCTCGGAGAGCGGTGGAAACGGCATCCAGTAGTGCCAAACCCAAAGATCAGAAGAGCAAAGATTCTGGGAAAAAACGATAATTGAGAGAAGCGGTCAATAAAGAAACCCAAAATATCTCACGAGGCTGTCAATTCATGGGACTGCCAGACTGCCAGACTGCCAGAAGGGGTGGCATCGAAAGCGCATAATTTTTGTGGGCGAGCACAGGGCTGGTCCCAATGTTAATGTTGATAATTTGGGAGGTACAGATTGAGGTTTCGTGATCATTATTGTATTAATATGTAACAAAATCTTTTCTATGTTTCTTTTAGCATAATCGCAACGCTTGGGAGCAAAAGTTGATTTCTCATACCTGATAAAAGTGACCGATGTGCTTCATACGTTTTCGGATTTTATTGTGCTGCCGACGAAGACCACCTGCACCGCCGCAAAGCTGTCAAAAGACTGTCAGCATGAATCAATCAGTGTGATACGGTTATTGAATGGGTGGCATCTACGCTGCAGTTCCTGCAAACACCTCTGCTTTTCTCGCGCTTGTCAATAAACTCAAAATCAAGCTAAAGGTCGTTGTAAACGCAGCAATTATTGCGAGTCTTGCTCTCATTTCTTTCACAAAGTAGAGGATCAAAATGCTGGAGATAAGCCACGAACTGGATATGAGAGACCCGACCATATTTGCCAGCCGTATGAAGTTTCCCTCGTTATAGTAGTAGACTTTTCTCGATTCGTGGCCGATCTCAAGATCCGCAAGGTTTGATTTCGATCTCGAATGCTTCAATCGTTCAAGCAAGTGAATGTTCACTTTGTGGTATATATTGAGGACGACGTTCGAAAAGAAAGCGGAAAGAGGATCTGGTTCATCGGGAGGAGCAAGCGCCAACAGTGAAGTGCGAGATGTTTCTCCAGAGTACACATTACGATCAACTCCCAGCAATGGACCGTCGCCTAGATCTTCGTCTCGAAACCATTTCGTACAAAGATTGAAACTCTTCAGTGTTGGGGACGGCTGCGCATAAGTATCTTTGAGTAAGCTAATCATCAAATCTGATTGCGGTCAAGTCTCTTCGGATAGACACACGCATGTGGCAATCATTGAACTTACTATATTCTTTCAGTTTTTCCCTCGCGCTAAGCATCGTTTGCCATACCGGAAGAGTCGAATCCATCGTCTTCAAAAAGAACCAGTCTCTTCGTGGATCGATACTGGGGAGAGTGGATCTATCATCATGATTGACGTTTGAGGAGCTGATGTTGTAGGACCTCGAGAAGATAGAGCTTCTTGACTCAGAGGCTGTGGCACTGTCATTCACGATATCGTCTTTCGATCCAACATCCGAACGATGGCGTCTGCGAAGTCCATAGCTGAATCTACCATCGATCATAGAAATAGCATCAGTTATGTCCATCTCTGTGGCCCCCATACCTTGCTCGGCTTGCTGGCTATGCTCTTGCCTGGGTTCCCGTTCGGCCATAGTCTGCTTCAAGTCCCCAAGTGCTTCCTTGACACTTTCCTCGTAGCCTTTGATCTCAGCTTGTAAACCTAGCAAGTTTAGGATATTCATGTATTCAAACCGTTCACACATCGCCATGTCTCTGTGAGACGCCATAAACTCCGCAACTTTGTGATAACCTGTCGACATTGATCAAGGATCTAGTAAGGTGGAATACTACAAAATTTGAAATTAAAGATATTTTCGAACGCCCCACGCATGCAGAGTTAGAGCAGAATCCCGTATGAAAGATTAAAAATCAAGAAACGAGATCGAGTAGGGCGCGCACGGATAAAGGTTGCATCCATCGTGATCACTATGCACGAAAGAATTGCGCTCACAGAAGCATTCGCTGATTGTGCATATTGACTTCGCCAACTGAGACTCGATCGGGCGAAATCTAGGGCGGACACATCAGGCTTTGGAAAAGGGTGGTTACACATAATCATGGAGAGACTGTACGCCACCAGAGCCTTCCTTAAACATAGAAGGAAAATCGGTTGAACTATCTCGACATAGCACCTTTCAAATAGTATGAAAATTCAATAAGGTGTATTGGACAGGTTCGTGTTGATATTCGTATCTCGCTAAGGAAAAAAAACAAAAGGGGGGCTGGGGGCGGCTCGGTTGGCGGGCCGAAATTGGGGCCTGTCGCTCGGCCGAAACGCTATGCCCAGCAACCGCATTCGGGAACCTGCGAGGCTTCAGGGCTGCACATTAATTGTGCCCAAGGCAGATTTCTCAATAACCACAGACACGACAACATTTACTCCCCACTGTGTTTACCAACAACTGGAGGCATCATGGGGTCATTCACATCCCAGTATTGGTCTCCTCGTGCAACCTCCCATGGCACTTTGACATCGTAAGGCATCTTGTAGGGCGGAAAATCTGGAAACTTTTCAATCAATACCTTCGCCAACTCTTCCCAGACGACGTGGTAGCCTTTCGGGGTTAAATGCAGTCCTATACAATGATTAGCCCAGATCAATCTTGCTCTTATGGCACCTTGCTGACCATCCGATAACAGGCTTGCCAGAACCTCGTTCTTTCCAAGTTTCCTCGTCCCTGGAAGTTCCCCCTCGCCGTCCCATCCTGCCATCGACATGAACCTACTCCAAATGTCCACAACAGGTACACCAGTGATTATACCGACTTCTTTCACAGCTTCGGTGTACAACTTGATACCAGAGGCTTCTCGGCCTTGCTCGAAGTTCCCCGCGGCGTCGCGTTTGCCACTCTCGAACAAGAGCGTTTCATCTACTGGAGGAGGGGTTATCAGAATGATATTGGGTTCGTGAGCGGTGACGGCACGATGCGAGATTAAGTCGCCAAGATTGAATTTGAATCGATCCACAGGGACGTATTGTGGGATGGATCCGATGGGATTGCAATCATTTCCGCCAAACCACACAGTCTGCCTTTATGGTTAAAATCAATCAAGAGACGCAGGCAACCAGCCTACCAAAAAGCGGACCGAAGCTTGCTGCGGCGTGGGCAAAATGTCATTCAGAACGAGCAGGATATGATCGGTGTTGTATCCGCTGTGCCTTGGCGTAAGTGTACAGCCATGGGTGAGTGGATACATTACGCTCACGAGAAGCCTCGATTCACGACATCCAGCCTTCTTACGTAGGCTAGGAGATGTCAGCTAGGTCTTAGTTTCCAAAGCTAGGTCGAAACACTGCTCAGAACCTACCATCTTGCAATTTGGGCGCTAGTGCGAAGCCATTTTCCTGCGAGTTTGATTGCTGGGTTAGGCTGTCACCTACTCATGTATCAGTACGTTAGATAATGCTTGATTTAATGCTGTGGGGCTTACCTAACATAACGAACTGGCCAAGTGGCGCCTTGGAATATTCAGTAAATAAGCATTCTCAGGCATAGTTCTGTGATGCTTACCATATTTTCTGGGCTTTCCTATTTGCAATTAAGGTATAGTAAACACAGGACAATCTGATTTGGTATGCTATCCAAGATGAACATAAATTCTTGAAACTGAAGAGTGGGCGGCGTTTTTGTATTTAGCCGGTTCCAGGGATGAGTGCCTCAACCAATCATACTCTCATTCACCGAGTCCAGCCCGAGCCTGAAGTGCACTACGGGTCTGCCAAACTGAACAGTTGAGCGTCAAGGAATCTTCTCCTAGCCTACTTTGAATGCAAACTGGGTGGTCGTGGAAAATGGAAAAGATGAAGATAGGGTAAATCCCACAACAAATATAATTCTACCCTAATAAATTGAGTTTTGGGGCAGTTTGCGGTCCCATCCTCTCCACGTGGGCCTTGCAATCACGATCTCGCCTATTCATTTTCTCATATTTACGGTTGTTCCTTAGATTTAGCACACTTCTTCTTTTTACCAGACGACTACATCATTACTTCTTTTTTGCTTGGTAAGGACTGAGTGCCTGATCACTCATTGCTTGGCTCATCTTCGTATTGTGGCATCTCTGAATATTTTGTTGTATAAGTCAGAAGTGAGTAATTTTGGATATGTCAATGATTATACTAACCCTTGTATTTTATATTTTGATAAGCTACAAGGTTCTCAGTAAATATAGGAACGTTTCGTCTAGGCTTACGAGGAGCGTGCCGAAACTCATTCATTGCCGTCACTCGGAATTTGTACATACAGTGTCCTTCATTTTTGCGCTGTTGCAATATTGGCAACCATGCGAATCATATGCACACCTCCTTCCACCTTACGTTCCTGAGAGTTACGCAACTCCTCAACGATACAATCCAAAGCCTCATCCCACTTATCTTCATCTCGTTGCTTCCAGCCCCCGACAGGCGTAGCTAAAAAGGTCCAGGCAATAGTCGCCCATCGTCTCAAGTCAACGCCAAGCTTCAGGTAAGCATCCATCTCAAGAAAATTTACGTTCTTCCAGCCAGCTTCTTGTACCACTTGCTCCAGCTTCTCTTTTTTGTGCCATGCCTTACTCAAGAAAGGTGGTAGTGGCTCGTCGTCGCCACGAGTCTTGTGGTGTGCCTTCTCGAGCGCTGCATGCCATGGCATGTCTTTCCACACGGCAATGACACCGGTAGCTCCTGGCTTCAAAGTCCTTAAAATATGCGATGCAGCAGCAACATCATCAGTCAAGCCTGCGAAAAGGAAGTTGCTTATGGAAAGATCAAAGGTATTGTCGGCAAACGTGAGTTTTTGAGCATCCATAGACTCGGCTTTGACCGGCCATGTGGGGTTCTGCTTGAGTTTCGCCTGCAGCTGGGTGAGAAACATGGGATTGATATCGGTAGCTTGAACTTGGATATCAGCTGGCAATTCCGTCTCCATGAGGGCAATCGTTACAGCTCCATAGCCACAACCGTTATCGTGGACTACAGAAGATTTCTTAAGAGGTGGGAGTTCTTTGATTAGCTTTCCAGCGATGGCTTCGCTAATGTCGCCTTGTAGCTCTTGCAGAAGAGCGCCGTCAAAGTCGAGAGCCTGCTTTGGCTTGAAAGGTGTAGTCATTGTGATGGGAATGAGATGTTTGAGTACTTGAAGACTGAAGACTGTGAAGCACAAGGACGAATTGAGGAGACTGAAGCATAAATAAAGAAGCGTTCTATCAAGACTTTATAAAACAATGTGTAAAGCGAGCGAGTACTGAAACAGAAATACCCAAGAAGCGGTGAACTTGAAGTACGTAAAGCATGGTCACCAAGCTTGCGATTCCAAGCCCATCATTATCCCAAAATGAATAATAGACCTTTCTATACATGATGCTGGACTCCCTTACCATGATTGATAATCAAGTGTTGAATGCCTTCATGAGAGCCGGCGGGACAATAAAATCGGGTTGTAGATTGTATTGGTCAGTTCGTATGTGTAAACGCATGGGAAGTTGTTGATCAGAACGCGTATTACATTGAGAAGATACACTGCCGCAGCGTACTCATTCCTATCGGAGACTTTGAAGGAGACTTTTCGGTAAAGTTCGAACCCTTGGTACCTTTCGTACGTACACTTTAGCAACCATCCTGAGTTGAATTAGAGAGGTCCTTTCGAAATATTTCGGGGCGACAAGTAATGTAATTTACTGTACGAAAGCCTTCATTTCTAGGTTGATAGGTTATCCAGTTGAGAAAGCCGAGAAATAGCTACCAGTATCTGCATTAACCTGGAATTTGCACTAAGCTTTCGCTCAAACATGGCCCCACTGTTAAGTTCTGGTCCCTCATTGTACACCGCCTTGGCAGAAAAAGTTGAACCCTTTGCTTTCTCGATCTAGGAAGTAATTTTCACTTAATGTGCAGAATGGTACTTACCTGCAACTTGTATTTGAATCTTTAGCATCTTCAGTCTTTGATGGTTTCCAAAAGTCCATCAGTTACGATACTTTGTATAAACAACCGGTACCACTAGCCTTCTGAGCGCAAAGGAACGACGAAGCAACAAAACGTGGAACAGGAGATTCAACTCCAGTTCACAACGAACATTTTCACGATTGCAATCATATAATCTTTCGCATAAATGCCGAAACAAAAACCGCCCAAAGGCGCATCTGCCGCTGCACCTTCGACATCCATTGACGATGCACGATTCTCCAATTTCAGTACCGACCCTCGATTCCGCTTGCCTTCAAAGAAGCATACACGCACAAAGATCGATAAGCGTTTCTCGCGCATGCTTCAAGATGAAGATTTCTCGAATACAGCAAAGGTCGATCGATATGGACGCAAGCTGAGTAGTGCGGGCAAGAAGAAGGCTCTGGAAAGGCTTTATGTGCCGGACGAGGAGGAAGCCGAGGAGGAAGAAGAGATTGAAGGAGATATAGAGGTAGAAGATGACGACATTGTTGAGGCACAATTGAAGAATGCGGACGCAAAATACGATGCTGCAAGAGGTGGGGGATTTTCCTCCTCGGACGATGAAGATGAGGAGGAAGACGAAGAAGATGGTGGGGTCGAAATTGAGGAGGCAGAATTTCCGGATATGCAAGCTGAACAAGCGGGTGTCGAAATGGGAGAAGTCACGTCAAGATTTGCAGCTGTAAATTTGGATTGGGACAACATACGATCATCAGATTTAATGGCAGTTTTCTCAAGCTTTGTTAGACCAGGCGGGAAGATACATAAGATTTCGATATACCCTAGCGAATTTGGCAAAGAGAGAATGGAGCGAGAAGAGCTTGAGGGACCTCCGAAAGAAATTTTCACACAAAAGCAAGCGGAGGAAGAGGAATGGGAATCGGACTCGGAAGACAGTGAGGATGATGAGGAATTGGATGAGGAAATCAAGAAGGACTTGCAAAGGGAAGATGGAGGGGAAGATTTTGATGGAGCTGCGTTACGACAGTACCAGCTTGAGCGGTTGCGCTATTACTACGCTGTTGTCGAATGCTCGGACAAGGCTACAGCGCAGAAGATCTACGAGTCGACTGATGGCGCCGAGTACCTCTCCTCAGCAAACTTCTTTGATCTTCGGTTTATTCCTGACGGAGTGGACTTTGACGACAAGCCTCGAGATGAATGTGATGCTGTCCCCCCTGGATATCGGCCAACGGAATTCGTAACGGATGCTTTACAACACTCCAAAGTCAAATTGACTTGGGATATGGACCCTGAGGAGGCTACCCGAAAAGACGCCATTAGACGTGCGTTTACGGGTAGTCGAGCCGAGATTGGAGAAAACGACCTGCGAGCATATTTGGGAAGTGATTCAGAAGATGGGTCGGACCATGAAGTCGAGGTCGTTGAAGAAGGAAAGATCGATGAGGAAGTATCTGAAGCGCCAAAACTTACTAAAAAGGAGTTGGCAAGGCAGAAAATGCGGGCCGCCCTTGGTCTAACGGATGAACCTACACCATCTTCGAAGAAGAAGAAGTCATCAGCGCCAGTTGGTGACATGGAAATCACGTTCACGTCAGGTCTCACATCCGAAAGATCTGGTAACGGCGTCTTTGAGAATGAGCCCATCATTGAGGAGACTACGGCGGAAGCATACGTCCGAAAGGAAAAGGAGCGAAAGGCTAGGAGAAAGGAGAAAAACAAAGCAAAGCGTGATCCCAACGCTGTGGCTGAACCTACCCCCGAAGCGGAAGCTGAAGCAGAGAATGATGACCTCGGATTCAACGACCCATTCTTTGCTGCTGGTGAAGCTCAAGCGAAGGTTGAGAAGCCCAAGAGCGAGAAGAAAGCAGAGCGTCTTGCTCGCCGAGCGGCAAAGGAAGCTGAGTCTGCTGCGAAAGCCGCCGAAAAATCACAACTTGAATTGCTTATGCAACCTACAACATCTGAGGAGATTGCCAATCAGAACCTCGACCACTTCGACATTAACGAAATCGCCAGAGCCGAGAAGAGAGCGAAGAAGTCCGGAAAATCAAAGAAGTCTAAAACCGCCTTAGGAGAGGATGGTAGCAAGCGGGGTGGCCTGCAAAAGGGGTTCAGCATGGATGTTGCTGATGAAAGATTTGCCGGCCGTCTTTTTGGGAACCATGAATTCGCTATTGATCCATCCAACCCAAAATTCAAGGGTACTGAGGGTATGAAGAAGCTTTTGGAGGAAGGTCGAAAAGTTAGGGGTGGTGATGAGGCAGCTCTTGAAGTCGATGTGGTCCCGAAGAAGGAGAAAAAGCGGAAGGTTGACGATGTAGCGGGCAAGGAATCACTGAATAGCCTTGTTGAAAGTTTCAAGAAGAAGAGTAAGAGGTAATCAAAAGTTGAATCGAAAAATCATATTTCCAGCAGGCATTCTTTTAGATTCAAGTGATTTACTGAACAAGCGAACTACGGTTCTTTTGGGGGAGGATATTGTATGAGTCCTTGGAATCTAGATTCCAAAATTCCACGACATCTTTGTCTCGTGCGTCTAGTATTAGTCACTTCACCGCCAGGCCTGAAGGTCTCGAATCGAGCGGGCCGAGCCGGGCAAGGGTGGGGTTTTCTTACTAAAGCAAAATTTACTTCCAACTCACCCTCATACACATACCTATAACAACAGTATAATTAGCACGTTCTCCTATTTAAACATCTTTTGCTCTTATCAAGTAGAATCATTGTATCTCCTAAATTAAAAATGTCACCTCCACCACCGATCTCAGAATCTGACCCTCTCCTCGACAACTCACAACCACGACCACAACCATGGTACAAAACCACTTTCGAAAACAACAAAGGTGCCCTCTTGATCCTCTGTGCCGAACTTTTCGGTTCATCAATGGATGCAATGGCCCGATTTCTCCAACAGGGTGATCATCAAATGCATCCTTTCCAAGTATTTGCCCTCAAAAAATCCCGTCCCAAAAGACGATATGACTAATACGAAACTAGGTCATTGTATTTCGAATGGGCATCACATTTATCCTAAGCAGTGCATACATGTGGTACACCAAAGTCCCAGACTTTCCATTCGGCGCCCCAGCAGTTCGACCCTGGTTGGTCCAACGTGCCTGCTTCGGATTCGGAGGATTATTCTGTCTCTATTGTACTTTGCCTCCCCTTTCCTCACCAAAGCACCGTTAACACAACAATAGACTCAGTACACTACCTGCCTCTAGCTGAAGCAACAGTCTTCCGCTTCCTCGTTCCCATCTGTACCGCTCTAGCGTGTTCGCTCTTCCTCTCAGAACGCTTCACCCTCCAAGAGTTCATCGCTGGTCTCATCGCCTTAGCTGGTGTCATCATCATCGCTCATCCCGCCTTCATCTTTGGCTCAGACATCGACCCTTCAAAGCTCAACATCCTGAAAGCCGGAGATGTGGACAAAGTAACACCAGCTCAACGCCTCATCGCCATAGCCGTCTCCCTTATAGGAGTCTTCGGTGCAGCAGGAGCTTATACGACCATCCGTGTCATCGGTAACCGCGCCCACGCGCTCATGTCCGTCAACTACTTCGCCTTTCTCTCGACTGTAGTTTCTACCTTATTCCTGCTTTTCACACCCGGCATCTCATTCATCATGCCTCACGGCGCTAAAGAATGGGTTCTCCTGATTCTCCTGGGTATCTGGGGATTTATCCTACAATTCTTACTCACGGCCGGATTGCAACTTGATCGAACCAGTAAAGCGACAAGCATGTTGTATACACAGATTCTGATGGCGTTGGGATTCGATTGGGCGATTTGGGGTGTGTTGCCTGGTGCATGGAGTATCTTTGGTGGTGTGATAGTGATTGGAAGTACGCTTTGGAGTGCGCTGCATAAGCCAACAGTTGCTAAAGTTCCTGGCAAGAGTGTGGATGAGGAGAGTGCGTTACTTGGCACGCAGACTGACGGGAGTGAGGAGGCTGTGAGGAGGGGGAGTGTTGGTGTTTAGTTGTGAGTCGTCAAAGGCTGAAATTGTACACGATATTACAGTATCATTCATCCTAATACCTCTTTGAATTCTGTGACAATTTGAAAGAAAAGAGGATCGCAGACTCCACGTAGCGGCTCAGACTTGTGTTCATATCCGCATCACGATGGTTTACCTCTTAATCATTCTTGATAGAGTACGATATTCTCATCGGTGCGGCTTGAAGATTAATAAAACACATCGATTTCCCTACATCTCGCATATTTGTCTATAGAATTTCTAAATATACACCCCAAAAACTCCCAACCACAAACATTCTAAACCACACCATTTCACGAACTATGTATCTCAATCTCCATCCCAACATCCAATAATCCTGTTTTACAAATATGAAAAAGAAATGTTTCTGTCCCCCCACAAGCTTCTGACCAAAAGGAAAGTATAACCCCAGCGAACAACAAAAACCAGATCTGTAATCCCGGTACATCAGGTTTAATTTCCAGAGCTATAGATATCCACATCGCGCATTAGCTCATTCAAGTTCTTTGTAATTTATCTTGGTCTTTTCTGTCAGTCCTAGACTGACCGAAACCTCTGTAGACTGAGCGATGCCAATGGATTATATCATGCCGATGATGTCGATAAGCTATTTCCAACCAGTGATTCTGGGCGCAGATAGCGATTGGATGTCAACCATAATAGCTTGTGTATATTCGCACGCAGCTTCGCGATCTTCACCCACGTGAAGCCATTTATGAGTATTAATTTTCCCAAAATCGATCTCGATAGGAGCCTCCAAGGTTTTGTTTGCGTCGGCTGAGAGAGATATTTTATGAGTGGGAGATCTGCCCGCGCACTCGATATATTTGTATTCTATAGTGATCAGGTTACCATTGTGAGCGACATACCAGAGGGGATAATTTACTTTCAATGTGTTCAGGCCTAATTGTATGGACAAAGAACTCGTAATTTTTGTAAATGATGAACGGATGGGTGTTTGAACGACCTGGTTCACCGACATCACCTTCAACCCCCCATGTAACATGTTTGGTGTGCCAGTATTCCTTGCCCTCATCAATGCATTCATCAGGACCCATTTTTTTCATTTTTTTCATGAATCTTGGGGAAGTGAGGATGGTCCTTCAGACATTTCGTGTCGTTGTCTTAGATGTATAATAGCAAGGTGATGTTCGTAGTTGGAACTGTGAAAGAAAGACGTTGTTGGGATCCAGACTTCTACTTGAGCTCAAGTGTGTATGATGGTCAAAGTGAGGTAAAAGAAAAAGGGCAAAATGAGCAGGAAGCCGGAATTTATTGATTTCAAACCAACATCTTCTTATTCACATACTGTTGAACATGTGGTGTTTTATCATTAGCCATGACCACAAAGAGAAAATGTTGGAAACTCACAACTAACATATGGGGTTTTGTCATTAGACCGGTGACCAGTGTGACCACAAGGAGAAACTTTTGGATATTCATAACCAACACATGAATACCCGGTGCTAAAATTGACTCAGAGATTCAAAGACACTCGGTCAACATGTGGAAGGTGAAAGGAATGATTTTCTAGACATATGGCGGAAAGAAAGCATCCTCTGTTGCCAACGAGTACCAAGAATCATAAATGCTGAGTGTGATCAGCGCATATGAGATTACCAAAATCCACTCATACTTGGGAACATTGAATTCACTGCCAATCTCAACAGTGCTGGCACTGCAGAATATCGTGGGAAATTCCAAAATTTATTCCTGAGGTCATCTCGCACACCGTATCTCAGTTCAGATCAACTCATCAACTTTTGTTCAGTCTTCAACTTGACCCTTGATTCAGAGCATCTAAAAAGGACTTGAGGCACAGAAAGTATACCCACAACGAAAGGTCGTCGGTTGTAGAACCCACTCTACTTCATCTTTAACCTTCGGACAGAAGGTCGACCCTGCCAAAATTACAATTCGAGGGCGAGCCGAGGATCCCATGACCCACTTCTAATACCCAAGTGGTCTGTTCCTATACTTTACAGCAATTCCTTTACTCTCAGTATAAGTTTACTCATCTTCAAGCTCTCATCAGAGGACTAGCCATATCAAACGACAGATCTAACGGCGTATCAATATGTTCGATCTCCCATCAGAAGACTGATCATATCGAACGACAGATCTGAATACTCATTATTACAAAGGACATACGCACTATTTTACACATTACCGAGTTTCAGGTATGTCGCCAGCTTGAGGCGATCGATAATATTCGTTTTACTCTGGTTTCTAGCTAATACATTGCAGATAGCGAAAATGACCAACCCCACCCCCCAAGTCAAGTTCGTGCCTGTATCCACTTGGCTCAAATACAATCCATTTTCAATTACTATCGACGAACAATATTACGACAAAGCCGAAGACATTGTGGCAGAATTAGCTTGGCGTAATGATAATGCTCTTACACTAGCAGTATATGATAAGATCATGTTCGAAGGGAGGAGATTTGAGCGTAAGCGTGAGGAGGAAGAGATCATACATTTGCATCAATGTCTCATCCAACTCAGACGTCTCGATATCCCCGAAAATCTTAGAGAATTTGAAAGTGAGCAGCCACGCTTCGTATCACGATTAGCAGATATTTATAAAACAGCCGATCCAAGGATCAAGTATATTGCGCAAATCACGCTGAAGTGGTTTTCGCGACGAGGACAAAAATTTGTCAAAACGCATTTAAACCTCAACCAGGAAAACTCAATTTCTTATCATTCTTGCCGACATCTCCATAGGATTTCCCAAAATTTCGACGTTGTCCAGGCTATCAAGTTAATCAATCTAAGTACAATGACCAGGCTGTCCAGGCAGAAGAATACGCGACGAGGAAGAACAGCTAAATCTTTCACACCGGGCGACGTGAAAATGGCGGCGGGGCTGCTCAAAGCGTATAACAATGAGAGACCACCGCCAGGGTTGAGATTAAGTCAACTTGCACGGGCGGGCGTGGTTTTTGGATCAGACGGACTGCTTGTTCCAAGCACAGAAAAATGCAAAATCGAAGCGTACAATGACGAAACAACATTGTTAATTTGTCACCTCTTGGATTCGGATGGCCTCCAAGGATGAGCTTCTTCGTCATTGATTCCTAGGCCTGGGCTCAATAATCACGAGGCCACTGAATTGGATAGTCTTGAAGGAGGAGCCTCTTCATCATTGAGCCATGGGGCTGGGCTCGAAAATCCCAAGGCCGCCAAATTAGATAATGACACAGCCCAGGGTATCAACAAATCGACACTTACCAAACGAAAAGCAACCACTGAAGATCGAAGTCCCTCTCATAAGAGGCAAAACAGCAAGTAGATAGCGGGTGGTGATGTGGGAGAGGATCTGGTCAAGATAATATTGAAGAAGAGTCTGAGTGACACGACAACATAGTACTTTCCGCGATTCTTTGACGAATTTTTTATCAAAAGTGTGGTCTAGTTCAGGGTCTGGATGAATAGGGATCTGGGTTTTTACTTTGACGATGATTTGAACAGAGGTGGGGGGCCTTAAATTGCTGACAGGTTTACTATGGAATATCATTTAGTTGCAGGATGGATTTCGATTTCTGGCGGGGATGCTAGCTATTAACCATGGAGTATTGATTCGAGGGTGCGGGAAAATAAGTTATTATTTACGTACGTTCTGCAATTATCGTAAATATCTCCGAATTATTCACTTTTCAGAGCAACACGTGCTATAATTTGAATTTGGTAAAGTTTCACCTACAGCTAACGTGGAACGTATGTGGACTAAAGTTTTCCATATAGATTCTAGTGCCTCAGAAATCACACGGACATAACAACATTCAGATGATAAAGAGAGAAGAGAGGATTTGATTTCTTCAGAGAGCGGGAGAGATTTTACTCAACGTGTAATTACGAAAATTGATAAATGGTCATGCGGCGGTAGATTTCTTTCGAAAACTCTATCACGTTTTTGTATAGCTCAAAATCAAGTTTGGACTTAATCATGAGTTCCACGGAAGTACGCAACCACACAGATTCAGACAGTAATTTCGCAAGCTCAAAATTCCTTTTTTCAATGATTTGTCTATACCGTAAGATGTTTTGAAGAAGTTGAGTGTGTGAAAAGTATCGATGTTTCTATTTTCATACATCGAAATCCTCGACCAAATTTGACTTTTCTATCCAGTTTATCTGACAACCCGATCCCGCACCATGCTAAGCGCCTACCCCAGTCCCCGGAAGACGTCGTCATCAATTGAGATGTCTAAAGGAGAGTAAGTGAGCAGAGCTCGTACGAGGTATATATACAGGGGTATATGGAACTAAGCCGATAGAAGATTACACGTGATTTTAAGTCAACAGACTGTCATTTATAGAAAGCCTGATAACCCGATCCCGCACTATATCAGACGGTCATTATCTCCCAAATATGTCTCGGCCATTGTTTAGACATTCCGCAAGCTAATTGAACAACCTGGAAATAAGTATCTTTTATATCTTCCACACTCAGATTTGATTCAGACCACTATCCCTGCATGAAGAAGGGTCACTATAATTTTCTCCTTGAAATTGACTAAACCGAGAAAACTCTACACTATTCTCAATGTTGCGAGCTTTAAGTTGCTCATAGTCCAATATTTTTTGCTCGTCCACTTTGGCTTTGGTGGGATCCTGTGCACTCTGACTGGACTCAAGCTCATTTTCAACCTTGGTAGCAGGTAGCAAGTGGCCTTTAATCTCTGTAAGTATCACCCGAGTATAGGTCCTCTTATCACGGCGGTCGCGAAGCACATTTCGCCAATATTTGTCGAAGTGGTATTCAAAATCGATTTCGCTCTTTGGAATGTTAGAAAGTTTCTTCTCCCTTCTATCTATGGACAGAAGAACACCGTTTTCCACGCCTGGGCACGGAAAAGGGTCAAACGCTGTTTGTAGCATGTGATTGATTATCAAAATGAATAGAAGAGTCCGATCTACCTTCTAATTGTGTCTCTACAAGATAGAGTACGTCTATGTTGTCTTCCTTGGCGACATAGACGATATGTGGGTGAATCTTCTGTACTCAGAAATCTCGCCTTCTCTTCCGACTTCTTGGTTTCGTCTTCCGCATCAGGAAATTCATCCAATATCTCGATGAACGAATCTGCGTCCACTTCTTGTCAAAATTATTTATACTATTATTATTTGTATTGCGTTAACAATCTTATTTACTCCCCTAGGAAGATCAAATATAAACTTTACTATTTTTATCGTCTGATATAACATGGGGTTAAAAAGTTTTGTGTTTGAGATTGTTTTGCGTTTGCGTCGTAAAGCTAATGCATCCTTGCTGGATTAGTGTACAAGCACACATATTCCAACTATGTGTAACATCTATCTTTTTTGTTACATTGTTACATTTTCCACAGCTTTAAACATTACTACACGTGCGGTGAAATCTTGTGATTGGGTTTTTGGTTTAGGTTCTGGCGGCCTTTTTATCATATCTGTTTTTAGTCCGGATTTAGAAGGAGGTCACAGCTCGACTAGAAAAAGGTAATGTAGGTAAATAGTGTCTACTGGTAAGGGAATCTGTATAACTGGACCTGGGAATTTGAGCGATGAGACGGACATTCATGATGATCAACGGATTTGAGTCTGTTCATCCATCGGAAGTGATGTGATTAAAAAGATATGTTGTGTTTTAAAAGAAGTGATGTGGTTCGATGAAAGGGATTGATTTGTACTAAAATGATGTCATCCAACCAAAGTAGCGTCGCAACGGGAAGAAATGTTATTCAAACTCAACTGCATTTGATTCACAGCCCTTTGGAAGAACGCAGTATAAATCCGTGCTAGGAGCTTCCCTCTTCTCAAGTAGTTCCTCACAATAACACATCAATAGGACACTAGATAAGACCCCCCATATAATGCTGCCCAAAAAAAAATCACCCAGGGCTATAAACCATACAGCCGGCCAGAACTGCAGCTCTTGTTAGATGCCTTGGCTGTTCATGACGAATGCGAATCCTTCTCCTTGGACGACATCACCGATTTGTTTTCCTCAGAGTTCAAGACTTCCGGAAACAACCAAAGGGCTAGAGATAAACTGCGTAGCATGTGCCAAGACTATGGGGAGGAAATGATCGCAAAGGTCGGTCCTGGCAAGGCTGTCCGCTTCTGTGTTTACCTGGCTGATATCAGGCCTGCCTATATCCTAAGCAGATACAGGTACGTGATGGCGGCAAGTTTTCGATATGTCGATGCGGATTGTATGTATACCAAGCGCATCTCCGCGAAATATCGTGTACGTCCCGGCGACATAGCCTCGAACTAAAGCGACGAGTTGCATTCGACCTCAACCAGAGTCTGGGACGCACATGAAGAGGTGAAGTTGAGGAATATCATGGCCACATACCCAAGAGAAACTCCGGGAGGTATAGCAGAACTCCTAGCTCAGCAGACGGGTTTCGACTACGATGCGCACGCGTTGACGAATTATTGGAAACGAAACAGCCGTCGGATCATTGCCGCCATCTATATCAACGGTGTCGAAGTAAAACACAAGCGATCTTGAATAATCGTCTACTCCCATAAGCTTGAGACAATGTTAATATTCAGAGTAGCCACGAAGCGATGTATATAGAGATGAGTAGCCGTGTAGAGATGATTCTTGTCGGCGGACACAAGGTCACTTCATTGGCTAGGCATGTAAAGTAGTCCCGATTGAGCAGTCACGTGGCGTCACACCAAGGTTACCTGAGCCAGCCAGGCTCAGGTCTACCTTCACAATCACTGAGTTATATTTTACATTTTATCCCCATATCACGAGGGATTACCGTGTATTACGGGCTAGTCTTTATAGAGCGTCGTTGTCGAGTAGTGTAAAATACTCAAAATCGGAATTTCGCTTATCGCGAGAGGGTTCAAGGTTTTCGGTAAAAAATAGTTTGCACTACCGTCGGTTTATCAGAAATAGGGTCCCATTACTTGCACGGCAGATATTAGAGTAGAAAATAAATAGATTAATCTACGTTTTTGTTGTACCTCGAAGCTTAATTGTTAAGAAATATCAAAAAAGGCGAAAAGTCGTCCTCGAGCTCGAGGACCCCCTCAAAAGACTTAGCGAGGCTTGGCGCTATCTCGCGAAAACTCGAGTCAGCTTCATGATAACTTATTGTAAATACGTAAATCGATTAATATCATTCCCTACGAAAGAAAGAGCTAATGTTGAATTTTGTAAGCAAATCATTGATAGCTAAGGCTCACGAAGGCTTCACAATTGTACATCAGATAACATCGCTTCTGTTGCAATGAGTAAGCCAGCGCTCTTGATGGATAGTCAACTAGTGGATAATTAGTAGTTAGGCTGGATTGGAGTGAATTAGATAAGGCAACTTTTCTAATAGCTGATTATGGATTGGCCCCGAAGGTAATGGATAACTATCCATCGAGAGCACCGAATTGAACCAGGCACCCACGTGCATTTGACAAATCTTTTCATAAGTATTCAATTCGTAGTATTATTTGTCAGTTACGCGTGTGTCGTTTAGCTTGACGAAAGTTCTGTGAAACACGAGAATTTGACTTCCACAGCACCAGCGTTGCACAACGCTGCTTTAGGCTTCAACTGCGGGGGAGGTAAAACGAGCATTTTTTATTCTACGTGGATCTCCTCAAAAATAATCATATCCAAAAATGACGGAGAACCGGGATACAGTACACGCGACATCGGACGGTTCAGTCCTCACAATTTCAGACCACCCAATCATGAGCCAACCTCCTCAGATCCATGTATCGCCAGATCATCTACTATCTTGCGATGTATGTGACAAAATATGTACAGTTACATCGCTGGAGAACCACGAACCTACTAATCTTTCTGTATTGCAAAGGACTATGAGAGCTGGCTGTCAACAATGCAAGTTGTTATATCTCAGGGTATCACGAGGAGTGTGTAACGGAGGTTCCGCAGACATCAACTGGACATATATATGGAGAGATTCGGCCCGAGTTTCCAGTCCGCATTCTGTTGTGGGAGCATCGGAACTTATTGCGTCCTTCTGACTGGAATCCCACGAGAAAGTTAAAAGAAGATCCGTTCCATCACTTTAATATTGGTTTCTTCAAGCTCCCAGACGGACGCCCTTCCGTGTCTCCCAGTGTGGCCGACAAAATACCAGCGCATAGAAGTAGATTGAAGACGTATCTCAGACCGTTGATGGACTGGATCAGAAAATGCGATTCTTTTCATTCTTGTGTATCAGGATTAATCCCAATGCCGTCGAGTGTGCTCGTTGTTAGCAAGCAAGACAACGCAGAAGATGGGAACAAGATTCGACTGATATGCTCTGAAAGCCTTTTCCAAAAACCGTTCCTTATCTTGCACTTAGTCATTGTTGGGGAGGCGATGTGGCTCTAAAAACAACTAAGGAGAATTACCTCGAGAGACAACGGAGGATCAGTTTCGCTGATATTCCTGGAACTTTCCAGGATGCTGTTACAGTCACACGAGATGTGGGTTTGAATTATCTCTGGATCAATGCAATGTGCGCAGTCGACGATGAAGATTACAAAAATCTCGACAAGCAAAATCTGCATGAAGCTCGAAATTCGTTTGCACGCATTGTTGGATGTAACGGCGATGTGTCTGCGGTTTATGTCTACCACAACATCATCCATGCTGATCCTTTCGAGATTGTGAAAGGGAAGGTGATCCAGCCACTACAAAAGCGAGCATTGACTACGCAAGAACAAGCACTCCCTACGAGAATGGTGCATTTCACTCAGCACGAGCTTTTCTGGCATTGTGAGCAGGCATATCAGTTTGAATGTGAAACTGTGTACCGCGGCATTACCGGAGAGGGAAAAGGCTTTTTCACAAACGCACAAAAGGCTCTGTGGTTATACATCAATGCTGAAGATCCCCACATTCAAAACGCTAGTTGGAAAACTGTGCTTAATCTCTACTGGAGGAGAAATATCACCAACAAAATGGACTTTTTACCAGCGTTAGCGGGGATAGCTAGCAAAGCGTCTTGTGTTAGTGAAGATATCTGGCAGGCCTGTGGGAAAACTCATTGCCACAGGGACTCATGTGGTCAGTCAGCTTTTTGAGCCCAAGATCCCAGCGCGTTATCCCTTACAGAGCTCCTAGTCGGTCTCGAGTCTCCCTAGAAGCCACTTCAGGCAAACCCTTCCCTGACATCATTGTTACCAGATTCTACGGTGAGGACACTCATCTAGAGACTTGGGCAGATGTGGAAAATGCGTTTTGCGTTCCAGATGGGATGAACATTTTTGGGGCAGTCTCCTCTGGTGAGATCAAAATTACGGGACGGATATTTCAAACCAAACTCACCTTCTTCTACTTCCGCGCCCTGGAGCTCGGTCAACCCAAATTGGTAATCTTGAAGTTATATCACCGACAGCCAATAATCACCTCAAGATTTACATTCACCCCGACATAACCCTCACGGTTTCGAGAGGTACTGTGATCTATTGTCTAATAGTTGGAGTAGGGGACTATATTATATACTCGTGGCACAACTGCTTTACTGGCTTAGTGTTGGTGAGAAACTCCGATAACGTGTTTGCAGATGGGACATTTAAAAGAACCGGTAGGTGGGAGTGCAAATTCCATTTCTAGAGACTCCAAAATACTCAATGGAACATTAATGAAGAAAACTATCTAGATGTCTTCTGCAGCCGCAATTCTAAGTTGACGTTGCCAATAAGAATTCTGAATTCTTGAAGGAAAGAAGCTCTCTTTACCCTTAAATGCCCCCATATCCTCACCATTCGGGTTAATTCGCTTCAGACTCCCAAACACCTCAGAATTCTCAGACCGCTTTATATAGAGCGTTTGCGTATAGTCTTTGCCTGCGTGGCGATCGTTCCTTTTCAAACCAAACCGCCACGGGCTAAAATTAACTCGATGCCATATAACCTGATGATTGTCTTCTTCTTCCCAAGCCTCACGGGCCGTTAGACGTACATCGATATGGTTGTTACATCCTGGAATGGGATACGGGTAATACGTCAAGTCCACAGGCTCGTTGGTTTCCTTGGCCTCTTTATCAGACACGTTAGATGTGTTGGTCTCCTTGGTCTCTTTTCAAACATGTTAGCTGGAGTAATATTATAGGTTAGGGGTAAAACGTCAAGGTTAGGGTACTTACCTCGCCGTTGGTTAAGTGTGAGCCATTCCACCGTCAAATATTTTGTGGTAATATCGTAGACGAGTGACTTCCTTTCATTTTCGGTATGATTATTTTTCTTCGAGGACATCCTTTGGAATAAAGAGCCGTCAAGATCTGTCATCGTGGTTTCGTCACACAACTATGATGATATAAAAGCTGTGGAATGTTTGAACACTTGAGTGTAGAAGTCCAGAGACCGATCAGAAACGAGTGGAGTAAAATGAAAGCGGAGAAACTGAGACAGCTCGCGGATTTATAGGTCTTTCCAACAAACATATGGTTATTCAACGCCAGGAAAGAAAAAGACGAACGACTCTCACATCGCTCCAACTAACGACTTGTTGGTTGGTGATTCTTTCAAGTCCTAAATTACGCCTAACATGTTCACTTTCAACACAGCCATCAGTCACTCAACCCGCCCTTCCATCTATATCTCATTCATCCTTTTTTTATCAAACTAAGACTCCGCAGCGAGTAGAATAGTCGGAAAATATCGATTTCGGCAATGAGCTGGTGATTGAATAATTGATGCTGTATGAATAGTAGCTTCTATTAACCGATTAAACCACTTAGATCCCTTCTCATCACAAGTAACAATTCTGGGCCATCGAGCCATCAATATCCATAATCAAACTCATGATGACTCTTTACCTATTCGTCACCAACGAGCCGTAACCAAAAACTACTACATATCCCCTCAAAACCCAAACACATCTTCAAAATCACTCCTCTTCAAATACAACACCTGCGTATACGGCGCCTTGACTACCCGATTCGCCCGGTCCCTGTTCGAAAAAGCCTTGCTCCACAAATCAATGTCGTGATGTTCGGGGACTATCCCGCCGAGGGAAATGGTCTGGTTTGATCGTAATAAAGAAATCTACTTCGCTTCCAGGGATGTCGATGGGAGTGTGGTTTTGTTTTTCTGTGAGGATGGTATTAGTGCGAGCTGGAGGTAAGAAAGAGAGTGGGGACGACCCGTAGCTGTGAGGAACGCTTTTGTGAGTGTGAGGGAGGTTAAGTCGTATACGATGGATATAGACGAGGTTTGGGTTCGTGTAGTCATGTTGTTTTTGGCGTGCAGATTGAAGGTTGTAAATGTAGTGTGCTACTCTGACTTCTGATGAGAAGGGTGAAAGCCCGCTATAGCTGCTGAACTTATAGGCTTAAACATATCCAGCCAGCCTACAGTCATTTACCGCTCGGCTGCGGGAAAGAGGTGCGGGTCATTCACAATCAATATCTGGCCACTCTGATTTCTTCGTGTCACGAAGCAAAGAAAAAGGTAGTGTCAGCCTAACACAACTAACAGCCCCCCTCGAAACCACCATTCAGTCTTTCCTATCCAGAAAAACAAAAACCAGCAGTTTCACATTATTCCAACCAACAATTTTCAACTCGTGATTCTATCTACTCAGAAAATACATCACAAACCCACCCACCCACACCAACACAACCAACCCACCATCACCGACCCTCCAAAACCCCCCAGCCAATTTCCCCCACCCCAACTAACTCAGCCCATGCCCCTCTGTAAACAGAAAAGCGAACACAAACCTAACCCGCCCACACACCTTCCTCCACACCCCCCCATCTCCTCCCCTCGCTTTCATCATCATCTTCTCAGCCTCCCTCACCACATCCTCAAAATCACTTCTCTTCAAATACAACACCTGCGTGTACTCCACCTTCGCCGCTCTATCAGCCTGTTCTGTCTCCCCAAAAATGATTTCGTGGAATTCGGGCACCATGCCACCGAGGGGGTCGCTGGCTTTGATGGAGACGAGGAAGGAGAGTTCGGTGCCGGGGATGGGGAGGGGGGCGTGGGATTGTTTTTCTAGGGGGGATGTTAGTGTGAGGTGAAGGGTTGCGGAGGAGGGGGGGGGATGGATACCGGTTTCAGAGAGTTTGGTTTTGGTGAGTTTGAGAGCCGTTAGGTCGTAGACCAAGGCATCTGATTTGGATTGGTCGGTGGAGACATGGTTGTTCCGACGCACAGTTGTGATGATTTGAAAGTGGTAATTTGACTCGAAGTTTGATACAAGAGTTGAGTATCAAAGAAGGAAGCCCGCTACGGCTGTCAGATTTATAGACTTGAGCTTCTCCAGCAAGTTTATTCCGGTTCACGGGTCATTCACAACCAACTTATAGTCAACTGACTCTAGTAGTGAGTGCGGCCGTTTTAAAGTCTATAGGGGCGTCTGCTTTACATCACTTAATCTTCAGTCGCCTACTAGTAGTTCTTTTACAATTGACTATTCACAATCAGCAGTCTATTCAGTGCACTGACAGAACCATGACGGACCCACAAAGCGCTCTTCATCATCTTCCAGCTTATTCCGCTGAATAACTCAAAGTTGAAAATTCAAGGTGTAATCGAAACACGACATGGGCTCAGGATAGCCGACGAAATATGCGATGTTTTGTCCACAATCTTTGGCAAGTATAAAATTTTAGAGTCGGTTAAAAAATTACCAAACACATTTTCAAAAGAACAGATAGACAGGCCTACCACGCGTTGCTGCCACCTAGATTGTCCATCGAGAGGTTGTGAGCCATATGAAGCTGGTATAATTCGAGATTTATAGGTCAGGAATTGACGATCTAATATTCCTGTATCGTCCAACTCAAGCTCCAACTCCATGAACGTGGTCAGAATAATATCCAGAGCATTCTGTAACCCCTCCCCTACTAACATTACATCCCGCAATCCAATCCAAGGACCAAGCCATTTCAAGATGAGATACCACACACTCTCCCCCCCTCTTTTCATACCTCTCCCTAACAAAACCTAGGCCTCACAAAAACCGGACAAACATCTCTCTCCAGCCCCCTCGTCCACGCATCATTCTTCTTCAAATAAATAGTCTGCGTATACTCCTTCCCCCTCATCCGATCATACAACACCTTCACACCTAGAACCTTAAAATCGACATTCCACCACACATCCCCGACTGTATCTTCATAATATCTGACAATCGGGACATTGGAAGCGTGGATGCAGAAAAAGGTACATCGAGTTTTGCCTTCCACATTGACGATCGTGTGGCCTAGTGATAAAGATGAGCAGATTTGGGAGATGGGGGTGTGGAGGTGGGCTTACGAGCTCGCTCGAGGGCGGTGAGTTGTTTGACGCTGAAGATGTTGCCTACTTGTTCGTAGACGACGCAGGTTTGGGTGGCATCAGGATTCGCGGGAGAAGAAGCTGGAGACTGCTTACGAACGATTAAGTTTTCCGTGCTTTCGGTTGGAGCTTTACTTTTGTACGATGTCGTCATGTTAGTCTCAGCGTAAAGGTTCGATGATATTAAATGGAGAAAATAAAGACAGATGGTTGAGATAAGTCTTTTTTTATTCTTTCGAAATGATAATCATCATTCGAGCACTCAAGTTCGAAACACATAAATATATTTCTTATGCGTCAATCAGTTAATATCATTCTGAAACATGAAATGATTTCTTTGGAATCATAGCTTCCCCAATGTGCGTGGTTACTGTTTTGCAACAATCACAATACGCGAGGTTAGCCGCTGTGAATTCAGAGATCATGCGACGCGGTCCAAGATAGCGCCCCAGCTATCTTGGCAATAATAGCAACTGCAACAGCTGATTAATGTTGCGATGGTCAAGTGACATGTCCAGCTACTTAGGGCTAAGCGTTTGGTTGCATTTCAGTTATTTTGAGTATTTCTGCATCCAATCATGTTATATGTTGAAATATTGACCTAATTGAATATAGGACTTCGATTCTTTTGCAGCCTGCGGAAAACCAGGCGTAGTTCAAGAACAGAAGTTGCTCGCAGTCATGAAGAAACTTGGGACCCCTCACAAGCTCGATACTCAGGGTTCGACGAATGGCGACTTCCCATGAATGTCGTGAGCTTGTAGTAGCTTGATTTATTCACAAAAAGAAACAAGGACAGCACGCAACCAAAATAATGAATGACCTTGAGATTCGCAACTTGATGGAGCTAAACTTGGGAGCAGAATCCCAGATTGCTCCTGGCTTGAAGGAATCTCTGACTCCGTGCCAATCCACAATGCCGAGCCATTACGCTTTTCAGGTGGCTCACCAACTCGTCGACATCGCAGAAGCACTTTACATGAAGCAGAAGGAGGAACAAGAAAATGAACGGCGGCCAGATCGAAATCGAAACCACGAGCAGCGGGACAAACAGCGTAGAGCTAACGAGTCTCGTTCGAAAGATAAATCGCCAGGACGTGGGAGATACAGACCACAATCAGATGAGCCACGTGAAGGCCAACATCGAGACCACGCGGAACGAAATAGAGGACTCGAGCCCAGTGACCGTCGCTCAGAAGAAAGATCGTCATCAGAACATAGGAGACACAGGAAACACAGATCACATAGCCACCACGACCAATGTCCTCACTGCCATCATAATACCGCGCACCGAGATGAGGACCGTCATCGTCGTGAAGGCCATCACGATGCCGACAAGAAATACTCTTCAGGCCACCATTACCAGAACTCTCGAGAGGAAAAGAAGGAACCGCACCCAGTGGTCTACTTAGCTCAGAAACTTTTTAACAAACCCAGATCAAAGCCAGAACCTTCGACGGACGATGAGGGGCATGCACGCGGTGCTAAAGACCGAGAGCAACACACCGAGAGAGGTACACAACAAAGGGCGGTAGACTCAAAATATGCGCAGTTGGGAAGGAAGAACCCAGAGTCGCACGATCGAGGACATCAAGATCACGCACGTGCGACCGTGGAGCAGGATAAACCATATGGAGGCTCTAGTGAGAAGATGGATACAAGTAAAGAGAATCCACATCGAAAGAGGAAGAACTTGGCGTCTGACGACAAGAGCGATGGGAAGGCAAGTGACAGCGCAAAGCGAAAGGGAATGTATAGCGGTAGCGATAAGGAGAATCCGCATCGGAAGAAGAAAGACCTGATGTCTAATGACAACAGTGATGGGATAGCCGCAAGTGACACCACCAAATAACCAGGGAAAAAGAGCGGTATCAGCGAGGGGAGAGATAAAGATGGAGGTGTGGAGAAGTCGAAGGATAGAGTGGAATAGAGTGAGAAGAATAGAGCAAATTGAGTAGTTAGAATCTATTGATAGAAATCCAGTAGACCAAAAATTCGGTGACAAGTTCCCAACTTGAGGCCAAGTAAAATCGATCAGATTCTTCCAAGGTTAGCTGGTAGGTGACTGACACTCATTTTGTCCTCCACGAGGTAGTCTGATTTTAATATCAAAGGACATTGTTCTCAGACCCCGAACAATCGCACTTGCGTCGTAATCAGTAAGATTATTGAGTAGACAACTAGAAAATATCTGGAGACTGCCACGCGGTGGACAAAATAAGGTGGATTCGGGGAAATCGCAAATTATAGCAGAAGTCAACCCCAAAAAATTGTGGAAATAAGAGAAAAACACCAGGAGAATTAGAGAGCACTCTAATGTTTTGATAATTGTTCAAGGGATCACAAGTGTCGCCGTTGTCGAGATGTGTCAATCGCCGTAAGATCGTCTGCTATTAAATTCCGGGGAGTGATCACGTGATATCAATCAGGAGAAAGTCGAACCTCCATGACTTTCCCACCAATCAAAAATTTGCACGAAATTAACTGTCGTGGCGCCGCTTCAATTGGGGCCACGTCCCCTCACCAGCCACAATGTCGGGTGTTGATCTTCTGCACGATGATCGTTAGGTTGTGTTGAATCTCGAGTCCTCTGTGTCCTCTGTGGCACCGGTTGAAACGAACGTCGTCCTTGTAGAGATAGTTCAGAATGCGTCAGAGCAAGCTTTTGCAGCGTCGTGGCGTCGTGCTAATTGCCCAGCTTCCAAGCGATACCATCGCATCGCCAAAGAGCTTGTGCTTCCTTGGAGAAGACTTGTTTGAAGACCGCTAGCAACAAGCAACTCTTGATCGCGGGACAAGCCTGCCAAGCTGGCTGGGCGTGGGATAGCCAACGTCAATTCCTGATTTCGCAATGCGGACTCGACACCGGTAGAATAGACAGTGAGGTACCTGAGTACGAAGTACAATGTCGTCATGGAGTTTTGTCGCTTTGAACCAGTAAAGAATCGGCTTGACAGCAAATACCAGCGCAGAATGACTGCGGTGAGGTAGAGAGCGATCGTACTCTGACAGCGTGGTTTGTTTGGAATCCATCTATAATTGTGGTGACATTGCGACGAGGTAACCAGCTAGATAGACGACGTGCACAGCAGGTATGGGCTATGTTGTCGTAATCGTAGTAGTTCTCCAACCAAGACCATCTCCAGGGCCCTTTCTTGACTATTCTCGCATTGCCGGCGGCAAGTCATGGTCGCCGGGCAGCGTGTATCCGCATTTAGTAACCGCGCATCTCAGACCTTCGTCCATGGTGCTGGGTGGTCGATTGTTGGCGACGTGCAACGGTGAAGAATATGTTGTTGTTTTTATCGTCAGATGATGTTTGGGGGTATCAGCTGGCGATGGAACGTATGCGCCGTTTCATATTGATAAAGATGTTGCGAAATCGATGGTCTTCTGAGCTTCGTTTTGTTGATGTTGAGATGAAAGTCTGCCAAGCGGAAACATGTCCCACTCGGGCACCTAATGCGATCGGTGCCCACGCTTGTGTGTGAGATTGGCTCCTCTCCCGCTGGCACAAAATCCACAAAATCCCCCAGCTTTTCCCTTCTTTCCCATCTCGGTCTGGCCTGCTGCCAACTTCTTCATTTCTCCGCTCCTTCTTTCATTCACAAAACCACAACATTCCCCAAATTTCTGCTCAACAAAGAAGTTTTGACGGTCGGGTCATCCAAAAGAATCTCATTCATAAGGCTGGACGTCGGGCTTTCTCCAGTTCAAAGGGGTCGCATTAGTGGCTACATCGATCGATTTTCTGTCCGCGACGCAACTCAGCCCCCAACACCGTCTCCACCCCAGCTTCAATTGCAAATACCTGTCGCAAGCTTGTGGCTGTACGACACCGAGGTTCATTGAGTAGGTCTTTGAATTAAAATATTCGAATAGAAAGGCATCGTCTTCGTCCGACTCCACGAAATTGCCACATACGTTAGGATCGGCAAAGCGCTTTCGAGATATATCCACCTCCGTCCTACATCGCCTTTTGTGACACGACACAGGACTGTGAACCGAACGACCTCATTTCCAGAGACACTCACCACTGCGGATTCATATTACACATTACCGCGCCTTACAAATATTATTCACATTGAAATCTCGTCCTCTCAGTCACAGCTCATTTGGGCTATTTAAATCTGCACGATGCCAGAACCAAGGAACTTCAACATGCGTACGTTATCTCTTAAAGATCACCAACCATGGCCCCATCCCACATCTGTGAATTACTTGGCGAAGAACGAGAACGAGCACGAGCTCGTAAAGAAGTTCTACCCATCCGTAGAGACAGACCCAGACCCAGAATTGAATCCAAAACTGACAATAAGTACAGAGCAACAGAGATCCCAAGCGCGCAGAGTAGCAACGCGTGGCGACTCCTACAACCCATTTGGAAGACTCCCCCGATCGAGTACAACGCCTTCTCGTGGTTTAGATCTGGAGGCGGGTGCAGGTGCAGACGATGGCAGTCCTTTATCTGCGGCGCAAACGGATCCCGGATTTCACTCGGTACCGTTAAATGGCAAAACGCGGGAGGAACTCCAGGGAGACGAAGAGAAAATGAATAGGTCTCCAGAGGCCGGGCGGACGAGCGAGCCAGACAGTGGAAATACCATGGTCGAGAGTAACTCTACCACAGACAGAACGAGCGAAGGGGCGCCAAGACAAAGAAAACACAAGGTTCAATTTTGGAAGAACAAGAACTCGAACTCGGGGGAAGACTCTTCGGACGATGAGAAAGAAAAGAAGCGACCATGGTGGAAAGGGAAAATTCTACCACACAAAGAACCATTTACCGTGCGAAATCAAGTGCAACGGACGCTATTTGGGTCATGGATAAACATCCTGCTTTTAGCAGCACCAGCCGGGATTGCTTGCAATTATGCTCATCTCAATGGAATCGTCATCTTTTGCGTCAACTTCATCGCTATCATACCTCTAGCAGGGTTGCTTGGGTTTGCTACTGAAGAAATTGCTCTGCACGTTGGTGAGAGTCTGGGAGGTCTTTTGAACGCAACTTTTGGGTAAGCCCACATCCACTCATGAAAGAATTTGCAGCTAATCAAATTAGTAACGCTGTTGAAATGATTGTCGCTATTATTGCTCTTGCCAAAGACGAGATTGTAGTTGTTCAGACCTCTCTTATCGGCAGTATCCTTTCTAACCTGTTACTCGTTATGGGGATGTGCTTCTTTTTCGGTGGTCTGCGACGATCAGAGCAGTTTTTCAACCAGACGGTAGCCCAAACCGCAGCAAGTCTTTTGGCTCTCGCTGTCGGTGCTCTCATCATCCCTACCTGCTTCGACCAGTTTACCAGCGACTCTGAACATAAAGCGCCCGTCAATACTGTGGCAGCACTCTCACGTGGTACCTCAGTAATTCTACTGGTCGTTTATCTTGGATATCTCTACTTCCAATTGCACACTCACTCCGCCACTTTCAACGAAACAAGTCAGAAAGTCCCAAAGAGACCGCGTAAGAAGGCGTTGGCAGATGGTGCTATTTCGAAAGTTATTGCTTCTGCTGGAGGAATTGGTGCCGGTCCTGGTAGAGCAGGAATGGAGGATCGTCCACCAAATGATGAACTGATTAACACCAACGCCCACGAAGAGGCAGACGATGAACCTGAGGAGCCAACTCTTCACATTGCAGTTGCGTGGGCTACACTTGCCGGCGCCACCGCTATCATTGGTCTCTGCGCAGAGTTTATGGTTGATGGAATCGGTGCTATTACCCAACCTGGATCTGGAATTTCTGTCGAGTTTGTGGGTTTGATTCTGCTACCTATTGTTGGAAATGCTGCCGAACACGCAACTGCGGTCACTGTGGCAATCAAAGACAAGATGGATCTTGCTATTGGAGTCTGCGTGGGCTCTAGTATGCAGGTCTCCCTATTCCTCATTCCGCTACTCGTCGTCATTGGTTGGATTATGGACAAGCCTGCCATGAATCTCAGCTTCGATGGTTTCCAAATTACGGTGCTATTCGTAGCTGTGTTGCTAGTAAATTATCTGTAAGTACTAGTCGCAACAACTGTAGTATTGAAGCTAACATCTTGCAGAATTGGTGATGGAAAGAGTCACTGGCTGGAAGGAATGCTGCTGCAATGTCTTTATCTGTAAGCTGTCTTGATTATTCTGACTCGGAATCACCTGATCTAACTTTCATAGTATTATCGCCGTTTGTGCTTGGTATTACCCACAAATCAACGAAGTCACTGGTGCCGCCGAATGGCCAGGTTCCGATGGTACCACCGCCGCGGCTTAATTGCCATACGACTGTTCGGTGACCGACAGCTTCTACGTTACAAGCGAACTTTTCTACAATTTCACCACGTTCCAACATAGAACACAACAATCCTCGCCATCTCGATATTTCTCTTCTATGTACAGATCCTTCGACATCTCAACGATGATATTTTCCTTATATGTAGATACCACCACAACTTTGTAATTCTGATATATACTTCCTCGCGAGTGGATGGTTTTTTGTTATCGCGTTCTAGAAAAGCGAAATACAAGATGTTTGGGCGTTGGTGGTGTTGTTTGTCCCTTTTTTTAATAGGTGATGTTTGGGGGCTTTAACCGCAAGCGCGGTGGACCCACGATAATGAGCGAGAGCGAGATATTTAGTTTGATAGGTGCGGAAATGGAAATATACCAATGGGTTTTTAAATGTGGTTCTGGATGTGTGTCTTTGGGTGGGGTTGTTTGTGATTTGGATGTGAGTTTTTGGTGATTGAGTGATTCAGAGGATCTCTGGCAGGAAGGAGGGGCTTTATGATGACGGATAAAACGATATTTTGGGTGAGTTTGATTCTGGAGGGGGTCGGGTTGATGATTGAGCTGGGTTTAGCAGCTCAATTATGGACTGAGCTGATGATTGAGCCGGATTCAGGTACCCAATCATGACGGCACGTGACTAGTTTGGTGATAGAGCCGTGGGGCGTGGCTCAATCATGAAAGTAGAGTTGGAGATTGGATTCACGAGACAGGGTTGGCGCTGATGTGAGTTGTTGAATTCTACCTCAGTGGTTCTTGTCTTTATTGTTTTCGTTTTTTGTGTCGAGAGGGGACTAATGTGGTTCCTCTTGATATTGCGCTGAGTTGCTTCACAGGAATCTTAGTATGTGTCCAATTTGGTGCGTTTGCCATTTGGGGCGTTGTAGCAGGTTGAGGGCAAGGTTGTTTAAGTGGGTTATCTTGTTACATATGAGAATGCAGGGGTCATTATTGAACGCGTTCAGCAAGGACATGATTTCGCATTGAATATGACTAGGTAAGTGTATCCTCCTATTGAAGAGTCCGTTTACTCCTGTGACTATCCTTTGATGTTAGACCAATGGAGATCTGTTTCGAGAAGTAGTCTTCTAGGTTTACGAGGTTGATGGGATGCTTTAGATAGTGTTACTACTACTCGTCTTACATATTAGTAACAAACTATAGGTCGTCGCTCAGTACTAAACCAGCATTCGAGTCAGCCGCGCACAAGGTCCAGGGCTTGGTCTTATCTTTGATGCTTTGATGGTGCTAATAACTTTGGCCAATTCCTGAACCGGAATCATTTTCAAGTGCTCGAATATGATTTGACGAGTTACTCGAATTCAACGTCATACTCTATGGCATATCTTATATTTCTGACAGACCACACAACCGGGTAAGATTTCTCTCTAATTCTCAATATCCAGGCACTTTCCATTTACTCACATCGAGTAACCCAAATTCTACTTTTGGGCGACGTCTCATCTGATATGGGGGAAAAAGCAAAAACTTCCCATTTGTTAAATCGAAGTAAGCAACTCCATTTACCACTCCCTCTCATCTGATATAAAGGGAAGGAACGAAACTACCGAAGGACGCTAGTCCACAGCCCCACTATTCTCCCTTATAAATAGTAAGTTCCTGATCGAGGACAATCTTCTCCTCTTCAACCACTTCACAACACGATCTTCCTCCCACAACCACAACCACCTGGGCTTTTTCAGGCTGTTGATTTCTACACCAATTACTCGGTGATCTGAGATCTCAATAACATATTTTCGATTACATTGCATTCACTTGCGAATCAAAACACTTATCTTACTGGACTTCACTTCTCCGCTATCTTTATCTTGCTTCAACTCTCATAAAAGGACAAATTTCTCCAACCTCACAATGATCTCAGGCCCGTATAACGATACTGGGTTCCTACGACGTTTCAATTGCGCGCAGCGCTCTTCGACGACCTCAATTCACGCTTGATATTATCCGCAGCGCCTTTTCATCACAAGACCCAGCACCAAGCACACTCTGAGCGTTTGACTTCGCAAATTTGCTTATCATTATCAACATCTTCACCATATCCTCTCAAATATCTCGATCTTCTTCGAATTTTCAGCTTTTGAATCTACGTTTACATATTCACTACGACTCTGACTAATCTTCATGCGGATCTACGTTCAACTCGCAAATAATCGCAACAGCTTCAAATGTTCCTTTGGACTCGAATTGGATTAGACCGACTACTGCTCAACTCCTGAGCTCGCTTTAACAAGATTCCGAAATATTAAAGGCTTCGTTTCTACAATCATGGCGACTCCGTATGACGACGACGATATGGATCGGTACATGGAAGATGAGAATTATGGTGGTGGAAACCTTTCACCTCGTGCCCCAACCCCGGAGATGGATTTGGATAGGCACAGCGAACCGGATGAACTACCACCAGCAAATGAGGTGATCCAACACCAAGAGAAAAATATGACAACCGCGGACGATCTTCAGCAAACGCCACCAGCGACCGAGACGGCCCCATATCAAGGGACTGATCCCGACGAGCTTCAACTATCGATTGGACGTTCGCCTCCTCTACCAGACCCCTATCCTAAACCCATTGCAAGCTTTCAGGATCAGTTTCACCCGGCCGAAAAAGCGAATTGCAAAGTCAATAATGAAAACCCTTCTTCAAATATCGAAAATGAAATCCAGAATCCTGACGTCGATGTTCCATCGAACAAGAAAAGGAAGTCTCAGGACATGAAGAATAGTCACGGTAAGGTGCAGAGGGGACAGGGTGAAGACGACGACGACATCGTGATCATTGAACCACGCATGGCTTCTGAAGCGGCACAGTCGAGATGGTCAGAGCCTCGAGTTCCCACGCTCAGACGACCCGAGGATGTAGAGATCAAAAAGGAGACGGTTGATGAGTCCTCAATCTCCCGGAACCACACGTCTCCGGAAAAGAAGCCGACTACGAAATCTGAAGCCCAGATCCTTGCGATGCTTGCAATAATCAATGATCCCCAACCTGCGATGGAGGGTGCACGAGACTCACCCAATGGAGACAACGAAGAAATCGAAATGTCAGATCACGAGCGTATGGATGTTGATGCGGCGATGGGTGGCGGTATATCCGAAGATGTGGGTTGGATGGATGAGGAAGTGGAGCCAGTGGAGGAAAGTGATGAATACACCAAGCTCCTGGCTACGTGCAATTTACTCGAATCGAAAAAACGGCAGGGCATCATGTCCTATGATGAAGGTTATGAGCTATCAAAAGCACAAGCAAGGCTCAAGGATCTTGACATAATGAGAAACGCGGCTCAAAGAAGGGATGACACCCCTCTGTTTGTGGAAGATTCTAGGAGAGCAAGGTCCTCCAGTACTCCTCCAGAAGAAGATGCATTCGAAATAGACGACGATCAATTTGGCGATCATAACGGCGTCACGGACGGTTTTTACGATAGCGATACAGAGTTTGCTAACAGATTGCACGCGGGCCTTGCTGGTGAGCCTGTTGAAGAACTAGAAGTGTCCCCAAACCCGAGGACGGCAAAGAAATCCCGGAAGAAGGCACCAAAGAATACTAGAGAGGCATATCAACAGAAACAAGAAAAGGAGGCCTCGAAGGCGAAAGCAAAAATGCAAAAGCAGCAGGAGAAAGCAAGCCAGAAAGCCCGAATTACGAAGAGAGCAAAGCAAAAGAAAAATCACAATTCACGAAAGGGCAACACATTGATGGATCAAGGTCTTCAAAATGAGTTTGATTTTGCTGATTTATTGAAATCCGACATCATCGACGACCATCATCGGAATGCAGCTCGCGAACATGGCTCTGGTCCAGCAATATTGGGGTCCAACAAGGTAAACCAAATTCAGCAGATCTTTAACAACATACCACCTCCAAAAGATGCATCGGAGAAGCGTACGATCCTCACAGACAAGAAGAAATTGAGAGAAGCGGCTCAGTCTTTTGGATACGCCAAAGTAAGGGCAGTGAATGGGAGATGGAAAGTTGCAGGAATGAGCTCACCATTGTATCATCATCAGCTCCTCGGAGCGCATTGGATGATTACACGTGAGTTATCAGAGGGAAGACCCCATGGTGGACTTCTAGCGGATAGCATGGGACTGGGTAAAACTATCGAGACTATTGCTTGCATTACAGCCAACCCTCCTCCCGAAACGGACATAGTAAGAGGCGTCCAAGCGACATTAGTAGTTGTACCTGCTGGATTGGTCGTTCAATGGCACGAGGAGATTATAAAACACAGAGAATCGGGCCATCTCAAGAAGATCTTGATGTACAAAAGCTCGAAGAGCAATGTGTCGAAAGAGATCCTGGAGTCGTTGGATATCGTGATTTGCTCATATCAAGAGGTTATGAAGCAATTCCCTTTCCCGGATACTCAAGACATGATCGATTTGGCTAGGGTTCATCCAGGTAGATGGCTAACTCGATCAGGAGAGGAAGCTGGACTGCTTCATCAAATTAACTGGTATCGGGTCGTTCTGGATGAGGCTCACTTGATCAAGAACTATTACTCTAAAACTTCGATCGCTTGTCAGAACTTGAAGTCGATTTATCGATGGTGTCTTACTGGTACTCCGTTGATGAACAGGATTGAGGAGTAAGTCATCTCCGCAAGGCAAGCAATTATAGACGCGGCTAATTTGCATAGGTTCTACCCGTATTTGCATTTCCTGCGAGCAAATTACACAATGGATCAACAGACTTTTCAAAAGCACTTTTGCGACCCGTCAGTCATAGAGTGTCGGAGTCGACTTGGCATTCTTCTTTCCTATGCGATGTTGAGACGAACCATGAAAACCACTTTGCTTAATCGTCCTTTGATTAGTCTGCCTGACCCTAAGGCCATAATTGAATATGTCGACTTTTCCGACGAAGAGAGAATTATCTACAGAATTGTAAGCTGTCCTGTTCTTTGAATAGAGCTGAACTGACCGAATACAGACCGAAAACAGATTCCGCGACATGATCAACCAATACATTGCGAAACACGACCTCTCCAAAAACTACGCTCATTTCTTCGTGCAACTCCTTCGACTTCGCCAATGCACCGGTCACCCTTTCATGATGGAACGTACAATCAAGGAGTGCTGGACCCTCGACGACGCTCAAGAAGCTCGCCAAAAGTTAAACGCTATGAAATCTAAAGCGACTAAACCGTTCTATGAGCGGACTAAGCTCTGGGTTAACGGTCGATCATCTAACACATCTGAGGATTTCGAAAACTTGTTCGAGAATGAATCTGGCAACTTTGGACGTGAAGATATGGGGAATTCGTTTAGCATGCGGACCGCGCTGAAGTCTTTGAAGAAGGTCACGCTTGAGAAAAGAGTGCACTGTGGGATTTGTGGCGATTTTCCGGTCGCGCCGTTTACTACAGAAGTTCGTAGATCCGTTATTTCTTCGGTACTTTGCTAATGCTTTCTAGTGCAAACACACATTTTGCAGATCGTGTTTGGAGGAGTATATTCATCGCCAGACAGCCGAGGAAGATGATGTAAGTGGACTCAATGGCGATCAACTTGCCCAGCATAGGCTAACCTCATTCTAACAGGTCAGAGCTACGGAATGCCCCAAATGCGGCAGTGCTATTTACGACGTCCATAATGAAGGCAACTCTGAGGATGACATGGAAGATGCATTCGATGAAGACGACGATAATGAGATTACTGATGGGCCCGTCTCAACCAAGCAAAAAGGACGGGTCCCTGAATGGAGTCTGGGCCGTGATGCTTTCGGGTTTGAACCACATACCAATCATTCGACCTGGCTGCAACAGAGCGACAGAAAAGACAGTAAAATCCCACTAACCTCCTCCGCCAAGATCACAGCTTTGAAAGCCCTTCTGCTGAAAGCATTCGAGGAGCAACCTTTGGAAAAGGTAAGTTTACAATTCCTGAACCTTTCTGAGACATTATAATTCCCTCATTTCACACCTCCTAACTGGATGCAGATCGTAATCTACGTCCAATTCCGCATCCTCGCCCGCATCGTAGGCCGTCTCTGCAACCAAGAAAAATGGCCCTTCCTCTACTACACCGGCGACTGTCCGCCCGCCCTTCGCGCCAAAACCATCACCGAATTCACCACCAACCCGCAAATCCGCATCCTCATCTCCGGCTTGAAATGCGGCGGTCTGGGCCTAAATCTCACGATGGCATCTCGCTGCGTCTCCTTGGATCTCTGGTGGAACCACGCCGTCGAACAGCAGGCTTTCGGTCGTATTTTCCGGATTGGCCAGGAGAAGAACACGGTTATGACGCGCTTGGTGGTCAGGAATAGTGTGGATATGCGGTTGCTTAGTATGCAGGCGCATAAACTGAGGGATGTGGAGCGTTGTTTGGGGGATCATGGAAGGAGGGTTGAGGAGGGGGGAACGCTTGGGGTGAGGGAGCTGGTTAATCTGTTTGGGTTTCTGAGGACGGAGGGCGGGGAGGTTGTGGGGGTTGAGAGTGATTATGATGATTGATGGGGGTGGGATGGGATAGGGGATATTGGGGGGATATGGGATAGGAAATAGGGTGGGGGACAAGGGTTGGGTGGATGGGATTTGCTTTGATTTGATACCCTGGCGTACTAGGATTTTAGTTTCAGAGCTAAGTTATCATTCTTCAGATAGGTTGGGGAAATGGTGAAATATGAATGGAAAGAATTTACAGGGAAATAGCGTTGTTTTTGAGGTAGGTCTTACCCCTTTTCAATTCCTCTTGTGTCCCGAAGTATTTTAGCCATTTTGGATACAATGTCCCAAGATGTTAGAGGAAATTAAACTGGCCAGAGGGCAAGGTAGAAGAACCGATCTAAGCGAGTAGTTTAGTCTAATGCTAACCGATTATAATCTCTCTTGTATCGTGGAACAATGTAAAGAATTCGAACATATTGTTTCAAAAGCAGAGAGGAAAATAAGACGATGTTCGGACAGGGTGTAGGAGATATAAAAGAGAGTATAAATTAGGGATTAATATTTTTTTTCACCCTATTTCGATCTCTCATGTATTCTAGAACAATATATAAAACTCGAATAAAGTCTCTTAGAAGTGTAGAGGAAACAAAATTAATCTAAGTAGAAGGTATAGAAAGGTGCAAAAAGAGAACAAGATGCTATTCATCGAGTCTGTTGCTGAATTATTTTAGTTCCTTAAGTGTTTTGAGATAACTAAATTATTATTCTAATACTATTCCGGAAGGGTTAAAATGTATTCCATGGGGAGAGGTATACTGTAGATTAAAAGGAGAAAGTGATATATGTGTTTGGGATGGCACGCGATTCGACAAAACGTACGAGATGATCGTGGGAGGTAGAGGGGAAATTATAGAATATAATATTTATAATAGAAGGGAATGGAGGAATTTGTTTTGTTATATTGTAGCGGGGTTTGACGTGGCGCATTGATGCTTTCATAGTCGCGCCTGGCTATACTTTTTAGTACTATGCCAATATCAGTCAACGAGACTGGGAAGTATAGGAACCCGAAGAAAGAACATTTTTAATGGTTGTTCAGCCTTCAGGGGTGAGAGTATTGGTGAAATTAGCGCAAGAACCAGATTCCTTGCACCAAGTTTTGAGGTAGAGCGGGCAAGACTATTGGGGATGCCTTTTGCGGAGAAGTTAGAGTTCGTGCCCTGGGAAGAGCATTGGAATCCGTATGAGACGTTGAGAAAAGGGTGGAAGAACTCCTCTGTAAATAAAGAGAATTTTTCAGGGCTCCAACTCCGATCCGAAATTTATGGTTCATGAGGAGATGAGAGATTTTATCCAACGAGATCTTGGGGAGAATGGCTTTGAGGTCGTGGGACTGGGTGGCGAAGTTGAGAGGATCAGGCAGACAAAATCCTCTCTAGGGAGACTGTAAATACTGGGACGGTTGAAGCAGTTCAAGCGATGAGGGAGTGCATGTACCCAAGTCTGACTGAGGATCAAGTCATGGAAGTTCTAGACAACACGCTCAGGGTTGCTGGAATGGATCCGTTTTTCGATATCGTACTCTTCAACGAGGATGCCCGCAACTCATATGGAGAAACGGTTGGAAGCAAAGTGCTCGAGGCCGCAACTTTTGTGCTGATTGATGTCGGGTAAGAACTACAAACCTTTTGTTATTGAAAAGGACTAACGGAATCAGCGCCCACTTATTTGGCTACTCATCCGATATTTGTCGTACATTCTTCCCTCCATCCTTTACCAAACCCACCACCGCAGCCGAGGTAGCCGCCCTATCCCCTATTATCCGCACGAAACTCAGTGTCTGGGACACTGTCCTTGAAGCTCAAACTCAATCGAGACATGTTCTCAAGGGGTTGTTCGTAATTTCGGTAGACTCGTACTGCTTCCTCCTGGTGTAGATGGAAGACTCGATGTGGCCCATACCAGGGCCGCGAAGCATGTCATGGAAGAGAGGCTGCCATCTTGAATAACTGTGTCTCTAAATTCTATGTCAAAGATCTAGCATTCTTATTCCGGTATCCCTTTAGAACAGTCATCAGTCGCGGGGCTCGACTTTGTTCAAGGTCAATACCCAAAAGCTAATGCAGCTGCGCAGACTAACAAAAGATTTTGTAAATAGAGAGGTTTTACAACTTTTGGGATTGACAGATTTACTTCCTAGAGTAGTTTAGCTCTATTGTTTCACGCTACTTAGTTATGATCCCACCGGCGTTCGGAGTAAACTTAATAATCCCAAAAATACCTTTAGGACTATATAGTCCTATAGGATTATAGGTAGAATTAGAATACTCGAAGGGTCGTTACCTAAAGTAGCTAGAGAATTACTTCTAAAAATAAGGCTATTTCTAACTTTAATTTAATAATATAGAGGTAATTACTTACGTACATCTATTCTATAATAGGTAAACTAAAGTGAAGAAAGAAAAGAATATTAAATACTAGATAGTCTACTCCTAATACTAATTCTATTCGATTACTTTTCATTACTTCTATTACTCGTTTTATTATTCTAATAATTTAGCGATAGCGACGTAGCGACCACGAGGTCGAAGTATCTAAAATGACTCTAAAACACTTTCTAGGGGTACCCTTATCTATATTATCCTATTAGGCTATAAAACCTCTCATTTTGTAGTTACACAAATTACCTGGCTCGTAATCCCATTTTATGAACTCCGCAAGTTGCAAACCCTCTCTATTAGTGTCTAAAGAGCTTCTGTATGATCGGCGCATAATGCTACATCAGGAACAAAAGACGAGACGACATGAGGTATATGTACTTAATAAACCAAGTATAGGGTATTAATCCCCGGAAACAAGGCCGATCGGCAAAACATTCACCAAACAAAATTACCAAAGAAAATTAAACTCACGGTACAAATCCGGTCTTATAAAAGGTCTTTGTGGTCGATGAATTGATTAGAAATCATTTTGACCATGTATAATTGTATTTCCCCTCAGATTGTGCAGGTTCTCTGAAAGCCAAGTTGAATCCTATCCCACGGTCGTAAATACGTAGTACTAACACTCCGAATATCCTTGTGCCGGCAGCCGTTGACAGTTATCAGCAGGGTTTCCTCGTGGGGTGTGTCGTTTCAATTCATACATTCGTTCGGCTCCTTCTCGCCGGTCGGGTTGGATATATCCTGCAGTCTCTTTTTCGTTATGGTTCGTCTTGGGTCGTCGTGGCAAAAGAATCCCAAATCAAATTCCAGGCGCCAGGAACCATACACGGCACGGCTGCGTTCGACCGTGGCCCTTTAAATTTTCCACTAGGGCCGATACCCCATTTTAATGGACTGGGGAAGGATTCCCGGGAACCTTGCGATTAGATCGACATTGGGGTGCATTTTAGAACAGGGAGTCAGGGGTTGGTTCGAAGGGTGTGGCTCAAATTTAAATTACTTTTTGTACCTTTTAACCTTTTGGTTGTGTAGCGACGGTGGGGTGGAGCGATGGATCGGGAGCGGGATGTTTATAAATGAATTCGGCAATTGAGGATTTGAGAGATGTTTCAACGTTTGAACCTTTGGTTTTATTATTCGTGAGGGGAAGAATTTCCGATATCCTTAATTTTTTAAAGGTTCATCTTAGCAACCCACACAACCTATCGCTGACGAATAGTGGCAAGGCCTCCATTTTGATAGAGATTTGATCCCGCTGTCGCCAAAATGAGAAAACTCGGAAAATTTTGAGCTTGTGAAAGGTACACAATCCCAACCCTTTTGCAGATTTTGCTAACACGAAATGAGCAGGTTCCTGGAGAGACTGCAAATCACATCCGGTACTTTGTATAGCAGCACTGACTACTACATCTGCCTCGCGGCAATTCACCAAAAGGCAATACATCTAACCTCGATACTCCATCTCGCCGGTCCAGAAGAGCTTTCACCAAGATCAGGACTTGCATGAGGGGCACCCCCAGCCTCGCCAGACCCTCCTCCTCCTGTCAAAGCAGCGCTATCAAAGAACTTGAGTACGATGACCTCATCCGATTTCTGCTCCGGGAGATAATACCATTGAGGACTATCAAGTTCACTAGCGCGCACCTTCCCATTGGACTCCTCGTACGCCTTGGCAACCTCCTCTGTCACAGACACGGCTTCGAGCTCTCGGAGAAAATCGCCGCCCATGGAAGGCGCCGCAAGCATTCGAGATTCGTAACCCAAATAACCCAGAGCAGTGCCCGTTGGAAAAGACGATCGCGGAGCCATTGCCAGCGGGTCTCGTTGTACCGTTCTCATGGGCCGCCAAACGCTATATGCCGCATATCGCGGTCCCAGCTTGCCATCTTTGTTATACTCTTGGTCGATGATTCCGTTGCTCTCCTTGTCCTCTGCGTTTACCTGGGCGGCAGCGCAGATCTTCTCCTCGGCTTCAATGACACCAGCCTCGACAGCGGCGGCGTAGATGTCAGGTCGCCAGCGGCGGATGGACCGTCTGGCTCCGAGAGACGTGTAGTCAACGTGCGCCCCTCTTGCCGGCTTCAAGTTGTCTGACGATGCGAGATGTGTTGGTCTCGTCTCGTCAGTTGCCTGATAATCCACGGGCGAGCTCTTCTTTTTGCCACAAGCACGAACTGTGAAGGCAGTTTCGCGGTCAGCGAGATACTTCAAGGTTATTTAGCGATCAAACTTACCTTGAGGTCCGTTGCTATCTTTGGCAGGCACCTCGCCGCCTCTTCGCACAATACTATTTGTGATGAAAACGCGACTTGCCCCCGTTAGTTTCTGTACTGCTTTCTTGACTTCAGGGTAGTAGGTCTGTTCAAGAGTCTCTAGGTCATCGCAATCTTCCGCTTGTGATTCAGCGTCCACTTCAGTCCATCTTGGATCGAACTTGACCGCGGTGAAGCCAAACTTTTTCAAAATTTCGGCCGAATGTGACCACGACCATCCCAGACGCTCATGTTCTTCACTTTTGATCCTTTCACCGCTGTAGAGCTTGCGAAGATCATTCAGCGGATAGGTGATGGGGATTTGGACCACCTTGTTGTTTGTCGTGTAGCCCCTGTCCCATGCGTGTTTTGAACTGTATCGGACACCATCATCGACCTGATACTTTATGGTCACGATGGTTTTGTCGTCCTCGAACGGCAAATGTCCACTGGCTTCCGAGACGTGATATGACATGGTTTGTAAGTTGAAGAGCTACCAAAACCGGCTAAGAAATAGAGTTATCGTGTGTTCATGAGATGAAACATAGAGAGCATGCGTATAACATGTTTCTATTGGGCGTCCAAGTAGCTATTGAGAAAGGTGCAATCTACGATAGTCTTTGAGGCAGCCGCATGCTTAGAGCTACCATGCCTACTTAGAAAGCAGTGCACCATAAGCAAAGTACCAGGGGCAGTATCCAGCACTTCTTGGTTTGGTCCACGGTGAAGCTTTGGTTGTAGCATTAAACAAGACAGGCTCCATTATTTACTGTGAGAACAGAGTGGAATCAGCACTAGAATTAAAAAAGGGGGGGAATTGTAGATCTATACTAGAAATCAGCCCTGTGTTGATCCTAGTTCTGACCAGACATAGCTTCGGCAGCGCATGCAAAGTCATCCGCCCCAGCCTCCGGACTAATCTAATCGTTGATTCGCTAGCTCGCTCAGATGTGCCTCTTCCGTCCATTCGGAGCGAGCCAACGATTATGCGTCCGCTACAGGGCTATAAAATGCTTGATGATGCTTAAACAGCCACTAACAGCCCTCAAAGCGTGTTTCCTGGAACCTTCCGTTCTTGAGGTACTTCGAAGTAGAAATAGATCCCTCAGACGCAAGCCTAAGTGGGGTGAACCTAACACAATGCGGCAATCCCCGCAAACCCCATGCTCCGAATACCGATGCTAACTTCCTACAAGCTTTGCGGAGGCAGATTTTCTTATCCCCCCACTGCCGTGACAATCGCACGTCCGTGCGACGCTTATTTGACCAACCAACCGGTTCTAATTGCAGTATTCTAATGCTCTTATTCGATGAACAAGCGCATACACGGAAGTGCGATTCTCACATCAACGGGAGATCACCTGTGGTGTCGTCATTGCTATTTAGCGAGAAAACGTATCGTCGAAGGGCGAGATGTTCGGAGTATAGTACGTGTTACCTAACTACGATAGACTATATTAATTATTTTTATTTAATTCTAGAAAAGATATATATACTAGATCTAATTAAAATAATTAAGACTATATACTTAGAATTTAATATTTATTTAAATAATCTTTATATATAGTAATTTATAGCTTCTAGTATTACTTACTACTATAGTTAAATTATTAAAAACTCTAATCTCTATATCTTTAGAGTCTATTAATAGTCTTTAATAAATTATTCTAAAGAGTTTATTTTATATATTAGATTTTAATTAATATCTCTTATACTAGAAGCTAGTTAATAAGTATTATAGTTATTATAATATAAAGCTTTAAAGTAGTTATTTTATATATAATAATCTAATTAGTTATTAAATAAGAGAGTTCTTTAATATATATTATAACTATTAAGATATACTAAAAATATAGATAAAATATATTAGCGGCTAATTATAGAAAAGTTCTACTCGAGATTAGATACTTTTATATAAAACTAGTAAGAGAGATTAAAAAGAAATTATTTAATTAGGCGATGTCTACTTTTAAAGTAATTTTTATACGTGTTAGTAGTTAGTTGCGAGGGGTTGGAAGTAGTAGTTTAACATTTAGTAGTTCGCTTACCGTAGTACGTACTGTAGAGCTCTTGCCATCAAGCACAAGTGAGGCACAGCACAGTGCTAGGTAAAAGGGGATCTTCTCTTTGCTGGTTTGCGAGGGGTTCTCTTCCATTTAATATTTACTGGTTCGCAAAGACTGCGTTTTCATGTCTACAGCGACGATTTTCTTATCCGGCAGTTACACTGTTAAATGTAGAACGGAGTGAGATAAGACTGATATCGTCAGTACGACACCCTGTACTCTCTTATGATTTGCTCATGAACAGAACTCGCCAGATCTTGTTGTTATCTTATAGTTGCCCTTGTGCACCAACGCGGCTGGGTAGCAGGAATTGTTTTGTCTATTCTATGTGATTTACAGACCAGTTGAAATGTTTGAGAGTACCATGTTTGTGGAACCGCGGGAGCAACAAGAGGTTGAGCGCCTTCGGGAAAAGAACCGGGTCGCTAAACGGCTTTCCAGTACGTAACGTCAAGGAGACTCGAGAATCCAAAAACGCTGATTTTCTTTTCTCGGATAGGAGCGAGACAAAAGCAGCTCGAGGCAACAGAGACTACTTCTCCAAGAGCTCCAGAGCTGCAGGAATCGTCAGAAAACGGACACTTGCGTCGTTCTTCAGGCTCAAACGGCCTCACAGGCGAGACTGCTCAAAGGAAATCACACATCACACCCATATTGGGCTCTATTTACGATAACTCGGATCTCGTCGGTCATGTAGCCACAAGTGCTGATGATGATTTGGCCCGTTTTGGCGACACCGGCACAGTTCCCGTGCTTCACCACATGACGGTAGATGAGCTGTCCTTCACCACAGGACATAACCACATCAGTCTTTCCGACAGTTTACAGCAGTACTCCATGAATACGCCGCCTTTTAACTCCTTGTCTCCATACCATCAATCCTTCTCTTCTGTGAGCAGCAACCTCCCCAGTTTCCACTAGCCTATATTTACTGACGGGGTTAACAGCCAAGCGACTCATCTACAATGCCGTCCTCAAGTTCGATGCCTGATATCACCGTGAGATCTTTCATTTCTCCCCCCCATATGAGATAGCTGTTCAGAGCCTTACCATTCTAGCAGACCCGAGGCTTAGATGAGAAAAGTACTTCTAAACTCCTTCACATTGCTATTCGGAATGGCACGGTGGGGATCGCCTCGTCCTTGATCAAGGCTGGTGCAAACGTAAACTCGGTGGACTCCTCGGGCTCCTCTCCCCTGCATTTGGCCGTTGAGCAACGGCGACTAGACGTCCTAGAGCTGCTGATAAACTACGGAGCGAACATCAATGCTCGGAACTCTGAGCAGATGACGCCGCTAGAGATGGCGGTACGGGCACAGGACAAGCAAAATGTGGACGTTCTTTTGTCGAAAGGAGCTCAAATATATTGAGATGATGGTTTTGTGGCATGGCGGATTAATGTTTGGCGCAAAAAGTTATAGATTTGGAAGATACTCGGGAATCATTAAGTAGCTTAACAGAGCAACTAAATGAAAGCCACGTTTATTTCAAGTATATGATTATGTCTTGACTGTCTATCAATAGAATCTAATGTTGACTTCTAGTTGTGTTACAATGCGAGAAGTTAAACTATGGCGTGCGGCTCTTTTAGCTGGACCGTGCTCCCGAGAGCCGCCAGCGCGATCGGCAAGCTACGGAGTACGCCACATAGTCGAATCAAGATTCGGAGAGCTTAGCCGCCTCCGTCTCGAGTAATGGACGAGGCCCAGGACTCGTTTTCCCACGTCTCCAATCTATCTTCGCAGATTCCATATCTTTCCCACCAAAATACTAGGATACGTACCGCAGAATGTCGGGGAGTAGATCAGATAAGCAGTAGGGAAAAGGCGGGAACTTGCCAAATGCGAATACAGTAATGTCTACAGCTTGCCAACCCACGTATAGTACTCCGTACTCCGCAATCACTCCGCTCCCCAGTTCCCACAAACTAAACCAAGCGTGTTGTCACTATTGTTTTCATTGGTGAGCTCGTGTTTCATGTTTCATATTTACTTCGTACGGTAGGGTTTCGATATTCATCTGACAGTCCGGCACGTGACCGAAAAAACACTGATTTGATCGGCCGTCACGTCGAAAGTCGGCCTTTGGAGGTGAAGGGGGGGTAGGTATAGATACTTGTCGGGGACAGGATACACCGTAACACCGGCTATAGGGCCAAAGTGGCCGGTGCGTTGGACGGTCGAGCGGTGGACGGGGCGTGACGGATGGGACAATTTGATTTAACGGTCTTTTCGAAATCCCATCGTATCCTATCGTACTCCGTATGGGGAAGGTGATAACAGAAACCGGTTTTGGACCAGGGGGTCCTGAAGGGTCCTTGTCGTGAAGATCTTTCCCCATAAGACACCCTGATCGATCACCGCACCGGGACAGCCGGAGCTAACTATGCGGTGTCAGGCTGTCAGCCCAACGTAGCACGACCTGCCATCTCTGGGGAGGGACTGGTTAAATTAGGAAAGTGTTTTCAAACTCAAGCAATCTAGGCTTCGTTCCTAAATACCGGCTACGATCCAAATATACAACTCTTTTAGGCAAAGGTATTTTACAACATGACCATGCAGGATTATGCTCCTTGGAGTTTGTATTAATTATGAGGCTATAGTGTCGAGCCCAGTTACATTATAATAGCCCGGAAAAGACGTGAATATAGCTAGAATGCCGAGAACATTTACAAAGTCGAATTAGTTCTAACAATGGCCGGACGCAACGAATTTCTTATCTGGGAGAATTCACCTGACACTCGAGGTTGGTGCTTTTGAACTCTGGCGTCAAGAATGCTTTGTTGATTCCTGCAATGGCTGACCAATTTAGCTGTCTTTGAGTGTGAGTGGCAGTTCATACAGCGCAATGGACCGCACAATTTTGACAACTTGTACATTGCACTCAAGTCTCAGACAAGTGATGGCGAAGGCACACCCGCTGCTGCCGCTGCCGCGGGCCAGGGGATATACATATCAGAGGGATATACATCTGATTCGGCATACCTACTGAGTCCCAGGAAAACCCCTGACTTCGCGGCGTTTATTCAACAATGTACAACCCAGAAAAGTGGCTTGCTCGTGCTCCAAGTGCCAAAGGCAAGTGGTTATGTTGTGCACTCTGATCCATGGAAGTTGAGGGTTGCAGATTGTGCCCTGATCTCATGCACAAGAAGCTTTCTCTTACCTCTCGAAAAGGTAGAAGCCTACGATCACCCCATAAAGAATGTGGAAGACATCGCCAAGACTCTAGGTGCTGCTGTTGGTGCAGTTGGTTCTACGCTCTCGCTAAGTGACGGATCTGTCCAACAGCTAGAATTCCAGCTGGAACGGCGACTTTCTTTTCCTTGGCTTTCCGCCAACGAAATTCAACCACGGCGGTTGTGTGTGCTTACATGGAATCTTACTGCGGCCAAGAGAATTTCATGGGCTACGGCAAATTGTCTGGGCATCAAGGTAGTTGCGATGAGCACTGGCCCGTGGTTAGAAACAGACAAGCCCCCAAGTGAATACATGCTGGACGGCTACATCAACTGCGATGTGACGCCCGATGCTAGTCTGTGGCACAGGGTCGTCGCTGCGGTCAAAGCTTATCCAGATCCCATCGACGGCATTGTTGGGCCTTGGGATGCATTATTGGAGTCGACTGCAAAAGCTGCAAAACACCTGGGCATGTTCACACCAGGACCAGAGCCATTCGCGATCGCAACGAACAAGTTCCTTACACGCCAATTGCTAGATCCAAAGGCGGAGAGCTACTTCACTGTAGAATCTGTGGAAGAGTTAGAAACACGGTTGAAATCTGGCATCCCGGTCGACTTTCCAGTTGTCTCCAAGCCTGTCTTAGGAACATGGAGCTTCGGCGTCTACAAAGCAGACAACGCCTTGGAGCTGCGTGACGCCGTTGCCCAGACACTCTTCCTCGCTAAGAAGAACGAAGATAAGAGAATTATTATCGAGTCCTACGTCGATGGACCGGAAGTGGACTGCAACCTCGTCCTCCTCGACGGGGAGATCTTGTACTCGGAAATTGTAGATGACTTCCCCTGTCAGGCAGATATTGCTGAAGACAGCGTTGGCGCGCTATTCACAGAGACACAAGCGGCCGTGCCATCTGGACTTCCCAAAAGCGAACAGAAAACCATCACTGAGTTCATAGCTGCAGCAGTTCGACAACAAGGCTTTAACACCGGGGTGTTTCACTGCGAGGCGAGAATTCGCAATTCGTCTGTGGAGTATGTTTTCGCCAAAGGCGCCACCGTGCCAGACCTCGAACTGAAAGAGAACAGTAGTGGGGGACAAACATCAGTGTTCCTCCATGAAGTCAATGCAAGAATGCCCGGGCCGATGAGCTCAGCCGGCAGTCTCGTGTCTCGCGGTATTGACCTGTTCGCTCTGCTGTTCTTGTGCACCGCAGCCGACTGGCCACGATTCAAGGCACTCTCAGTACCTTTCTCTCACGATGATGTTTGTGATCACGTCTGGCTCACCAACTGTATCATACCAGTCAAGCTAAAGAAAGTTATGCCGCTGTTCCCTGGCTTCACGGCGGAGCAAATAGACCACGAGGCGGTAGACAGCCAGCACAGTCCCCTCTTGGCGCTTTCAAAAACCCACCCGGAACTCATTGAAAACGTGGTGAGGCACTCCGTCTATATTGAGTCCGCCGCCAAACTGGCGGGGAAGGAAGGCGATTTCATCTGGGCAACCTGCATGGTTTTGCGCACACCGGTCAGCAGATCTCATGCGCGTTTTTTGGCACAGCGCATTCAACAGGTGTACGAGGCATTTGTATTGGAAAATTACAACTAAGACGGAGTCCGTAGGAATTTTTGGGGGGACTTGATAATAGAGTCTCAAGAAACTTGACAACATTTTGACGAAACCCCTTGGTTGTTTTTCGCGAACCCAACTGATATGGGATGTATCAAATAGTCGTGATAAAACACACAATCAAGCAAGATAACCACCTGATTCTGTGGTTCTTAGAGTAATAGGTGTCTTGATAGTTAATCTGCAAAGAGCAAGACAAACTTCCCAAATTGTCAGGTCTTCAAATTATCCCTTTTAATTTCTCGCTTATGAGAATGTCTCCCCCTCCTTCGCTTAAAAGTGTAATAAAGCTAAATTAAATATCGTGATCCACTTGAAGCGAACCTTTGCGCTCGTCACCCCTCCTTGAGTTTTAAAGCCTTCCATTTCTGAAAACAGTATTGCGAGCATATGCGAATTTATAACCGGCGATCGCTAGCGTATTGGAATTTTGACTACGTGTACTTATGAATCAATCACAGGAAACCAAGAAGAAAAGTCTGTTAACTCTTATATATTGTATTCTATAGAGACGACATTGCTATATAATTCTGCGTTTCCAAGCTCGTCCTTGTGTACTCCCTTTTATCAAGCGGTCGATGAAGATTTCAATCGAGCGAAACCGAGTCAAAGGCATGCTGAAAATCGGCTATGAGGTCGTCCGAATTTTCGATACCAAGCGATAGCCGGAACAAGTCCTCATATACACCCATTGCCTCATTTTCCTCTGCTGAGCAGCCTTTGTGTGTTGTTGACCAATGATGGCCAACCGTGGTTTTGGCATCTCCAACATTAGGCGTGTTCGCTATCAGTCTAAGCGCATCCACTACCTCCCAAGCCTTGTCGATACTCCCTTTCAAACCAAAAGTCATGACGGTACCGAACCCGTTTTGCAGGTACTTGCGGGCAAGCTTGTGATAAGGGTGGTCGGCAAAGCCAAGATATTTTACCCAGGCAACCCGTGGGTGAGCACGAAGCCAAGCGCCCACGACCTGTGCATTTTGATGCTGTCGTTCGCAACGCAGGGAAAGGGTCTCCACACCGATGAATAGTTGCTGAGCTGCCTGAGCTCCAAGACAGGCGCCGGTATCACGCATGAAGTCCCACCGCAGGAAGCTCATATATGCTCCACCTCCGAATTGATCATAGAGACCAGCGTTTTCTCCATTACGACCTCGTCTTGTGTGAAGGCGAGGAAAACGAGCAGCGTTGGATTGCCAGTCTGAGCGTCCCGTCTCAACCACAATTCCGCCCAGAGTAGTCCCGTGTCCACCTATCCACTTGGTGGCCGAGTGAATAACGATATCAACACCAAATCGAAGCCGGACTGAGAGAAATAT